GACAACATCAGTCTTGTACATTGCCGAAATTATGAAATGCCAAGCAAGCCGTACATTAGCTTCATAACGAAGTGCAACGATTATTTCCTTTCCTTGTATTCCTGTCTTGTGTTTGCCATTTCGTTCGCTGTGCTCACAACGGGAGAGGCACTAGGTGGCTATTTGGGATTTCAGAAAAGAGGAACGAATATGGATGGAATCCACCGGTTGCAGTTTGCCATCATGCTGACGGTTGGCACTAGCATGCCCATGATGCTATTCTGCATGCGGGAAACCGATCGTATTAAGAGAATGACTGACAAAATTTTGGAGCGCAACTGGAATTTGGTGCCGAAATCCGCATATTAGTACTGTATACCATACAGGCTAATATTGAAGAAAGAAACATCTGAACCGCTTGCGTGTATTGCCCTTTTCTTCATTTTTCAAACAGTTTGTATTTACTAGTATTCCTTACCTCTCGAAGTCGGATTCACTTACATTGTTAATTTCAAACATGCATACATACGGTACCGAAATGCATTTCTGATTTCAGGGATTTCTAGCTGATTCGTGGTTTTTGGTTGGACAGTTTTACTCCTGTTTATTCCCCGGTCTAATCCTTTACAGTATTTCAACACCTACCATATATATACTCTGTATCTGCCATGTCACAATAGCTTTGCTTGTATTATTGCGTTAATATGTCATAGATAAGTAGCATAAATTTTGATACCCATACTTTGCAACAAAATGAATTCTCGAAAGATCGTTAAATCTCCTGAATTCATGAACTCAGAGCGTTAAATATCTTGAGCATGCCGTTCTTACTACTCTAGGTATGTACCCCTACGTAGGGTATCCGTATACGCCATCGAAAATGGCTTTACCTGAGTTTACCTGCATTAATACGCTTAGCACTATAATAGCAATTAGCAACATATGTAGCTTTTTACACATATATAATATTACCATCGCGGTGTTCGCGTCAACGGGTAATCAGAATCGTGTAGCGCGCTGTTACTTTTTATTTTGCAAGTTTTAGCACCATATTATGCAACTGAGTTTTTAATTTTTTACAACCTATTTGTCCACATTTAGGGTGGGTGACAAACATTTGAATGTCCAGTAATATAGATATAACGCTTGTTCGTTGCTGTTGACCTACCCAACAGACGCCAAAGTACCCCGGCTGCAGTGTAAAAGTATGTTCTTATTTGTCTCTATTTGTACTCGTATTTGAGGAATTGTTCGAGGTAAACTTGTGACTGACGAAAGCAGATGAGTATTCATTCATCCTGAAAGTATAAATTTTACCATCGTAGCTTTACCGGCATAGGCAATCCTTTGCGACCATTACGTAAGGTGATCTATGGTACGTTACACATGGCTATTTCTTAAAGTGGCTAATCATGTATCCAGCAGTGGACGACATAGGCTACCGTTAATTCATAAAAGTTTGAGCAATTTCACAAAGTTTACAACTTAATCAATTTACAACGCCGGTGTGAGAAAGCTCACCCGATTACATTATGCCGTCGCGGGAGCTGCCGGTTAGATGTAGTAATTACGAGTAAGTACTTTCGATCCATCAATTAAATAGACTTGTGCTTGTAACCTGAACACCAAACAAAGCCTTCGTAGATTGTCATAATCGTATACAATTGAAGCACACGAAATGCTGATGAAATCTTGTGGTCATCCGAGAATTTTGCTCCAGAATTACTTCTACACATAGAAGTATAGATGTATGCACATTTCGACATTCGTTTATCATTGAACAGTGTACAAGACGATCATGACATAGACATTTTTCTTACTTTCAGCAACAGTACTAATCGGTTTTAAAAGGAAACTGCCGTACGTTTTCTTTGGAAAATTTATATGATTCAGCAGTGGAGCACATCGAGTCTGATCGTTCAGCGTTGGCTTCAGGATTTACGATGGTCGTGCGCATGTGAGCATGTCACCCTGCAATCGAAATCCCTAGCGAATCCGGAAGTAAAAACCATCCGTCCGGAACATCAAAAGTGAAAAATAGAGCTTTGGGCAAGCGTCCCAGCACAAATTCTTCCCCCGGTTCAGTTTCCGCATGCAGTTTAACTCATCGCCAAAACCCAACCGATTTTCATGAACGGAAATCGGGCAGGTGCACCCCAAAATCACCCCTCGCATATATGGAAAGGGCTTGCTTAAGACGTTAGATGGTCCCATATATTATATGAAGTAAGATTAAGTACGATAAATTTTAACCCCACTGCTTTTTCTCGTATTATAAAAAATTCAGAAATTCGTGTACAAGTACCTCAGCAAAGAAATAGACTTTGGTTAATTCGCGCTGGCTATGTGTTTACTACGAAGTAATATACCATTACCCGTGCTCGCAACTATTGCACAGATAAGTTGGGTACCGGTGGCTGCTGCCTATTAGAGTAGAAGTAGTTTTTCGTACATGATGTGCATTCCGCGCATGTTGGCAGTCTCCTCGATGATGATCCACTGAAAATCTCTGTAGGGCATAGCTCGGCGCCATGATCTGTGACCCGCACAACTGCACGAAATGTTCTAAGCCAGTTGACTGCTACGCCCATCACGGCCTTTCCTGCGCTTTTCCGCCGGCAGGCATCCCCGACATGGTGGGCTCAACAGCATCGTATGTCGCGCTTTTGTCTCACAATCAGCCGGAATCCCTGCAAAACTTGAGCCTCGCGGCACATTTCACACAGGTGATCGACGTCCAGACGGATGCACAATTTTCGCGTAGCAGAGAGGGATGTGTTTGGTTTTGGAAGTCTCATGCGTCGATACCGTTGCAGCTTCTCATATCAGATCAACTTCGGTAAACGCGGGATCGGCCGCCGTTCAGACAGAAGAAAAGAAGACCAGGTTATATTCCTATTTAAACGGCCGTTATATATTCGCACCCATCGCTTTTGAGACGATGGGCCCGTGGGGACCGTCGGCCTTTGCCGTCATAAAGGAGTTGGGAAAGCGACTACGGACTCATTCAGGAGAGGCCCGCTCACACCAGTTTCTTCGGCAGCGTCTATCTCTAAAGATACAGCGGGGTAATAATGCCGCTTCTGTTATGGGTACCGCTGAGAGAGCGGAAATGTTTAATGAGCTCTTGTTTCTTTAACAGTTTTCCGAAGGACGTAGCGCTGCATACGTCCACGGGTATATATATGTATATATATATACCTGTAGGTATGGATCCATGTCGAGTCATATTGTAACTTGTAAGTTTGTAACACAGGACAGACAGAACGTTTACTGACAATGCTCAGATTCAGACATTCGGGTATCTTCCAACGCCTATGTAGGTTTTTTGTGCATTATGCGCAGTAGAAACGACTGGTAACGTGTGTCATCACGATCCGGAGCTTATCTATGCTCTGAATGGTCAAAACAACTATACCGCACGTATTCGAGATACCGCGCTGCAGAGCTCCGTTTTTTAACATACCCGTTCTTATCTCTATGAATCATAGCTTATGCACCATGGTGCGCTGCACTGGCCGTATACCAGCCAACAGAGAAAGATGTCTGACTGTAAACTCAAGAGAGACAGAAATGCTGTAACTCAGGATGGGCAGAGATGCAGAGGCAGAGGTGGAGCATGTATGTGAACAGTGAAAGAACGCACTGAATGTCATCGTCAGTTGATCCAAAGTTTCAAGCACTAGTTTTTCGTTTACCTTTCCATAAAACTTCCTAACCAACATCTCAGAAGATAGAAAGAAAAATTTGACGCTTTTTGATCTCTGATAAGTGCTTTTTTGTGGGGAACCAAGAAAGTTATGCTTGTTTTGGTTTCTTGTAGACATAGCATAGGGTGCAAGCAACGCCTCCATCGGACGGACCTATGCTAAGTCTACGAGAAACCAAAACAAAACTAACTTTCTTGGTTCTCCATAAAAACCTACTTTCAAAAAATCAAAAAATTCTAAAATTTTATTCTCTATTCTGAAACATTAACTGGGAAGGTTTGTTAAAGTGACAACGAAAAACTGATGCTGCAAGTTTTGGAGATAGTGGCAGTCGGAATCAGGTACTCGTACCCAAAGTCGAGACTAATACACGTATGCGCTTACGCGAGGTGGTTGCACTTGCCGCAGACTATTTCGCTAAAATAGCCGTCCAGCTTGCACTCAGGCAATCTTCCCAGTAAACAACTCCACAACAGAAGTTTTTTGCAGTTATTATGTACAGTAATAAAACCCGTCCTTCGGAACAGTCCCCACGGGAGGACGCCCCGCTAGGGTTTTTAAAACGTGTACAAGTGAAGTTTGAAATAACATTAGCAGAGTATATGATTGTTTTTCTTGTTTCTGTATATAGATAAAATTTTTTTTTACAATGCGGAATTTGTTTTTACGATGAGATGCGAAAAGGGGAAGAAAAAGGTTGTGCTAAATCAGAATTTTACTGACTGCGTAGTTTCTATTGTACACTTACGTACGAGCACCACAATTCCGGGCACAACAACGTCAGGAATGTGCATATTTTAAAACAGTGTTACCTAATTAACGTGCCACCAGCTAACAGGAAGCATTACGGATGAGCTTGTGAAAACGATTCAAGATGAAACCGCTTACGAAGCTATCAGAATCGTTAACTAACCAAATGTAAAACACAACGCACAATCCATGTAATGCGTTGTAGCGTATAAGTGGAAGAAAGCTTTGCGGATTCGACCTTTCAAATGCTATAAGACATCCATAACAAATCCCAGAATGATCGGTGTGGCCGGTACTTCTTGGGTGGTAATTTTTTTTATGCATAACGGTCTTCGACCCATTAACCGTGCGCAGTAGTTTAAGAAGCATGCCTAATTACCCATCACACCGAACCCGCCTTGTAGAATCAAAGCTTACCGCGCAAAATTAGGCAAAAGGTTATCGTCTAACAGTGCCCCCTTCTAACAACCAGCTGCTTTCCTGGGCAATATAAACGGAAATACACGCAAAAAAAATACGCTAAGCATTCGAAGGAAATACGTCGGCATCTCGGCATCCATCGCTGGTTACTAATTTTAATAACTTGTGCACGCAATCGAAAGCTATTAATATAAAACAGTTATATAATACGAAGGAAAGACGGGATCATTCTAAGCAGCACTAGAATCACAGAAGACTGGGAGAAATGTAAAAAACAAGCACACCTTTTGTCTGTAAATAAAAACATCTACAGTAAAACGAAAACAAACTATTCTAATGCCACAGGGCTGACTTGGCGAAGTCTAAGGACGAACCCACTGTACGAATTTTCGGAATGTATCAACAACAGCCGGCATAATGGCCGTCAGACTGACATCAATAAGGTTTTGTAAATACAACACAGCTTCTTCATCATTGAGATCCAAGCGAAATTTATCCTGAATCTGCAAACAGCAGCTTTAGCAGAAACGAACATATGTATAGTAATAATTGTACCATGCCGCAAAAAGGAAAAGATACCTTCTTCACGGTTTTATCCGGCTCCAGTGCGATATCCGCAATACTCGAATCCACCATCAATGAAAACAGGTTCAATATAAGATTGGCCGATCTGAAAATAATCATAAATGATAAATGTTCAGGTGCGAAAAATTGCCCAAAGCATTTGATAAATTAAGATAAACTGATCATGACAGTTAACCATCAGGAAGGAAAACCACGATTTCACGCATGCTGCAGTTAATGTTACACAGACCGTAACAGGCGCAATGAAAACTAAAACCATCCAATGTGGAATATTTTCTATATGATTTATAAGTTTACGTATTTCTTTTATACCTTCTCAGGCTAAGGAACGCCGAATAGCACTGTACACAAAATATCCTGAAGTTATCCTCGCCCATCGCTTCCACCATTTCCTTATTGAGCTTCATAGCCGGGGGCATCGGCTTGGGATCACGTCCGAGAATGTAGCCGAAGTCAATATGAAACAGATATCCTTGTTTGGTCAGCAGCAAGTTCTCCAGATGCCGATCGCCCACACCCAACAGATACGTCACAACACAGTACCCAGCACAACTCTTGACGTAATTTTCCATAACTTCACCCGCAATGCCATTCGCTCCAGTTTTACTGGGAGCAACTTTTCGGAAAAAGTTCTGAATTGTGCCTTCGGTTGCTAATATTTCCGCCAACGGGGTAGAATCAATGAACTGCACAAAACCATTATCTGTACCCGTGGCAATCACTCTGTATGGTGTCAGTTTAAGATCCAGATTCTCTTGCCTTAAAAGCTACAAAGAAAGGCGACATAAAAACATTCACAACAAATATCAAACCATTTCAAATAAATCAGAATTAATTCGCCACAAAAGAATTACAATAGTGTTTACGCTCACTTTATCCATAAGGGAGATTATTTGCAAGACAAGCTGATCCTGTCTTAAATCATCTCCCAGCTTGAATATCGTCACATAATCTGTTCCATCCTCTCGAACAAATGTCAATTTGGCCGGCATCTGTGCGCTCTTGAAAAGCCATGCATTATCCGCCCGCAAACCCACGATGCGCACATCCGCATCCAGCGGATGGGGCAGAGGATCAGCGTAGGAGAAGCATTTGGCCAGTTCTGAATCGGGATTGCCCAGTAGACCTTGCAATCGTTCAATCTTTCGTTTACGTGTACCGCTTTCACGCGCAATTTCTTTCAGTAGTTTCATAATACGGTCCACAAACACCAGCTGCCGTGAAAGCATCATTCGGGTGGATTTGTGCAGATCATCACCCTGGGACAAGGCATTACTGAAGCGCTTCATCACAATGAGGAAAGTATCCATAGGTAACCCATCTTGAGCTAATTTGTTGTTCTCCGCCGTTTGCTTGTTTTTCTCACACTCCGCTTTCAAAAACCAATAGAAATAATTGGCAAGTTTTGGATTTTGACAGGATCTTTCAATGAGGAAAGTGGCAAGGTCACGTTTAGTGGTAACACTGGTTGGTTGGACAAGATCCGACACCTTCGAAAAAAATGTTTAATAACAAACCAAAAGTGAATATTGTCAAGAAATTAACAAAAACAAAACTTAACTGGCATAACGATGACATAAACTGACTGGTTCTGGTAAATATTAAAAAAACTATCTTTTGGCGCAGAAGATGCATTCGTACAAGAAATTTTGCAATGATATACCTTTTCAGATAGAGAAGATCTGCTAACTGATTCTTTGCGCGCATGGGAAGACGGCGCATTGGAAACCCGTATTAAGGCCGCTCGTATCTCAGTAGCATCTTCATATCGTAAGGCTTGTATTAATTGCAACAAATATAACAGCAATTCATCGTCAGTCGTGGTGGCCAGCCGATCCACGGCATACTGCCGAATAAAGGGATTAGTGAACCTGGAGGTTAACAACTCCAGTGCCGCGCCGGGATCAATGGGCTGCCACTGCAGGACCAATTTCTCCGCTTGCTGTTTCTCCGTGGGTATACCCCAGTTAACACAAGTAATAAATTTGGTTAGAGCATGCTTGTCCTGACTGAGATGAAACCGATATCTCCACAGAAGATCCTGTTCTTCCGAAGTCAGTGTTTGATCCGGAGGATAAGCCAGAATAGCATTTAACTGGTTGCGAGCATTACTGTTGGGTTTCAGCTCACGATCAGCCGCACCGCTTCGAACATTGCGCGTTAGTATATGGTGCTTTCGTTCCACCACATTTGGCTAAAGCACAAACCCACTAATATTATAATGATATTCAACAACATATTCAAATTAAAGATTTTAAAAGATCGCTCAAGTAGTTAAAATAAGCCCCTACGCTACGAGTCAAGTCATTACTATTTCACTGTTTGCATAATCTCAAGATAAGCAACGCATTATAAAGCTATGTTTACGAGACTACCTTATCTAACTCTCCGTCCAAAACTTTGACGATTGATGGCGCAACAACACATTCCACTCGTTTATCCGCTTCCTGGAAAGTAGGAAAATACGACATATCGTAATAATACAGAATCTAACAACGGTAGGAAAAAAAGCGGCATGTAAAACAGCTACGTCTGGTACTGTTAGATTCTTACGTCTTCATAGAACACAACAGTAACTTCTCTGTCGTCCACCGAAATTGGGGGAAAATCAACCATCAAAAACATGGCACTCATTTCACGCTTCTCTCTTTCGTTGATCATTTCCACTTCACGAAAAGTCAGACGATCCAACCAGTCTACACTTCGGATCCTTCCTGAGCGATGTCGCTTGACAAGCTGCAATTACGTACGATGAAAACCACTCCAGAAAAATTATAAAGCGGGATTTTCGGGAAATATAATCAAGGAAGTCTTATAAGCATTATTTAGGTATGCATTTTTTACTATTTAGGTATGTTCGGCAGTCGCCAACTTGCCATAAAAAACAACAACTGAAAAGTCGCACCTTAGCTAAGCGATTCATCTGAAAATTGTCGTCAACAACTTTTCCCGGTGTCGCCGATGGAACTACCCCATCGCCACGGACCATTGGCCAAACATATAAATCATGGGGTCCACAACGCATTTTTCTAAAAAGCAAAACATACGTAAATGAAATACTGGGAGGAAAAAAATCGCTTCCCATGAAAGCCAAAGTCACGCATCACCTGAAACATCGTTTTTAATTTTAAATATGAATAATACATAATAATTAAAATTATAGAAACTGCAAATAATTTCAACGCAATGCAAGATTGTTAAAACAAAAGGTTTTACCCATTATTGCCGAAGACGCTGATGGATGTCCCGCCCAGCGGAAGTAAGTCATAAGGGCCGTTTACACTGTATAAGGTGCACACCAGCAAAGTGTCTCGGGGAAGATCCGAAATATGCATGGACAGATACAACCATTCGTTCCAGCTGCAACACGAAAGCCATTGCATCTGCGTTCACGACACGAATATTATACGGTGTGAAATTACTAAACACTGCACACCTGAAGCGCTGATGGAAAGCCTTGTAGCGCGTGCGCGCTTCCATCGAAATGGGCTTTCCACCTGAAAACAGCTGACACGATATGAAGATCTCCAGCAGCATGTTGCCGTCAGTCTCGGAGAACCGCCGCAATGGCTTCTCCAGAATTTCATCAATGGATGGAGTGGGGAGAGATCCATCCAGTGTGCCACTGCGACACGGGGAAGTGGATAAGCAGTCAAACAATAACAGCGTGAGAGAACCAGCAAACTGAGCAAAGATCGTGCAGTCGCAGTTTCACTATCAGTATCAGACTTACATCTTGATTTTCAGGTTGTAGTGAAGATCGCGGCTGTACACATAGAGACCTTTCGGGTCTGCCGTGATATAATCTGATGAGATCGTGCTCATCTTGTTGATGGATTAGAAATTCGCAGCGTAAATGTGGGACATGGGGACCTGCAAGTTACCAACTTCAATGACTTCATACGAAAACTTCAACATTAAGTAATCAACGACTGTAAGGACTGTTACAGAATTGCCACTACTGAATTACTAGGAGTGTTACTGAATTTTCTCCTTCAAAAATAACGAAAAATGCAAGAAGAGAAAAAATATTGGTGTTTATGATTTTATCACAGATTAATAAAAACAAGCAAACAATCCACGGGAAAAAGGAACTCATGACTCATGACGCTGTAAGCATAATGGGTATATACAGTGACAGCATTAAAACCAATTTACAGATCATCACGCGTAACGGGCAGCTCACGCAGCGGTCGGGGAAAACGAAAACTGTTAATATACACTCTGCTCCCTGCCAGAAGGTGTACCTGCTCTGGTGTTTGACGCAGTGCCTCACGACGTTTTTCCCAAATCGATTGCGTTTTTCCGATCGGTAGATCTTATAATTCTTATCTTTTAAAACGATCTTCTGATGTCTGGTTGAATTAATGGAATTGACTTTGTAAAAAACGCCACAGTTCAGAAACTCTATTGTAATAAACTTGTTTAAAGGGAGATCGTGATATTGTGCACCCAGTCTTGTTTCGTCACTGACATCTCATGTTCGTCATACTGCAGTAAACACGCAACAGGTACTCCAGTGGTTCTTCAACTTGTATTCATTCTCTTCTACCTTTTTTACCATGTGCACGCACACTAAACCACACTGTATACCAGTGTCAATATTTATAAACACAAAATGCATGCATTTTGATGTTTATATACTTGAATGCACTGAGAGAAAGAGGGCATCTTCAATTTTTTAAAAAAACACGTGACCGAAAATCACGAGGCAAAAATTACGTCATCCATACCGTACGCCGATGCCTGCAAGGGTAAATCGCTTGCATAATATGGCCTTCCCTGTACTGTTAAAGTCATCCGTATGGATTTCCACGTCATAGCTGAACAGAGATTTTTATAAGCGCTACATTTATAGTAACTGCACATGTTGCTATTTAAAAGTCGAGTTAGCAAACGTATCTCGAAATGCGTATAAGTGATTACACTCACGCTGCTCTATATTCCTGGTAAATTTTTTACTGTTTTTTTACATGAAGAATTCGCAAAGGCATCAGAGCCAGACGTTATAAAAAAACGAATTTCAAAGACTTGGCGCGGGACGCAGGTGGCACCGCCCAGTGTGGCACCGTGATTTGGCTTACATTTTAACAGATTTCAAAATTTTTCATCCTTCTAATTTTCAATTTTCGGGCGCAACTATGGTTGCAAAAATCCATACCGTTGACTGGACAGCACAGCGAAGGTGTGTAGTATGCAATCGATTTTCCTCCATATTAAACAATCAGGTTCAGGTGTAAATTTACTGCTGGCCAGCATTTTTCCATACACGCATAGTAAATCTTGCCCGGGGCCCAAATTTCGAATAGGGGCAAAATATTATTTATTTTATTTTTGAAATTCAGAAATCCGAAATCTAACAACAACAATCTAACAACAGAAATCCGAAATCTAATTCCGAAATTCAGAAATCCAACCGGGATCTGACGCACCAAAACATCCTTTATCAGCACCAGTTGACACAGAGCAAGGTCACCCCCGACGAAGTGCTGGCTACCATCACAAACCAGGCTACATGTGACGGCTGGGTGGAATACTGGTCTGAACGTTTTGTGGTGTTGTTTGAAAAGCGCATCCAGCTGATCCCCAAAACAAAAGCTCATGTCTGCTGGCGAAAGCAAGTTGCGAGCGGCACTATCCCGGAAAACTTGCCATCAGACTTTCGCAACCTGATGAACGCTGCTAGAGTCGAATATCCGGAATACGTGAGCCGTGAAGATCTGCAGCGTCAAGAAGACATGCGATGGGGTTTCTTGTTGACTGTTCTAGATGATCGTTGCACGAATTTTGAAGTAGCGCTAAAAAAGTTTGATGACGAAGAAGAATCGAATACCGATTTCGCTGCTAAGAACATGGGTTTTGAAAACGTTGTGAAACTGAAAATTCGTTGTATGGAACTGGCAGACGCACGGGTTCACAATAAGTCTGGCCCTGCAAAATTTCAGCGTTTGATGTAATGGTTGTGATGTGAACTAATAAAAGCGGATATGTCAATGATTAAAGCAAGCTTGCGAACAAATCAAATTACCAAAACACATGAAAACAGATAAAATTTTAATTAGCGCGCCATTAAAGCAGTAATGTCATTTGTTATAGTAGGTGCGTATGTGGTGATGAATTGCAGTTGCAATGGGTGGCCGACGGTGTGTTGCTTCTGGTTGCGTGAACGTCCGGCCAGCAAGCAAGCCAGCTTCTGAATGCCCACAAACCTACCACAAATTTCCCGATGGGAGCACCGACAGTTCGCGGTCTGCATTTTGGAAAGCTTTTGCTCGGCAAGGTCCATCTTGAAAGCCTGCTGCTCACTCCTATTTGTGCTCCGACCATTTCCACCGCGACTGCTACGAAGCTTTGAAGGGAGGGGGTTCTCGTCTCAGGTCAACAGCCGTACCCTCCATCCTTCTGGGAAATGTCTCCGTTGAAGAAAATCGAAATGCTGCATTTAGTTCTCATCAAGGATTAGTAGAATTACCGAAAGTCGGTGCTTGCCAACCGTTGCTTATTGGTCGCGGAAAGCGGTAAATAAATTCTTCTGGTGATTTATCACGTAAGGATAAGAAGAAGAACCTTAACGATAGCATCAGTGAACTGAACGCTAGCTTCGAAGGGTTGTCTACCTGCGATCCAATTCGTTTTGAGAACGATGTGCTGGACAAAATTCAAGCGGCTATCGATCGATTGCTGTGCTGGAAGAAGACTGTGGACAAGAAAGACAGGCTTTGCAACCGCACCATTAACCACCTAGTTGTGACCCTGGATAGCATAAAGAGACTTTCAACCGAACTCCTCGCCGAAGGGCTGCTTTACGTACAAACGAAGAATCTCAACAACGATATGCAGGAGGTAATACTTAACTGTGCAAGTTGAACGTTTTCAAGCTTTTACACGATGCTTGGTTTTTAGAGGTACTTCGCACAATGTCGACAACTCGGTGGATCTTGTAATAATCCAACTGTTGAGAACATGCTGGCAATTTTTCGAATTCTGTCGTGCCACAATATGCAGAAAATGTGCGAGCGATCAAAGACGAACATCGAACCAAGTGACGATGAAGTTGTTATTGGTTCAATGAATATTCTGGATTTGTCCGAAGAGTTTTCAAAAAAACTCGAAGCTGCTAAAACCTTGGCGCTGATTTCCCAATCTGATCCAGTCACTCCAGAACTTGAGCCTTTATCGGAAGGTGCTCAACTGGATAGCATTGTGAAAAATGTGGTTTACTATCTGAGCGGATTCACAAATAAAAGAAAAGAGCTGGAGGCCGAAGTTTGTGACTCTTGTCGTTCGGAGTTGTTTTGGTTAGATTCCTCGAATCAAACTCATGATTTTGCCCAACTGACCGAAATGAAAGACGATGGAGGTTTGAACTTTGTTGGAGTTGTTTTTTATGAAATGATATGCAGTCTGGAGCGGATATTTCAAAAACACATTGACGAAGTCCTCTACTTTTCTCCGCGTCAGTCACTTCTCGCATTCGCTGAAAGATATGTCATGGAGGATTTCGTTGCCAGAAAAAGTAATCTGCGGTCTCCATGCCTTGCAGATTGTTCGTGGAGTGAAATTTTTCGTAAAAGTGCATTTTATTATTTCCAAATAAGGATCCATTTCTATGTTAAGTTGATGAACGATAAGGTTGGCAAAAAATGGTCGAAAAGTGCCGAATCTAAGAAGCGAAAATTGAAAATTCACACGGGTTCATAATTCTGTGTTAGTTGCAATGAATGTTTTGGGATTTGTTTTCATTCCTTGTAAATAGTTATTAAAATCGGCAGACGCGATACGTAAAGTTGCGTGCGTGAAATAAACTCCGTAGGGTTTACGTAGCGTAGCGTATCGATCAGCGTATCGATTCCCCGACCGCTGCCCGAAGTGCCCGTTACGCTTGATAACACGTAAATTCTGTTCAGAGCTGTCACTGGATATACCCACCTTGCTGTAAGTGCATTAGTGCAGTACGCAACTTGGTACGGTATGCAGTCAGCTGTGTGTAGACTGTATGACAAAAAGCCGTCGTTTAGGGCGGCTGCCGCGTCAGCACGGTATCGAAAAGGCACAGTTGGCAGAGGATAAGAAAAGAAAGAATAAAAGAAAAGTTACGGTACCGGGTACTGTAACAGAAGTGCTGAACTATCGAAACCGTTATATTTTGTAAAATAATTCTGGAGAAACAAGAAGCGATGCAGGATCTTAGAATGTGAAAAAAAAGTTTGGTGCACTGGTTCTGGTGGAGGCCAACTGAGCCGCAGTACGTAGCGATCAAGGAAGGGGAACTAAAGGTCGCGGCCGGTCGGGATTCTTCACTGAGCCGCTTCAACTTACCTTTTGTTAGACGTGAACACGTGTTATGTGAAAAATCAAAATGTAAACTGTGTTTATTTGTATGCATATATCGTACCCGGATGTCATCCAGGTTTATCCACCTGGTCACAGACTTACGGTTCACAAGTGCCGTATAAATTATGTATCATGTGCCTACGATTTACGCTCTACGATTGATTGCTGCAACAAGATGTTGGAAATACAGGCAACAAGTTTTATCTCGATTCGAGCGTAGATGAACATGCAGTTGCATAATTACATAAGCCAAATCCGATATATTAACTATTGTTTCCCTAAATAAAATACAGAGGCACTGATTATACGACACGACACAAAATACTCCACAAGAAAACACCAATTCGAAAGTACAGTCTTGCGTCCTGTGGTCAGCTGATTCGCATGAATTTGGTGTGAAACACATTGTGCGTGCGACATCCGGTTCCATGTGGAGATGTGGAGTTGTGGACAAAACAAGGATTGAACGCAGACCGGCGTACCAAAAATCTCGTTAATCTCGTTGGACCGATCTTGTAAAAAAATTGAATGCGAACGCACAAGAATATGAGGATTGGTTTTACATACCACGAATCGAATCCGCTGGCAAGCGAACGCAAGAAAGTACTTCACATTTTAACATTAATTGTGCCGCGCAACAGCAGAAGTTTAGCGAAAAGGCCTAATTGGTAATAAAAGCTTTAACACCAATGTCACTTCCCAAGATCCATAAGAGTTCACATTTGCACAACAACGGTCTACGATGCTATTCATATGACATTGTTATGAATTATCGTTCAGTCTACTAATCAATGCAATTTGGCCATGGATCGGGCGAAAGGTACAAGTATTCACGATCAATACAATTATTAGCAAATACCCACTAACAATGCCGTACATAAGTATATATTAGACTGATACGTATCAGTTATCACTCGTTGCACAGATTATGGTTGCCGAATCTCAACGCAGGAATGAAATATCCGAGAAACTTGCAAAGTATCGATGCAAAGATGGTAATGTCCAAGTTAACGTGTTGTGAGTTGCAGAGGTACTGAACAACAAGTGCGACATGAAGAAGTACGGTTATTCTTAATAGCGATGCCTTTTTTCACAGTAGCATGTTATCCGGTTACTTCCAAGCAGTGATAACGATAATTTATGGGATGCTTCAATAATGTGTCACACAGTCAACAGTGCGCCCAGCCAGCGTTGTGCCTTCTCCGACGCTCTCAACGATTTATCCCCAGCGGGCGATCCACGGCCATGACCATGATCCTTTGCGATCCCTGCAAAATATGTATGGTATATTTATTATGCAAAACATGTATGGTACCTTTATTTTAAACATTTAAAATTAACGCACATTATGCTGAGATGTGATAGATGATTCTGCAGATAGTGCGTAAAACGTATTTTGTAATTTTTTATGGTGGCTAAATGCTTTACAATAACTACTTCGTTAAAATAGCGCACGTTTTATGATGGCATTGAGCCACTGATAATAACGTGATGATGGTAGTCATTTAGTAAAATGATTTAATATTTAATAAAATGATGATGATATTCGTCGTACAGCAAACTCCTACAGTTCTACAGAATATACGGTACTTACGTGCTGCACTGCTGGAGTCGAAATGATCAATCCTTTTCTTAAAGGAATTCTTCCGCACACCCTCACTGCCAACTGGTTTTTGCTCGTGCAATTTCGTTTTATACAACTGGCTCTCCTTGCCGTGGGATGTACGGGCAATGGGATGGATGTCGCGGAAATGGGAATTTTTGTTGTGATTAGCGGTTAGCACACGGGAAGTGCCTAATGATGCAGGCATGACCTTTGCTGCAATCATGGCTGTCAACAGCACGATCAGTAAACTACAGATAATAAGTAGACGATTGGCCATTTTTTATAGGCGTGTGAAATGTTAAAAGGCAAGAATAATAAAATTACAGGCAAGCGTTAATTGAAAATTACTACTTAGTAGTCTTATCACACGCACATTGAATTAGTCAGCTATACACACTGACGGAGCGTTAGATTCGTGAAAGCGTTAGATTCCGCGCTCACCGAGAAACCCTGCAACTATCTGAACCAAGAGAGAATCTCACATTTATCCGAATAATCAATAATTCGGTTTCCTGCCGGCAGGCTGAGCGAGAACGCGCAGCTATAGTACTGTATTTCTACAGTACAACAGACCTGGAACGTAGCGCGCATATTATGCGTATACAGTACACATCCAGAAAGGCGAACGTTGGGATGCCTTGCTATTGATTTTTCCTGGCGACTTCCTTTCCGGCTGTTCATCATTGTTGTTCTAACGCCTATGAAGGACCCTGTTTACGGCACATCTGAAGATTCGTGTGATTGTACAGGCCTGACTGCTGATTACCCAAGGGCAGAATCAATAATGCCGGCTAAAGTCACATAGTAAAAAGAGTTAATTAAGTTAATCCTGCCATATTTATACCGTATCCCCTGTGATGCTGGGGGTGCATGTATCGTGTTGGGTAGCTTGGGTTATTGGCTACATTTCTCTTTGTTATGTTGAACGAAGCGGACTATTTTTATCGAATTTCTAATGTGCAGCACACACCCTGTTTTGTTTATCACGCCACTTATTCATCGAATACTTTTAATCAGCAAATATCACGCAGCAGTCTCTCACTTATTAAATTCCTCATAATGCATTCTGATCCGATTGATTTGTTTTCCAGTGCATAGCTAGTAGCTACTTTGATTAGTGTGATGACTTCTTCTTAACCATATACTTATCTCGTTAAAACATGCTGCATTATTACTTTATTCATGAATCGACAATAAGAACCTAAACGAAACAAACGCATAATTATGTATTATGGAAATCCAGCGCATACTGAAGTGAAACCAACACAGTACGGGCAAATAAAAGCAGGCTCAAACCTATCACAGAGAGCAAAAAACATTCCCTGAAAAAATCAATCACCACAATAAAGTGGAACAGAAAGCGACCTGTGAGAAAATCCAGACCATTGTCACAAATCAAACCTGCATATATTAGCCACCAATGTAAGAACAAAAACGGGCATCGATTAACACATACGGGGCTGACAAGAAAATAACTATTAGCTGCTGCTTTAGTAACCAGAGCTCGCCGAGCTCGTGTCTCTTTCTGTGCCTAACGAAAGGTGGGAATTCGAAACCAGACCACTCTTAACCACTTTCGGATTTTTCTGGCATTTGGTTTCATGAAGGATGAGATGATCCCGGCGCTTCTTCGACACATTGCAGTACTGGCAGAAGAGGAGTTTTGCTTCCGGAGTATGGACGCGTCGGTTGTGATGCCGCAAAGCACCGGCTGTTTCGCAAGCTCTACCACACTTTTGACAAACATGCTGCAAAAAATACAAATCATTCATGAATAATCTATCGCCCAATTCACGGAATTTTATCTAATAGAACGGACTCCATCTGAAAGTTGGTAATACAAAGTGATGCAAAGAACATATAGCCGTGCGTGCAGCACCATGATCCGACCAAAAATACCGGTATGGAATGTAAGTCATTCAGGCAAATAAATAAATATCTACAATAATTTCTATAATAAATATGTATAATTTCAAGCCCTTCCAAAAATGACTGCCACTAATCCCAAAAAGTATACTCGTATTCACCATGCAAGATAAATTATACTAACAATCCCTTCTACGAATATAGCCTCCGAACAAATCTTTGACATACCTCAGATGAATTATTGACTTCAGATTCCGTGTTTTCCTTAACACCAGCAGCAATTAACAGGGTAGATACGCGAGTCTTTACAGCTTTTTCAGACACTACCGAGCCAGATCTTGAAGAACAAGAGCCGATTTGCGATAGCTTATCCAACTTCTCATCCGCTTCACTGTTGTCACTGTCCCCTGCCAGTGGTGACCGCTTCCCTGATTTCGCGCTAATTGCAAAGGGTTGGGACGATTCGTCGTGATGCCTTTCAGTATCAAAGACTCGTCTTATCATCAACTGGCGATGAACACCTTCGTATTTGGGAGGCGAAGGAGAGGTATGCTTTCGAAAATTTTTCCGTTCCATGCAACAACTGAGAGCGATTCACCTGAGATGATTGAAGCTGGCTTTTCAATAATTCGCACTCTTTCCGGCACTCCGCCAATTGTTGTTCCGCCCGCAACCGAAGTTTTCGCTCTGTCTCCAACTGCTTCTCTAGGCTAGCTTCCGCAACAGAACGCTCTAAAATACGAACAACGATTATCGAACACGTTATTAAATTACTTTTTCGTTGATGCAGAACTGTTTATCAGCAAATATGCCAGCCAATAATTCAAACATACATCTTATTAGCGACAAAGTTGTCGTAGTTATCGGTTTATTTAAATGTTAAAACGCATTCTTACCATTAAAGCTTGTTAAGCCACCGGAACTAGCAGCCATTGCAACGATGGACCCGGCACTGTTCGTCAGCTGACCATGGTCTAAATACACACTGGTGAGATAGATTCACACTACACTATGTCCAAGAATTTTGTAAAAATATTAGCTTAGAAGGGATACAAGTGCCGACGGTTCAACCAAACACCGGACTTCCGGTCTGTCCCCGCCTCTAACACGGCACACCCCTTGCAGCATGCTGAGCATACTGCTTATCGCGCATGTGTTTTTATGTGAATGCCCTATCTAACGCTTTCTGGGAAGTCTTGTCTCCACCTGCGAGGAGAGGTGCGAGCCAGGCCAGCGAAAATGCACAGGAATCCACCACAACGTAGATCTGAAAACCCAAACCAATCCAGACGAAAGTGCATTTTTTTGCGAAAACACGCACTTACCCGTGAAAAACCAGTAACAAGAAATCAGACATCCAAAACGGCAGAATAAAAATCACTGTTCGACGGAAAGGAAATGATCACAGGCGACAGATGATCGTTGAGTTGTAAAAGGGCAAGCGGTGTTTTCGTCGTACGGAATTTGTAACCAGCAATTCTTTTGCGGTGACGCTTTTCAATGGAAATTTTTCGATGACGCGAAGCACTTCAGGGTTCTTGAGAAGATAGTGGCAAACGCAGACGGGAGGACTAAACAGGTGGGGAAGTGGATGTAACTCCGGCATTCACGTATTTGTAGTCGCATTTCATTACTCTCTTTATGTACTATTCTTGCTAACATTTAAGTGTTAACAGAAAATGCAACAATTTAAATAATTTTGCTAATAATAATATTAACAAACAATCAAATAATAACTGAAAATGAATTCGTCTGAACTATCACAAAAGTTAAAAAAGGCAAAGGAAAAGAAAATCATCATCTGCACAAGAAAAGAAAATAAGAATTTACGTAAAAAATCTAAAAACAAGGAAAATGTTATTGGAAAAAGTTCAAATGAAAATATACACACCTTTCGAAATTCAACAGAAAGAAACTGCATGCATAAACGAAGTTTTTCAAAAAAAGAAAAAAATCTTGTCATACGCTAATTTTATCGCAAGCAATCACCGAAACTAAATTACTGCACACAAATTCAAAACACATTGAAAAGAAATGGCAAAACAACAAAAAATCACAAGATTTAGCTGATTTACTAAGACAAAATAAGTTAACGTAAGTAATTGTCGACAGTCGTGTACCGTGTCGAACAGATGCACGGTCGCCAGATATCAGGACCGCCAACGGAGAAGATGCTGATGCTGATTTGAAGACGAAGATGCTGATTTGTGAGGTCACTGAGGTGCAGTGGCCGAACTGCAGATATAGTGCGGTCCATGATGAGATGATGATTTATGAGTTGTAATGGCAGAGTTGCAGGTACCGTTCCAGTCCATCATGTGTACCAACGCATACCACCGCAGCGATGTAGAAGTAGCCAAATTCGCAAGCCAACCTGGCTTGATGGAATCCAGTTTTGGCTGCACCCGCATGCCAACAGTGAACATTTCACCGACCGAACTTTTCGGGCGAAACCTTTCGCCATCACTCGCACTCACGAGCTTGTTTTCTGTCATTCTCTGTCTCATCCCGAGACCTGAGATATCTCTCAGTCGTGTCAAGACAAAGTCCCATTGCTTCGTCTCTACGTTTTTATGGCGCACTGTAACTGCAGCCATTCAGAAGCCTGCTGCCACTCTTTCCTGGCGCAGTTCACAAAATTATCGTCAGACCAACATCCGACGAAATATCACTGATGTATCTCAGACGGTAATCTGATATGTGATACCCTGCCGGAATTTTGAAATTCGAAGAAGAAACTATCACAAAGCCCGCTTGTAGAAAAACTTATCTAAATCGAAACACAAGGAATTCGGCAGACTATTGTCTGTGCTTTCAGGACCATCCACCAAAAGCCACTTCCGAAAAACTTACCACCAGATGTTTGCAGGGGCAGAACAATCGGCGCAACAGGGGGACCTTCAAATATAAATCAAGGTAAGGGCAAAAATTATATAACGCGAAAAAAAATATGCCTGGGGTGTCTCGAGAAAATTGTTTCAATAAATTTTACGGTTTCTTTCAAGCCGAACCAATGAACTATCGATACTACTATTTTACTGTAATACAGAAAAAAACTTACCATTTACGCGTTGAACTACTACGAGATGAATTCCCCACCCCGGTTCAAGAGAAACAACCCCCGCGTGATCCGTTTGACTTTCCATATTCGCCACACTGGCCGATGCTATCGCATCCTGACCACTAACATCAGTCTGAACTGCGTATTCGCGCTGCTGTGTTTTCTGATCCAGTGAGATAAAATCATTGGTCTTGGTAACGGGATTGGTCACAAACACCCCGGATATTCGCCGAAACATATCCGCTAACAAGCGCATATCTTCCGCCCGTGCGGAGCTCACCGGCGCCGACTGCTGACTATGCGGCAACGCGGCCGGTGGTGCATCGGGAATTTCGGGAAAAGGTTCAGACACGTCCATATCGATGTGATCATTCGAATACAAACTGCCGTGCAGAGCTGATGGAGACGGCACATCCGTGCAAATCATGCTCATCCAGCAGTGACCAGCCCCAATATCACCATTAACAACCGAGCACTCTTCGCTGGACGTGCTGCTTGTCTGCGAACTACGACTCTCTGAAGGAGCCGGATGCGGCAGCGTAAGCGCTGACAGCACATCGTGACGCGGTGTTACAAAGGTTTCTCCGCGATTATGACCGTTTCGCCATGAACGGGAGTTATTCCCGGCAGGTGAAGCGTTAAAAGCTTCTACGGCGCCAGGCTTCCTCAGCGATTCCGCTCGTACCTGGCGACTTCCAAAATTCACAGATTTTCGCAGCGGTATCTCGGATATCGCAACAGATGATCTACTGGGTGGAAGAAATGAGTGGTGCATTCGTATGTAGTCATCCGTCCCACTTTCCTGCTTAATGTTAACGGCGTCATCAACGACTGAATCCAAAAAGAAGCAGTCGATATCTTCGGACTTCACAGTAGTCAGATGCTCCGAATCATAACTCCATGTATCCATTGTAGATAATTCTTTGTAAATATAAGGATGAAAATACCAGATTCAATATTTATCCCATTTCAGTTTGACAAAGCTATTATTCGTCAACGGTCACCCTAAAAAACAAAAAATGATTTTAACATTCTGTTTCGATCCTCGATCAAATGCGTGTCACTATCAGATACGATTTTAATACCATTTTAGTGATTTTACATCATAAACCTGCTTCATATAAAAAGCAATCTATTATACGTATTTACGGTGTTACATAATTATTATGAATATCTATATGTGTTACCTTTATCAAGACGATCCATATTCTCGGCAGTTTCCAGGTTAAAGTAGAGACAAACCCATCAGTTCAGATTTCTAGTTGTTACGTTAAATGTTACCATTTGATTTCAAGAAAAATCGGAAGACATGCTAGCTAGAACACAAAAGACTGCACAGCTCAAATTCAATTCATAAACATAACAATCACGCTATAACCCAAATATCCAGTCGAAATGGTAAGACTAACCGTAAGATTTTAAATATTCACCGTTCACGTACCCACAAATCCACAACAAGCAACATAGCTGATTTACAAACTTTTAAGTAGCTATCCCTTATTAGGTCTTAGGCAGTTCAACATAAAAGGTTCACTTCTACAGAACACTTTTCCGTAAGTCTTAGCCAAACTAAGGCCTTGTCCCGAATTCGAAGCGAATCTCGCTATGGTACGGTTGCTCAACCGCACGAGGTGGCTGTATGCAGTGGCCACGCCTACAGATACGGTACGCGAAGCCACCTCGCGAGGTGGAGTTGCTGTATCGCAACGAGATTCGCTTTGAATTCGGGACGAGGCCTAAAATTAATACGAGTTCGTTAAATGTTCTATTTTTTCGCATTCCATCAAACCTATTCTGTACTCTGTAAGCCGTAAGGTCTAAAAAGTAAACAGTGGAGTAACTCGGTGTCGGTGTCGGGTCAGTTCTAAACCTACTCTACTCCAGTAGCTGCCAAGTTGCCAACGTTTTGGCTACGATCCGATGGCGTCATGGTTCACATCACTGTCGGGCTTGCGGCCGCTTGCTACTGTACAGTGTACAGTACAGTACTTATTTGTACAGTGTACAGTACTTATTTGGTAGTACTTGTACGTACAAGGATACTTTAACCAGAGAGGTTAGGGGGCATCCATAAATTACGTACGCAGAAAACCACGATTTTTTCACCCCTCCCTCCCCCTTCGTAGCGGTCCGTCACGTCTGCTTGAGCCCTCCCCCCTGGTTCGTTCAATCGTAATACATGGAGCTGACCACCCCCTCCCCCTGGGTTCGTCGAGGCCGTCACAGCTTGTCACACTTTTTGGACCCCTCCCTCCCTGGTTCGCTGCGTACGTAATTTATGGATCCCCCCTTATACAGTATGGCTAGTAGTGGCTACCTTAATAAGTACATTCTGCATTAACCTTGCACTTTATTAAAATTAATAGCAGTACTAGTCGTATGTCCGTCCGCCTCGATTGCGGCGTTATTACAATGAATCAGGGGCTTTCGCAACAGAAAAATTATTTTCCGTTTAATTTTAATCCAGATTATTATCACTCGTTTCATGTATTGGTGCTAGTATTTGAATAATTTGGCCAGTTTTTTCAATATTTTGACGATTAAACTGCTTAAATCCGGCAGTCCAGTGACCCAGACTCCAGTCGGAGTAAGGTATGGTTAATCAACTGAAGAGGGGGTTGCCATTGAGTTAAAAACAATCTCGTGGGGGGTGCGGCATTTTTATTTACGTGCCCGCGCATGTTTTCTGATTTGTTTTTATTTTCTGCAAGGCATCTCTTCTGGAATTTAACAAGCGCTTTATTGGGTTGAATTGTGTGCGTTCTTGGAGTTTTTCTGCTTTTAGTTAATTAAGCGATTACATGGGAGAACAAAATAGGATGCGCTTCTTATACCTTGCTTGAACTTTCGAGTTTGGAAGATGAGCGCCGCAGGCGAGAACGCGATTAAACGAATCGATGAGGATTCCAGACACCAAATTTCGTCGGGAACAGTCATCGATTCATTGGCAACAGGTAAAGACCGAGTGTTGTTTGTAGGCTCGAGTAGGAAGTTTCGACTTCGCTGACGTACATTTTTTGTGCATTTGTAGCGGTTAAGGAACTGTTGGAAAACAGCCTTGATGCTGAAGCTACTGCAGTTGGTATGTAAACAACAAACAAACGTTACAAATTCAAATGAAAACGTATGAAAAATTAAAATTCTACGGTTAAATTCATTTCCCTGCTGTTTGGTAGAGATTCGGTTAACAGACCATGGCACGGAATGCATCGAGGTATCTGATAATGGCCATGGAATTGCGGAAGAGGATTTTGGTGCACTGGGTAAGAGACAGCTTATCCAAAAAAATCCTGTTATTAAAATTTGGAAAGTTCTGTGCTTAAATAGTTAAATTAAAATATTTTTTTAGCGTTAAAGAGTCATACCTCGAAAATTACGGAGTTTGATGACTTGACTACTGTGGAAAGCTTTGGATTTCGCGGCGAGGCAATCAGTGCTTTGGCAGCCTTGGGGTAAATAATTTGTGCATCGTTATTTGATTCACAAAACCATCCTGGGATGTGCAAACTGTTTAACTTATTTATTATTTTACATTTATCTATAGCTATAAAATTTAAAACAAATTTAATTTTTAAATTAAATTAAATTTTTTTGGGGGAATTGGTATTCTAAAATAATTGCAGGGATCTCAGTGTGCAAACAAAAACCAAAGATATGTCAGGCGCGTATGTCCTGAAATTCAATCGAAAAGGGGAATTGATCGAAAGGAAGCCTGCTACCCGAAATGTGAGTGACTGAGAAATCAGTAGTTAAGCACTTTTTATGTGAAAAACGAATGTCTTATTTCTTCTAGGTGGGCACAACGGTTACAGTGCGACATCTGTTTGCAACGCTTCCGGTACGACGTGATCAATTCGTGCAGAATACGAAAAAGGAGCTCTTGAGACTGACTCGCACTCTAAACAGCTACGGAGTGATCGGCAGCGCCAGACTGTCCTGCGTTGACTTCGTCAGTGGGTAAGTATTCACGCTTGCACAGTACTGTAATTATACCGGTAAACGATTGATTATCTCTTGGTAATTTTTTTGCTATAGGAAAACCATAAATTTGCTTCGCCTGAATGGACGAACTGATATGTTATGCAACATTCGCGAAATATTTCCGGCTGCAACGGTAAAAACGGTGGCAAAAATCGATAGGAAGGACAATAAATATGGCTTACTTATGTGGTAGAATGTGGAATAGCTGATGTCTGTACTTATGCATTGGTAAAACCATAAAAGAGAATTCAGTGGGGAGGTTTACTTTGTCCTAGTTTATTTTTGTTCTTGCCTCAGGCAAATAACTTGGTACCTTTGCGCACCAGCGTGCCCAATCAGGAAATCTTGGATGAATACGGAATTCATGACATGAAAACCATTGAGTCATATGATTTGCAAGGCTGGATATCCAGCGCCAAGCAAGGTGCGAGCCGCAGTTCCAGTGATCAGCAGTTCCTGTATTTCAACAGGAGACCCTGTGAACATCCAAAAGTACTGCATATATCTGGATTCTGTCTTTCGCGAAGGAGCATGAGCATGTGTTCATCCATGAATTTGTTTTTGCAGATCGTGAAACTAATCAACCAAGTTTATCGTGAATACAACACTAAAGAGTATCCCTTTTTCGCTATTAATATCCAACTGGAACGGAAGAAAATCGATATTAATATTGTTCCGAATAAGAATCAAGTGATGGTGGAGGATGAAAAAGTTCTGTTGGCAGTTCTGAAGGTTTGCTTCGTGAAATGCTTGAAAACAGGACTACTTTTGAGAAGTTTGTTTTTTTCACCCCAGGCCTCACTGCGGCAGACTTTCCAAGATCTCCTAGCAAATATTCCTCTGAAAACTCTGCCCGCGAACATGCAAGCAAAGCCCAACGCACTTTCTCAGGCTTCTAATCCAACCAGCCCTGCTCTGCTCGATAAAACTTTTGGTACAAAGAAATTCTTCGAATCATTGCGTTTTGGTACCAAACCAACCGATACCGGAGTCAAGCGTGTGAAAAATCCACTGCATTCTCCACTCGGCTCAAACTCAAAGGGTATTTTAATTACTACTATTTTTTCTTCGAGTTAACTGTCCATATCAGGTTTTTTCTAGCGGTAGTATTTATTCTAATCTAAGCTCACGCGGGGGTCATGAACTGTACAAAAATGTGGAAAATTCTGTAAGCGATCTAGCAGGAATTATTTGGAATATTTTCTGTAAGTAAACTGCTGAAGCGGAAGTCCTTGTGAAAGATATGGGTTCAGATAATTAAAATTATTATTCAGATAATTCAAATTATTTACAATTGCTTGACGGTTTGTCAATTTATTAACTAGGTAACTTTAAGTATTTAGCGTGAGTTCTTTTGTTTTTTATAGCAAAGCGTCCGAAAGAGAACTCTATTGTGGAACAGGCACCGTCTGTCGGATCAAGAATTACCGATTATTTGACCAAATTCCCCGTGATAACTTTGGATCCACCTTTCGCAGAGTCATCTTTTGGATCACAAATCCAGGATACCGTATCAGTTATTGACGAGGCCGAAGTGACACGAAAGAAATTGGGGTTTGGACGTGAAATACAAGAGACGGAATCGGTTATTGGAACGCAGCGCGTAACCAGTCAGCCGATATTCAGTCAGTTTTCCACACCGGCTCCTGCAGACGCGAAAAATTCTGGCAAACAGAAAAGCTTTGGGGAATTTCATCCACTAGGATTTGATTCCGTGAAAACTCCGCGTGCGGAAAGTCCTACCGGTTTTGGATGTTTTCGTTTCCCTGCCTTGGGGAATTCTCGCTCTGGAAATGCTGCGCTGCCGCTGCGAACCACCACGGGATCTAGTGAGGAAGTGGTTGTCGACGGATCGGGTATAAGACTCACTATAAAACATCCAAAAATTCCCGATGGTTTTACTACTGCCTTGGATGAAATGCGGAAACGTGAAATTGAAGGTACTTAATATTGATTAGCAACATTACATAAGTGCTATTAGCTCCCCTGTGGCTCAAGTTCTGTAAATTTTAACCTTTACGAATGCAAATAACGATGATGCGATTAACTGCATACGTGGATACCTACCGGGTTTGAGTTGTTAGATCCATTGTTTCAGTGTGGATATGCTGTACGAAATTGGTTAAGACGACAGGAAACGGTTCTCACTGGCTACTTTTTTGTGCTGTAGGAGTTCCCCCTGAAATCGACGCAGTTGAAGCGCAACTGAAAGAAGACTTGGAGGCACTGGAGGCCGAAGTAACCCAAGAAGTGCTCGCCGACACAACGTCTGTTGACCTTTCAACAAACATTAACAGTAGCCTAAATGAAGATGCTGATATCTCACGTGTTACCACTGAAATTAAGGTGAAACCAAAGTATTATTTCATTCGCAGCATTCAGTATCTTTTCAAAAACCTGCGTGGATTTTAGACGGGTGCCGTTATGGAGACTATCGACGAAGACTTGCAGAATAATTATCAGCGATCAGGTACGTTAAACGGATTGAAGACCGCACTATTCTAAGGTAAAACTATGGAAAAAATGAAACGGTTTGTGTCTAATCAGCGAATACATTTTAACTGTTGGTTACAGAAATTGTCAGCGTTACGCGCAATAAGGTCTTTGAGCCTTCGGTCAACAGTTCTGCAGTGATAAATTGTAATGATCTCGCTGTGACAAGCGATTGCGTGCTGGATAGCTCCAGTTTGGTGCGGAAACGCGTGAGTAGCAAGAAGCCAGCAAGTCCTGGAAAAGCTGTTGATCACGAGACTGACAGGGACAAGCCCATCGGCACGGTAAGCAGTCACTAAGCACCAAGTTATCCGAATGCTTTTTTAGCCGACCACCGCCGGGTATCGATGTGTTTATACAGATCCCTGGGAAGCGGTCCGCCGTTCCCATTCCATCGTCTCACCTGTCACTGGAACGCATTCAAGCTAGCCGTATTAAGGGTAATTATAGCTCACCTTTGCCCCCGGGTATTCACTTGCCATTGATTACAATTTACAGGGAAACGCAATTTTAATACCTTTTTATTTAGCGGGAGGAGATCGGAGCCGATCGATACAAAATGCGGAGGCTGGTCACTTTCGGGCCGGCATTGTGCCCACACAGAATGAAACCGCTGAGGGGGAACTGCAGAGAAATATAAAGAAAAGCGATTTTCAGAGAATGGAAATCATCGGACAGGCAAGTGTGTCTTTTGTTTACAAAATGAAAAACAGGATGATGAACAGAATGACTGCTTTAGTTTAACGATGGGTTCATCATTGTTCGTCTGGATTTGGATGTGTTCATCATTGATCAGCACGCTTCCGACGAACGCTATAATTATGAGAAGCTTCAACAGAATTACACGGTTGACAGCCAAAGAATGGTTTGGTAAGAGCATAATTTAACAAATAAGAATTGTAAACACTGGTGCTAAGACTGTTGCATCTTTTGAACAGATCTCTTAGTTTTTGTGAAAATTGAACGAGAATGATTCACAGGTGTTTCGAGGTTTGGTTTTCCCCGCTATCGTTATGACCCGAAACAAAAACTAAACATTTGCACTCTTAGCCAGCGTATCATACAGAAAAATTTTTTGATTGAGTTTTCCCTTCTTAGCGGCAGCCAAATTTAGTAAACTTTTGCGGATACATTGTATCCCCATTTGTGATGTATTAGCGCGATATAAACTTATCCAACAGGCAGTTGAACAACTTATGGCACATTGTGCCGTTAGAAACGCCATATCTAAACGGGAAAGGTTTATGTGCCTTTTTCCCTAATAAAAGTTGAATTACTGTGTGAATTTTATTTCCATGAAATCTATTAATCTTCATTACGAATGCTTTCCGAAATTTGGGTCTTGGCTTACCATTTGCTATTGCACTTTACTTAGTGTGTGTGATGACTCGTGAAAGCTCCATTAACTTAACCGGAAATATGATCTATGGGTTTGCCTACTGACAATATGACATCTGTTTGATTTAGTGCAGACTAATATTTTTGAATTTAGTGGGATGCATATTTAGGATATCCGATGAAAAATTGGTCAAACAAAATATGCACACTGGAGTATTGTACTCTTATCATTTCCTGTGTACCACAGTGGTGTGGGACGCGGCCGGGTGTTGTGGCTTTCGGTTTGCGAATCGATATGGCATTGTGCCGGCATTCCCTTTTCGGTGTTCCGGCTTTTACCCCTTGTCCTGATCACTTCCGTGTTACAAAATTTATCAATATGCGTGACGGATATTTATACGTTTGCCGCTTTGTTAGTTCACGCTACATTTTGTGTAGTTCGTTTTCTCATGCCACGCGATCTCCTGATTCGGGTGATTTACACTGGTACTTCTTTTATTATACCACCAGGGAAAGGTTAGGGAACACCGGTTGGTTAATCGAGAAAACGGATATTTCGAGAAGTCTCGAAGAAGTCTCGTTTTAGCCTTTTAGGACGAATAAGTTTGGCGAAGTAGTATACGCTTTGTGACGGTGGACTGACAATGACAAAGATTCTTGAGTGTTTGCAATAATATGCAATTTACAGTTTGATATTATAGTACTTATTAACCGTATTGGCAGGGTACACATACAGTTGAGATGCGATGCAATGCTTGACGGTTACAGTGCATTAAGTAAGTACACAAATACGAATTTACTGTAGGCGGTTGCATATTTTGAGACAGCCGAATTTTTCCCATATGTTTTTTTATAAATATCTTGCGGAGAAACCGCGTAAAATGGACTGTGATATAACCCCCAATCCCCCCACCAATCCGCCGTCGCCGAACATAAAATGCGAACGGATATGTTTTTCAGACCGTTGCACATGGCTTGTTTAGAACGGTAGCAACTGAAACAAAAGAGGAGAGATCACCACCGCATGATGATAATTATACAAATGTAGTCGGAAATTAAGCACGAAGTTGATAAGTATTGCATTTAAGCGGTGCTGTGTTTTGTGAATTACGGGAAATGGAAATTCAGCGTAGTTACTGTCAGGTGTGCGGTGGCATGTGATATCGTGTTTAATGATTATTTTTATCAGTCCATAAACTGAGTTGTCCGAATCAGTCCGATTCTCTGTTTTTTCTCGCATGGAGTTCCGCTGCAGGCTTCTTAGCGTACTTGTGAATTAAGTTTTTTGGACTTTGGCTTCGTATGTGTGAAATCGAAATTATTGACCTAATCTTTTGCATTGCACGTGTCCTGATTCTGGCGATATGTTTTCGCGTTTCGACACTGACAGGAAACGGGCTGTGGAAATATGAGGATCACTTGGCATAGACACCGGTAGTCATCAATGATTAAATATAGCCTGTGACGTTCAGCAATTATTGATTGTTTGATCAGCTTAATCATGCCTGGCTGCATTACGGGAAGTGAAGTAGCAAGTGTGAAAAACAAACTGAATTACTTATTACGTAAATGTGATCACGGCCTGCCGCGTTCAAATAGGTACAAACAACAAGCAGAATCACACGTTGTCCTTTTCGGTTTCATTGACGCTGCTGTACATGTGTAGCTTTTTACAGTAGTTCGAATTGCGTGCGCAATTTAAATCTGAGTCAATAAAAGTATATGAAAATTGTTTAGAAAAACATCTGGAAGTGGTTATCGCGGAAAGCAGGTTGAAGTAAAAAAGAAAGGGGTGTTCTACGTTTTAGCTGGTAAATTGAACAGCGCATTAGCATCGTAGGGTAAATTTTTAAACGGTGATCCATCAGCATTCCATCCAGTTTTGAGAGTTTCGGCTAGGTGTACCTGATCACTAGTAGGTTTTCCCTGAGCCTTAGCCTGCTGATCATGGATCATTTTTCTCACCAGTTGCTGTTCGTCAGTTTTCATATCCTGGAAGGAAACTTCCGCGTTGATATGTTCGAGGTCAATTTTTCCTTGTCCCTCAATCAAACAGTTCCACCATTCTTCCGTAATTTTCTCCAGCGTCATTTGAATGTACTCCGCCGGTACAAGTATCCACATCGATTCCGCTGAATTTATTGGGCGATGAAACGGGCCTTCCAGAAGAATATCGCCGGTATCCTTCACAGAAATGCGCACATGTGTGCCTGTCAGCTCCACATTCAGCTGTTTAGACTTTGTGACAGATTTGGGAACGTGAATCTTCACATCAAGATCATGCAGGGTCTGGTTCCAGGAGTATTTGTCATGTACGGCTCCATTGCCGGGGTCATCGGCATGTTGGGCCGTTATGGTGGGAATAGAGCGGGTTTCGCCGGTCTCGGGGGATGTCACACCGTGTTCAGTGTGAATTTTGATGGTTGGATTGGCGGCTGGCGGTGCAGAAGAACTGGGAGATTTTTCCCGATGCGCCATGCGATCGTAACGTTGAAAAGAGTTTTTTACCAAATTCTCCGCGGTACCCGGTAGAAATCCGCTTTTGCCGTCCGGCGACAGGGAATGAAAGAAATCGGTTTTCCGGTATAGGAATCCAAAAATAACGTCCAAAAACGGCGCTATTTGACCTTCGTTATTCAGAATACCAGATAGAGTTTCATCATACAATGCCAGCTTTCCGTGGGACATGGCCTGTTATAAGAATATTCGGGAAGTACGAGTATACTTCAATGGCCACTAATGAAAAGTTGGGCGGAAAGTTAGCGTGGCACCGACTTATCCCAAATTTCCTGGGCGCATGTGTTCAGTCTTGAGGCAGTAGACAGGGATGATTACTTCAGCAGTGTATGGAGGACAATTTGATTAATCTTACACAAATGGTCGGCTGCGGCTGTGGAAGAGGGAACGGTTATCCGGTTGTTATTTTGACATTACTGACAGAGCAATGTTTGAATGCAACTCCGCATGGGCGCCTGTGAATTGGGCAGTTGAGTAATCAAGAAACACTATGAAACCAAGCGAACAACTTCGTTAAAGAATACTTGTCGGAAATGCTCAAATTATCCTGGCCAGAATTAATCTGACAGGGCGCACAACACAGCACATATGTGCCGGCGAAATTAAACGCGGCTCAAGTGCTATTCTTTGAGCGGAAAATGGATGCATGTGCTGAAGATTGATCGGTGGTGTCGTCCTTTCGCTGCCCCGTTGTGTAAAAGTTATGTACGATGCGAGTGTGTGTACTAAAATATATCATCCATCAGTCAGTGGCTTTTAACAGCATCCGCCAAAAATATCGCTGACACGGTCTGAGCCCGCGGATAGGGTTTTTAGCGGGTTATGGATTCGACACTGGTTCGGAGTCAATAGGCAGAGTTGGCATCCCTCGCCTCCGCAGTGGTTGTCCTTCTGCAGCTGTAAGGGAAATAGGATGGCTTGAGCCTTGAGGGGCGTTTTACCAACATCGCAGCTATGTATTTACACTTTCGGTTACAGGAGAGTGTACGTCGCCTGCCAAAAAACTTATCACAGCGTATAATATATCGCACAGAAAATCCACCTTATTCTTTTTGGGCGAATACCATACTTTTATAAACTGTTACGAGTACTCGTATGGCCTATACGTCAAGGGGTCCAGAACCGACTCGGACCTGCTTTTTAATTTTAAGTACTCACTTTAATTATGATGGGCTTATTTATGGCGAGTGCCTGGTGTCATAAATGTGACTGTGTGAATGTTGCCAACCCTCGATGCGCTGCATCTGCTGCGTTTCAGATTTAAAATCCTATAAAGTGCATGATTATTTGATAGCGAGATGATAAATATTGCATGACCAGATCGACAGAGTATCCTACATTGCTGAAAATTTGAATTAAATTATGGTTACTGAACTTGTACATTTGTTTGCATTGGGATTGGGCAAAGAGTTGCACGCAGTGCACTGTGTCAGATAATACCAGTGACAGATATTTTTAGAGTGGCTTAACAATTTCGAATAAGCTGGCTGTTTAAAATTGTTTGTTCACACACATGTTGTAAAAACTACAGACTGATTGCCAATATGATTTAGCTGGTGAAAATTTAGAAGATGTGAATCAAATCATCGTAACTACAAATATAATAATCGTAAAACGAGCGTGGTATTTTACTCATCTTCAGCTGTATGGTCGAATTCTCATTTGTTTGTGTTCTACCAGGGTTGTCACGCGGTAAGCGAATTGTGAGACTTACCTCCACCAGTGGTAATCCTGCGCTTACTTGACGATAGGAAATCCGTAGAAGATGTCTATCACCAGCGATTAAAGATGGCCTTGCTTATTCAAAACGCCCGCTCACAGTCAGAAGTGTCTTGTGCTACGGTAGATTTAAATTTAGTGTTGGTTAAAAGTTTTTGGGAAGGAAAGTTTTTAGATTGCTTAGAAACGCTTGTACCTGAAACTGATAAAGTACCGTACATACGTGCAGTAGTTGATAATCATTCAGTCAGTTTCATCGAGTTAATATGGAACCAGAATGTTACAGCGACTCTTTAAATGAATTTAATTTTCTTCGGGTAATGAAGAGAAACAAAGTGATAGAGCTGATGAAATAATAAAACAATTTGACGTACTGTAGTTAACATATATTTTTACGAGCAGCATTTACTCGGCGGCGAATCGGCGCTTGTGCCGGCTTATGCCCGGCTACCAGTGCGCGCGCAGATAAAGGGCGCCAGCATCTGGGTTCCTTTACGTTTGCTATACCCAAAAGCTACGAGTAGAGAAATTTGTGTTGAAGGCTATAGGTGAATGATCGTCCTGTGGTCAACTTATTCCACATTAAGTACTTAATAATCCGACATTGATTGCCGGTTAAATTCATGGTCAACTGGTGATTTGCGATAAAACTTCTTCTTAACTAATGCTTTAGAAAAATGAGTTGGTATTACTAGAAATGGATAAACTTAACTGGTTAAGAAATGTGTTCAGCGTGTTTATTAGGTTGGCATATTCAAAACCCCTGTTTCGATTGTTTTACTGTTAAGAAATTGTTTGATGTCGTGTATGGCTTAGCGATTGCGTTAGATATAATGTCTGTGGACTGTGAGTCATTGAAAATGATATAATTTATAAAAAAGCGGAAAGTTGTTGCTATTTTTAAAGCAATTGTGTACTATATTGCAGTTATTATTAATTGTGATAATGCTGTGACTATGCACGGCGTTTATTTTAGTTCGCTCCCGTTGGATCTGAACCCTACTGAAGAGGCCATCCTGCTCGAAAACAGACACGTATTTCAGCAGAGCGGGTTTGATTTCATAGTTAATCCCGGTTAGTCAGTTAATAAGAATATATCAACAAGATTTTCGTAAGACGCGTTGCTGGGAATTAGCGCGTAATTATATGGATTCCGGAATGCAGTCTGAGTAGGAGTACATTATTACGCAGCGTCTTTTATACTTTTGTGTATGTTCCAGATGCTACCACGAAAAGAGTATCTTTGTGCGCGGTTCCCATCAGTCACAACATGACCTTTGGCAAAGAAGGTAGGTTGTCAACATTTAATTAAAATGGAAAATTGACAGCACATTTACATAATAGTTGTTAAAACGAAGTTATATGGGAAAAGCTGCCTTAATTTGTGTCGCTTTTAGACGTAATGGAGATGCTGCATTTATTAGAGGATGCACAGGTACTTAAAAGCTGAATTGGTAGTGGCTTAAATGCCCGCTGAACTGTTAAACATTTTATATGTTAATTGGAGGGTAATAAATCAGGCTTGTTGTGCATATTTGCTGAACTACTAAATGAATTTAGCGGCTAATGTGCTTTAACATGTCTACGTTGTAATGACATGGAAACTCCATAATTTTGACAATTAGATACTTCACTGTATTTTGTTTGAAGGGAATCAATGTTAGACCAACACGACTCCTGCAGCTCCTAGCCAGCAAAGCGTGCCGCAAATCTGTTATGATTGGCAAGCCACTAAATTCCTTTGAAATGAAAACAGTAAGATACGATCGAGAATTCCCAAGTCACTTTTACAAGCGCACTCATTAATTATTTGTTCTGCAAATGGTGCATTACGTTGTAGATTGTTTCTCACATGGCAGACCTCAAGGAACCATGGGTAAGAGATCGAAAGGTCGGTCTTTCAAATGATCGGTACGTTAAGATTGCTCACTTTTAGAGATGTGCTCATGGACGACCGACGATGCGGCATCTGTTCAACATCGACGACTTGGAGAATTTAGGAAAGAATATGTAATTCGACCTTCGCGATGGTCAATTTCTCGAGTTGCATTCTAGTGGTACGAGTTTTATAAGTTGTGCCGCTTATCGGTGCCGAACCCACTCAGTTTCTTTTGGAGATTTTCGAAGGTTGTGCAGAACAACACCCTTGTAAGTTGTAAATTTGGGAAGAGTCCTTTGCGGCTGCGGTGGATACTTGGTTAATTGATTTTATTTATTTCCTGATTAGTGATTCCGAAATCGTTTATGGACAAAGCTCCTTACTTTGTGATTTTTATTGCGTTAAATTGTTACTTGTTGATTTCATTGTTGTGATAGAAGGAAGGAGAGGTGAATAAACTGAACGCTTATCGAGGAGCTGGAGAAGGCAGTATAATAGTGAAACAGTGGCATTGATATTTCCTTAAAAATAAGATGAGAACGTTGTACTATGCGCTCCTTTTCGAAATCGTGAAGACTGAAAACTAATAGCTTGTTTGCATTATGTAACATGGTGTTTCCCCTGAAAGCGATAGCGCCATCTTTTCGGCGGTCATTATATTTTATGAAATGCATGAGTTTTACGAATGCCAGTGAATATGGTTTTATATTTATTGTATTATGGGATCCCGCTGTTTATACAGATATTATGTTATCATATGTACACGCCTTCACGCTTGGCAGTCGTATTGTATCCCTACAAAAGGTGCCTAGTATAGCCTATTATGCCATATGCTCAATGCAACATCGCAATTCCCAACAATTTTTTTTACGCGATTAAGTAGTGCAAATGACTAGAACATGTATAGATTTGAATTTTCTGTAAAAAATTTGTTTTAACGTTAGGGAAAATTGGAGAGTTTCTCGACAGAAACTTTTAAGTCGATGCTGCTTTTCTCTTTTCCGACGAAAATAGGGGTCAGCTTTTCATATTGCTGGTGTCGTCCTACAATACAACATCATTGCGCACAGATGTCAACGCCAAAACTTCTCTTACAATTAGGAAATTACCCTTCGGGCGATGGGATAATAAAGGAACGAATAATAACCGCATAAATTACTAAGCGGCACCGAATATCCTTTAGAATTTAAAATACACCGTAGTTCATAGTAAACTTGAAGCCATGTGGACTTTTAACCTTAAGGATTGTATTTCGACAAGTGTTTTCTCGGTATTTTTCCTCTACTTCGAGAACCGACCAAAAGTGCGATTAATTTACTTACGGTAGTATTGCACCGGTTTGCACGTGATGCACTATGAAACAAACCTACTGAAACAACGCCTGAACTGGTTTGCGATTCTCTCTTACCAGTTAATTGTGGAGTCACGAAACACGAAGGGTTCGTCATCGTCTCACCGATTGTTAACTGACCGGAAGCTGGACCGATCCCAGATTTCACGTGGGTGTGAAAATAGGAAATTGTAAAGAGCGCTGCGGCCGTATCGACCATTGACAGCGCGCGAGGGCGGGTTTACGTAACTAGTTAGGATGCCGCTGTGGTTTGTCTATGGTGCCATAATTCACACAAATTGCCAATTATTCCTTGACATTTTTTATGCGCTTGCAGTGGGCCATTTGAATTCTCTTTGAATAAGTAACGTTTTTTTTTCCTTTTTCCATTGTTTTTACTGGTGAACAGACTGCAAGCTGATGCTGCCTAAACAGTATAAAAGGAGTCAATTTCTCATCGCGGAAAATCGGCAAGCGAGCTCGATATAACGAGGCGCACTTTTTACGCTTCCGGTACTTGTACTGTTGCAGCGTACCGCATCGTTCTTCTGTTTTTGTTTGGCATTGGATCATGAAATTCAATTTCCAGTAGACGTACCGGTTAATTAATTGCTCTGCTTGATCATGATTCATATGTTTTCCTTTGCGTGAGTTTATTTTTATGTTAATATTTTGTTTTTATGGACTTCTTAATGATTTCAGAAATGGGACCTTTTATGATATGTGTGATCTCGTGATTCTTCCCAAAGAATGTGCGCTGGTAAATTGTACACGATATTATTATCATCACTGCAGTGGGCAGAATTTGTTGCTCCATTGCTGCTGATCTGAATCTCGTGATCATATAAATCTACCAAGTATTTTGGTGTGGAGTTGCGATGCCTAAGGAGCTGTTAACACTGCAGTGTGGCCATTATGCGAATTTTGTGGGGACTCATTTCTGGAACTTGCAGGTACTAGTTGCACTGCCAGAACGCGCAGCTGACATTCGCGCAGGCAGTGGCTGTGTGTTTTCTACATTTCTCATCACAGGAAGCTGGATTCTCCTACAATCCTCAACAGCCAACAAGCAAGGAGATAGATGTCGGTGTTTTGCACCGCGAGGGTGAAACGTTACGGGTGAGTATTTGTGAAAATGGATGGCAGGCTAAGGAATGCCCTGTTGCATTTGCATTATGCATGCGTTTGCAGGGCGAACCGACATTTACGCCTCGTTTGGTGCTGTGCGATCTCAAAGGTAGCCTGAACAGTTTGCAGGCAAATGGGGGATTGTATGATGATGGATATCACGAGAAAACCAATTCGGAATCTTTGTCTTGGTAATTCGGAATCGGTTGATTTTGTATCGATGCTTGAATTGCTTGTATAATTTACGTGGGTTCTGTTATGCGTTGTTAGGAATGGGCCGGTGACAGCATTGAAAATTAATGATGTGAAACCCAATAAATATATTGAAGAAGTCCGGAAACTCCAGGTAATACCGCAGTTATTGAGATCATCAATTACACTTTAATTTTATTTATGACTTACGCTGGTATTTCTCTCTACTTACCCATTTGATTGCGGATTTGTTTATTTATTCATGTTGACATGCTGCATAGGTTTGTGTATTTTGCATGATTGTTGTGTTATGGGTTAGAATCTGTTTCAGTTAAAAATCTTTTAACATTACAAAATAATTATCGGATATTGTTAAGTCGTTTCACGCCACATTTGGGCACTGTGATAATTTAGTGATAATACTTTTTTTTTCTGGTATTTCCTTTAAGAAATCATGATTACTTTGATCAATTTAGTAACAATACTTTTTTCCACAGAATGCTGACTGTACGATAATTAAAACTGAGAAATTCTAAATTTTCGGCTTTTAGTAGCATTACAAATAGTTACACAATTGTTTTGCTCAAATTTTGAATATTTTAAGCACTTGCTGGACGATATTACATTTTAGCAGTGGAATAGTAAAGATAGTACGAATACTTACAGAATTTCGGTAAATTAGATGAAAGTGGTCAACAACTACGGTAATTGTGGCATTAATATTATGGAAATGCAAATTTTAATTGCCGCTTACTGGGGGAATTTTTTATGTCACTGTTTGTCATGTGTGAAATGAGAAGTTTAATGAATAATTACTGTTCTTTTAGAAAGCCGTCCCAGTGGTGGAGAATGAAATTCCCAAACGTCCCCGTCAAGCCGACTACCAGCTGGAGGAAAGTGTGAGCACATGGAGCGATTTCCTGGGAGTTCTGCTGCATCCCCGGTCCATAGTGTCCCTGAAAAACTACTGGCTCGAGTAAATTCTGCACTTAGACTCTGTGAGTCTTGATTTCGCATTACTCTCTGGTAATTTCATTTTTTTCTCCCCGGCCCAGTGATGCGCCGTCATTCGAATTATACGGTCTGGGATTAGAAGAGTATAAGCAGGCCGCGGTACGGGAACCACTGGAGAATAGCATACGCTATTTCGTGGAGGAATCCGACAATCTACAGGGCTTCCAGCTCTTATTGGATGCTGATGATGGATTTAGTGGATTTACGGCAGCGCTCCTTGATCATCTGGCCGATGATTACCAGTCTAAACCCATACTGATGTATCCTCTCATCCCGACACCGGTGCTCCCGGCTGAAATTGTGAGGAGAAGCGATGTTTTTCTTCTCCTACAGTCTGGATAATCAATCCGACCTCTGATATTGTAATGAAATCGTTTTTCTCACAGGATCCGCGGAAGGATTTTTATAGATTATTCAATTTGGCCTTGACTCTCGCCGGTTCTTCCGATGATAACAATTCCCACTGTCTCTCCGTGCCCTTGAGCGTCACTGCCAAGCTCACCCGACCAAAACAGTACTTGGATCAATTGCCTTACGTCCGGTTTCAGGTGAGAAGCGCTTTCGGAGTCGCCGCTTTTGGAGTAGAGCTGAATGCAGTCCATTTGAATACATTCTTGGTACTATTTTTGTAGCCCATTGCATATCATACGAGTGCCATTCTGGCCGGTGCAGTGGATTCGATTAGCGTGCTCAGTCGCCTTTCATCGGATGAACTGGTCCCACTACGGGATATTATCAGTGCCACTACCATCCATCAGCGCAAGGTGGGGAGAAATATTTCATTGATCTTGTTCCTTGACATATGATCCGATCATATTTGGTTATGTAAACATTTGATGCGCAGAAAAATGGTGTGCAAGAAAAAATCTGTGCATAAATTGCGATGTTGTGATCGCAATTGATTCCGCTTCCTGTGCAGGGTTTTCTTTGCGCTTTCCCGTTAATCGAAATTTCCGTTTACCGTATCGATCTAAATGTTACCAATTATTACATCATTGTCAGATTAGATGGCTTTGAATGTTTTTTTTGCTTGCTCTCGTGGCTGCTTCGTTAGCCGTTTAAGTGGAAGAAATCAGTTCCGTCTGAGTACGAAAGCACGTCAGCCTGATTTACACGGACCGGCATGATAAGTATGCTACAGAGGACGACTATAAATCTTTCCTGCAGTTTTCCTAGTTGAAAACCGTCCGCAATAAATCAAAGCTTTCATAGCCAGACTTTTTGTTCAGGTTGCTGCCATGTCGACCATGATACCGTTTCCTCTGCGCGCCACGGATTCCTTGTTCAGTTCATTAAAAGCCATCGATGCAGAGTATCTTCCGGTTAGTTCACTGACTCCCCATGTCACTACACCACTGATCGATTCGCAAAATCGATGCTACTCCCAAGTGATGAGTCTACGTGGAATCCCTCAAGAACGCTGGAAATGGTAAGAATCATTTCCGACATGAGCGCGGTTTTTTCTCCCTCCTATGCTGTTTAACCAGCATGTACGAGAGAGAACATTATTGACTAAGTTTCTCTTATTCCATTGACGGCCAGCTCTACAGAGGAAATCCAGTATCATCGACTCAGCTACGAAGTGGCCAGTATGCCGGCATCACGGCTGCTGGAGAATTTTATGCAGTCGTATTGTCCCAATACGTTCGGGTGAGTAGAACTGGCAGGAAAAGTGTGAGCGTCTTTTTATCAAGATGCTGCTGCTCGTCATTGCTCCGTTAGCGTCTGTCTGATACCCATTAAGATGGAAGTGGGGGCATGTTTGTAGGGTTGGTCGCGTAATGGAATTCCCCTGCCACACAAGAGTGCCTTTTCCGCAGTTTTTCTCCAGCGAAGTTTCAGAAAATGGCTTCCTCCAAAGTAATCATAAAAGACTGGAAGGTAATTTTTATTCATTACGATTATTAATGGGCTTGCATTTTGAGCGCCAGTTCGACTTTTTATAACAGAATCTGATTATTGAGTCGTCAAACAGCACCTCAGTTATCGGAGATGGAATCCAGCATGAAAACTTAAACCCCAGTTACATGAAGATTCTCGTTAATTCGCTTTTCGTCTTACTGTCAGTTATGCATAGTTACAACCTAAAATAATCGACCATTATCCCAGGAGCACTTGTTGACTGTATTTACTTTGTATTAGTGCTTTAGGAATGCACTGAGATTTTTGCAGATGTACAAAAATTGCCCATATTTGCGGGAATCCATTCCACAGACAAGGTGACGGATCTCCTAACGGAATTAAAAGATGCATGTAGCAAAGAAAATATGGCAAAATACTTCAAGGTGGTGGATTCTGGATTGGAATGTGATGAATTTAAAGAGTCTTTCGAGAGACTAGAATCTTTGTCTGGAAGATATCGTGAATGTTGATAGATTTCTGTCAATAATACTGCAGGAGTATTTTGTGAATGAATACGAGCACAGTTGAAATTTTATTCTTTTATTGCATACGTAAAGTCAAATTATGCCGAAAGAAAATACATTTTATAGTATGGTAAAGAATATGCATTAAATGCCATTAGTGCGCCAAAAAATTTAAATTCGCCCAAAACCGACTGATTTCAACCGTACACCCCTTATTCCTGACTGAAATAACGTACGACTACGTAACCTAAATTAACCTAATGCGCACTGCACAGTGTATACATTAAAAAACTTCATTTTTTCTGCTAACTACACAGGCCGGGCTGCTCGTACAACGGTACTAGTACAAGTACCAATACTACCATTGTGTCGTGAGGTAAACATTAATCAGTACCTCTTACCTCTACTTCAATTATTGCTGCAATGCCAATCTTTCCCATTTATTAACAAAAACTGAATTATAACAAAACATGAGCCGCTTTTTCAAACATTACAAAACACGTGAGCTGCAAACGAGCTGGCCATTATTAACCATCAAAAATTTTATTATGGCTTAGTACTGGCTATAAGGAATCAGCGACAAAAATGTATGCGCTTGTCAGCTTGTATAACACAAATAATACGATAGATACAAAAATAATATCAAACGAATTTTCGCCTTGTACCAAGGCCCAAAAAATCTCGCCACGCTCTAATCCGAATCGTCGCTACTACTACTACTGTCGCTCTCCAGTCCCGGCATTTCCATGTCTCCGGGATCCAGATCGTCCGCGTCCGACTCCTCCGAATCAGGACTATCCGTGTCCACCCAGGAATCGTTCATCGATGAATGCATATCAATATCGCTGTCCTCCGTGGCGGCGGCATTCGGCGGGGATTGGCTGGACGTCCCGCTGTCACGGGGGAACCGTTGGCTCATGAATTCTACAGCATAATCGCTGAAAGATGGAGTGCGAATAGGCCAGCAGACATCCAAGAGATCCTTGTCCAGATCAGGCACGTGTGGATGCAGCCGGAGAGGTACATGGTTCTCGGGTACTGAAAGCACGTTGTGCACTGGCTGCTGTAAAGGGAGAAGGAACGAGGATTTATTGAGGGCAAGTCGTCGCAAAGAGAGATCGAAGTATTCGGAACATTGTCGATTTTCGTCATAGTTTGCTGCGGAGGGTTTTCAGCTGCCATTGATGCGTCTTCCAGCTCTTGCTCCATTCCGTACAGATTTAAGGCCGGCTTACCAGCTGGTCTTTGGGTTTTTACAAACGTTTTAAGCAGCAGTTATTAATTATGTAAAACTTGGGAACATATTCATAGAGCGTTACAGTAACACTTGTAGCTTCACTATAGGAAAATTCATTGCGAAGTACAATAAACAGCTGATCTAGTGATCTGATGATTTGCAGTTTGTTGGGAAACTTTAAACTAGCCGATCTCGCTATTCCTGTTCTGTCGCAATTGCAACCAGCTGGTATGACGTTCACTTTACAAAATTCGGCTTCACTGCCTGAAATGTGCGAAGGAATTTCGTAATCGGCCAGAAATCGATCGCAAGGCAGATTATTTTATTAATTTTTCTTTTGCAGAACGTTAATGGTCGTTTTTATTTATGATTAATTTGTTTCCAGATAATCTTGGTCAAGATATTTAACTTATTTCACGTTGGGTGTTTTTAAATTGGTGATAAATGATACCAGTTTACTTCGATTTGTGTTGAACTGCATTACTGCTGCTGTCTGTCGAAGGTGGTACTACGCTGTGCGCATACCATTTGAAGCATCGCGATGACGAGCTTGCGGATGTGTGCTTCGCGGCTAGTGGCCGCCGGTGTACTGGTGCAAACCTGGAAATCCCCTCGACCGACGAGTGTCTCGCTCTCCTACTTCCCCAAGCTGGACCTTGTAGACTATTACAGGAAAATGGGCTACCTAGCCAAATACTTCCGCCGATGTATTGTGCGACGCAGGTGCGATAACTCAGCGATAATCCGCGAGATTCATCCCAGTGCGACTTGTCACATGGTTTTATGATTTCGATTCCTTAGACGCGTTCGTATGCCAGCGGTCGTGGATTCTTCGGACAAATTGTTGAGAATATCCGGCAGGAGTTTTCAAAAAATAAGGAAATGAAGGTTGGTGGAGAACCTGGAGTATGCTGTATCCTGACATAAATGATAGACCCGTATTTTGTTTGCCCACTCCAGGAGAGTTTGAAAAAGTTTCGCGAAGAGGCTGAAAAGCTCGAGCAGTCCGACGCGCTACAACAAGCCCGAAAAAAATTTGTGAGCAGCACCAGTTTTACTTGGAACTGCATTTTGTTTATTTGTATTATTCTTCATTTTTAGCAAGCCATCGAAGCAGAGACAAGTAAAGGTTCGGAAACACTGAAGAAAACTTTTGTCGGACTAAAAGACAAATTGAGCGAGGTTCGAATTCAGCAACAGCGCCAACAAGATAATTTGTGTAATTTTTTTTATTGCTATCGCAGACATTGGAGGAGGTTCAGAAAACCGAACTTGGCAAAAAAGCCGGTGAACTGTCCGGGAAATTCGCCCAACATGCTAAGGATGCCGCGGAAACAGTGGCGAAATCCGGAGAACAACTGGGCGGAGCGAATGCTGTAAAAAGGATCTCAAAGGTGCAAAAATTCTGATAACTGCATGAAATTTGCATTTTCCATCTACATGGATCGTACAGTTTATTTTTTCTATTCAGATAACCTTTTTAATATTTTTTTCTCTAGTAAAGTGTAAACTGTAATTTAAAACATTTTGGCTGCTGTTGTGTATTTAACACGTTTTTAAAACACCTTTTAAAGATTAGTTTTAATTATTATTGTATTAGTCATTTTCATATTCTGTTTTTTATTTTTTTAAGTCGACGCAGAATGCAGATACATAGATGGAGGAACCGTTTAGAGCCAACTTTGCCAGCGTAGTGTGCCATGTTAGACAGAGTTGTGTTTTAGGGAGTACAAGAAATCACCACAGAACTGGAACAGAATAGTATGGCCCGGCCTTACAAATCTCCTGCCGCTTTACGAAAGCGTGCTGATTTTGCTGTGATGCCGGGAGCTGGTGCAACAGCCGAGCCCAATAAAGTTTACGATGCCAACACGGAAGCGACGGGGATGGAAATACACAAGGATTCCAAGTGGTTTCAGAGCTGGGAAAGCTTTAAGAACGACAACGCCTACGTGCACAAACTGTTCGAGTATAAGATGAAGTACGACGAAAGTGAAAATCCCATTGTAAGAGCATCGAGGGCTGTCACCGATAAAGTTGCTGACATAATGGGTATGTTGACTGAATACCAAAAATTCATTTGCATTCGTTTTCGCCTTTACGGTACCGGCATGTCGCTTTTGTGTACCTTTTTCTACCGTTTTTGCGATGGTGTTGTCTGGTTTTGGTTTGTTAGTACAGATGGTACTTGGTTGGTAATGTTTTAGCAATTTGTACGTGTATGTAGGTGGATTGTTTAGCAAGACAGAATTATCGGAAGTTTTGACGGAAATCCTCAAGATAGACCCTACATTCGACAAAGAAGAATTTTTACGGCTGTGTCACAATGAAATTATTCCGAATCTCCTGGAAGCGATCATGCGAGGAGATCTGGAAATACTTCGCGACTGGTGCTACGATGGCCCTTATAATATTTTAGCGACTCCCATAAAACAAGCTGCCAGTAAGTGAACTTTGTTGCTATTAACGGTAAAATAAATTTTGCGATTCTTCATTATTTACTTATAACAAAATTGTGGCGTTGTTAGGTTTGGGGTACCATTTTGACTCGAAAATACTGGACATAAGCAACGTTGACTTAGCAGGTGAGTGAAGGAGTGTTGCTGTTCTTTTTACTTTGTGTCGTGAATGTGTTGATCTGTTTTCAGCCGCAAAAATGATGGAGCAGGGACCGGTTCTCGTCATATCATTTCAAGCTCAGTCCATAATGTGCGTTAAGGATAAAAATGGAGCTGTTGTTGAGGGTGATCCGGTAAGCTAAACTTCATTTTGTGTGTTGGAAATTTTTGGAATTTGATATTTCACTGCTGCTTCTTTGCTAGTAATCTTTGGCTGTTTTTGCTAAATATAATTATGAACAACACTTATACTTTAATATTCATTTATACCCGTGTCTCTAATTATTTGATGAAGTAATCAGAGGAATTGTTGAACTTTTTTGAAATCCGGATAGATCGTTTTCTTCGTTCACCACTGAGTAGGGTATCTGTAGTATTTTAATATATTTGGACGACATTGTTACAGAACAAAGTGATGCGAACAACGTATGTTTGGGTGCTTTGCCGGGACCAAGCTGTCCTTGATCCACGTGCTGCCTGGAGATTGATAGATTTGTCTGCCAATTCGGTAGAGCAGTGGCTGTAAAACGGAACATCGGGAATTTCTGGATGGTTTACAGAAGGAATGTGATGTCAGTTCGGTACAAGTTGTGAAGGTTGTTATTTTTGCTGTTGGGATTGTTAATGTGGTTTGATTCAAGACACTTTTTAATTCTACGTTTTAACATTTAATTATCACACCCTTTTTGGACCGAAACATAAGCTGCCGAATGCGAATTTGAAAGGCTAGAAGTACCAAAGAAACAATTTGTTTGTTAACATCTGCTCGACTAGGAACTAGGAACAAAATTAAAACTTGAAGGCTGTGGAAAAAATTAATAAAGCAAACCAAAAGGCGAAAGACTAGAGCAATCCTTGACTAATTATTCTACTAAACGGGCTAATTCTGTGCGATAAATGTTGACGCTTTGTTTGTCAAAGAGCACGAAAATAATCTTCTCCGTCTCGATATCGGCTCGTGGCTTATTCTTGAAGTACTGGGAAATTGCTGCCAGAATCGTGCGAGCTGCGGTTTGCTTTGGAAATTGGTTTCTGAAAAATGAAAAATTAAATGTAGTGAAATAATTATAACTTTTTAAACTCTTTTCCGTACCCTCCACTTCCAATGGAAGGAATAGCCACCGTACGAATATGGTTGTCGCACACAACATCCAAACAGTTTTTCACTGTTTCTTCCAGAGACTGGATGGCATTTGTGGTATTCCAAGAGGGACTGTTACAGTGGATAATATGCTGAGCTTTCAATCCAGCTGCCGGTGTCCTCACAGCTAAATAAAATCATTGTAGCCAGTGCTCTATGTATCTTTATTGAAATAAAGTGAGGTTTGTAAAGCAAACCAAATTCTGTAAAGGCAAAAAGACTCCCTAAATTAAATAATCGAGAATTTTAAAATAGTCCTTTTATCGAAGAGTTTTGTAGCAAAATAATAAATTATTGGGAGAAAGTAAATCACGATTCGCAAGACTTACCGCCGTTATTTGGTATGTTCACGCTCATGAAAGGTTGTGTAGCGGTCATTAAAGCCGCCCCGCCCACACTGGACAACCGCGATCCGACTTGTCCACCGAATCCCACGGAACTAGATGTGGGATTCACATAGCAGTCGGCTTCAACAGATGCTATGTCAGCTTTCAGTATGGACAGCTACGAAACAGCTATGTTATACCGATTTTTACTGACAGTTACATTAGTTCATAACTTCATTTAACAAATGCATGCACAGTCATAAATTAACCGGGCAAATTAATTATCCATAAAAACGTTTTTCTGATCGTTTTTACCTGGACGCCAGAAATCAACGTCCTTCCAAGCGTCTCGACGTTTCCGCCCAGTTCCGCATCGTCTCCTGTAGCGGCTGCGGCACTGACTGCCAAGGAGCTGGTTTACGTCCCTTGGCCGTCGTTTTTCTTGTGGTGGATTTCACCGTGCGGACAGTTTTCACGGGGATCTTTGGTGTGGTCAACGATGTATTCGTCTGGGCAGTCGTCGTTGCATTTCCGGTTCCTGTCGTAGCGGTACCGCCCCACAGATTACCACATTCCGGCATGATACTTCCTCTCATTAACTGCAAACAGATCAGCGTTACACAAAACTCACAAAAAGTTTAATGACAAAACGTACTACTGATAACCCTGCGTGTACAAAGGATTGATTAATAATATCACCAAATCAAACATCTGTACTGTTTCCATATCCAGATTTATTCTGAGCACATTAATAAAATTAGTATATCTTCCTTTTATCCCATCTGTAGCGTTTAATCATACAATAAGTAATACTCTTTAACTTACTTTTCGGAATTCGTCATCGCTTTTAATGGCCAACCAAATCCATCGCTGTAAAGAATATCCAAAAACAGTCAGATTATTCGGCCCTGTGAATACGGTCGAAGAGAGACATTCTAGGATAAATCTGGTAAAAATCAGTTTTGTATGCATATACGCGAGTAACGTACAGGATTTATTCTTGTTGTTTTTGCCTTGGCTTTTTTGTTCTGCTTTGCAGCCATACCAGCCAGCTCCAGAACCTACAGAAGAAGATTGAAATAATGTAAAACATGGCCAAATCCAACTGAAATCGACACTATGTGCTTATACGTCGGAAAATGAGCATGTACAGATAGCTTGGTTAAGCCACTAAAAATAACATTCCTTATAACGTTTTTACACTTCACAATTCAAAACCGTTTCACAAGATAACGGAAAAAATATAAAACAAGTAAGAAATATAAGAACCAGGTAAATAACAAACCAGAAAAATGTATTATTTAATTACATGACATTTGTTCAGAATTTACAATCAAACTTTAAATTTGATATCATGCATACATATTTATATAATAATGTACCTCAGCCACGATATACTCGAGAACTGCAGACAGGTACAGCGCCCCCGTGGTGGACACACGCGCCTTCCGGTTGACCAGGTGGTGACCCTTCAGGTAGCGTTGAATGCGCCGCACAGGAAATGTCACTCCTGTCTTCTCGTAGAATCCGCGACGGCTGCGAGAAACCTTCGCCCCCGTTCCGCGGCCCATCTTGCTGGTCTGCCGCGAGACCGATCCGTGTCAAAGAAAAATTGAGAAAATAATAATGCACTCAAGTCTTCGTGTACGGCTAGGAGCAGAACGGAAATGGGTGTAATGCGAGTACAAAAAGAACAAGAATATTAGGGATTAGGAAATGAAAAACAGACTCATTCTTCTCCCTTATGAAGTTACTTTCGCTATGCTGTGGGTGCAGGAAGTAAAACATGCTGCAGCATGTCTATACGCGATGACGAACACGATGATTTAACGACGGAAAGACTGCAGATGTTAGAAGCGCCGCAGTTTATTGATGTGTTGTGCAGTGACTGGCACGCATGCATCCCAAGCCGACACTTGTACACTACGGCTTTGTAAAATTTAATAGCTACCGAGTATTTGTTGTACCTACTCTACCCGTAGACTGCAGCAGCACATTACATAATTCTTCATGGATAACCGAATTTACCCAAAGATATCGCGAATTCTGATAATGTACGCGCGAATAATAAGGTGTCAAGGATTTTGTATACCCTCATCGCTGTTACAGATACACAGGCTGCAAAAACCAATCAGAAAACTACCGGACGGTGTTTGCAGTATTTTAAACCTAGTTGTAGAATGCTATCAGACATGACATGTAAAATTGTGAACAAGCTATTATGCGACCAGGTTGTTTAGGTCCCCAAAACATAACCAATGAAAGAAAACTAAACAATAAAGAAAACTGATAGTAATTTCTAATGCGTTACTGAAACATTGAAGGAAAGTTAGGAAACACAACACATGGTCAAGCTGAGCAGGTAAAGTACTTTACTCTCCACACTTCGATGCCACAGTTATCTCCCTCAAAACCTTACAAAGGTCATTAGCGTGATATCGCCTTTCATAAAGTAATTATGTAAATGATTTAAAATGCACACTTATTTCCAATTACGTGCACTGAGTCCACAATCTTATTAAAGTGCTCGTGATAGACCTGTACGCAATACTACGTATCTGTTCACATATTACTGCACATGTATCATGTATGTGCATCACCGATGTTTTATGATGAATTATTTAATTGCAAATTACATATGTACAAAGTCACAAACATAGAAATCAAAATACTATAATTAAACAAACAGGTACTATTAACACGAATGCGAATGAAATACTCGTATTTTTTTAATGGTCGAAGAAATGTTCCAGTGGAAAGTATGTATTAAAAATATATAACGAGTGAACATCATCGCGATGATGGATTGACAACAGGTCTCTTGTCAGTATTCAGTACCCACTCGACAGTGCATTAATTAGCACTCGGATACAAAGACCGCGATGACGTCAGCGACGTGTATAATTGTCGGAAAACATTCTGTAATACACGGCAATAATAGTCTCCCCAATGGCGGTGCATATACATACTTCCATCGTCACAATTTCTCATCGTTATCCATAACCGTAAGACGCACCACCTGAACATCTAATGATTCCCGTCGTGATGCCAGATGATTATCCTCATAATTAAAGCTGGATTGGTTGGAAATACGGAAGCTGACGGCTTTGGAGCCCTTTCGCGAATTGTTTTCCGTCCTCATAAGTGCTACAAACAAGTAGGCCGGTAATATAAGTACAGTAGATTGTACGAGGCATATCCCGGCACAATTGCTGGGCATGCGCTGACCACTTTTATTCCCCGGTTCTAATTAACTTACCAATTTCTGTAGTGGCACCCTCTTGTAGACTGCGCCGGCGGCGATTTTTCTGACAGGTAAGTACATAGAGAAAGCCTTGACGAAATTTACTATTCAAGAAACAGTAGATTAACGGATTTATTGCACTGTTGGCGTATGCAATGAAATGGGCAAAATAGCCGAATTGGTTGTACCATTCGGGCATCTGAAAATGAAAAGAAAAATTATAAAATTTGGATTCCCTCTGCAGTATGAGGTTAAATTTCCAGGTCGTGGGTCAACATACTGAGAACAAATCTGATGGTTTAAAACTGCTGTAAAGTATCAGAACTTGCAATGGCATCCAACAAGCAAGGAATCCGAATAACACTGCAGCCACAAGCTTAACGATCTACAAAATATGTAAATACTAAATAGCTGTAGTCTGTATATATATTTTTATTCCTATTTATTATATTAATTTATGGTAGGGGTAGAAAAAAATACTTACAATTACCTTTGACTTGGATCTAGCATGAAGGACGGTATTGTGCTCTTGAAGGTCACCAGGGACATGGGACGACCATACTTTCGCCATAATAACACTGTACGCCACAATCATCACACCAATGGGAAAAAAGAATAGTGCAGCGGTAATAAAAGTGTAATAAGTTGTCTTGGATGGTTCGTGCTTGAAACATGTCGCCAGGTACGGATCAAAGATTTGGACAGAGGGCCAAGCTATAAAATTCATACAAAGTTTCCAGTTAGCGGAAATCAGTGCTTTAAAGCCGCTATTGAAGCTTTGCGGAAAATACATGATATATTTTGCCGAGTTGTGCCATAAAAAAAATTTTCTAGGACGGCGCGTTTTATTTTTTGGGAGGCTACTGTGTGTTCACATTATATTTTTTAACAAAATTTAATTTATTTATTGATATAAAGTTGGGTGTCCAGTACTGCATATACTGTGCATCGTGCGCCTCTATAAAAAATAATGCCGGTTTTTGTCATATATGACTATAATTATCAAGGTAAGCGCATTATTTGTTATATTCACTTGTAATTCAAAGGAACTGTTGGCGTAGTCTAACCAGAAGTAGCATGTCTGGCTTTTTGCTGATCACTGGAGCGTTTTCGTCACCGTTTTATGACGCTAGTCGGTTCGTATAAATCAGAAAAAGTGTATTACCGCACTATAGCGTCAATATTTTGGCCGTTATTTTACTGCATAAGTCGATGCGCACTCGCACCCATCTATTGATGTTTGCATTCAGCCTGGCCGCAGCTGATATATGAAAACAGTGGAAAGTCATGCAAGTAAGTAAATGCAGTCGTGCATTAGTTGGTTAATAATCAAGAAAATTGATTTGTCAATAGATGGGAGAGAACAGGCTCGGCGTAATCTGGTTGGGCAGTTATATATACGACTGCTTAAGATATTCAAATTAAGCCATTCTATCCGGTCAATTCGTTTAGCTGGCAAACTGGTTGCAGACAGCAGCGACATAGGGAAGCATCGAGAAAAAACTGTCAATCGTTTACCTTCAATGCAAGTCTTGCTGGAGAAATCCGAAAATCGATACACAATGTGTTCCTTATGTACCAGCAGCGGGACGGAGACGCCCGCGGAAATGATCCATATGCCAATGATTACCCATACTGGGCGTAGGCTAGTCGTAAAGCGAGCATGTAACGGAAACGCAACGGCCACAAACTGGTCCAGGGAAATCAGGGCTAATGCTGCAAGCATCGAAAGGGAAAAGCGATCAAATTGAATCACAGTATTGCTGCGGTGAAGTGGTCAAATTAATTATGTACCATTCACAAGTGGCAGTTGTTTACTTACTCAGTACGGATGCCACCATAGATGTCACTGAAACCGGACAAAAAACACTGATCAACATGGATCAACACATGCTCAATGAGTCTGTCTACAGCTTTTACACAACATAATAACTTAGATCGTATAATGCGTGCATGCCTATCATGGTACATACAACAAATTTTCTGCAAATAAACATAGTTATTCATATGAGCGGCACACAAAACACAATAACATAAAACAATAGTGTTTTCAATTATAAGCATATAAAGAAATTTTATACAGATAGAAGTATATACAAACTTAATATCATACTGGCGCACACTGTTTGCGTAAACTCGAAAGCGATAAAATGTGCAATGTAAAAAGTGCCTTCGAATATATATAGATATGCGTTTTTAATATCAGTCTATAGTTGTTGCACTAGAATACTCTAACGTAAACAAATTATGGAGTGCGCAACATTCTCTGGAAGCGTTACAAAACATTTTATAAATTGTTTTATAGGGTCCGCAATTAACAACAAAAATATATGCGTTTTAACCTCGGGGATTTTTTTTAGAAAGACTACTATATATGCGCATCGGCACTATTTGGTCAGATAACAACCACTGACTATCAAGATGGGATTCGCATACAAGTAAAAAGCAGTTAGATGTGTAATTATATTTATAAGCCAGGGATTGATTACGAGTCCAGCTAACGATCGCATATTTGTGGTAAGTATGATGATGGGTTGGTCTACATTTCCTAACTCCCAGCGTAACAAACATTATATCAGTACATAAAAAATTGGGGGGAAGATTTCTCCTCCGCTGCAGCACACAATACACAGTCGTCGACAAGGCCGTTTCCAGCCCCGGTTTTTGATTAATGATCCTATTTAAGTTTGTTTTGTTTGATCGCCGTAGTTTCCTATTGGATAATGATAAACGATGCAGCTGCAGCTCGGACTGACTTTCTGTACTGAGACTTTACGGCCAGCTCAACAGCGCTCCGGCTCGGCATCTTACGGATTGTTGGCGAAAACAAATAGTACTTGATGACGGAATGCCCGGGTATTTTGCAGTTAATTTGCGTAAAGGAGCGTAACCAACATTGGCGCATGGATGATGGGCGCCTTTCCACGAAGTGCAGCTCCCTTTTTACTTACATTCCTACTAATTATGTGGCATGGTTATATCCAACACTGTCATGACATGGGCGCGCGCGATATATCGCCCCAAGTCCAAATGGAAACATATAGTGCTCTCCAGAGACCGCATCTTAATTTTCCACAAAAAGATGTTCCCGTGTTGATAGTCAGCTTGACGGAAGAGACGAACATCAGGACCAAAGTAAATTGAGCGTAATTGCCAGTATGCTTGAGCTGAGCATGTGCCTGTGTGTGTGCGCTTTTTCCGTTATATATGCCCAATCGGTAATCGCTACTCGGTTTACGAAAGGTCATATTGCTCGCCATGAGGTAACACACTCTCAATCATTTAGAATGTTTCTACACTCCAAAGTCGCTCTTTTAAAACTATCCACATCAAATTTATCGCGATGTTTTATCAAAAATAAATATTTTATATTAAAGAAATAAATATTTTGTCTGGCTTAATTTACCGGTATCTATACATCTCTAGCAGTTAACGTACTCTTGGGGTATGGAGAAACAAACGCTTATAAATTTTTATCTTATTTTGCACATCAACGCGCATATTCATAACAAAAACATTGCGTGTTAAACGTCAATGATCATTTTAAACGACAGGAAACGATTTCGGAAATTAAAACATACGATCACGATTTGGTTGAGCGTATGGAATATTCTAGTGTTTCCGGGCACAGAAAAACGGCAAAAAGTACAGTTTTACTGATAAAATGAAACCACTTAAATGTTCTCCGCACACTTGACTGTGCAGGCTCTTGATGTTGAAGTGCTATAAACAACAATTAGCTGTTTTAAAACCGATAACTAATTTTAATTTAAGAAATAGTATTTGGCTCCAGGTCATCGGCAGCAGTGGGCAGTATCTATTTATCGGTATCATTAATAATTCTAATGCTTGTTTGTTTGCCAGATTTTTAAAAATTCGTATGGAGAGGTAGAGATATGGTGCGTTAAACGTGCTGTCATCGCCAGTGAAAGATTATGTGCCGACTGGCGAAAAAACACTCATTGCTCTACAATTTCTATTGGGCATCTATCCAGCAATAGGGAATTAAAGCACTCACGATGTAGGCTGATCGACTCGATCACGATAACTCGGGTGCAATGAAATAGATTTGCATCGTTTCCGGGACGTATATATGTGTCTTCTACGTCTTGGGCACAAAGTAGTTTTAATCCCCGTTTAAGTACAGTGTGTTGTTCCCGTGCAGAACCACGAGCTGACTTGTGAGTTGTATACGCTTAAAAGAAAACATGGATCACGGGTATGATATACCACACTCACACTGCAAGAACGGATGAATTTTACACATGGCGGATCCCAAAGGGTACTCATGGGCAATGCTGACCATAAAGTACGGCCACATACATCCTGAAAATAAAACAGCATTTAAACTCTACCCCTGAAAACCCATGAAAATAAATCGCTATCCTTTAATAATACAGGTTGTTAATTTAATAATACAGAGTATTTCCAATACGAAAATTAAAGTTATATGCATATTTATGTACAGTCTGTAGAGATAAAGCATTAAGTAAATCATTACCCTAAAATCTTAAAATGGTCGAGCAGTGGACGTAACTATCATTTCAATCGTTGCTGGGTAGTAATTAGCCGGCTTAGATCTGACTATAAATATCAGTCAGCAAAACAGCTGCGCTTGCAAAATTTGTGTTTGTCTGACCATGGTAATTTCGTTAATTTTTAACGAAATCCATTTATCGTACAGGCGTAACGTTTTCATTATTAGCGGGAAGAAAACTGCGTATACTTATAAGATTTCATTATTTCGGGTTGTTTGGGATTTTTCGATACGTATACCTTATAGCTAGAAAGAATGTGTACATTATAAATATATATCTGCAATTGCGAGTAGAACATCACATCGAATCACACTGTACACGTACCAAGTGCAATAATAAGTCCCGCCACGCTGAGATTCAGTAAGTATATGTACGCACTACTCTGCATTTTCTGCCGGTATAGATACACAACAAGGATCACAATAACGTTGCCAAAAAACGAGGCGGCAAAAACCAAGAGGTAAAATGCTAATTTGATGAACAATTCCCACATCGGGATTTTGATGTAAGGCCGATCGGGACCGCACTGTTCCGGAAAAAAATCACAGAATGACATATTGGAAAAATCACCGTTTCCATTAGGACATGTGAAATTTGCCGTCAGATTTGTCATAATTAGATGATGTTGAGAATTATTGCGTAAGAAATTGGACAAACTGGGACACTTCTAACCAACTCCATCGAACGATTTATGGAGTCACCGCGCCGGCGAGTGGACGGCTTAAAGCTGCAGCAATATGGAGATTTATGGGCCGTTATAGCGTTCTACTGGATATGATCATGGTCTAATCACGAAATAGTTATGAAAATGGGAAACGCAACATCAGTATGACAAGTGTTATCAACAAGCGGTATTTTAACGATCGCGATCTGTGGCGGTAGATCATCCATCCAAGTAACGATGGGAAGTATTAATAGTATATCAACACGACATCAGCTGGATCTTTAAGATTGTCGTCTGTTGCATTCACGTACGGTGCACCGGCGCGCTTGAACAGCGCTGCACATAAGCAGTGTTGCGCCGGATATGCAGTAAAAGCTGGGCAATTAGTAAATCAAGGAACAACAATCACCATCCTAAAGCATATCCACTACTCTTGTATATTGAATCAATTTTTTCTAATGTGTTCGGAATAAATACTGTCACTGCGCCAATTTGTTGACCCCATCCACCGCGACACAATGGATGATGTTTGGTCGGCCGGATGCCGGTTGCAGTCAGGGTGCACACAGTAACTGTGTAAAAGGGAAACAACACCGTCATATATAACCATCATGAGAGCGTTCTGCTTTTGTTCATATAGCGACAATTTATGGAACAACTAAAATTCGAGAGAAGTATGTTGGGTATATAACCCTTTAAGTTTCTTAACATGTACAATATATATCACCGAAATTGCACATGTACTGATACTTTTATATTGTAAGTATAAGGCAATTTGCGGCGTACTGGTAAGATGTACACATGTTATATTCGCCCGTGTTGCTTTATCGATTCGTAAAGTGCCACCCACGATTTTGACGGGTCACGATTATGGTTGAGTCAAACTGGAAATGGCTTGTTGGTGGGTGCCAAGCAAAACTGTTCCTACGTCGTACGCGTTTATGTCTATAAGTGATGTTCTCCATAATGACGACTAAAAATGCTCTAGTTACTATCCAAAAATAACCAGTAAACGTATATGGCTAGTTGAGGACCCCAATTGAAAGATAGTTAAGTAATTTAGCTCCCGGACAGCGTACAACGCAGTCTGTATGATATTTGTAACAAGGCGCACTTTTACCGGTAACCAACAATATTTCTTTATTAATTTAAAATATTCAAACGGACGACTTCACACGTGCGGTGAGAGTTATATGCAGAGATTTTTGATACATTGCTAGCTAAGTGGCTCCATTTGTTGGGAACGATCATTAATGGAAGACTCAAGTATGCTGCTCGTTGGCGTACTGTTTATGGTTTCCGGTTTCATGGCAAATGTCATGTTGTAATAATATTTTAGCGCATCCAGCACTTTGCGTAGCTTGTCTGGTCATATGAATACCGCGGAACGCATTTAATTGATACATGTACAATTTTATTTGACATGAGTTTTTATCAAAGCGATTATTAGTACTGATGGTGCTGTCTCGCGCTTCTATCGATTGTTACTTTACCACACATAATTGAAATTTGACAAGGTTACCATAAAGTTGACTGCTCATCAATGATACAATGTCAGATGCTCATTTTGCGACAATCTGTGTATACTGCGTCTTTGTATCCAAATTCTAAGTGTTTTACGGATCAAGCTAAAAAATTATTTCAATGTCATTAGAGATTATCTTATACTTCTTGCACCTGGCATGCTGTTGGCGTTTAAATGATAAAAAGACATAACTCACAGAACCTAACAAAATTAAAGAAAGTTCGCTTCAAAACTCACAATAATACGCAATGCTGATATAAATGTTATTGCGAATACTAAAATATCTACATATTATTGCAGCTCGCAGTCAATAATCAGTAAAAACGATGCAGGCAGCTTGCAACTGAATCGGCACATGCAAGCTTATTTCCTTGACAGGACAGTAAAATGATTAATATTATCGAATATCGTTTCCAGCTTTGCTGCCGGTCTCTGCCATGTCTCATCATTGTGCCGGGAATTTTTCTCCAAAAACCATCCTAATGAAATCATCTTTCCTCTAACTTTGTTTCAGTTAGGATTATCTTCACCACGTTTTCTCTCCTACGGCAACATTCTGTCTCCCGGGATGTTAGTATCAGTGGCAGTTGCTATCGCTAAGCCGTTCAAGATCAATCTGTGTCTATCCTCTACAATTTAATCGTCCAAGATTTTGCCCTTTTGGTGTCGAAAAATCATTTGCGTTTTCTACTGGCAAGCATGGATTGTACGAGTATTTATTATTTACTAACCGTGATCATGCTGAACATTCCCATTAACGGTTTGTTTAAATTCTCCCTTGAGAGTTCGCATAATTTATTTCAATTTAAATTTCCAGTAGAATGCAAGCCTACAATAGGAACAGTACAAAGAAATAAAGAAATAAATTAATGAAAATTGTTATAAAAATTTTGCATAAACGGAAATGCAGGCTGACTGCAAGCGGCAAGTCAAATATGCTGTACGTACTTAAATTTGTCGATCTTAAAGAACGTGCGTTTCAAAGACGAGATTGGCAGCAATCCCAGCTGTGCATCTATACCACACACAATAGTCGTGCGTGATCATAAGCATCATTCGGTTTGAACATTTTCCAAAATTGTAAAATTTCCATTTTCGAGCACGCCGTGCACTCAAAAAATTTTAATATAGGTAATTGTTTGGAGCATGATACGTAAACTGCGCCGTCTGTATTCTAGCGGTATTACAGCACTGTTTAATCTAGTTCTGTATTTGTATGTTTTTACTCTAAATAAGCAATGCATTATACGAGTTTTTTTACTTGTATCATCTTAGCAGCTTGCAGTTCGCAGCAGCAATTAGTAAAAACTTAGGAAAACCGTACAAATTTGATTGTCATAATGGAATTACAAAAAGAGGCGTGTCGCTATCATCTGCTAAGGAAGCACTGTGACCTTTGCGAACCGAATACTTAGAAAGGGTCAGACCTTAGAAGTTAGATGTGCATAATTAAAATAGGGAAATGAACATTTTATGAAATCATAATACTGGCAGAGACAGTATATTCAGGGACAGGTCATTTTGTTCAGCCACCCGGTACTGACAGAGACAGTACATAAAAGCATGTATAGTGTTTTTGGAAGTCTGTAAAACATGTAAGTTAATGCTACGTGATGCTACTTTTCAAGTTTGTCAGTTTTGTGATATTGGGCAAGTTATATAGTAAATAAAAATTATGAAATTATTGTAGTACTGTAAAAAAGCAGAGTATTAATTTTGTTTGAAATATTTTATGAGCAAAAAGTGTCTAGAGAAAATGCGAATGGCTATCACTGAGAGCGCATTCGGATTTTCTCCGGACTTTTAGAATCGCCTATCACTAACTTTTGTAGTTGTTGGAGCATATTAGAGCACTGACTACACTTATCGATAATTTGCTTATCCAATGCTCTACAATTCACAATACGTAAGGTAGTACTCGTACTATTTGACAATACTTGTAGTGAGTGCTAAGCTGTATCAGCAAATTTGACAATATTCTGCTATGAAACATGCTTCCCTTCAACAAAAAACTAGCCAGTTTGAGAAAGATATTGCAATTTCTTTGAATAATGCTTTTTTGATAATTTTAAACATAATTCGGTGTGAGTTGTTAAAAATTCCGATTAAAATCTGCTAGTTTCGAGAAAAGTTATTATGCCCAGAATTTTCAAAAAGATTGCCTATCTAGAATATCACTTTCCGTTAGCTATATAAGCATGTCGCGAACGATGCTAGTAAAATTAGAAATCTTCGGGATTTGTCCACACACCGAAACACCGGTTAGTAGGTGTGTTTGACTACGATGATTTAATTTGAGTGGTCATACGGTATGTACAGTACATCTATATTCCGGTTCAAGATTTCTAATTTTTTTAACGGAACCAGAATTTATTTGTAACGCTAATACTGACAAATTTTGCAAGTTAGGTAAGGAGGTATTCATTTTTATAATTATTATATTCTGATATGTTATGTTGATAATTCAGAATACATAATTACTTTAACGATGTCTGGCGATATTGACATTTGACATTTCATCGACTAGACTCAAAAGAGGTATACAGTACAATACATACATCTTTGATCTCAGTAAGCAGAGAATTTTTCATTGGTACACCATGCTGGATGTGCCATGTATAAAATTTTGGAAAGCACACAAAGTGCAAAATTTACCCTTTACGAGCATTACCTATAAATTAGTAAGCCTATATGGCATTGTTGCTTGTTGGCATATTGTGTAGAAGTACCACACACAAAAAGCAAAAGTTCAAATTTTTAAGGATTGGACGGTACTTACGTGTAAAAGTAAATTAGTGGCATCGCTAACATCGCGCTCTCTACCTATGTTCAAATCACAGTCGGAGAAATGCTACTAAAGCGTAAGAATATTCGTACTGAACGTTGCTGAAATTCGAGGTTTTAAACTTTTAGGCCCACTTTGTACCTACAATGCTTTCTCTGAAATTTATAAAAGGCTGCCACCGGCACTTTATGGCAAATTCACAAATGCAATCTTTGCATTTATATCATATCTATTAATCATCATCGCTTGAAGAAAAGCCCGACGTTTTAAATATAATATTTAATAATCGTTGTGCTGTGTATACACTTAATCATTTTTGTACAAAGTAGCATAAAAATTCCAAATTTTATATATGAACACCATGGAACTGAATATGGGCGCCTACATACAGCGAATATTTACAAATCTTCGCTTAAAATAAATCGGTTTCCTTCGCTTTGCGCTCCGACATACTGCCGCACAAGTTTTCCGTATTTTGCTGTTTTTTGACAACTTCGATCTAGCAATACTTCTCCTGGACTGCAGTACGTTTCAACCCGGAAAATTGTTCCGCTGGCTCTTTTTGCTAATCGTGGATGCATTTCAGCTTGGTTTAGCTCATTTCGCTCGTCCGCGGTTATTTTTTCCGAATCCAGAAATCTAAGAATCGGGAAGGCGCGCAGTACTTTAAGTCTACAAAAATTAAAGGTCTGCCTATTACAAGTTGTATACGTAAAAAGATTTCTGCTCTACTGCAAAAAGGAGGAGACGAGATAAATTTAGATCGTATAAACGTTTGTTTATTTTTGCGAAAATCTATAGCACCTAGGTACGTAACACAACAAATATTACAAAATACAGGATGCTCCATATTATTTCAAAACATGTTTATGAAGTATGCGTAATATACAAGTTAGGAGTATTTAGTGGGTTTTAGGCCGGGGATAAATTTCGACGTCCATTCTGGAGTGTATACTGGAGGGAGATAAATCGACACTATGACCTACGTATACTCTACAAATTCGACGTTGTGGAAGGAGGTGTCAATCGTAATACCTGTACAAATGATAATCATCTTCAGAATAATTTTTCTTGGATAACTGCGTTGGACACGCCGGATTGCAGATCAGGCTAAGATGGTTCACAAACGGACATGCTATCTGCGTCCTGGACAGGAAGTTGTCCAGATCACAGATGTTGTTTTTATTCAAAGATAAGACTTTCAAGTTTGTCAGAAGGGGCAAATGCAGGTGATCGTCCAACTCATTATTGTCCAGTATCAAAACTTCCAGATGCGAAAAAATGCGAAGACCGCGCAAATTTCTGCAATTAAAAATGGGTAGCCTTAAATGAAAAAGTAAGTAACAAAACAGCGAACGAAAAATCTACGTAAGGAATCGTAACGGATATACCTAAGGCAGTTGTAACTGATGTCCATATAATACACCGAACCGATGTCGATGTTTGATGATTCTTCCAAATTTTCGAATTCCGCCAAACATTCCTCAAAATTTTGCAGCTGACTTCCAACAAAACAAATCTGCAGAAAAGTCTATTAAAATTTGTAAGGTCATTTAAAATAAATTATGTACTGAGAGTCTCATGCATATATGAAGAAACAATTCACGACAAGCAAAAGTTTACGATGTTCTGCGAGTAATATAAACTGCATTTGCTTTGCTAAAACATGAAAGTGCAAGCGCACTTACCTTGTATCCGATCTGATCCTTTTCAGTTGTAGTAGGCATTACGCTACATCCGTTGTTACTGAAAGTATGGGAATTAAAAAGCTGTGATAGTGGTGTATAAGTTACAGAAAGATGCCATATTCGTGACTCGATATCTGGAAATTCCAAAGTGGCATCCCGTTAATGAATAGCTATAGGATGGTAAGTATACGATTCTTTTGATGGAATTGTGGAACAACCCTTGCGTAAGCGGTCAACATTGACGTAAAAACTGTGAACGTCACTGTATTTCGAAGTTCGAAGCACACACGAAAGTACCAATAACGTTTCGTACAGTATAATCGGAGTTTTTTGTTTAAAATTACAGTGATAACTGATAATGTACGATCGTTTGAAACTAAAAATAAATTGCCTACATAAGTATACTCGTATAGCCTTAAATGCAGGATAACGCAGCAATTTGCAAATGCTGTTGATTATTATGTTGATTCTCACGGATTGCTGCGCAGTCACTCGAAGTCCGCATCCAGATAACGCGGGTTTGTGAATCTACGTTTGCAGAACGTATAGCTTTTCGAAAGTACGTAATCTTATCTTCGGTTGGGTTTGATTTATCCAAATAAACAGCTACGAAGTACACAGTTCTATTATTACGATCTAGATATCGTCGCCTTTATAGGGATGCGTCGAATTAACGTATGTACCATCGTGTCCACAATTAAATTATAATTATGTACTTAGGAGTGTTTTAATATTGTTAGCTGCTCCGCACTTAGGGAAGAAATGCATATACGCTAATACCTAGTATGCTACAAGTCTCGATTTACTATTCTAGATCTATATTTATAAAAAATCTCTTTTTCGAAACAGTGTAGCTGATAATATGATGCCATTGATTCAGCAGTTATACCCCTATGGCAAGATTGTTATTTTTGGTGCATACTTACGTTTATTGTCAGAGTAATAATTAGTTACAATTGTAGTACAGTATACTTTGCGCTTCCTTAATGTTTTTTATAAGAAAGCAGTACGAAATCACAATTTTTAAAAAGTGTTATACAATTGTAGTGTCAGTTACGATCGACCACCCACAGTCGCAGTGTGATGTGCAAACCAATCCGCCTGAGTTATTTTTGACATGGTCGATCGTGGTTTAGTCTTTACGTAGCAATGTATCCAATTCTTGTATGGCACATATACATAGATCTGAACATATTTGCGCGGAAACAGTTTTTGTTTTTAGCTAGATGTGCTTGTTTATCGTTAAAAATTAAACTGTTCACTCCTTAAAATATTTAGCAAGATAAAACTTATGCGCAAGGCGATTCCAGTAAAAGCGAATCCTATACTTATGCATCGAGAGAAAATTATATACGTGAGCTGAAAGCTTATTCGAGCTGTTCAGGTGTTGAGTCTCGGAATTGTTCAAAAACTCCTGATGCATTCCATGGAAAAGTAAGCCTTAGTGTATTAAACAGGCATAAAAATTGTGTTCATTATTTCTAAGAAGGAATAGTATGGGAATGCTGTAAAGAAACACGAAGATTCGTATACATAATTGAATTTGTTGTTTCTAGCAAAAATTGTAAATTGCTTGCTGTTCGTGCGTATAAATATAACGTGCGTATAAAACGTAATCAGTTTTTTTCTGTAAGTTGGTACACATGTAACTCTAGATTGGTACTACGTGTTACTGTTTGCTTTCTCTAGCTGCACGAATACAACATTTGGCGGTTGAATAACACTTTAACGTTTGGCTATTTGTCTCAACAAGATTTGTTCTCCCTGGATGCACAGAAAAATCAGTAACAAACTGCTGCGTAGGATGCAAGCTGGCATTTAATGCTGTGCACATGTTTTTTAAATTGAAGATTAATATGTTCACTCGCCGGCTGTAAGGCAGGCCAACGTAATGATGGGCAGCGCCAACTATGCGCTGATGTTTAAGCAGTGCAATAAGACATTATAATGTTTCCACGCTCCTTAAAGGTCGCTTGTCATTCCCATCAAAGCGTTCCTTAACGGCCGATAGTTTTAACGTAAATGAGTAATTTGTTGGTTAGATGCCAAGTCATACAGCTACCCTTAACTGTCAATCCCTCCACGTCCACATCTCCATCAAACAAATGTACATTCTATGCCTGTGCACTGTGTATGTGTGTGCGGGGGAACCAATCCTAATATTAGCGGATGCAACCCGGAACCTATCGAAACAAGAGGATGACGGATATGCATACCGCATACGCATATACGTCGACTCGTGTCCATATGTGAGATAGGATACAGCCCCATAGCGCTATGTTTGGCTAAGCACAGTAATTTGCTAATCTATGCAGTTTTATTGTACATGTACACCGGAAGGCAAATCTAAAAGCATCTGGTAATTACACATATACGTAAAAAAAGCCCAGGAGTGGGGCCTCCCCGCCGGTAGAGTGCGCCGGGACATTATTAGACAAATTATGTTGGTATTAGGTCTGTCAAGCCTGTTTGCTATACACTTATCGGTAAATTTGTTTAGGAAGCATTCACTAGGAATATTGGGTTGAAACAATCCATTCTACTGATGGACATACATATCCATTTGGCCATATATACGTGTACATATCCATTTGGGAGGTCCAGAGATGAAACCAGCGCGCCGATGGCGTAGAGATATTCCCAAGCTTACCGAAGCCGTGGGATTCCAATGGGTTATACGTGAAGGGACGTCTTGCGGCCGGCAATCAAATTAAATATCGTTTCGTTTGGACAAAATCGATATGTATACATATGCCGGCGGTGCCTTCTGGACGGTTTACGTCGCACTTCTTTGCTTTACCGATCTGCCGGCTTTTGGGAGGAAAATGTATCCTTGGATTGTTTCACAGATTTGCTAAGTCGAGACTACTTTAACTGATCTCCAGGAACCTCATCGTGGGCGCTTATCATGACGGATGCTCTCTTATGATACATGTTGGCCGCTTATTCAAGTGATCATCACACGGATTACCCCACATTCTTTTTCATCCGCTGAATTATTCTCTAAAAGTGGCTTCTTGAATCCATGTTTGCGCTGAACAAAGGGTGGCTAAAAAGCAACGAAGGTAAGTTGGGCGTGGCAAATAACATTTCCAACGATAATAACCTTTTAATGACATTAAGGATCTCCAAAGAAAGCCAAAGCAGCCAAAAGTTTTAGTGAATTTATTAACTAATCATAAGTGAAAAGGAAAAGCCTTGTCTGTACTGGACACATAAATTTATTAGTGAGCCATATTTTTACCTCTAAATTTTGTATATTGCAAACATAGCACCTATTCTAGTTGTATTTGTAACTATATATTATAGACTGTATTGTTCTGCTATGTACGCCTTTGCTTATCCGCAAAGCGAAGTCAGTTATATGGGAGCAGACATAACAATGCTCGTGCTGTAATGTGCAATAATTTTTTCTAAGTTTTTTTTGGAGTAACGGAAAATACTCAGAGACGCACTTCAAATAGCAGTTAATTCCGCTAGAGCTACGTTCTAAGATCGAATATATATGGCACAGTATTCCGAAGGGCAGACCAGAACTTCTTCATCCACCTATGGTGACCCTTACCTTCTCAAGGAATCATTTCTATTTCTTGTATCACAATCACTGCATTAATCTCTAAATATTTTGTTTTATCTAAGAATAATTACAGAGACTTTATAAAGTAAAATCCTAACATGAAAACATGTATCTTCATTTAGTTGTAAATTTATAATCACATATTCTGGATTGTCTCGTACAAATAGTCCTCTGCAGCATTTGACCGTGATGGATAGCAGTACATAACCAAGTGGCTGACGAATTTTTTTTCCGTATGCGTAATGGCATCTGCGCCTGCGTAGTATTTTTATTGTTTACATTGCAAAGAAAACATAGAATTGCAAATAGTACACGAGTTTTTGGATTACTACATGTCCTAAACCATCTTGCAAATTCCGACCGAATCTGCAAAATGACTTGCTTGCCATGACGCGGTAGCTAGAAGGTCTTTAAACAAACAAATAACAGCCGCCTTTTTTGACCGCTGTGAAAACGCGTGTTCTCCTCATGTACATTATACCTACGAAAACACTTGTCATCGATGGATGAACTTACAGACACGTTTACCCATTACAATTACGACGAAGGCTGCAAACAATTTGTTACACACAATAATCAATTAAAGCCGCTCCACATATGTAAGTGCATATTCTGTAACATGGTGATTAATACATTATTTGTAGTGGGACAATAAACTGGTCCGTAAAAGGTTTTGGATGCTGTTTTTCAAATTAAAATGTTGCATCACGGATGGACAATATCGTCAACAAACCTTCACACATACATGAAAATTATCACTATTGATTTCAGCGCTTTTAATGACACACGCACACAGCGTTGCGCGCAGCGGTGTCGCATATGTGCACGAGGAAACGAATCTGACCCCGGAGATTTTGCCGGCTGTTACGTTAATGTCGATGTGCGGTATTTGTGCATGACGATTCGATGATAATTACAGTAATCGTATTAATCCGACTGAATGCCAGTGACACTCCATCTAAACATTTCCAGTTATGTATGCAATTTGCACTATGCAGTTACTGGCTATTGCGAAAAAAAACTGGAAAATTTAACTGTACTGAACGTTTTCGATTGCCGGCAGAACGGAGAAAAGTACTGCAGTAAAACCATTAATATGAGCAGGAAGTGAAAGAAGTTACAGGAAGAGGCTGTTCCCACTTTGTCACAGTCTGACTAATTAGCAGTCATAAAACCGGTGCGTGCGAGTCGATGGATCTTTTTATGCGGAAAATTTTCTAAGCACACATTTATCTACAGACAGCAGAGCAATCCAATTCATAACGCCGTTTTTTTTCTCATTACACGGCGTCACAACGCATGAACAGATCATCGAGGCTTTTATGCAAATATTAAACGCCGTTAATGTCGTTTTTCTTCTGAGGGGAAAAAATGAAAACGGTACACAGAGTGTCGTTTTAAATTGCCGGCAATCAATGGGCAGTGTTTGTTATTTTTCAGCCAATATTTCAGTAGCGTGTAAATCAGATGGTCCTTAAAGCGCTGTCATTACGGTTCATTGATTTTTACTACCAACATCAGCAATATCCTGTGCTTATCGTTTATCATATGGGGGATTATGGATGACAACACATCAGCCGCAAGCAATGTTTAGGAGCATCCCCGAAATGCAGCAACCACAAAATTTTCATAAATGGCGCATAAGCCGTAAAATTGCTTCTCAACTAAGTTCATCTGCTGCAGCTACAGCACCCTGTTGCAGTGTTCCAAGTTAATTTGCGTATATTGTTGATATGGTAATTAAAATATTACAGCAGATAATTTTTGCAATATTAGTAGATCTTTTAGATAATTTTATTTTATTAAATATACACGTATGCACAAAATATTAAAAATACGCAGAATAAACTCATCTTCAGTTAATTATTTAAAAAAATACTGGTAATTATCTTAAAAGAATTTCTTGTTTTAATTTTAAATTTTATATGAGATCTGGAAAAAGTTTATGCAGAACTAACAAAAGACAACGTATTTGCACTGCAAACAAAAGTTATTAAAAGACAACGCTTGATGATCCGAATATCCGTAGTAAGTAACACATCCTACGCTCTGCCGGCAAACAGTCAGAAGAAAAACTCAAGTCGTACATAATCCGACCTTGCGCAGATAGCAGTGTTGCCGTCATATGGGTTGTTTTTTTTGCCGCGTACGATTTCCGTGATTTTTTAATCGATAGTTCGTAAATCAAGTCGACCCGTTTTGGTTCACGAAACAACCCATATGAAATTAAGAGCAGATCTTTAACGTCGTCTCAAGAGAATAAGCGTCTTCTTCTGTGTCAGACAAAAAATATTACAGGAATCGAAATCCATTTACTGATAAATAATTCTGGTGCTAAACTCAGTCACACGGTAATAATGGTCTAAGGTTCGAAAATTTTAGTTTTGTAACGTTAAAAAATCATGTAGTGTACCACAACAGATTTTAGTATCAGTTTTCCAAGGTCACAAATATTGTTTGGTTTATTGCTTTTGTGGAGCTTATGCACATTTACAGTACGTCATAACTTGCTAAAATTCTACTTGTACTCTACTTGTACTAGATTTGTAAAATATTGTATTCAACAAGATATTGTTTAAGTATATTCGTAGCATTTTTTTCGCGACTAAATTCACAAAAAAATTCGCGCATAGGCTGCCCCAAGAAGTGCCCATTACAGCATTTTAAAGAAGTAACTGTTGCGAAATATGCCGATAAGCTGCGACTTCTGCAGTAATCCGAGAAAAGTCAACAAGTCTACTGTTCTAACTGTAGTCATCGGCGAAGTGTCCTATGGTTTTGCTAATTAACTTTGAAACGTTAGATATCGAATATCAGCGTTACGTTATGTTAGCAAAACAGTGAAGCATCTATTCTTAGCACCGGCCAACAAATAACTCTTTCCCGGATTGTAAATCGCAGGTACCTTTGCTTTGTAGAAAAATGCGAAAAGTTACTACTGTAATATTTACACAACAGTATCGGTACTGTACAGGATGCCATTCTTTATGTCGACCTTTACGGATCTGATGGCCCGTAAAAATTTGACGCAACCCGGTCGGTGCGTAAAAACAGTGGTCACTTGTGTGAAGTTGTACAGGTTGCTTGCATTAATAATAACTGCATAATTTCTGTCCGATCGAACAAATTATTTCAAAGAGATCTATGATTTACCCTGTACATGTATGATTTGCGTCAGAACTGCAGATTACGCAAACATAATAATTGTAACATCCGAAGATAAATGCGGGTGATTATTCTCCGGCAATTTATCCCACCCATAATGCGCGGAGACTGTGGAGCAGATTTTAGGGCGGTGCCCGTGTGACATACACATCACACCCACTGCACCATGACCGCGCGCGCGTCCTTTTCGGCGTATGAACCAATACATACAATTCTCATAGAAACGTTGGGGCAGCTAAAGAAACAAACATCTTCAGCAGTGGAATGTAAATCTTATCGTGTGTTCCGTGAAAGGAGAAAACAGTCCAAGAACTGACAAGACACCGCCAAGTAAGCAAGTGGCGCACTTGTCCGAATAATCAACGCAGGACATTGAACCGTGCGCCACGGCGGGCGGCGCGTACACACACGCGCGCGCGATATTGCTTAATATTTTCTGTGAGGGGGAATCTGTGATCACATTGACGATTAAATGTGGGTCAAGCGCGAAGTCTCCGTTGTCTTCTTTTTGACAAGAGACGTGAAATCAACAGGAAAACACACTTTATTTTTATTTGGGGTGCAACACATGCTGTGTGTGTATGCATGTGTGGAGAGGCGATTCTGGTCTGATTAAGTTATCGTTTACGTATTTTTCCAGTGATCATATCGACCAAGTGGCCTACAATGTACGCTGCCGCTGCTGTTGCCAACTGACAGACAGCGTATTCTCTCCCGGCGCACACACTCGTGCGGATGATCTTTACTGATTGAAAAGGGCAATAACGACGCGTAGCGTATCCACACGGTCGAAGGAGAAAATTAGTATGGAGAATTCGGCCACCATTGCCTCCAACCTCCTGAGTAACGATGCGCATTTAAGCACTGACAGCGAGCGTCTTCCCGGTCACAGCTTTGATTTCACCGGGCCAACTATCCAGGCCAACATTAGCGGTTCACTTGTCACTTGGAACCTGACGACGACCTTTACCGGCGCTAACATGTCACAGCTGGGCGATCCATTATGTGAAATGCCCAAGATCCCGCCGCCGGAGGATCAGCAGGCCTTTTTCATCTTCTCCTACGGGTTAATCACACTGGTGGCCATTGCCGGTAATGCGATTGTCTGCTACATTATTCTTGCCTTTGAGAAGATGCGCCGGACGGAAAATATTTTCATATTTAATCTGGCCCTGGCCGATATTGTCCTGGCGTGCTTTTGTGTGCCCTTCTCCTTTGTGCCCAATATTATTGTCGGATATTGGCCATTCGGTCTGATCATGTAAGTGGCGGAGGCATGCACCGTATAATCGTCAACAAACTCAAAGCGTCGGCACAAATATTTCGTAAATGTTTTCACGTGCATTATGAACGCTTCATTTAAAATTCAGTGGTGACATACAGTATTTGTCAAAAGGATTTTGCCGATTCGTACACAATCATCATTTCAATTCTAATTTGACATTTTTTTAATATTCGAATTTTTTATTTCCGTCTGGCAAGGAAGCCATATTAAAGCATAAAATATCGCTACAAAAATAATCTGCAAAGTTAACCGGCAAAATCTTACACTGTATGCTTCACATATACAGATATTTTGTGCATCTGTGTTCTGCAATGTGATTTGTCTCAATGCGCTGTAATATTTTCTATTCCCGAAGCATAAACTGCGCCAGTGTTTTTAATGTGTTTATTCACTTTATTGTTAATTCTGCCGTAATTTCTGCGCAATGATATAATCCTGATCGTAACTGCTCTAAATTTTATTTCACGTGAACGTTTACTGAAAAAATTATTGTCTGCTCGCATCGTAAAGGGAAGGAGAGAAGGCCTGTTGGGAAATCTGCACACAATTAAACCGATCGTGCTTTTGCAGGTGTAAATTGGTAAATACGTCCCAGATCGTAAGCGTGCTGGTCTCATCGTACATTTTAGTCGCCATTTCTGTGGAACGCTATGTGGGCGTCTTTTATCCGTTCCGGCCGAAGATGACGTTTAAGCAGGTGCTGATCGTGGTCTTCCTTACGTGGTTCGGATCGTTTGCCATATCGCTTCCGGTGGTAATTTATATGGGAATGTTCGAGCAGCCGCTGCCGGATGGGATATTCTTACCGTTGTGCCGGGAGAACTGGCCTGTGACTGAAGACAGTTATAAATATGGCGTAGTATTATTGGTGCTACAGGTTAGTTAGTGAAGCACAAACACCGACCTTCTGTTAACTTTATTATATTTATTTTTTATAAAACTGCGAAAAAGATTGCAGTTGTGTTTGCATGCACTGATTTTTTATGACATACGAAAACATAATGATTAGCGTGAATTAGGATATCTAAGCACTATCAATATTCGAACCCACATTTTAAGTAATTATAGATATTAATTATAGATTATTTTATAGATTTCTTGTGGATTTAATCGAATTACTTATAATTTTTTCCCGAGCAACTCTCATTTCGAAGGGTCAAAAATTCGATCGGGATCTTTCTTTTTAATGGGGTTTCTGCTTATTGCACACCTACCTAGTTTTTGCTAAAAAATGCCACAGATATTTTTGAAGAAGTTTGAAACGATTATCGCATATCCATTTTTCCGTGTGCAGTATTTCCTTCCTATCGCAATCATGGGGCTATCGTATAGCCGAATTGCCTGTCATGTGTGGAAAATGAAACCACCCGGAGAAGCATTGAAAGACCGGGATAAAAAATTCAAAGACGAAAAAACTCGGGTAAATACAGTTTCAGTGCAAACAGGGTCACGCGAACTTTATCAACATTGTTTTTTATTGCAGTTAATTTTGTTTTTATTCGATTTCATTTAAAATTTTATGATTATGTGTTCTTAGTCGTGAAAATAATAATTATTAGGATACGTCAGTATTGGTAAAAATAAAATGACCATAAAACCATTTATGAACGTAAAGATCGGGCTGTCGGTATATATTTTTAACTTTATCGTCGCGCCTTGTTACAGATGACAAAAATGATGGTGGTTGTGGTGTTGCTGTATGTTATTTCCTGGCTGCCGCTGAATGTGTACATCGTGCTCTCCGAGCAGTACGGCAATACAATGGGATGCTACCGCTACATCCACTTTGTCTGGTTCGCCTGCCACTGGTAAGTACCCAGCTGTTGTTGTTGTCGTAAAATTTTAACGCGATTTTTTCCTCATTGAGGATAACGATATGCTAACGATCGCTGTACGCACATTGGCAACGCACATTGCCATGCATGCACGCATGTCGCCGTAACCCGGTGATCTTCCTTTCTGGCACACCGCGCATATTCGTATATGCTAGAGTACATCCATTAGTCCGATATTTGGGTAATTGATGGGAATTATCCTTTTTGACAGGTTGGCTATGAGCCATGCAACATACAATCCTATCATCTATTTCTGGATGAATTACAAGGTAGGTTTGGTTAACCGCGGGCGATGTCGCGGTGAAGTGCTGTACAATTAGACGTGCTGCACTGTGACCGGATGCAGTAAGCAGATCCTTCAATGCTACACCACATAAATGCCAAATGCTTATATAGAAATTTTTTCAATTACGAGCTATCTGCCCAGGTTACAAGAAATTTTCTAATAAAAGGCAAAAGCAGTTAACACCAAAACTGATTGTAATTTCACATTATAAAGGGTTTCTATAATGCACAGAGTATATCAAGCAAGAAACAGCGGTGGTTTTTCGACCAGAGAGGATGCTTTTGCTGTTCTGTTATACTTTACTCTGGGGTTTTTTACATCGATAATATTGGCCGTACATTGATAATATTCGTCGTAGTACATGCAATATTATATCACGCAGTGTCAGTGGCTTATGTTTATTTAAAATTACAAATACAAATGTATGGGCAAATACACGCTTTTTAGTGCCGGTATAATCGACAAGCGACATCAGACAGAATTGATGCGTTTATTATAAAGAATGGGAAAAAATATTTGCTTACCCTGGACAGGTGCTCGTCCGATCCAGGGAGTAATATGATAAGGCAAAAGATCCTTTTACCACTGACAAAAGGGTCTTTGCAGTAAATGTGGCATCCTCCACATAAGTGTCGTAGAATTTCCGTTCGGGTGAGACATTTGAATGGAATTCATAACACTTATCGATCACCGAGATAACTAATCGAAATAATGTCAAGTGCTGCTAATGTGATGCATTTTTTTCCTACTCCTTCTTCACACCATCCTAATGGATTAGAACAAATGTTGCTCAGTCGCTTGTCGGTAAAAAACCTTGACACCACTTGTCGATGGAAACATCTGCTCGAAAATTAAAGAATGCCGGCAAAAACTACTTCTTACACAATCACTTTGTGCGATCGCCTGTCTTTGTCGTGCAATGTATCGCTGTACGCTTGCAGCACTTTGTGTATACACTGAGCGGGCTGCGAGAGAGAAAAGTGGATTGTTTGTATGGTGTGAAATGTAAAGAATGATTAATTAGTATTTAATGGCTTTTGGTGTTATTTAGTTCCGGGCGGGATTTGTCTACGCACTCAATCTGGTCTTTTGCTTCCGGCGCAAATCCGATCAGTGGCTAGTCGACAATAAATTAATCGATAACCGATACATATCTGGTCAATCCAGCGCCAGTGGAATGAAGTATACGGAAGTGCTGTCCAAGTTCGACTGCGCCGTACATACCGGCTATTCCAGTGGACGCTCATCCATAACCGCCGTTGCCGGCAAAAACCCGACCGCAACTAATAACCTGAAAATTGTTCACAACAATTTGGCCAGACTACCGGGCAATAAAGCCGAGCATAATCGGGCGAACAGCAATGGTTACATGCCGGTGAAATGCAGCGTTGCTGTGCCGGCTGTTGCACGATCTCCGCCGCGATCAGCTTCCGTGACTTCCGCTGGCGATACCGTTAGTGATACAACTGAAGCCAGAATTTTATTACCGGACCATCCGATCGCTGATTTATGAATGGGACTGCTCTAGCATGAGCAATTTGTTTGTTGGGAAAATAATTCGAGGATGATCTGGTTCAGTTTGTTTTCATTTTTGCTAATTATTCTGTATTTTCGATCTAACCATAAGGCTTTCTCGGTTCCGAGATTATGTTTCTGTCTGCCTGTACAGCGCAATATACAGTACAGAGGAATATCTATCTGAATATTTAATCCATATTTGGATTTATATGAATTTAATTTGTCTGAAAGGCAATATTTCCGAGTACTGCATGTTAGCACCTAGTTGATTTCCTGTAGTTCTATGAACAAAATTTTTGTAGAAATGCCATAGTAAATAAAGACGAATAAGCCATAGATGATCCGACTAAGAAATTGCTTATACTCTTATATAGTACTACTATACGGTGTATACCGTTATTAAACGTTCGAAGGTGAATGTGTGAATAATCTTTATTTGGGTACATGCAACACCATCAAAGCTGTTTCATGATATTCACAAAAGTGACAATCTTACAAACGTTCATAACCCAGAATGATACTAAATAGCAACAAAATTTATCCGAAAATGGATTACATGAGCACCACAGCTGGCAATCATCACAAAACGACAGGAACAACAAAAAATGAGTATTTTCAAGTAACTCAATCCATTGCAAGTACATCAAAGCAAGAAGAACTCTGAACGAATTAATTGATTCCATGCATGGTTTGATGAGTGCAGGTTTTCCTCATCGCCTAAAAAAACCACAACATTAATAAAGGCGCACCTAATTACTCGTACAGACAGCGCTTCATATGCTTGTATAATTATTATGTGTACCGCACTGCAAATATCGAAGCGTTTAAAGATTGACTTTTCGTTCTACTGTACAAAAATCATTGTGTGAATGTAAACGAAGAAAGTTTAAAAAAAAATGTTTATATGCAAAATACGGTAACCGATACCGAAATATTATGAATGACACAACCGCCGCATTTTGCCAGGATAACAAATTACAGGATAAAAATTACAGACATTACTGTATTAATTACACGTGTGACACAGTATACGTACCCTGATCAGTTCCGCAGCCGAAATTCCGTCGGCGCACGCATTAGCCAGGAATCTCGGCGCAGTAAATAAAGCATACTCATTCTGTAATACGATCATCACACATTACACATCAATGCATTTGGAAAGTAAAAAATTTCCAGGCAGCATCCATTCACTTACCCTGGCTAAGGAAAAGCAGTTCTTGCTGAAAAATTTATTAGCTAAATGCAGACACTGATGCACTTCTTCGTCGTCAATCGACTGACGGGTGTTGATAAGTTCAAGGGCATGGGAAGAACTTTTGGCCACCGTGCCGGCCAGCTTGCGCAGTACGCCATTGATGAAACCACGTTTCTACAGTAGGGAACAGACAGAAACGGAGATGTACAATTTACCGGCTTTTTTTCCCACGTTGCGTCAATGATGCGATCACTTACCGCCGTGGCAGCATGGACCTGCTTCATCCAGTAGTCGGATTCCTCGGGTGTCTGAGATTTCTCCGCTTTTTTGCGCAGAATGGTCAGGTAGACATCCTCGGATTTCACCGCATCGGCTTTGCTGACCTTTGGCAGTTGGACGGCGTCTTCGTCAAAGCTGTGGCCCATGAAATCACCCACTTTCATCTGGGCAATGGTCAGATCACCGTATTCCATCACATGCGACGTGTTGGTCTCTTTTTTAACGATTTTGAATTGAGACTGCAGGGTTTCCTTCGAGAGATTCTCTTTATCGGAATCCTCCATCCAGTTAACGCTGTAGACATCTCCTGCAATGAAATTATTTTTCAGAATGTTTTTCTAATTTTTAGGATGAATGAAGCAACAAAATAAAAGTATTTTTTCAAGAGGCTGTGCTTTACTTGTATCTATGTAATCTATGTAATATTAGCTTATTAGTTCCATAAACTTATCAATTTTGTACTAATGAGTAATGGTGTGTGTGATATTTGATATATTTGTCAGCAAGTTATATTATTACCCCCAATAAGATAAATCACGCCATGATAATCTGCATTCGTAATAGCGATGTTATGAAATTGCATAATCTAGATATTAGTCTTAATAATAAATCTGAGCAGATAACCATAGGTCATATGCGCAGTCATGCGACTTAGCTTAAAATAAGGATAAGACATCGATAAAAATTGCCATGTAACTAACCGAGATATGTCTGCCGTAAATCATCATAATAGCACGCGTAGGATGACTGCAAAAACAAAGCAACGCCAAATGAATCATAATCACACACACGATGCTGTCCGCACTTCGTCAAGCTTGCAAAGAAAAATTATGACTGCCGGGTTTTCTTACCTCGTCGGGATTGGCAGCGGTTGTGGCAAAAACTGTAAACAAATTATTATAGCAAATTAATATTGCGACACACTTAGCTAGGCAGTGATTAATGGAGAAAATGACTGACCATCAATATTGTTAGGCAAAATGCCGTCGAACATGGAGCCGGATTCGCATGCCTCAAAATACAGGACCATCTTGGCAAACTTCTTCTGCTTATGCATGTCCTTAATGGCGTTATTCAGATCCACCGCCGACAGTTCGTCATTCGGGAAGGCCACAATTCCGGGTGCGCCATGGTCAACAAAGTTCACGAAAACGTGATCATTCTGCAAATTAATTCCGGATGTATATATGTGTATCTGTACATGCATGAGTCAGATATCGGAAGAGATCTTTCCAACTACGGCTCATACGACTTACGGGACCGCTGTTGATCACTTTACCGGAACCGATTCCCTATGAAAAAAGTGCACGGTAAATATTGAAGTTTCAAGAAGAAGCAACTTGGCTGAAAAATTGATTTAATAAAATACCTTCATAGCAGCCGCATCTCCTTGGAGAATTTTCAGGAAATTTGTCGAGGTCACGGTATCTCCGGTGTAATCTTTAAGAGCTCCCTATAATTAATCAAGATGCGATATTCCATACTGTCAATGTATATAACTTTCTTGAAAGTATTTTTTGACAACTTTACGGTGTAAAAAATTCGCATCTGAGCATGCTTGACATTTATTAATTTGATTACCTTGTACACATCTGATCCGTTCGGATGATTGATGATGATACCCGGTGTAGGGTTTCTGCAAACAAAAGCGGTAACAACGTGCGCACCATCACATGTCAGTACTTTCTACTTGGAAAAAATGACTGTTCGCTGCACTTACTCAGGGTCATTTGCAATATCGTCCTGCAATAAAACAAATTGTCAAGTAAATTAGTGTAAATATGTATAATTTCTTAAATTGTAAAATATAACACCCCCAGGCATGCAGCGCAAACAGATCATACATACAAATAAAAAATTATATATCCCATTATAAGTTTGTAACTAAATTGCTTTTGGTATACAAATTGCAGTTTAAATTTTTTTAAAGTTTAAAAAAGTTAAGAAACATAATAGGTAGAATTAAGATTTGAAAGTTTACAGAATTAACGAAAATATCAGTAATCACATTAACTTACATATTGCATAACTACAATATTGGAGTCCGGAATGCCGTGTTTGGCCATAATGTGGTACGCATGGCAAGCGTCCGACTAAAACAATGACAGCTAAAACCCTACCGAAAGCAGTTGCGGCAAATACAGCAGCGCGCATGTGTATTTTTGATGCACTGGCATTTAAAGTTTAAACATGTTGTGTACCTGATGCCGGTAATTGTAATAACCTACAAACGAAAATGATTTTTTGTTAATTTAAAGACACATCTCTCTTGGTTGGATTCATAACAGAACATTCAGTCAGCAGTAATTTATCTAGAAAATAGAGTCAATTTTTCTTACCGTTGGAGCCGGCAACAATCAGAACCCAGATGTTTGGTGCATCCTCCGCTTTGTCCCTATTTTTCTTACTGGATGCCGGAAGTATCACCGCAAACGCAGTGGCAGCCAGAAGCAGAATGGTCAAAATTCGCAGCATTATGCGATGGAAAAAAGGAAACCAAAGCAATAAGCAAAATGTATTGTACTGGGATTATCGACAGCTCAGCTCGGAGAAAATAATTTTTAAAATATCCCCTTAAAATTAACTGAAACCGTAGATGAGCTTTTTATACAGTCCTTGTCAGTTTTGAGGTTGTTATGTAGGAAAGTAATCGAAGAAAGATAAGCACGGGGAATAAAACAACTGATAACCTGTGTTTACATTAGCTGTCAAGTTTTGACTAGGGATGAACTGCAGAGAAAGAAAATCATATTGACAACTGGCACATGGCCTGCTGCACAGTAACAAACAGCGCCTGGTAGACTAGATGCTTATCGTCCCGGTGACGGAATGTGTTGGGTTAAATTCTACAAATACATTCGATACGATAAAACCATTGTCGGAAATTGTACAGAATAAAAACGGTGAAATGAGGGCAGTACTACCAATTAGCAGTAGATCGCATGATGCCGTTTCAAGTTCGTTTACACCGCGTGTCCTGTATTCTGCAGGCTCAGCACGTTTACTTCGGGTTGATAGCGTTGTTCAAAAGTTTGTTGTCAGAATTGTTTGTACTTATTTTGCACTTACTTGCATGCGCTGTGCATTGCAAAGTGAAGCATAAGAATTCTAGCTGATACTTCGCCAAATCAAATAGGTATCTACTGAAATTTTAATTTCGACCTTGCATTTACAGGACCACTTTCTGTAAAATGCCGCGCTACGATTATGATGATGATATTAATGCTGTCAAAGAAAAATTAATTTCACAGCTGAAATTTTGGCAACTCCAATTTAGACGAACATAAAAAATACTTTTTGTTATAAAAAATTTATAGTGCAATAAATTTGGAACAGAAAATAATCGTATTGAATTACTTTTGAACATACCATCGTTGGCATCGTATACTTCCGCCACTTCCGTGCAAGTCCATACTTTAGCCCCGCCTTTTCTATACGTCATCGCGGAAAGGCGAAATTGACCATCGGAACGGATCGCACAGCACTGAACTCAGTACAGCACTGAAACCATCTGTAGTGTTCAATCCGGCCTGTTTGCACACTGCGCTGAACAGTGACAAACATCCGCTACAACTTGTGCTACAGTAATTTACAAAAGGGTTCGTTGATTTAAAGTCCCAACAACTTTTGCAAAAATCTTGATAAGTTTAGCAGAGGTATAATCTTATTGGTTATTCATAGCGAATCAGTACGTTCTAGTCTGAAAAGATGAAAGCCGTGAAAGTCTTGATCGCTGGAGCTGGGATCACTGGCTGTGCTATTGCATCTGAACTGAAGAGATTCGCATCCGCACTTGTAAATACATCTGTCGAAATTGTCGTTTGGGAAAAGGCGGACCGAACTGGTAAGATTTGTAGCTTTGACACCTGGCTTTCGTGCCAGATCGCAATGGCTTTGATGCCTTTAAACAATCAACAGGTGGACGCATTATGACGTTCAAACTACCAGAGAACGTGGAATGCTTTGCTGATCTTGGATGCCAATACGTCAGCGTCACGCCGCAATCTCGCACTCGCTTTTCCAGGTGAGCCGTTAATTTTTAGCACGTTTGCACAAAGTGCGGATATATAGTAGAATTTACAGATTTTACGATCAGCTGGAGCGCGAAGGCCTTCTGGTGCCCATGCAAGCGCGAATCGAAGGCAGTAATCCATACTCTGGGAACGATGTTAGCGATTTCGTCTGTCCACTTGGAAATTCCGCAATCGTTGATTATTTCCTTCAACAGTCACGAGCGACGCTTAAGACGAACTGTTCTGTGGAGTCCATTGAAAGCACTTCAAACAACCAGTTCATCGTGCAATCAGGAAGCTCTGGTGTGACGGAGAGTAATGTGGATGTGGTCGTTTTGACCATGCCTATTCCACTGATTGACGGCATACGTTTGAATGGTTTGTTAGCCGAAGAGAGGGCGAAAATGAGAACAATGCATCCGGTAGAATATTCTTCACGGTACGCACTGGCGCTCTTCTTTCCCGATCGCTGCGACGTGGGATTAGATTTTGGGTTTCGATTTCTGGATGATGATATTTTAAGGTAGTGTAGTATACATTTGTTAAAATCGGAATTTGTAATGGCTAGTCTTGCGCATTATCGCCACCTGCCATGCAATTTTACTAATAATCCCGTAATTTTTAATTAATAATTAATTATTAATTTAATTATTAATTTAATTTTAATTTAATTTTATTTTTAATTATTAATTTTTTTTTAATTTTTAATTGAGTAATTTTATCCCGTTTTAGAATATTTTTATTTTATCATCAGGCGTGATATCATAAATATTAGGGTTTGTGTGTTATAATTATTATCTTGTACACTGTTTTCGCTTTTATACTGTTAGTACTTGTTATGTATCATAAATATTTTTGGTTTTGATTGCAGGTATATTGAAGTGGATAATATAAAGCGTAATCAGAGGGATAAACCATCCGCCGTCGTAATGCATTCTACATGGCAGTTTGGGCAGAAGCATTTGCAAAGTAGCCTGCTTGAAGCCGAGAAGCTTATGTTGGAACGGTTTCATATCGTTTTCCCATCCGTACCGCGTACAGATTTCCGGAAAATCCATCAATGGCGATACAGCCAAGTACGCACTCAAAAGGAGGGATCAGAGCGTTTAGGATATTGTGACCTACGAAATCAAACCGGATTTCTACCTGGAGTATTTTGCGCGGGAGATGGATTTACGTTTTCTAGTATGGACGGATGTTTTGAGTCCGCTAGTCAAGTCTGTGAAGCAATTTTTAAAAGAATTTCAGACAGATAATTAGCCGATATGATGTGTTAATTTAATACTTTAATTTGGATTTACTTTAGGGATCTCGTTGCGTTCTTTCGCCTTTCGGTATAAATTATGGAATGAATTGTAAAGATTCGCTGTCAGGTTCCGACTTTTGCACGCTAAGGAAGATATTATGTTAATCGTTTGATTTCCACTGCTACTTCCTTTTATAAAATTGTGGTGTACATGCAGATACGTCTAGTGAAACGTTTGAAGGTGGTACGACATCGGTACATTGCAATCGTTTGGATTTACAAATTCTAAACAGTCCGAGCTATCACCTCTTTATAGCGTAATTAATAAATGCGTAACTCACCGAGTAAATAGGAGACGCGATGATAAGCGGTTTAAACGTTAAGTATTGTTTTTGAATTACTCACACAGTACGCATAAATTCACAATGTGCCGGATGTGCTGCTGCTGTGTACTGTACTCACTGATACGCCAATTAATAATTCTGTTCGGATTAGATAGTAGTACAACGGAATGATAACATTTTCCGTTATCAGTATGTACATTTGATGTAACATGAATCCGCCGAGCCTGAATTGTTGTATCATTTTATGAATTATGCACACCAAACAAGCTTGCAGACCAGAAGATCCAGTAGCTGTGCAGAGTCCACGTTTTTTTATGTCCAGAACGTCCAGAACTTATCACAAAATACAATTTATATCGTTTTTGTGCTGATCGGAAGCGAAATGGTTTGGAGAATAATCGCTTGTAAATGGTTAACGTTTATCTGCACAGCGTCCGCTGCATTTTCAGGTAAGTGTTTAAAAATCCTGATTTTGCTAGCAATTGGCGGAATCGTGTTTTTTCGTTGCTTTCAGTCGGAAATGCTCAGGTGACGTTGGACTTGAGTTCCTTGGATTCGCCGATTGTTTTTCCCCAGATTATTCTCCCAAGCGGTATAGGCGAATTTTTGACTTCGACATTCGACAACACAAGTTATTTTGTATTCTGCAGCCGGCGGGATAGAGATCCCTTTCGATTCGGCGCAAACGGTTACAAGTGCTCGGATATTAACATGCGGACGATGTTTTCAAGTGGCGGTCAACACGACCAGCTCCATTCCATCCATTATTATTCGACGATCAACCGAGTCCATCTGGCAGGACTGTGTACGCCTTGATAGCTTACTTTCGTATTATAAACTGGCTACTTACGACCAGTATGATCAGCGGCCATAATTATTTTCAGGAGCGTGATCTGTCAGACGGATCCGATCCGGATCCGATCAAGTACTGTGATGCCGGAATTGCGTTTTACGCTGACTCCAGCCAGGTTAAAAATATTTTTGCAATTATTAGCTTGCCGTACAAATGTAGTAGTTTGTTGATAATTTTGTAGGTCGGAACTGCAACTATCCGGCTGTATGTAAATCGTCAACCGCAAGTCAACTTCATACCGGATGACCTTTCCAACGTCGCAATTGCAGAAGTACAAATTTTTCGGAAAACTTATTTGTTTTTTAATGCCGCTTTGGTATACTGCGCTGGTTAAATTAGTTCGGTATTTCGTCCTTTTTATTAACGATTGCAAGATTAGCTGTACAAGTATATTTTTGTGTTGATTGTTCAGAATAGCTTAGAAGTCAGTCGGATTGCCGAAATTACTGTCAGCGATCCGGATGAATTGAGCTTTTATTACCGCGACAGAAGGATCGAGATTGTAAGTTTACTTTTTTGTGCATCATTCCCTTGTGCTGACAGATCTGCAGGTTGATGTTGCAGGATTCCTGTGAAAGCAACTGCCCCTGGAAATTACAGGCGGCAGCAGCAACTGGAACTCTGCCGTGTAATGCTAATAACATATCCTGTGATTCCAACTTCCAAGGAAGCGATACTTACATTTTATCATTAATTCGAGAACTGGACTACGAGGCTACTGCAGTTCACCAGATTTTTATCCGCACTACGGTAAATCCGCTGGACAAAGTTTTTTAATTTTCTTCAAAGGCGTTTATACTATTGTTTTTGTTGATTCCCAACGCAGGATGCGATTGGGAAGCCGAAGTCACAGCAAAATATTTTACAGCGTTCTATAACTGTACGCGTAACCGACGTGCAGGATACTCCACCGCAATTTGTTGCTTATCAGCCTTTTTATTCCATCGACGAATTGCTGCCTGAGGTATTGGTTTGAACTTAAATTGTTTTAAATTTTTTTGGGGTTGAAGTAATATTCGACATAAGAATATTCCAATAAGTGATTGTACTAACTGGATAATTTTCGATGTGTCCCAGTCACTGGTTATAACAGCTGGATTTAATTATATAGTCCTTAATGGATGTTCTCTTTTGGTCCTGTTTAATTTCGACTGCATTCACGTATTAGAGAAGGTATACAATAACAATTCCTTTTATGTACAGAGCATACATAATTAATGCCAATGTTCATTTTAGGGCACCCATTTGTTTTCTGTGAAAGCCATCGATGGCGACCGTGGACAAAATTCTTCACTTATATATTATGAATTATGTCAAACTGACAGTATTTCCGGACTTTGCGCAGATGTTCCTTTCCTGAACATAAGCACAAATGCCGCACGCGAAGGAGAAATATCTGTTCAACGAACATTCGCAATCGAAGACATTGTTGATAATACAATCATAATAAATATTACAGTTGAGTTCTTCGGAAAAATACTAAAGTTTTTCTGTTAATGCACACGTCTGCAATTTGAAGAGAATTCACATGGCTGGTACCGATTTGTAGGCTGTGGAGGATACACTGCAACAAGATCGTTCTACCATATCCGCTCGGATTTTAGTGTTGGATGTCGACAACCATAAAGCGGAATTCTTTCTGAATTCCAACGCCGCCGGTGAAGCGGTGTCGTTGGTTGAAGCTGAAATCGAAGAGAACAGCTTTCCTGGTTCCCCACTTCAACTGACCAGTGGTCAGCAAATTTTAATCCAAGATAAAGATCAGGTAAGTGATACAGTTTAATACACCAACTGAAAACATTCTGTTGAACAACCGGAAACAGCAGATATCCAATAATTATCTGTAGGGCATTAATGCTCGTTTTAAAATTTATCTGGATCCAAACGATACTTTCGACATTACGCCAACGGAAGCTCAAGGATCAGCCTTTGTCTCCATCCGCGTGAAAGATAACAAACAACTGGATGCGGAAATTACTCAGATGTACAATCTGACCATCCATACTCGTGGCGAAGTCACTTCAGAAGATGACGGTCCTAAAGAAAGCAGTGCTACGGTCCGAATTGCGCTAATCGATGTGAACGACCATTCTTCGATAATTAAGGTATTATTGTTGTAGCTTATAGTACGTATAGTTCGTGGGCGTGTATAACACCTGTACAATTTTGGTTTATCAACATTAAAAGTAAAAAAATATAGAATTAGTTCACCAACAACAAATGGTTAAAAATTTGTTACTTAGGTTATTAAACCATCATAAATACAATGCCGTATGAAAAGTTAATGTCACCGTTTATGCTTTTTTTTGAATTTTTTTGCAGGGCTGTTCGGAATCGCAACCTATCAACATTACCGTGGATGAACTCGTCTTTATCACTAGACGCCAAATTCTTCTGGAAGTTGGCCAGCAGTCTAACATTACGGATTCTGATTATGACCTGGTTAACCGGAATATAAACACAACTCGCTTCCGCCTGTACCAGTTCGAAGAGCCTAATTTTGCTGTCAGCGAAACTGGATCGGTAGAGGTTGTTGGACGCTTGGATTTTGAAACATCCACGTTTCACCAAGTGTTTGTGGAAACGGATAACGTCGGTTAGTAAAGAAACATGAGGCCGCTTCTGCTTCTGTGCTTTTTAATTTCGTTACTTGAAAATTTGCCAGGCATAGAAATGCAAACTTTATGTATATGTACAACATCTAAAATCTTTTTGCTACGTTTCATATCTTCTTGGTGAATATTTTGGAAAATGTTGAATCTGCATGTTCGTATTCTGTTTCTGCAGGACGAAATGGTAAAGTGATGACCTCGTACTGCGTTATTGGCGTGACTGTTACCGATGCCAATGACGAAATGCCCGAACTTGTCGCCGATTCGGTACAGCCAGAATATATCATCCCGGAGAATATAATTATGGATTTTCCAGAAATTCAGGCATTAGACAAGGACACTACCGCTTCGCTGACTTTCACTCTGCGACTCGATCGCGCACAAGGACCGAACGGAGCAGTGGTGCCAGCCGCTGACTTCGATTTAGCCAATCACACCAGCATCGTTGTGCACACGCCTAACGAAGTCAACACGACGTGGAGGGCAACGATAAAGGTCATCAAAGAGTTTGACCGCGAAATAACCGCAGAAATTCAAGCCACTTTAATCGTTCAGGATGTTAACGCTGATCCGCGATTGTCAGCGCAGATCATTGAGCGACGCATTATCATTCGAGTGGAGGACGAAAATGACAATGCCCCGAAGCTCTTTTACAATAATGAACAGGTTGATGAAGACCCTGTGATGCTGGAAATCGCAGAAACCGCCTCCAATGTGACGTACACTTTTACTTTTACGGATGATGATTCTGTGCCGCGACCATCTAATTTTTCGGCAACTGTCTCAGTTCCAAGCGAATTTAGCGAATATTCGCACCACTTTCAGGTGACCATTATAACCGCCCAACGGATTATACTACGAGTGATTCAGCCTTTTGACTGGTTGAAGTTGAAAAATATGACCTTTTCACTGATTGTTTATGACGACGGACAAAGCGGCAACATGGCTGTGGTATCGATATTTTTGAGAATTCTGGATCGAAATAACAACAGACCGAACATTACATTTCCGGAAAACGACAGAAAATTTCTTATTAGAGAAACCACACCGGAAGAGACTTTACCACGAGAGTTGTTCAGAGTTACTGCAATCGATTTGGATTCCGATGAATTTCTCCCGCTTTCCTACAGAATGTCCCTTATCAATGCACCCGATCTTCAGGATAAAGTGACTATCGACAGCGCAACAGGACAGGTTTCATTGGTGGCACCGGTTGATCGGGAAGAGCCGGTATTCGAGCGTGACCCGGAATTCCTTGTTTTCTTGACAGTCATTGATAACGCCAACAGCTTAGCTGATTCCCAATCCAGCGAAACAATAAGAGTGTGTATTTCTGATTCTGTAAAGAAAAAGGATGCACCATGTTAACGCAGATAACAGAAATTTTGTAATTTAATCAGTCATAGAAGTTGTCACTTATTTGAAAACTTGCTTAATTTTGTTTGACATTACTGTAATATGTGTTTTCTCAAAATAATTTTCCACATTTTTATTTTCAGATATCTTTCAAAATCGAAGACATCAACGACAATATTCCAGTTTTTGCCAATGACACCCAAGATACCGTCCTACTGCTGCCGCGACAAAATGCTGCACAATACGAACTGCCATTTCGATTAAACGTGAGTACAGTACGAGTACTTACATAAGCTGCTGAAAGTGAATCTGTCCTGTCTATGACTACCTAACACTAAAATCTATTGCCAACAACGTTTAAAAATTGCACTGCAAATTATTTTAGCTTTGTATGGTACACGCAGAATTTGATTATGCTAGCTAGGTTCGGGATGCTGATGCTCCTGATCAGTGTGGATTTCTCACATATTCGCTTACCAAAGAGGAAAACGTGCCGGTTTACTTGCCATCCGAAAATTCACCGGTTTTACGGTTGAACGATGCAGTTCCTGGCGGTCTGGCTGAGTTCACTTTGAACGTCTTTGACGGATCCAAACCGAACTGCGGAGGAGGGCATACAGTCAGCCGCAAGTTAACTATTAAAATCCTCCAACAGGAGAATCTATACACGTTGACCATTGCGATTGATACTGATGCGCCGGGGACGGAGCGAGAGAAATCTGAGCCTGTACAGAGGTAATGCTGGATATAAATATGTAGAAGCAACACAATTAGACAACGTACTTTTGGTGCTTACGAACTTGCACCAGAAAACATTTACCAGTTAATTTAATGGGTGAGACTATAGGCACCCCTTTCACCCCCGTTTGCTATAGGCACCCCTTTGCACCCTGTTGTACTATAGGCTACCGCTGTCGACAATCAACGCATAACAAGGTTCTTGACCTTAAGCCCGCTTCTTCGCCACTCCTGATCTCTGTTAATAACCATGCGTTGTCGTTGACAGTTTAATGGTGCAGAATCAGGGGCTTTTAAGCAGCGTTGGAGTGGTCGGTATTACTAGCCCGCCCGGACCCGAATCGGAAGGATTGTCGACCGACGCCATTATAGCGATTGTACTGGGTGTTTTCCTGGCGCTGACGTTGATCGTTATTATCGTCTATGCCGTTGAGAAAAATAAGTGAGCAGGCATAACCTTTAGCAGTGTAATTTTTGGGTCAATTAATCGGCTCTGTTTGTGTCGTTTTGCAGATTACAGCGTAAACTTAAGTCTTACCGGGCAATGGAAGGTAGATAGAAAAGTGTTGCGCGGGTTATAGGGAAGCGTTCGTTAAACCGGTTTGCACTCTGCACTGTTTTTGCAGATGTCGGCGCAAAACGTCAAGGTCCCGACGTAGAACCTTTACCAGACTACGTCGGCGCTCAGACAAAGTAAGAAGTTTAGTAACTCCATCAGTGTGCCGAATACTTGCAGACGTATTTTGTAGCTCCACTGTGGTATTAAAGCGCCTTGACCTCTTGACTTTCTTTTGCTGTAGAATAAATCCGTTGTTTGATGCTGATGGAAATGCTGCTTTACCGGTTGCCGGTTTTCCCGAGCTCGAGTACGTACAAAACACGATATTTTTCGTACCATCGTTGCCCAGTATGGACCCCAGTAATAGATTATTCTCGTTTACAGGAGCGACAGTACATCCGATATTGTATCGGAAACGGCTAGTGTTACGTCCAGTGGAACTGCTAATGATGTGGAAGATTTAGAAGCAGTAGTGGCGCGGACAAATCGCCAAAACCTGAATAATCGACTGCGTTGAGACTGGCTATCAAAAAACTTATCTGTGGTTTTTAAATGTACTTTTTTCAACCGGTGGGAAATGTGGTAAGCAAAGCGACGGTTGCCTGTGTTTTCGTGTTATGCAGCTTGGATGGTGTATGACGTTTTCCCAATTTTGCGCGCAAAATTATCTCCGCATGAGTAAAAAATTGTGAACTATGAGGATAAAAGGAAGTGCCCCTTGATCTGAGTCATCTGCGAAAAATAAATCGTTTTCGATTTTGACTTCATTTTCATTAATCAGTGATTGACGGTTGGCGAGTGCATGTAGATCATGCTTTTTTGTATTAAAGTTTCTAAAATGCATCTTGTGTTTAGTACAGTATCGCAACACACTTGCTCTAATGTAAACATTCGCCAATGTTTCTTTTCTCAAGGACTGCAGAGGTAAGTAAAGTATAAACGAGCGTATAAACTCGTATTAACTCCAGGCAAAAGGTCAAGAAAATACTATCATGCAGTGCGGAGTCGATGTCAATACACGGATGCCGAGCCATCTCCACACGAGATCGCCCATTCCTTGGTCGCATAAAATTATGTATGCTTCCAAAGAAGTGCGTTCCGGCTACAATGAATTAATTATGTTTACAACAGGGAGACTTTTTCTCCGATGGCCAAAGTTATACGTATTCTTTCTACTGGTGCTTCGTGCCAGCATGTGCAACGTTCATTTTTAAAGGTTTATTGATGCTCATTACAAAAACGTACAGTTAGAAACACAGCTGCAAGTTTGCAACCAACCAACCCATGTCATTTGCCAAAGGAATGAAACTGCAGCGCTTATACCTATGGATACATAGCCACTGGTCATTCACAAAATCAAAGGAATTTGTTGAACTCAAGTATGGACTGAGCGGCTGCCAGCATGCCACGAACTCTATAGTGACTACCACCCTTGATGGCAGTTACCTTCTCCAGTTCGCGTGCGTCCGTGCACTCGGCAAGCGTGCTCGGGCCTGACGTGAGCAAATCAAGCCTGAAAGCCACTGTGCTGCACTTGCTGACTTGCAGTAAGCTGCAGTTCAACAAACTGCAACGATTACTTAATTATGTCGTTGACGTTTTTGGGACTTTCTAATAATTAATTTTCTCATTCTGTGACGGTTCACACATTTCGCTAATTCTTTTGTTGCTGTTGTAACTTTAGCTGTTGATTATAACTCTTATTGTTGACGAAGCTTCAAAAATGTTGATATTGTGCTGTTATGAACACAAATCGGACAAACCCAGCGCAGTTTTGGATGCGCTGGCAGTGTGCAGTGTGTGGTGAGGAAGCGGAGTACTACGTAAGTACCTTTGGGCTGTGCGTAATCAATCACCAATATCATCCAGAGGAACTTATCGGATTGGACTCACTGCTTTCGGATTATAATTGCTCTGCCTATATTTGCTTGTTTTAATCGCCTATGCTGTTTGACATACTGATTCCGAAATCGCTCATTGCAAAAGATGTAAGACAGCATACGAGTAGTCAAAAATGACTGACTAACTATTACTTACAGTTTAACTAATTTTGCTTCTTAACTACTTCAGAATCTGAATTTAACTGGTTTATAGTTTATACTTTTTTCAACATTACTGTTTTCATTTGGTGAAAAATAAAAACTGGCTGGACAGAAATTACTGATTATTGATAAATATTTAGCCGTGTTCTCTCGAAATGCCATTATTATGACACTGATATTATTATTATCAATATAGTGACTAGTATTTGCAGCAATAATTTACTCATATTAGTCAAATAAATAATTATTGATACTTTAATTGATAGCACGCAACAGTCTGAGGAGTGGCGCTGGACAAACTGGTAGAAAGCATTATGTATTGGTATTTGGTACTTGTAATATTTGCTAACAGTTAGAAATATTACTGATGTTAATAAGTTAATTCTTCGTTTTTACTTCACCAAATAATTGACTCATTTAGTCATTGCAATATTAAATTTTGTGCTTCTAGACGAAGGTTATGGATTTGCAGTTAAACAGCAATGCATTGTAGATTCCTCTTGTGTGCGGAGCTGAAGGAACCATACGGATTAGGAGAGCTTTCGGTGATTGCCTCCAGATATTACTAAGTTGAAAACATCCACCACCAGTCTCCGACAACGAACAAGATATCCTGATATTGGTCAGGATTTGGCTCTTAATCGAATTTCCTTCATGTTAAAGGTGTGTGGGATATCTTTTACACGGTTGGCATTTAGACCTTTCTCATCCGTGCAATCTGTTTCCCATAATCGTTACCTGATATTTTAAAGTGATTAGAAAAATTCACTGGTTATATATCGATTTCTTCCTGGGTAACTTTGTTGATGGGATTCGGTAGCGGGAATTTTTATCAGCGGTGGCGTCGCAATCGATTTTCACTCACCTAATGGAGCTCTGTATTTTGCAGTTTCTAACCAAGTGGGACTGAGTGATATTCATTTGCCATGCGCGAGCCAAAGAACAGGCAGAAAAACAGTCCGGGCCCGGGATCCAGCCCGGCAGACTCGTCCCTCTCCGGCCGCACCCCGTTGCCCAGCACGCCGAGCACCGCCGTGCCCAGTCCGTCGCCGTCGCCCGGCCAGTCCTCGCAGCGGCCTCCGCGGACGCCGATGCACGAGCCGGCTGACAATTCCCCCTGGTACCCCCAACCGCCCTTGCAGCAGCCCATGACCCCCAAGACCATCATTAAAAGTGAACCATCCCTGGACGGAATGCACACCACCCCAGAAGCAGCCGCCAGCATGTCCAATCCGCCGTCGGTGTCGATGCCGTCGCCTGCGGGTGGCGCATCCGGACTGATCTCGGCCGGGAGCAATCTGATTGTGCCTTCCAGTCCGTTGGATCAGTTTAAAAAGGAGGATCCCATGGAAAAGATGGCCCAGATGACCAGCAGTCTGGGCGGACCAGCTGGCGGTTCCTTCCTAAAGAGTTTGCAGTCGCCGTCGGCGTATTCGCCCGGCACACCGCAGGGCTACGTTCCGTCGGCCAGCCCCAGTGGTCTGTCCCGGCCCAGCGTTATCACGCAGCAGCCGTACGGCGCGGGATCCCGCCAGATGGTCAGTTCACCCAATCCCAACCAGCCACCACCGCCGTCACGCATGGTCAACAACCAGGGAATGAATAATATCAATCACGGTCCGCCTGTGCCGGAACAACCCTACATGCAGCGACAGAGTTTTATCTTTGTATTCAACACAGAGATGGCTAATCATGCAGCGGATTTGGTGGGTCAAGGGCGTTACTCGAGTATCCTGGATTATCACACGGAGATACCGGAGACTAGACGATTCCTGGCTCAGCACGGTAACCCGGGAGGGTTATACCTGAAGAGAACTATGGATGGTGGGATGGGGAAAGCCGATCCGCGGCAACCGGCCCCGGGCTGGCCGCCGGAAATGCAGATGCGCCAGGGTGGAGGGATGCCGCCGTATCAGGTCCCGTTTCCTGGGAAAGGTGGAGGAATGCCCCCTGGACAGATGCGCCTGCAGCCGAATATGGAAATGCTCCCGGGCGGCCCAATGCCGGGTATGGAAGAACCCAGTGCAAGGGAATCGAAACAGGCCAAGCTGGAAAAACTGCAGCAGCTGAAAAATAAATTTTTGCCGGCAGAGAACGTGGGCGAGATGCCGTACGGCATGCAGCACGCTCCCCCGCCCGGGCATGCTCCGTATCCTAGTCAACATCCAAATGACAATCCCAATGTTATGCCGGTTCCCTCGCCGCAGCCGATTCAGTATATTAGCGGTCAGTTTGATGCCCAGGAACTGGTCATTCAAAAGCAACCGAATCGTATGTATGTTCGATCTCAAGCGACGCAGCAGCAAATGGCAGCCGAAGTTCCTATGCATCAGCAAGGGCAGTTTCCCGATCTTCGTGGTGGTATGTATCATGTACAGTGATATGAAAGTTGTTGAAAGCTAGACTGGATTTCTGTTTCTGAATAATAATATAAACATTTTGCCGGATTGAGGTTGTTAAATTCCTGGCATATGCCTTTTTGCACTCCTTTTCTGAACAATCAATAGGGGAAACAATAGTGTAAACGACCGAAATTAAAATTGAAATGTTTAATTCTGATCTTTCAGGAGATGGTCATCCCGGGCATCACTTTCCTCCAGGCAATGGAGGTCCGCCGTTCCCTGGCGGTCCAGGCGACTTTGATCCGGCATTTGCCTCGGGTACCGCTGGCGCGCATCCCCAAATGTCGCCCATGCAGCGTCCGGGAATGGATCCGTGTGAATATGCGGGTGAAAGCGCCTGGCTCCGAGGCCATGTTTGACGCTCCCCGCCCCAACATGCACGGGCATCCGCACATTCGACCGCCGCCCCAGACCGTCAACAACACGTATATCAACGCACACATGACTATTGAGCAGCTAAACATCCAGAACCCGTCCTACGACAACACGCAGTATTCTCACTCGCAGACACAATCCTCCATGACCTACGCCGGTCCCGGCATGGAGCCGGTGCAGATGGCCCGCGGCGTATCGCAGGTGCAGATGAGCCATTCCCAGCAGCAGCAGCAGCAACAGCGGCCCATGACGGAAATGGCGTATCCGGTATCGTACGAGGGCCAGCCGCAGATTGCCATTCGGCCCAACGCTCCCAACACCATCCAGTACCTCCCCAGCCGGCCACCTGCTCCCCGCCCGCCGCGTGCCCCACCCAATCTGGACTTTTTGCACCAGTGGACGGGCGGACCCGGAATGAATCAGCCGGGAATGCAGCCGAGCGGACCGTTTCTGAATTCCGGCATGAGCACCAATGGCGGTGGGGTGGGTGGCGGCGGCGGCGGGCCCGGTGGCGCCATGTATTCGCCAATGGACGGCCTACCCATTAACCGCAACATGAATCCCAATTTCCCCATGCAGTCCCCCGGCCCGCCACAAAATCCTGTACATGTGCATAATCCCATAGCGGATGGGAGCTACAGCTCCTATCAGGATTTTCAGCAGCAGCTATACGCCACTAAAGTCGGTAATGCGGGCGCGACGGCCGCTGGCCAGCAGCCAATGGGCTGAGCTGGCCAGGCAGCGAGTGCCATAGAAATGTAGCGGCGAACAAGTTGCCAAAAGCACATTGCTCATGCCTTACTCTGTGGACAAGCATGGACGAGCGGATGGCACAGTTTACAGTTGAATGTATTCATTGTGAAAAGTATTCTATCCTGGCTAAGCGGTAGTTGAACGGCTCTCTATGTGTAGTTGTATTTTTCTTTTTTTAGTTTCAACATTTATTCTCTTGGTTCTTAGTTTTTACCTCGTCTCTGTGTTTATTGTAAACTGATCTTGTGCGTAACGATTTATTTGCTGTTTATACGTACGATTCTTTTGTTATATTGGTCGCAGTTCTTGACTAGCCCTTTGTTTTCTTGTCGTTGTAAATTCAGAAACCTAAGCATGAATGCTGAATGAACTGTAAAACGCTGATTTTTAAATTCATTATACCGTTGATCTGCTATGGGTGCTGCGGCACTGCTGCCAATCAAATTGGCATGCCTTGCGTACACGATCAATCACTGACGAAAAACAGCGGTAATTTGCCTGTAAAATCTCTTGCCAGAACGGTGTAACAAGACGCCAGATCCCTTCTTTCTATGGGCTATATTGGAGAAATGTAAAATCAGATATTAAAAATTATTAAAGTTATAGTTTTGTTGTTTAAATTTTGGTGGTGGGGGACCGGGGTCAAAATTTTGAGGGAGGAGGTAGGATTTATTTTTTGGTGGTGGAGATCAAAATTTTGAGCTTATAGGTAGTATTTATTTTTTGGTGGTGAAGCTCACAATTTTGAGCTTAGAGGTAGTATTTATTTTTTTATGGCGGAGGACAAAATTTATGAACTGCTATTTTTGATGGTGGGATTTCAGACTGTTTGTTTTAATGGTTTCGTGAAAATCGAGATATGAAAGATTTGGTTTCTTGTTCTGCATGGATGCGTTCGAGCAGCCACAGGCGGTTGGCGAGAATCTTTTCCGGTTGTCACTTTAGGAGTTGCTAAGCACGTGATACAAACCGCATCCTGAAATGCTGCTTGTACTGGTCATGGCCTGTAGGAAAAGCTAGAAACAAATTGGGCAGGTACAGGAAATCTGTGGCTGCAGAATGGTTTAGATGTCACATGGTACAAAATTGCATGTGATCCTGTCCCAAGAAACCGCCGCCGCCTCGCATACTGTAAAATTACGCTGTAACGCGGTCTGTTTGATGATTGCGAAATTTCAAATTAACAACAAGTTTTTGATAGGGTCTCGCATGAAAAACGTATCTATTCAAACGCAATTTGATGTGGAAAAGATTTGAGATAATTTTTGATTTTCTTATATGCATGTTGATGAATATTGTTGTCGGTTTGATCGTGAGTTGTGTGATATGTATGTGTGGTTTGCCGGAGAGTGTTTCTGTATAGTATCTGCATACTGCAGTGATCTGTTATACTTTATTGAGGTTCGTATTGGACAGTACGAGTAGAGAAAATGGACAATGTAATACAAGAATAATTGACCGGAGCGAAGCGAAGGTCTTCCTAATTCACTTCCAATGCATTGCTTCACTTGTGTCCGTTACGGAAGTGCGAAGCATGACGTCATCTGTAGCCGGCAGATAGATTGGCCTGTTTCCTGTTGGCGAGCCCGGCAGGAAAGTGGTTTTCCTCGCATAAATCTGCCGAAGTGCACCCACAATTCTGCCGACCCGACCCTATGCTTTGCCTATGGGAACTCCAATATATCAGCCGAACCGGCGCAACTGTGAAATTTGATACTGTTGTTGCAGTCGAGCCGGCAACAGCACGGCGGGTCTGCATCATGTACACTATACAGCCGCCTAAGCCTATTGTACCAGCACTAAACAGAGAGAAGCGCACGCTATCCCCTGCGCCGTGTCTAAACCTTGCTGCGCCTGGGCGTGTATGCTGAGTGTGCATCATGCACAGACATCTTCGCAAAATACAGTAATTTTTGAACAAATTTATTTTTCCCAAATAACCCCTCCGCTTGCAATTACAAATTTCAATTGTGGATAGTGTATATTATCCTTACACAGTCTTCCTTATCCTTACGCAGTCTTACTTACATAAAAATTATCACGTACGTTATTTGGCAATTGGTCCTACATAAAATATTCAATACGCCTGTGTTTGAAGAAACTGTAAACGGAAAAGAAAAACTTTCTCTTGAAAATTAAATAATGGTCTGAAGGAAGGTGATAACTTTCTACCGTACTAACTGTACTAACGAACCAACTCAGACACATCCGCAGTTGTTCATTCAGTGATGTCCACAAGATGTTCATAGATGTTCTGTACAACACTCGCTTATATACCACAGTTGGTAACATAACAGTCATACATTAGTCAGCACTTCTCCCAGAAGTCTGATCATCATTAGGGATAGGTGTACTGAGTGGACGTTACACTCACTGATTAGCTATGAAGATTGTACACTCATAGATCAGCTACTGATTACGCACACGTAATACATTTCCAATCCTAACACTTTCAAAAAAGCATTATTTATAAAAATTAGAAACACACATATGCAACAGTCATATCGTCAGTTTAATTAGGGCACCCGAATTTAAAAGGTAGTTTAAATACAGCGACCAATACTCCCATAAATCTGCCGAACTGCACCCACATTTCTGACGACCCGACTCTATGCATTGTCTATAGGACCTCCAATATATCCGCCGAACCGGCGCAACAATGAAATTTGATACTTTTGTTGAGCGCAAGCCGGCAACAGAACGGCCGGGCTGCAGCATGAGATGGAGCGCTGAGTCCGTGCTTTTTTTATGCCATGGAAATTGCTCTTTGGAAAAATCAAAATCATGCTTATCAAACACTGGATAAACCCAGTACACCTTAGTAAACCAGGGAGACATTTTGTTCGGCCACCCGGTAAATTATTAAATCAAATCGAAATTGCTAAATACAGTAGATTTGTACACGTGATAAGGAAGTACTTCTGCGGCTTACGCCATGCACCCGGTCCAGTTTCTGTTGTTACTTCCGTTTCTTGCTATAATTTGTTGATGTTTATTCATCGTTTATTAACTTTTTATAAAAAGTAGTCAATCGGTAAAGTTCATTCTGTGAGAAAAGCTTAGCACCTGGTGAACAAAATATGAAAACTTAAAGTGAGCAAAATATGAGCCGAATCGAAGTACTAAGTTGTACATTGTATATATTGTATTGATCCTATACTATTGCATGACTATACTATTGATTCGACCTATTGTTTTGTATATACTATTGTATTGATCCTGGTATACCAGCCCATCCAGCCCATCATTAAAAGTTAGCCTAATAGCTCGCTCAAGAGAATTTTTCCGGGGCGGACTGACACCAGTTGGCAGTCGGTTAAACTAGAATAATTACAAAGACTAGTCTTTGTACACTATTTAGTTTACGGCTTGTTTTCGTCAGGTCTATGGAAAGTCTGTAACCAAAATGTTACACGATTCTGATTCGCACATTTTAGGGGGGTGGTTTAGCACAGCACAAGCATCAAGTACACAAAGGAAGATACTGTAAGGGACTATCTATAAACTACGTTCCCGAAAATTCGTTCTGTACGTAGTTTGTGTATGGTCCCTAACTATACCGTTAATTACAAATTTATAGTACACGAATAATAATACGTAATTTCACTAATTTGCACAGCGAGTCCGCGAAGGAATGTTTTCGCTGACTGCGAAGCAGACAAGAAAACGCCACTTCGTGTTTTTTTCCAGTGTTGACAAGCGCTTTTGTTAGATTTCGTTTGCACATTCATAAAATTTACTAATATAACGTTAGAATATGAACGGAGCGGTTCAGACGCACTGTTGTGTTTAGCGTGCAATTTACAGGGATACCATGGTTTATTGTTGCTTTTGTTCGGCAGATCTATTGGAGTTCCCGTAAATACAGGATAATATCGCGTCGTCACAACCATTGGTACAGTTGGTGAGATCTGTTTCTGGTAATGTTGAATCCGGAAATAATAACCAGTTTTTAAACCTTTATTTTAGCACCACAAAACCCTGTTGCAATACTGAAAATTTATTGGTACATAGATTCTCCAAGGACAGCCATAAATCATAATAAACGCAGTCTCCAAGATTAAATATAATAAAAATTTTACGGATGAACAATTAAAACTTGTAAGTGCTTTGAAAACAAATAATTACGGTGTGCAACGATCATTAATGATGCCGGGACAGTCACTAGTGCCGAATGACGTACGAGATAATTTTTAAGTCAAAAGATAATTTACACCATCCATAGATCGTAGGCATAAGCAGAATGGATATTTACTGTAGACAAAATAAATTAATATTTTCAATAATTTGCTATGTTTTGCGATGATGTATGTGCATCAATCCACATCTAGCAGAAACGCTCTCCTGCAAGGAGTAGACACGGTGTAAGAGGAGGTGCGCTTTCTCTCTGTTTAGTGCTGGTACAATAGGCTTAGGCGGCTGTATGGTGTACATGATGCAGACCCGCCGTGCTGTTGCCGGCTCGACTGCAACAACAGTATCAAATTAATTTTCACAGTTGCGCCGGTTCGGCTGATATATTGGAGTTCCCATAGGCAAAGCATAGGGTCGGGTCGGCAGAATTGTGGGTGTACTTCGGCAGATTTATGGGAGGAAAACCACTTTCCTGCCGGGCTCGCCAACAGGAAACAGGCCAATATATCTGCCGGCTACAATCGCGGGCAAGCTGGATGACGTCATGTCGTCCACGATGACGTCATGGTACCGTAGAGAACGTCATGGTACTGTAGAGGCGTTTTGCAATGCGTCACTTGTGTCCGTTACGGAAGCAGTGCAAAGCATGACATCATCTCGGTCAAGCCGGCTTTACGCCGTGGTCCTGTACAGCAGTTTGGCACTGCTTCACTTGTGTCCGTTACAAAAACATTCATTCTATGATTTCTGTATATTCACGTAGCAACCTGTGTCCCAGTGTTAGACATACATGTGTGAAATGTACACACACAGTGCAGTACAGTACAGTAGAGATGGCAACGGCTGGCTTAACGGCTTATCGGCCGGCTGCGGCTGGCTAAAATAGCGAGCCGGCTCGAAAGTGTCGGCTCACCTACCTGAGCCGGCTCAAACGGCTCGGCTTTGAACGCGAGCCGGCTAAGCCGGCTCGGAGCCGGCTTAGCCGATAGTTTTTTAGCGCAGAAAAACGCAAGTATTCTTTCACTAAAAAGCAAAGTTTTCAGCTGTTTTTGGTAAAAAAAAACTGTTTTTCGTCAGTTTTTAATGGAAAAAGTGATCTCTGAAACGAAAATTCACCGCTTTTTTATAAGATTATTGAGTCTTTAAGTCTCAAAATCGGCTTTGAACGGGCCAAAAAAGATAAAATTTTACTTCCTTACACATTTTTCCCCATAATATGCAAGCCGTTAGCCGACATCGGCTTACGGCTGGCTCGCGGCTGGCTGAGGCCCTGAGCCGGCTCAATCGGCTCGGCTAGCATCGGCTGCGGCTACAATTTTTGGTCGAGCCGGCTCAGCCGAAGCCGGCTTAGCCGCGGCTCAAACGGCTTCGGCTGAGCCGTTGCCACCTCTACAGTACAGTACAGTGCAGTGCAGTACAAGGAAAAGCACGTGCAAAAAAAAGTATTGTAGGTATTTATGACCATGATACAAAATAAAAACAACAACAAAGTGTATTGCGTACTAAATAAGGAATTTCTAAAAAAGCAAAGTTTATCACTGCGTACTCCCTGAACTTCAATGGCACCCAAACGAAAGCTCCATCTGTCTCCCGAAACTGGGTCCAAAAAGAAACGGGGAAGAGGAGCACGATCACGTAAGAACAATGTTATGTCAAGTTTTTGTAATTTATACTGGAAAATTTGCATGGATTCGACTCTAGGGTCTTCAGTTCCTCCCGTTAGAACGGGTGTCTCTCCTAGAACACGGATGAGGGAATATCGAGCCCGAGCAAACAGCAGACGCAGAGAAAACGAACGTTTGAGAAAGGCGGCTCAACGTGCAAACGAAACACGCTCCCAGCGATCGGAACGCCGTCGCCGAAATCGACAGAGGGCCACCACCTCAACTGCTCAACAAACAGACAGCGAAAGAACACGACGCACTGAAAGGTCACGCATGCAGCATCTCATGAATCGCCGAGCAAATGCTGAGCAAGGAAGGTTGTTGCTCTTAGAGAACCACATGGCGACATTGAAATGGAAAGAATGTGTTGTGTGTAAGGAATCTTGGCCGAATCTGAAATTGGACCCTACGGGCAGGTGTAATCAGTGCAAATCTCAAAATCCCAAGTTTTCTGCTGCTAACAACATGGATCCGGGAGAAGTACCCGCAGAGCTAAAAGATTTGACGTTCGTTGAAGAGCAACTAATAGCCAGAATACATCCTGTTTTATCAGTTTTTAAAGTCGGCAGAGGACAGCAGCTAGCGTATTCGGGAAACGTTGTTAACTTCCGACGGGATGTAAAGGCATTTGCAAGAACTCTCCCCCATAATCCATCTAAACTGCTCTCCGTAATAATTGTGAATCGCAAGGACACAGATAACTATGCCATCTTCAATGTATCCGGAGTAAGAATTCGCCGAGCGCTACGCTTTCTGAAGAAAAATAACCCGTGGTATCATGACATTATAATTGATGAAGGAGCGTTATCGCAGATTCCGTCAAGCGGTAATCTCTATTCTCAACTACCTAACCTCCCTGGCGAAACCAATGCAGCATTATTCACTTCTGCGGATGATCGAGTACATGACACTGGAGTTCCCGTGTTACAGCATGTCAGGCAATCCGATCAAATATACGAAACTGTTGGTGTTGACATTCCCACTGTGCCCTATCCTCAGTTATCTGCTGAGCCTGTTGACGAGTTCCAAACTGCCGGATACATAGCATGCTCGTTCCCACGCCTGTTTCCTTGGGGAAAGGGGGATCTGCGCGATTTAAGAAACAGGAAGCAAAAGGTCACAGAAGCGGAATATTTTAAGCACCTCATGAGGTATCGGGACAGACGGTTTGCAGAACATCCAACTTTCCGATTTTTTGCAGTTAACAGCCTTGAGGTGGCAAGCACTGCGGGTCGGACAAATTTTTGTTAAGAAAAGCACACTGGGTGCAATAACAATCGGTGAACTACGCCACCGGCTACAAGAGACGCCAACGCTAATAAATCAGATAACAAACTTTGGATCTAATTTAAGGGGAACGCGCGCATGTTGGATGAAGCGAAGCGGGGAGTTAAGTGACATGGTGAAATCCCTAAAAATGCCTACACTTTTTTTTACGCTATCTGCTGCTGATTTGCACTGGCCGGAGTTATACGAACTGATAGCACCAGACACAGATTTCACAGAAATCTCCGCTGCCGAAGCAACCAAACTCCGCTCAAAGCTGCTCCAAAACAATCCATTAATTGCGGACTGGTTTTTTTGTCAAAGAGCGGAATACTTCATTCATAAAGTAATGCAGCAAAAATTCAACATAAAAGACTACTGGTATCGCTATGAATTTCAACACCGAGGAAGCGTCCACTTACACGGGTTGCTGTGGCTAGCGGATGCTCCTGATACCGAAAATTTAGACAGCATGAATGCTGCAGGCCGTCAAGTTATCATCGACTACTTTGACTCTCTTGTTACCGCCATAAATCCTGAACCCAACGAACAGCCTCCCAATTTTCACCCTTCAGACGTCAAATTGTCCGCGGTTGCAGACCCAGAGGGTGATTATGCGAATCTCGTGACTAAACTTGAACGACATACCGTGTGTCGACAAGGAGCCTGTCTCAGGAAAAAGAAAGGAAGAGAAGTGTGTCGGTATGATTATCCAAAAGAAATACAAGAACTTTCACGCCTAGAGAAAACAGACGGAAAGTGGACGTTTTCCCATAAGCGTAACGATCCCCGTGTTAATCGGCACAACAAGTTCTGCCTGCGTGTTTCGAGGGCAAATATTGATTTCTCTCCAGTTGTGGATAAGTACGCAGTGCTTAATTACGTTGCAAAGTATGCCTCGAAAGCGGAACCGCGATCAGATACATATGCAGGCATTTTGCAAGGAATACTTCAGTCTGCCCCTTCCGATTCAGACCCCGGAAAAAAGGCAATTCAGAAGTTTTTAATGAAATCCGTTTCCGAAACAGACTTTTCGGCACAAGAGTGCTGCCACCTTCTCATCGGAAACAGCCTGTATGGAAGTTCTCGGACATTTATAACTTTGGTCTTGAAATCGGACGAATGGGTGCCAGTCGCGGAAATTTAAGACGAAAATCTCCGTCAGGCAGAACACAAAACTATCCTCCAGAAATACGCGGCCAGACCGCTATGGAAAATTGCGACACAGTATTCGTGGAGTAAAAATGGGTGGAAAAAACGAACTCGTGAAAAAGACTGCATTTTGCGTTTGTTTCCTAGATTGTCGTTAACGGATGATCCACTGAAAAACTCCGAATACTACCGACAACAAGTAATTCTTCAATTGCCCTGGCGTGATATTGACGAATTTCAGTTAAGCGGAACATGGCAAGAAATTTACGAGTCACACGGTTTGTTACCCAAGTGCACAACGCCTGAAGATGATGACACTGAATCAGCCGACGACAGTGATAATGAGACTGTAGAAGGCCATGAAATCGGTAATGAACAGGATGAATATATGGTGCTTCAGGGATATGGGCCACAAGCACCATTTCCAGTCGTAGAATTAAGCACTCGTCAAATAGACCGCGATCATGACTGGACCGCCGCGTATCATTTATATGCGGATATGGACACCGCTGACAGTTTCATCGAAAGGTCACGGACAAACAACGATGCCGTTGATGGCCCTGCTGCAGCGCCCACTGTGCAGCTATCGGCAGAACAAGCAGCTGTCTTGAATTTCTTTAAGGAACAAATCAGCAACCGGGTGGTTCAAAAATGTTGCATTGTTCAAGGAAAGGCTGGCAGTGGAAAGTCAGTGTTAATTTCACACCTAATACATACCTTAACGACTGATGTGCAACATGGACCTGGGTCTTATCTGCTCCTTGGACCAACTGGCGTTGCCGCTGACAACATTTCTGGACAAACAATACATTCCCAACTGAGAATACCGGTTAACCGCCCTTTCAAGGAATTAGAGGGAGAAGAACTTCATCGATTTCAGGAAGATTTGTCAGGAGTCAAATGCATGATAATCCACGAATACAGCCTCATTGGGTGCTCCTTGTTGGGTAAAATCGACAGACGATGCCGGCAAGCTAAGCCCGACCAATGTCATTTACCTTTTGGTGGTCTCATTGTTTATCTCTTTGGCGATATTAAGCAGTTGCCGCCTGTACTTGACCGACCATTATATGGAGACGGTTATAAAAGCGAGCTTGCGGACCATGGACAGTTAGTCTACAGAACCGCATTTACGAAAGCGTTCATACTCGTAACCTCCCAGCGGCAAAGGGGAAGTGATCCCGAGCAGCAGCATTTTCGGGACGCCTTGGATCGCATTAGTACGGGTGAATCAACGGAAGAAGATTATCAAAAAATTATGTCCAGAAACTACGGAATGATGCCCGATGAAGAACGAGAAAGCTTTCGGAGTGCGATACGGCTGTTTACCGAACGGGATCAAGCAAAACAGTACAACATCAAAGCCTTAACCGATTTGCGCATGCCCGTCGCAAAAATTCGGGCTAAGCATAACACTGAATCAGTGTCCAGAGGTACTTTTTTTGCAATTTCGACGTTTTTTTTAAAAATTTATTTATGTGATTGTAGGCGGAGACCAGCAAGCCATGGGCTTAGAACAAACCCTTTACCTATCACGAGGATCCCGTGTAATGTTAAAACGAAATATCTGGACCACGAAAGGACTCGTTAACGGAGCATTAGGTTATGTCCGCGATATCGTCTACGCTCCAGGAACAACTCCTGAGGACTCTCTACCGGTGGCGATTATGGTGGAGTTCGATAAATACAGTGGCCCTACTGTAGGAAACAACTGCATTCCCATCTGTTCTTTGACGGCTCAATGGACCGACCGTGGCCGGAAGCACACCCGAACGCAGTTCCCATTGTCACTTGCCTGGGCGCTTACTATTCACAAGGCTCAAGGGATTACATGTGAAAAGGCCGTGATCAATGTCGGACTGCGGGAGTTTGCTTCCGGCCTGATATATGTCGGATTGTCAAGAGTGAAATCGTGGAGTGGACTGGCTATCGAGCCGACTTTTCCTTTTTCACTTCTAAGCGCAATCAAGTCAAAAAAAGCTACGGTTCAAAGACTGAAAGAAGAGCAGCGGCTCAAAAGTTTAGCCTGATGAGCTGTGCAGTGTTTCTTGCATGTAGACCAGCAATAATTTACCAAAAAAAAGGCCAATAAAGTTTTGTGGACGCTATACAATTTGTTTAACAACATGTCCAACCGCTTCGCTCCGGTCTGCTAAGGCACGCCAACGTGCATTTTTCTAGTATTATCGGTTTACAAAAACAATGACATTATTTCTGTTCCGCTAAACGAAAGGCAAAGTACACATCTTCCTTCTCTACCGTGTCGCTGAATGTACCGAGAACAGACACTGCATTTCCTCGCTGAATCTAAACACCAATTCTTTGGCGTAAAAACTCTCCTGAGCAGGGTTGCCTGTACTGTCGATAATCTTTCTCGACTGTCGATAATCTTTCTCGACAGCTCTTTAAAGAATTTCTTCGTCAGTGGTCCGAACGTGCCTGTAGTTTCGAGCGCCAGCGGTTGAACGATATAACGGTCTGCCAGCCCGCTATACTTTCCTAACTTCCGGTTTTCACGTATTTCCGCTGCACTTCCCTGCACCCTGGTCGTCTGGGGTATGTACGTTTGGGCAAATGTGTCCGCAACGGTTATGTCATACACTAGCGGCTTTCCATTTTTCCAAGGGAATCCTGTAGCACCGTCGGGCCGCTTTCCGTCGCCTCTGTCTAAACCCGCCGGTTCAAGGGACGATTGCACTTTTGCCGAACTCAGTGCGCGCTTCGCTGCTTCGTTCAAGACAGGGTGGGCACCGTGTCTTCCTTTCGCTAACTTGCATACCAGTCCATGAAGTCCAAGACTGTCAACAGTACTACCGCACTGGTAAACATGCTTTTCACAGACTGGAGCTCCCAGCCGCCACGCCACGGCAGTGCGCAAGTGTGCGTCTTCCCGAAAATTGAAACGGGTAAAGCAGATAACCAGGCACGCGACTCCGGCGTTATAATGGCGGTTTTGTTCACATGTGTATACAGATGTATTATACATATAGATATTCTTCGTATCGCTTTTTTATAACAGTCGATAATCGATGGCGTGTAACGTTTACTCTTTTATTGAACGGACACCTTGTACATTCAGACAATAAATTCGACCATGGTAGTGATGTAAATATAGAGAAAATAAACAATAAAGTGTTATACGAGTACAATGTGACTTGTGTCTTTAAATTACGTAAATACGGAAGACGCATTTTCATTTAAATCTGCAACGATGAAATACATAATAACATAGCTCCACGAATCGTCATCGGACCCTTAATCATTTTTAAAGGACATGAAAATCTGAAAAACTCTCAAGCCGCTTTCATAGTTGATGTTCGGATCTGTCTTGAACAAAAATTGCGAAAAGACAGCTTAAACTATGAACGACTTGTTCGCGAACAGAAAACTGTTCGCAAGACGAAACTGTGAAAGCTTCCCGATCAGTGACAAAAAGACAAAAAAAGACATGCAAAAAGACGGTTCGGGTTGGGCGGTCCCCCCTCTACAAAGAAGACAGTTCGGATTCGGAAGCTTGTAGCCAATAGTTTTCATCTGACCGCTATGACGCACAAGCGGATGCGATGTACTGTACACGGATACATAAAATATATGCAAATATGTTATTTTAAACAGCGCAAAGTGAATAATTTTCTAACCACGCTCGCTGCTGTATATTCTGATTTTATTTTTATTGAAAACTTTGAATAAATTGAACTGATTGATTCCCCCACATTAAGTTCATAATGCCGCCCAAAAAATCAACTTCTACACGTAGTAAGAAATCTACGCAAGTGTCCCAAGTGGTTGGCCCATCGCCAGTGGTGAACACAACTTCCGCCCAGAGACCGAATTCGCCATAACGACGGCGACTGAGATTAACCGGTCGAATATACCACTCTCGCTGGGTCAAAATATTTGGGTTTATTAACACCAGTCTAGCTAAAGCGAGAAATGCAAGCAAAGCCGGGAGCTTTTTCTTCACGATATCCTTTTCTGGCAGCATTTTTGACAGTGTTTGGAAACTCAAAAATTTTAATCAGAATAAAAACTGGAAACTGGCAGTTATGTGCATGCCTGATAATTTACGTATGCACAACTGTACTTACTTAGTTGTCATAAAAAATGAAGGGTAATCGAAAAGACAAAAAATTTTGTTCAGTTCGCCCAACTGTCTTGAACACTTTTATTTCAAAGTTGTCTTTTAATGTTCGGTCTTTTCATTTTTATTCTGTCTTTTGCCCGATCATCAACTATGGCAGCGGCTTCACATTTTTGTAACAAAAAGGATTGCCGTTCTTTTTGCCGAAATGCACGAGTCCGTCTGCTTAGATGCCAACGTCCGGCAGCACGATTGACAGCAGGCCTTAAACCACCAAGCTCAATAAGGCAGACAATAGTCTCGGCGGCTTAAGCAGCCGCCCTGTCGTCGGATACGGCCCGTAGAAAACTGCTCGCCTAAGGGCCATTAACCGATAAAGGCTTTGCCATTTTTTTATCAAAACTTGAAAAACTTTAAGGTACGGTCGAAATTAAGAAAACTCGGAAGCGAATATGTATTTCGCATGTCAACAACTTCCGAACGAAACTACAGCAAGATGGCATATGGTTTCTATATGCAATCAAAACATTACCACATCATTCAGGCACCCCCACCAACAAAAATTAAAACCTGCCTCTACCACCAAAATTTTGACCTCGACCACCAAAAAATAAAAGAAACCTTATAACATGAAATTTTGATCTTCGCCATCAAAAAATAAATCATACACACCAACGCTCAAAATTTTGATCTTCGCCACCAAAAAATAAAACCTACTTCTGCCGTCAAAATTTTGACCTTCGCCATCAAAATTTCAACAGAAACCATAACAATTGTAAATATAGTAATTTAATTTAACAGATTCCAATATAACTCATGGAAAAAAGGGATCTGGCGTTTTGTTACACCGTTCTGACAAGAGATTTTATAGGCAAATTACCCCGTTATTAATGCATAAACTCAGTGTTGCCGCTGCAGTCAACACAAGTCAAACCAGGATTTAGCACATCATGCTTTTACTGGAACCCGTCACCCGAGTGCACAAGCAAATACCCCAATGCAAAAATAACTAGCAAAAAACTAAACAGGCACTTTTAGTAGTAAAATCAATTCAAATCAATCAAAAGTAAACAAAATCAAAACAAATCATCAAAGCTGATTACAGTAAAATGGTATCAGTGAAATCGCCAGCGTAAAGAACGGTCTTGTCGTCCGTTTTCGCCGGTAGGCACATCAAAACATCAGCACCACTAACACTCAACAAGCGACTGCTAATCTGATTCCCCGTACTGTGTACGACCGGCCAATTCTTTCCCGCTACCGTCCACTCGATGACCGCGCGATGAAACTCTGGTCGCGGATCCAGTTTGACATCCTTGACCACTTCGGCTCGCACCACCGTGTACTGGGGATTAACGTACCCCGACATCTTTCGCAGTGCCGGCAGAACAAACAAATTACATGTCACCGCTGCAGAGACGGGATTCCCGGGCAGTCCAAACACCAACTTCTTCTTCTCACCCACATTCACGGTGGCGAATGTCGTGGGCAAACCGGGCTTCATAAACACCCGGCCAAAATGTATCGTCCCACCAAATACGGTGGTCAGGATGGATTTGACCAAATCTTTCTCGCCCATCGAAACGCCGCCCGTTAGCACCAATACATCCACCACTGACAGTGCACGACGCATGGCGTCAATGAGAATGTCCTCCTTGTCGCTGGCAATTCCAAAATCCATGGCACTGAAACCGTGCTTCGCGAGGGTGGATAGCAGCACGGTCTTGTTGGAATCGCGAATCTTCCCAATCGGTAATGGCGACGTCTCCGGCATGACCAGTTCGTCACCGGTTGACAACAGACCGACAAGTGGTTTGGCATAAACCGGGACGTACACGATGCCACACGTAGCCAGCACGCCCAAGCAAGCCGGATCGATGCGGCTTCCGATATCGGCCACCACACTTCCGGCCGCAATATCGCTGCCGACTGGACGGATATCCTGACTGGATTGCGGTCGCTTTAAAATGCGGATAACCAATTCCTCTCCACTCTGTAACAAAAACATAGGAATCACCAGGACAATTACGTATTTTGTCCATTCATTCACTTTTTTATTCCGGGCTTGATTAAAATTTTCCTACAAATGTTTACGGCCGCCCGTTTCGCTTCTCAGCTCTGTCTGCAAACCTTCATAACGATCGCAAAGGACGTCTCTTGACAAAGTACTAAAATTAATAAAAAACAACTACAGAACCCACCTTATCATCGTGCTGCACAAGCTCGGTATCTTCCACTTGTACAACAGCATCCGCGCCCGCTGGGACCGGCGCCCCGGTCGTAATGCGCATACAGCACCCACTGACCAGCTGGACATCTTCCATCCCTCCAGCATGACAGGCCCCCACCACCTTCCGCTCCCCGTCTCCATCCGCCGACAGCACGGCGTAGCCATCCTTAGTGGAGGCCCGAAACGGCGGCAGCGGATCCTTGGCGGTAATCTGCTCCGCCACAATACGGCCCAGCGCATCACGCAGACTAACCATTTCCTGTCCGCCAATGTCGCATTCCTTCAACATCATCTGCTGGGCGTCGGGTACGGGAATTATGGGAAACGGTGACTTGCGGTGACGGAACGCTGGACCACGGCGGCTGTCATCCGCGCCAACGGCAGCGGACGGTGGTTGCGTGGCCACAGTTTCGTGGTGCGCTTTCGCAATGGCCTGCGTGTCGTTTTTCAGCAGCTCCATGATGTGGGAAATTTTCGGCTCAATGATGGCGAAACATTCCCGACAGGCTTTGGGGCTGCCGGGAAAATTTACAATCAGGGTACGTTTGCGAATTCCGCAGACACCACGGCTCAAAATTGAGTGGGGATACGATTGCTGGTACAGGGCGCTCATCATGCCATGCGCGGTACGGTCAATAATCGCCGATGTAGCCTGGAAATTTTAAAAAATTTGAAAACAAAAGTATCAAAACATCAGGTAAAAATGAATAAAAGCAACAAGTTAAACATCAAAAGCCCCATGTTACTTAATTGAAGAAAAATCGAAAATATCGGCAGTATTCTGCTATTTTCACAAACTCTCCAAGTCTCTCCCAAGACAACAGAAATGCGAATAAGAAATTTATTGGGGAATTAAATAAGGATTTTGACACTGCCATAACTGCACATTTACGATTTACCTCTGGAGTAACATCGCGCACTCCGAATCCAGTCCCACCGCTCGTAATCACAAAATCCAAGCGTTTCACGTCGGCCCAGTGAATTAAAACCTCCCTGATAACGTGTTGGTCGTCCGGCACGCATTGGCTAGCTTCCACAACATTTTGAAAGTGCTTCGTGCTGCGAAGCAGCTCAGCCAACGCAGGACCGCTTTCGTCGGCCACCTCTTTACGATGGCAACGATCACTGATTATAAGAAGGCCGCATCGTGCACTGCCGGACATATTTTGCAGTACGATCCCTTCTCGATTATAAAAAATTCTCGGATCACGGGATTCGGAAACGACAGCAGTCAGCAGACCGCGAGTCAAGAAGAACTGGAAATGCGTAACGCAAAAATATGCAAAGTCATATAATTATTGGTTGTGTTACTTCCGATGAGCTCTGTAAAGTAGAGAATGCCGACCTTCCGCAAAAGGCGACTACAAGGAGCGAACCGGAAGTTCCAAAAAGATTACAAAGGCGGTTGAAAGGCCATCCAATTTTGGAAGTTTACGTAAAAGTAGATCTACTGTACTTAGACCACAATTAGTTTTGTGTGGTTCTAATACAAATAGAAGGCGGACAAGTGCTGACGACGAACGCAATGCGATGAAACTGCTGGTTTTTCGTGCTGACGTGCACAGTAAATTTCACCTTTTTTTTGACAAATTTTGTTACAAATTGCAATTACTTGTAACTATTGCAAAATAAAATTTATACTGAAAATTGATTCATTTAACTAACAGCAAAAATATCTGTAGTAATGTCGCTAAATCCATTAACGTTTTATGTCATAATAGTGACAAGACAGTGAAGACCATATATTAAGTAGTTTCTGTTACTTTTTTGTACAGGAGCACCGGCAATCCCATCAATAAGCAGTTTTGTGTGAGCAACGATGGAACCGGCTGTCCATTACTCTCCCATCATAAAGTTTTAAAATACTACAAAACACAATAATTGCATACTGCAAGAGCTCTGTTCGGTAGCTATACGAATTTTGAATTTTCGAATAAGTTGGCAGTTTGCAGGTAATTGTAATGACATAATCGGTTAAGGTAGTTTGTGCGTCGATAACCCAACGTCTGCATCAGCTGTTAACAATTTTTTATCTGTAATAATAAGATTATCTTTAGTGTAAAAAATCTCGACATTCACCTTCGCACGTGGAGATAAAAAAACACAGCACAGGAAATGCGGATAAGTGTAGAAATTGGAAAACAGTGGAGCATATATCCTGCACCTGGAGTTCAATTGGTTTTGTGCTTGGTTGAACGATCTACCGTACGCACTGCGCCGGCAACACTCGCTGTGTGTGTATGCACAACACACCTTACATGTCAGGACCCGATTACACGAACTTTGTAATTGTTTGCTCACTCGATTGCAGTTGTGTTACTGGCTGGGATTCCATTATGTGTCCGGATAAAACAACTTAATGATTGTTATCGTTGTCGACTTGCGGTTCATGCACGTTGCACACGTAGGTTATTAGGAATCAGCATCGTTTCTTTTAAAAAAATCTAATAACTGAAACTGAAAATTTACGCAAACGATGCACAGTAGGTAGGGCCAGAACTTTTACTAATTCGTAATGTGCATTGTATACAGTATAAATACATCCTTCGCTTTACCGGCGAATTTGACTTCCAGACTGCACGTTCAGTTTATAATTAGCCTGCTAACATTCAGAACTAAGTTACTAACTAAAGCACAGTAGTACAGCTTTCTAGTTTTATCATTGACAATCCATGCACCTTAAACTCTGAAATCGATAATTTTATACAACGGCTCCCTTTTTTTATTTAACAATATTCAAGGTAAAAAACTTGACTGACACCAACGAAATTCACCTCTGACAGAAAGTAATCTAGGGATAATTTCGTTGATGGCCGTTTGGTTTTACATGTAGTGTGGTCTTCATAATGCAACCACGGTATAAAAGAGAAAAGTCCTTTATACCGTGATGCAACAACATATCCGTGTTTACAATTAGCGGGAATACCTTTCGAAAATTATGCACGCATTTTGTCAAATATTTTTTGTAATGATTAAGTTGAGCTCTTTTCCAACCGGGTATGCGCCTGCATTAATTAATGCTGCGGTCGACGATCAAAACTGTTGCAAATATTGTAAGCTCAATGGTTGTTTACACCGGAAGCACTAACACAGCGCACTATAACGGGAACGATAATTTCTAAGCTTATATAGGCTGCGTAATTTATTTGAAGTGCGAGTAACTCAAGAGCCCTTGCTGTTTGCCCAAGCGGCATCACAGTATTTAAGATTTAATACTTAAAAACATGGCTATCCGCATAAATTTACCACCGACTAACGGACGACACGCGTAACACTGATGATTTTCAAAACTGGATTTTTCGTAACACTTTTCAACGACAAGGAGATTAATATTCTTAGTTGCATCAAGCAGTTTTTCGCACTTATTGTGACCGCAGTATACAATGCATATGTTGGTTGCAGATGCTTACATCGAGTAAATTTTAAAAAGCAGCGGCGCGGTTATAATTTTATTAACATATTTGCATAATCTGTGTAGGGATGCGCACAGCAGTATTTAGCAAAAAAGTGAAAAACGTGCAGTCTTTGGCAAGAGCATATAACTATGAATGTAACCGTGGTCTTTTCCAAATTAAAATTAAAATATGCGGTTCCTAGGTCCTAACGTAGTCTAATGGAACTGGAAGTATTAAAATTATACAAAGCATTCATTCCAGTTGAAATTGTTCACTTTCAGGTAACATTACACATACAATACAACGGATTTTGTTCGCACCACATCGTACAATTAAGGTGTGACATGCAGCCAGCATGCAGCATTAACACACAGGTACACTAAGTAAGGAACATTTTCATAATTCAAAACACAAGTGCTTCGGAAGAACTACATAATTTTGTTACATCATAGAATTTATTTACGATGGTACAGCAGGGACTGTGCGCAGATATCACATTTTCAGAAGATTAAAGTACCGGCAGATAGAATGCATAAGCACTGCTATACTTCCGGAATAAAATATTGGATGCTTTCTTTGGAATTCCATCCTGCAGCCGTCCATCGGGATCATCTCTTCCTTGTCCATCCATTGTCACCAGGTTTCTTGATAATTTCCTGAACTGTAATATTCGGTGAATGCAGTGGCCGACGCCATCTTCCATCCGCCGAATTCTGGATCAGCTTTGGTCTGGGAATTCTGAACAAGGCGATATTCTCGCACCACGACGACAAATCTGTGGAAACCGGCTTCAGTTGCATCTTGAATGAAATGCACACTTGGTGGATAAAATATCAGATAATCAAACCACAGGTCGAAGTATTGAAAAATCCGCCGCGAATTAGAGGATGGTGATAATTGAATTTATAATTAAAATGCGGCGCGTGAAGGCTGTGACATATGCCGGCACGTTGTGCAACCTCAATTTGCATTGTCTAATACCGCATCTCGCAACAGCTGACACGGGTTAAACGGTTTTAAAATGCATAAACTGGACACTTGCCGGTATTACAGTAAATCATGCGCTGGTGAACGGCAGTATACGTAAATTATTGCAACTTTATAAACAAATTATACAAACAACTCCACGGTGCGTGCATATGTGGTTTGCAGGCGCGTTTACACAGCTGGACGGGGAAACCAGTGCGCACGTTCGTGCGTACGTACAGTACACTACTCTCAAATAAATGCGGGCAACTTGCACATTAAAACATTTTTCACCTAATGCTCGATACTACTGTACCGTTTGATCAATCCAAATGTTAATAAAGTAATGGTCCTTAATAGCGAGTGTAAAGGAGTTCAAATAACGACAAGTGTGTTGAACCGAGTTCCTGTCAGACAAGTGTGATACACACAGTCTTAAACGTGGATTTTCAAATTCCACCGCTAAGTACTGGCGTTGACAAAAAACAGCAGCAGCACTTTGTTGTGTGCACTTGCTGTTGCGCACCTGGCATTCAAAATTTTTGGCCCCGCGGGATATGAAAAAGTTTCATTAATTAGATGCTATGCCGCTTGCCATTTCTTGGCCTGCGCTTTGTCTTTGTGGCAGTCTGGTACTCATACAATATAAGCGAATGTGCCGGTTGCTTTTTGTGCGTAACACATATATACAATTGTATAAAGTATGCGTAAGTACCGTATTTCCGCCTGCGTGGGTTTGTTGATTAATGCATAAAATCAGTTTTAAAGCGTAATTTTGTAGTAGCAGTCATGCAACAATTGGCAGTATTTTGTGACGGCGTTCTCAAGTCAGGGCGAAATAATCTTATTTTCATAGTGAAGGCTCCAGTTAAAAAATTATAAATCAAATTTACGTTCAGTGTGCTTATAAAAACTATAGGTTACTTTTAGTTTACATATATCATGATCACTTCGTAGTTGGTATCCCTAATTCGGTTACATTCGGTTTACCACACGTACTCATTTTATGACAAGCGAATGCGAGTGTGCACAAGTTTTGCTAAAAGCGTGTATGTATTATTACGTGTATACTATATATATATTATTTATATAAATTTTAAGAAGACATTCATAGTTTTTAGTCGCTTTCGAAAATCACCTTCAAGGTTCGTTTTACTTCGTTTATAACCTTATAACCGAGAATTATAACCTTCTGAGACGGTCGACTGGGCGTAAGCACGTGGCGATCGTTATATCTTGAATTAATTAATTGCATATCGCTTTACGGTAATCGAGCGTGTATTATTGGGTGCGTGCACACTATAATGCACGAACAGTAAACCTACTCCGACCAACCGACAAATTAAGACAATTAGTGCCGTACGTTCCGTGCATGCAGAGTGAATAAAAGAGCTCTGCATATCTGTAAACGGTATTTGTTAGAAGTCATTAATGTTTTGCTGGTAAATACGCGTAGGCTGGACCATTCGGAAGTGTGGCTATCGCTCCCTTTTTGGTCGGTAATGACTCGCTATATAAACAATACGAGTATTCGTTTGTACTGATCAGTTCGTTAAAGCATTTCTCGTTCCACAAACTGCTGCAGCTTCATTAAATTCAGTAATTCACTTCAGCAAGGCTGCGCAATGTCAATCGTCAACATCAAGATGCTCACGGAATAAAAGATTACCATCCAAAATTAAGTTACGATTGGCGAACAGGCTGAAGAAAAGTGAAACGTACAAAAGTCGACAGTTTTACACCATTAAAATTAGATTCTGTGAAGAGGAAAAATCCCAGCTAGGAAAACCAGACAAAAGAGCAGATTTCAGTCCACACTGTCGTTATGCCCGGAACGTTCACCAGCAACTTCTTCCTCGATAAACGACGGATCATCTTGTTGTTTCCCAAATCGAGACATGACGTACAACGCATGCAATTTAGCGGCCGGCAGCATTGGTCTAGAATCACCCAACGAACTGTGACTATAGTCGTGGAAGAATGACGTTGACGTTTTTGCCGTCGCAAACTAGAAAAGCCATCCGCATTTTCACCGCCTTCCTCAGCGACATGATTTTCGCTAATCAGACTGTCCGATAACTGTTCAAGGTTTGTGCAAATATTATCAAGCTGACCCGCCAATGTCCCAAAATCGGCTGGTTTAGGTCCACTTTCTTCGTCTCCTTGGGTAAATCTAGATTGCGCGGGTTTCTTCAGTGGCGTGCTGACCGCCAAAGGCTCCCATACGGCATTACTAGGGTCAGCTTTTAATTTGGACAGCGACGGTGTTCGCATTCTCCCTTCAGATTCCCAACCATCCTCCATGCCTGTCTCGAGATTTTCTTTACGAAGATCATATGGACTCGCAAAATCCAGTTTAGTGCTGCTCATAGTGTGGTTTTGCTCGCAAGAAGTAAAAGGAGTGCCATTATCCGATACCATGGTAGGCGACTGGATCGCACTCGGAAGTCGAACATCACCACAATCAAAGTCAATCTTTCTGGCACATCCAGTCGCAAAATCCTCCGCATTGTTCGTAGATTTTCGTAATGGAGAAACAACGGCTTTCCGTTCCGAGATGGCTAATCGAGTTTTCGTTTTCGAGCCGGTGACATTCCCACTACGATCACCATTGCGGTGCGTTACGCTTCCATCCGAAAGTGCTTCAGTCGTTGTCGCCGGGTCGAAGATACGACTGGATGTTTGTGACTGAATGGCTTGCAACAAGACTTCATTTGGGATAATTTTCTGCAGTTCTCTGATAACCATGCAGTAACGATTCCAGTCATCCACTGCCATCACTTTCTTCATCTCGCGCAAGGGATACAACATCTCCATAACCGCCTTCTTCAAAATTTCTGTATTTTCCTACACATAGTAAGCAAATGGCACGTTAGGGAGGGTTGGCAATTCACGTAGAACAAACTCTATAAGTGTACTTATTTTTACTTGAAGCAGTCTATAGTCTATATAGTACTCGTACAATAAACCTAGAAGAGTTACAGTTTTTACAAAAAAAATTTCGAAACTCCCGAAAAATAATCATAATCGTAAATAGTACGTTCAAAAGTCGTATGCAACATTTTATCATGCTAAGTTGCTAACTGTGGACCATTAGTGACCATCACTCTATATTCCCTACCATTTTCTGACTAATATTCATAATTATTTGTGAGTAGTACCGAAAATCGCTGCCCTTGTCACGGGAAAGTACAAATTGTAGATTAAACAAAACTCTAAAGTCTAAACAGACGCAGCATTATCATCTTTTTCGAAAATCACAGTGCTACAAGCCTATCTTGTTATTTGCTATAAAGGGCAAAAAGTGTAATAAAATAATAAAGTCAAATAAATCTCAAGTGCAAAAAAATACTCACTACTGATTCACAAAAACCCGAATAAATTCCGTTGAAACATTGTGTCTAACACCATAGTAAACCAAACTAACTGGTAAACTGGTGAAACCGACTTCGAGATTGTTATAAAAGAAGCACAAACTTTGAACAAAAGAAGCACAAAATTTGAATCACCACAAATAATACAGAATACTGTACCTGGACCACAATCTGTCGAAAGGCCGCATCCCTCGCTTGCAGCAGCATAATCCATTCAGTTTTCGTCGCCTCGGGAATATCTTCAACGGGATCGGGAAGGCTATCGAGAATTTCCTCTCGTCGTTTATTCAGCACATCCAGCGCTTTATACACATCCCCGAAAACCATTCCCAGAACGGAATAAGAAAAGTTCAACGGTTTGGGCGGTAGCTGATTTGACTCCTCCCCAACCTTGTGCATGGCGACAGCGGGTCGGAAAACTGAGAGGATCGTAATCGCACACCGGAAACCACCCAACACCGTGTCTAGAACAACAGCAACACAGATGTGCAGGAGATAACGCAACTGTCGCAACATGGCCGAGGGTACAGGTGTTCCCGAGTCTTTAATTATTAATCGACTGCAACAATACGCATCAAACATTGTAAATTATAAAAAATCGGATTCGCATTTCTCGAATGGTGTTTATAAGAACTGCCTAACTTTAGCAACAACAGCAATGCATTCCCTAAAATTAAAACACCCGTTACATTTAACGACGCCTTACAATAAGTCCTACATGCACCAACCGCAACACTAAAAGCTTATTTCCGAAATTAATAATTAAAATCGCAGGGTTTTGCTTTTCATTCTAAAGTACCTCACTAATTATAATTCACTGGATGACATTTACTAGAAATATGATTTAAACTTACAGTCAGTCAGATTACAAGTACGATACCTGTCCTAGAAGCTGTATTATCTGGAGAAATATCTGCAGAACCCGGAATCTTACTAGTAATTTTTAGGCTGATTTCCAAAATCACAACAAGCACTATGGCCTGAGAGAGCGGTTGGACAATGGGCAGCAATCGAAGAACTTTGCACTTTGCAATCGTTGCTGGAACTCACAGTCAGACAGGAGCTGCAAACTTTTCTTGATAACGCTCGTCGTTCGCGCACTCATACAAGACTTTCAAACGGAAGATGCCCAACGCTACGATTGAAAATGTGACTGTAAAACTAAAATTCAAAAAGTCAATAATTATTATGCTGATTGCTGTTTTGCTCGAAATCACATCTGGAATGACAAATTTCAAATTCTAACGTACGCGCAACTTGCGGCCTTGCAGAGTTGCAGTGCCGCTTTTTGTGCATATTTGTACGGGCAGCTACTGCACATGCACCGTTGCACATACGGTGTTGATCGGAATTTTTTGAAGTTTTTGCAAGGTCGAAAGAGTGACCTTACGGTTAGTGGAACTTGAAAAGCTGTACTCCCAGGCAAATGTCGTCCTGCATGCAACGTGCACGTGGGTACGATTGTGGAAAATAATATTAAACCACTTAATAAAGCACTTCATTAACCTAATGCATAAAGCTTAAACTGCAGATTTTTCAGAAGATGAACTGACTAACAAGCTGCGAGCAAGGAATTCGGTTAGCTAGGGTCCTAGGGAAGACGTGTTAGGTTCAGGATTATCTTTTTTTAGCGCTGTAAAATATTGACCACGAGGGCAGCTAGATACTTATTTTTATAAGGAGCGGCTACGTTTTCTCGTATGAATTTTCAAGTACAGTACGTCGTACTGTGCATGTAGTAACGAGAATGATGTAAACCATAACAAATAATTCTAAAGATTGTAATTTAATTGATCCTCCATAAGTACATGTATACTGTAGTTATAAAACTTACAAGTACATGTAAGTAGAATAACTTTAATATAGCCTTTCTGTAGGTAGTCTGTCGGCACTAGTACAATTTCGGTTATACATTGACAGTAGATAGATAAGTAACGGTTTTTCCAATCTGCCTAGAATCATTCGCAAATCTTGCAGCTTTATCCATAGTCTGGGTTTATCATACAAATAAATACTGTATCCGCTCGCACATCTTGAACCACAGAGTTTGTGTACGGGAAAAACACACATTCAATATACACACTCTAACCGGGCAAAATGCACGACTACGAAATATTGCTCATTTGGTTTCAAGATAAACGGTTCTTCTTGTGAATTTGTCCAATGAACCAAGACTATTCATTTAAATGGCAGTTCACTCTGGAAAAAAAGGTTCCACAGCTGAAAGCTCGAATTGTTCTGTGGTTCATCGCCATCAAGAATGTTGACGCTGAACGTACCCATCCCCCTCCAGGGGTACCCCAAAAACCACAACAAATCAGTTTGTAACTCGTGCATACGGCAAAGCTGTATGTTAATGGCTGCTATCGAGCATAAACATGATTAAAATTGTTAGAGCTCTAATTTTTTTTTAATATTCAAGAAGTTCTCCAGACCAGATGTTGCAAAGACATCCGAAATTTATCAAATCGCGAATCGCGCGTTTGGCCCGGTTAGAGTGTGTATATTGAATGTGTGTTTTTCCCGTACACAAACTCTGTGGTTCAAGATGTGCGAGCGGATACAGTACAAGTTTGCGTAAGTGCACAAATTATCGTCACAGCTCAGAAACTTTCATATCCGGTGGCTCTGGACCGGACGTGCGGTAAACCACAGCCCACCAATAAACCGTCGACTATTATGAAACACCGTCCGGACAATTTTCGCTGGAATCCGGAGGTTCTAGACAAGGACGACTACCACGTGCTGGACGGAAACTGCGTCAGACGTACATAGTAATCGTTAGTAATGGCATACTTTATCGGAAGTGATTATCCACGGTTTCTCCTTAAATTAGAATAAACCGATGCACTAGAGATACAAGATACATATATATCCATGCAGATGCACTGCATTGATCCAATCTTCATCCGACGCGGTAGACCCTTTTAGAGATATGATGTAAAAAGATATATTATTGTGATTTGATAGATTACGGTCCTGTGACCAATCCAAGGGCACAGTTGACTGAGTAATGTGGATGATTGAGCGCTTTCAGTGGAAAATTATTTGATAAGCGTCATTGTACCGCCGGTTCTTGACAAATAAACAGAGAAGCGCTTCACTGCAGCCCGCGTTATGAGTAGTAGCGACCACATACTTAAAGACAAATCAATAAACCATTTACATTAAGTGAACCGCGTCTATGTGCTGCACACTCCTCTTGTTTTATTGCGGAACACTTACTTCTTCTTCAAGCGCGTAACCAGACATCATTCCAACTGTAGCCAAGCACACGCGCGCGCGGACATCGCCGCACAATTTGCGTACGTGGCTACTATGAATCTTTCCAGTTTTTTAAATTATCTATGGCAAATTGGACTGGTGTGTTTTTCGTGGGTTCTTTGTGTGCAATCGCGTGCGGCACAACATCCTATAGCGGAATCGGGCTTATCGATATCGACGCCGGCCGATTCCATGCAATCGCGCCCGCATGGTCGTGAATATTCCCCCTGGACCCAATGGTCCAAATGCGATCTGCAGCAGTGCGAAAAGAAACGCTTCAAAGTCTGCCACAAGCCGAAAAACGGTCAGCACTGCCAGAACGGTCCACTGCTGATCCAGACAAAAGCCTGTAAAACCCGCAAATGCAAAGGAAAGAAGCTGCCCACGCTGAAACGACGCGCCTTTGGGCATCATTCCATCGATGACCTTTATGGTGGACGTAGTCTGCTGGCAGAATTTTTCTTTACCAGCTGGAGCCGCTGGACTGAATGCTATTTAAAAGAATGCAAACAATATCGTTGGCGATTTTGTGATATGTATGCCGTTTGCGGCGATAAGATACATATTCAGCAGAAGGACTGTGATGGTGATTACGCTGATCTCTGTATGAATTATCGTTTTCCTCTGATGGCGTTCTCAACTCCCGCTCCTGTTCCCGTGGATGTACCGGCAGCGGACATCTTGAGTCTGAATAGTGAGGAAGAGGCAACGCTGGATGACGATGAGCTGTACAATGCATACGTCGAGACACCGACAACAACGGAAGCGACAACATCAACGACGACACCCATGATGCATCGTCCGGGGCTTGTTTACTCCGCTGTAAGTTACGATCCGGCCAGTGAGACCACGACTAACCAGACCTGCGGTGTGGCACCGCTAGCGCAAACATCGAAAAGATCGAACATTCGTACCAAGATCTTTGGTGGTGCGGCTTCGGTTCATGGCAAATGGCCGTGGCAGGTAATAGTTGTTGCAAATACTTGTGTTCTATAGATAGATATCTAGTTACTTACTAATTAAGCAAACAACAATGCTAATAAGCTAAGAGCAAATTTAATTTTTGTGTTTATTTTTCATCGTGTAATATTATGCATTTTAGTTTGCAGTCGCAATTTGGTTTTCTGACATTTGTTGTGCCAATAGGTTGCCATTCTGGATAACAATTATCGTCACTTCTGCGCTGGTACCTTGATATCTAACTGGGTGCTGACGGCAGCTCATTGCGTATTAAGGTGAGGGAAGATAAACTTTATTGCAGTATATCTAGATTTTGGAGCCGTTTTATATTTTGCATTGTATTTTACCTTATAAATACAACAGAAAAGAAAAAGTTTACAGATAACAGCAAAACGATAAAATATGGCTGTATTTTTATGCTAATATTTTCACATGTTCATAAGATCACACTTGCACGAGTAATTAACACTTCCTGATTATATGTCGATTCTAATGAGCACTAAATTGTATTTTAGGAAGAATACCGGTAAAATACACGTTAAGATTGGAGAACATTACGCTTATCGTGATGAGGATTCTGAGCAGCTTTACGAACCCTCACGCATTGTTGTTCACCGACATTTTAATCCAAGGACAATTGGTAAGCTAAGTTTGCTAATTGTACCCGATATGACTGCACAGTCATACTATAAATCCAGTATTTTAAACTCGCTAAGGTTGAGTACGTCACATGCTGCACGGAGTAGGTATTTGTTATAATTACTGCGAAATCTGTGGCAAGATTTTTTCGAATCGATAATCAGTCTTCATCGGCACACTCATCACATGTGAATGCAAACGACAGTGTCTTACCCCGTTTTTCGATATGATTACAGAAAACGATATTGCCATGCTGAAGATAGATGATATCAGCTGGAACGATTATGCACAACCGGTATGTTTGCCGGACGCAGACGACGACACGAAACTACTTTTAGACACAACACAGTGTGTTGTGGCGGGATGGGGAAAGCGCCGATCATATGCCCGGATGGGTGCCGACGTCCTGCACGAAGCACCGGTACAGGTGGTCGACCAGCAGCGCTGCCAGGAAGCCTACCTGGGCGAGCACCCAATTTTACCGCGCATGATGTGTGCTGGTAGTGGACCACGGGCAAAAGGTGACACCTGTGAAGGCGACAGTGGCGGGCCGCTTATGTGCCAGGTTCGAGAGAACGGAGTAGCGGGTCCGTGGCGGATATTCGGTGTGACGAGTTTTGGTGACAGCTGCGGAAAGGATCATAAATACGGTGTATACACAAGGATTTCGTCCTATCTATCCTGGATCAACCATGTAATGAGGTTAAACTGATTGATTCTTAACTTCATCAAAAATGGTCTATACGTTTTATTCAAAGATTTATTTATATGTGTGCACTTGATTACTGATACTAATTACAGCACAAAGCGTTTTACGGTTTCCTGAAACTTAAGTCGAGGGCAGCTATATGTATATGTCAAACATTAAGCACAAATTTGAAATTTGATTAAACTTCCTGATATGATCCAGAAGTTTCTACTTATCTCATATATGAAGCAAATTAAATTTTGCAAATAAGATCTATTTGCACATGGTGGGACTGTGTTATCAATATGCATACTGCCATCGAACAGAAACAAAATCACTACTATGTTAAGTTTTTCTGCTGGTGGTATTGAAATAAATGAAAAACAAAATACCTTTGCAAAAATCAAATGATATACACAATCACGATAAATGAACCGGCATCGTTTTTATTGTGCGCGCATCCTCAGTGTAATCCAAAAGTGCAATATGCACTTGGAGAGTACACAAAATGTAGGTAAATATAGTCTGTGAATAGGATTTAATTGTAAATGTAAGTTATCAGACAAAGAAACTAACTCAAGTTTAGTTTATGACTCTACTGTACATTCGAAAAAGCTCTATTAAAGTACTCTTTACATACGGGCTACTGGTGTGGGCTGCTTCTGTACCAGAAGGCATTGCATTTTTTTCATTGACAAGCCCTACTTCTACAGAAGTTGTCTGCTGAATAGAATTGTCCACCTACAACTTAAAAAACCAAAGACGTTACCCAGAGTCCCAGACGATAAAAGGTGATAAGATTTCGATAGGGAAGTAATAATTTACGTAACTTTACAAATTGTGTATATTTAGTATATTTGTTTGTAACAAAAATTGTTAACATAACAAACAAACTAATGTAAGTACTTACGCACACTCAGCCACATTACATATTTCCATTATTGACATAACTTTTCCCTGTGAGATAACACATCCGAGAGGATGGTCAATGTTACGCACGAGCGAGCACAACACAACAGTCGTTTTTCGCCAGATTCCATTTGATTGTAGAACACACGTAATTTTTCCTTGGCGCTAGAGTTATCATGTTCTGCCGGACTGATAACCTCATACACCTTCATGCAATAATTCACGGAACTTATAAAAGGCAAGATTCTAGTAGAATTGACCTATTAGAATATCAGGTGCAATTTCGTTACGATAAGCTGATGGTTCTGCTAAATGGTGCTAACATATCTGTAATTAAACACTCGAATGGAGCATCATCTCGGCTGGTTTACTGATTGTTTATACAGCTATAAAGATCATTTTTGTAAGCCTTCGCGTAAAGAAAGCAATGTATTGCGCAATTCTCCTCTGGTCACCGGTAATCGTCGTAACGGCATGCTGCGTCTTTCTGACAACGGGGCAACCCCCCACACCACTGTCACAACACGATGGTCACCAGAACAACAGCATGCAATTGGCCAACGCTAACAGCAATGCGCTGAATCGCGAGAAACGCATTTTCCCCGCGAACAGCAACACCGCTCCGCGGAAATATTCCAGCTGGACTAAGTGGTCGCAGTGTGCGCGTAATTGCGAGCAGAAGCGTTTTCGGACATGTTTAGGAACGGACGAAAAAGACTGTCCGCATGGACCACTCCAGATGCAGAGTCGGCATTGTAAACGCTGTCATAACGGTCCGAAATCGAAGCCCACTCATCATCAGGTTGATGATGTGGTGGCCTCCAACTCCCTATACGAAGAATTCTTTTTCACGTCCTGGAGCCGATGGTCCCAGTGCCATAAAAAAGACTGTAAACAGTATCGGTGGAAGTTGTGCGCCTTTTATCCGATCTGTGGAGAGCGCCTGATGGTGCAGCAGCGCACTTGTCCGGAACGTGTTTGGCACGTATGCGCGGAAAAACCGGAATCACCGTCGCCGACCATATCACACCGGAATGGATCAGAGTCCGACAGTGACTTCGGTAAGGTCAGAGCCAGAACGGAAGCGCTGCGTATAAATTTGTTTAAATCAACATAATCAACATATCGACGACGCCGATTTCTCTGCTTGCATAGAAGATGACAACATTGTTGTGGATACAAAGAGCAATTTGACATGCGGAATATCGCTCGCCCGAGCGACCAATGTGACAAAGAAGATACTTGGCGGAAAAGCCAGCATGAAAGGGAAATGGCCATTTCAGGTATAATAAAAGCAAGCCGTATATAAATCCAGTTTTATTGCGGTACTGATTCATACGTGTTGTATGCGCTATCAGTGTGTGTAGCGCATCGTATGGTCAGCTTATGCTGATAAGAAGCGTATTGATCTTTGACTGTTCGGTGGAATTAACTCCACCGTGAACAATTAACGATCCGTATAGGAAGTCATCGTAAAATATGATAGTTTTGTTGGGCTTATCGTCAGTTATTGTTGATTGTGGTTTTGTTATTTAAGGTAATTATCTTAAATCACTACATGGAAAACTATTGCGCTGGAACGCTTATTTCCAACTGGGTCGTTACCGCTGCGCACTGCGTTAAGTAAGAAATGCAAATGTGTGTTTGCGATGCTAGACAATCAAATACAAAAAACTCCATTTGCATTGCAGAAGGCGAATGTTTGTGAAACTGGGCGAACACAACATTTTTACAGACGAGGAAACGGAGCAGCTGTTCCGGCCTACGCGGGTTATAATTCACCCTAACTTCGACGAACAAACAGTCGGTACGTATCAACTTGTGGCTGCAGCAATTTCGAGCAGAACCAATCCGACTAATCTTCACCGCGTTTTGTAATGACCTTTCCATGAGGTTCGCCTGTCACATATAGTATATGTAATATCGCTAGAAGTATAACATTATGCTTGTTAAATACTTTATTACGATCGTATGATTATGAAACAAAATGTGGAAAAAAATTGTGCATGGGGTTTATTACTGTATAAATTTACAGTTTTTTGGCTAAACGTGTATTCGAAACTTCGCCTTTTCCTTCTGTCTGAAATTTAAGGTTTTCTTAAAGTAAAGTTTATATAAATTTGTTAAACACATTGCATGATTAAGCGCATTCTCATCGAATTGCAGAGAACGACATCGCTCTTTTGAAAATTGCTGATAATATAAAATGGGGAACTAATGTGCTGCCGGCTTGTCTGCCTGAAAAAACGGACGATCCACTGTTGCAATCCAATCAATCTTTGAGATGCGTTGTTCTGGGTTGGGGCAAGCGAAAGCCCGTGGATATGGTTGGCTCGGATGTACTGCGAGAAGCCGAAGTGGACATAGTGGATCAACAGCGCTGCGTCGATGCCTACACAGGTGATCACGTCATTTCACCGCGTATGATGTGCGCCGGCGGCGGAAGGAGCGGCAAAGGTGACACGTGCGAAGGTGACAGTGGGGGGCCATTGCTGTGCAGAACAAGCGAGAATGATACAGAAGGCCCATGGAAGCTAATGGGGATCACCAGTTTCGGGGATGGATGCGGGAAGCGAGACAAATTCGGTGTTTATACGAGAGTTGTTTCGTTTTTAGACTGGATTGAGAAAAATACGGCGAAGTAAAGCTGTTGCGATAACCACAGCACCACAAATCGCGATTGCGCACAGCAAAAAATACGTTTTTGATATAGTTATTATAATGTATCCTTTGGGTTTAAGCTATGTATTAAGTAATTGTATAGCGTGGTCAGGTGGTAGCGACAATATCCACATAATGTAAATTGTAAATACTTTTTTGTTTAGCATGACAGCGCTATACTGACTGCATGAATGCATGAATGCTGCATTGTATTCAGCATGCATTTAATGCATTACTTTATTTCACTTTTCTGTTTCATTATGGCATTTGTTGCATATTTTATAGTGTTATGTTAATCTATGATAGAATCCTGCTTAATTTACTGCTCTCTGCGTGTTGGTAACATTGTACTCCTTGTTAAGAGATTACCAAGTATCAATTCGGCTCTTCGGGTATTACGGAGAAAAAGCGTTTGAGAAAACGTAAATCTTACTTTTATGTTGAGAATTTGGGATATATGCATATTTTTTAAATGTGCGATTGTCTTTAACCGTGTATTGTATTCGTATAGTCGAATACTGCAGATGTATGAGTACAGTAATAATCGTAATACAGTCTTTCGAGTTTGCAGTTTTTCGAGTCTGAAGAGTGTAATTCGACTGATACAAGTATTATCCTTTTGAACCCTATCTGTACGTAGCCTTTTGTCAGATTTGCATTAACTTTTATGAATATTGCACAGTATTTTATAAACGCAACTGTACTGCAGGTACTCGTACTCTTAATTATATGGAACGGAACTGATATTTATATTGGATAACAATGCCTTTGTGTTTCGCAGTTACTTTTCGGCGTATTCGCAATACTTTTATTGTCACTTTTCGCACTTACCAGTTAGAATCGTACACAGTTCCTGGTTTTGCACTAGAAGTACCCAGTACCTGATTTTATGCAATTGTGTTATTAGTCCAAAACTCAAACGTTTGTTTTAAATACTACAAGTGTTCAAGTGCTTACATGTTTAATTTATCGGTACTAAATATATACATTTAATTCGTCCTATTGCATTTGGAAGTTACGACGTGAGGCAGAACTTTAAAGTACTTACAGAGTACGCACAACAAAATATAAATATGATAGAGCTGCAAGTACCGGTTGATTCTTAAATTAACTTCCACTGTCGAAAAATATTTTAATTTATCTGTTACTGTGTTACAGAAAGTACTTACAAAGTGAAAAATTTTTTGCAGCATTAAAATTACTTTTCTGGTTGCAGTATTAAGTGGCTTTGTTAATGATTTCTGTAATCGGAAACGAGGAACAGCTTCCGCCTACTACAATACACGTATCGATCGGCCTTGCAGCAACGTACTCGTACAAGTACATACGGTCTTTTTGCGCTCTTCTTTGACGCTACTAGGCGAATCAGCTGTACTGACGATGCACATCTGACACCAAACAGCAGTCCTGTTTCTTCCGGACGAGAACTTTACTGTTTAGTTGCGCTTTAAAATGAGGCACTGAAGTGTAGAATTGTATCATTTGTGTGAATAGACATTATCTGCCGTAATACTTTTTAAGAATTGTGAGCATTCTACGGGTAGCACCGTAACAGTCTTTATAGCTTACTACTTACCGTACAACCATCGTATCTTGGGAGTTTTGGAGAACTCATTAGCTCGAAGCTGCAGGTGGGAAAAACCGTTTTACAATCGCTGTCCTGGAATGACTAAAGAAATATATCCGTCTCTTTAATCTCTGTATGTTAGTACACTGTGCTTACTTGTTAATCATAGTGTTTGCGTTATTGGCAGAATGGAAGAACTAAGCGCGTTTCGGGCACTGGAGAAAACATGCTTTGTACTGGGTGCTAGTGGCGAAACGGGAAAGGAGCTTTTGAAAGAGCTCGTGCGTCTGCAGCCGTTCAAGAATATCGTTCTAATTGGGCGTCGAAAGCTGGAGTTTGAGGAGGATAATTTGAGAAATCTGGTAAGCCTACGAAACCTAATTGTGCACTGCAGCAATGACAGGCCAGGTGTCAACCATCAAATAACCTATTTTGCAAAGTTGTGGTTGTAAGGCAGTATGACGTAATTGCCGATGCTCCACTTTACACGGTGCAGTAATTAATTGACGAAAGCGTTTGTGTCGGCGACATGAAAAATATTACTTGATTAACCTTAAATAAAATATGTGGATCAGATCTGTTTTTAATAAACGTTAAGTAATTGGTTGTGATGATCTTTTACAAATTAAACAGCGTTTTGACTTCACCAATCACAATTCTTTTTCGTCGTAAATAACGAGCAGTATTATCAGCACAATAAACTCGCCCTTGAAATATTGTTTATTGTATTGCTGCACTGATTTGTGTACTTGCCTGATTGATTCCCTTTTTGTACAGGAACAGCGCATCGTTGACTTCGACAACTTGGATAAACCGGAACATGCCAGAATGTTCGAAGGTTGCAACCACGGATTCTGCTCTTTGGTATGATAGGCGGATTATGGTTGGCTATTTTTAGATATTGTGCTTCACCAAAAAATAACATTACCTACACAATATTGTAAGAAATATTTGGCAGCTTTAACCAATAACAGCAAAGTAAACTAACGCACCGAAAAAAAAACTAGAAGCGCAAATGAACTTTGATTGTTTTGCGTGATTTTTTTTAAACTTTTACAACAAGACATAGAACTGCACTGTTTTTAGAGTACATTGGTTTCTTTGAGTTAATGTAATACTCTGTACACGCATTATAACACTCTGAGTTGCTGCAGGGTACAACGCGAAAAAAAGAAGGAAAGGTAAATACGAATGTGGTGTCTAAATGACGTCTGTATCCCGACCATGCAATTTACAGTATTCGATATCTTTTCTAGGAAGGATATATTCGCGTCGACCACGATTATGTGGTGGCAGCTGCCAAAGCGGCCAAAGCTGGCGGCTGCGAGCATTTTCATTTGGTTTCCTCCCAGGGTGCTGATGAGCACAGTATGCTCTTATTGACCAAAGTTAAGGTGAGTATAAAAGAAGGAAAATTATACTTCCTGTTGCGACAATGCTGCTCGTTGAATTTGTTATCGATACCAACTGGGCTGTCATATTGTACAAATTAGATGTTTGTTCAGTGCTGTATGTGGAATACATTATGGCGATTATGCCGTGTCTGATCCATAATTTATGGATCGGGAAAAGAAGCTGCTTTACTTTGGTTATGTGTGTTAGTATTGTAGCTATAAAAACTGCAGTTGTGGACGTAATGTTGTATGTGTTCCGGATTGTAACTCTGTTTTATTGCATTTTGCTAGGGAGAAGCCGAACGGGATGTGGCTGCTCTGAACTTTCCCCGTTGTTCGCTCTACAGGCCGGCATTTCTTGTGTGCGACCGCACTGAGAGTCGTCCCTTTGAAACACTAGTAAGATTCCTGCGCTAATAAAATATTATATTTACATTGGCAGCTTGGACGAACTGGATTGTTGCAGTTTAAATACGCGATCAAGCCCATCGAATGGTTGTCGCCTACGCTCATAAGTATCCCGACCAGCTTGTTAGCCAAAGGGATGATAGCCAACGCCTTCATACCGGGACAAAAGGGGGTGGAGATCGTTGATAATAAAAAGATCCACGAATTAGGCCATAAATGCCCTTAATTTTACAAAATTCTTTAAAGAAGAAATATGATTTTTTTGTGTTTTGGATGCGATTTAATTATTGCCTATTACGGCTGTTTGCACTAAAAGCGTTTCAGATTATTTTTCGTTCTCGCACTAGGTGATTTTGTGTCTCATTGCGTGAGCGTCTTGTACTTAAAGAGTTATGTTCAGTACAGTTGTAAGCCACATCTTTTTTTTGCTGCTAATTGCTATCGAAGTCTTTTGTATGTGAAACGTGGACATGTGCAGAAAGCATTTTATATTCGTAAAACAATCCATAAAATATTTTAAGAACTGCATTTTGTTCTGTTTTCACATGATACGCTCCATTTCTATACTACGCTGACGAATATTGTATTTTCTGGATGCGTTGTGAAAAACAGTCTATTACACTGTACCATAACAAACCAGCAAATTTTGATCAGTAATTTCAGAACTGGCGATTTGTCCATTCTATATAAGGTAATAGTCTATGCAAGCAAGCTCAGCGGTCAGATAATATCTATATGCAGTACAACGTGTTTATACAGGTCGTGATCTACTTCGCAGCACAGGTAGAGATGCAGTTCATCGTTGATTTAATTACGGCAGCTAAATCCAATCAATACGGCTGACAAAAGAAATAGGAGTAATAATAATTTTACATTTCTAACACAGTTGAAACAAATTTCGAACCAACGAAACATAGCTTGAGATCATTTCCTTACAATCAAACAGAGCAAAAAACATAACCATCTAAAATGGAAAAAAACGACGTAGACAATCATAACTGCTATTAAGACAGACTATCACTTCTTATTATAACCACCGGGCAGACAATCACAATAACTTCACCGGCAACAAGTTCCGAATAGCGCGCTCATTTCCCTAACTTAATTAACGAATCTGGCAATTTTTGTCCTACTCTTCTCCGTGGCGGAGGCGGTGGTGGACCAGACGGAAGGCTACCGACTGAACTAGGCGGTACCGCGAATTCGTTTTCAGCGGGACCACTTTCTGCATTTCTAACCAAGCCGTTTGCGTTCTCGGCAGTCTAAAATACAAATACATATCAAGAACTCATAAAACCCATAAAAATAAGAACCCAGACAACGGAAGGAACTCATAAAACTGATTTGTTATTTATTAATTCACTGGGCGTTTCACAGATGCCAAAATTAACCGTAAGCAGTGACTTCCTACTACCAAGTTCCAACTCACTTACCGAGCCACTTACTTGACTTTCGGCAGGCCATTCCGGAAGCGCGGTGGCTACCAGTATTTCCGGTTGAACAGCAACAGCTGGTTGAACGAAAGGAATCTCAGTAACAGATTGTGCTTCTTGATCAGCAGCAGCCCATGGGTCAATAAATGGCTGATCATAAGTCGGGACTGATTTGGTTGGCATTTCCACCACGGGTTGCGGAACAGGATCAGCAGCCCAAGGATCCACAGCAACCTGTTTCGGGGCAATTTTAGCTGGTGGCGGACGAGCCGGGGGAGGACGCGGTGGCGCCACTTTTTGGAGAACGATCGGTGGTGTCACAGCCCCAACGTTATCGGATCCATTGCTATGCAGACTGGCCGTTTCTAAATCCGCCGCTTCCGAAGTGGCCATATTCACTACTGATCCAGCAAAGTCTTTGCCATCCTTTCCTTCCTCGCCAGTCAGCAAATCCAAATCTAAACAATACATATGAAGGTCACAAGATTGCAGTTTTCTAAACGAAAGCCGCGCTTCACATACTCTTATTAAATGTTTTCGCGCCTTACAGCCAGGATAAATTACTGAAAAATTTGTCATTGGTAAAAACAATTTAAACTAAATTATCGAAAGGAATTTAAATAAAGGAACTAAATTTCGGAAAGGTCTGGATAGCTTACCATTTAGTCCACTCGTCGAAGGATGGCTCATGGGAACCCGCATTGCTATTTCGTTTTCGTCCAGTAGTAACGGTTCACCCGTATCACACAGCGCTGTGGCTGTATGCTTAGAAAGGTTAACAACCAAATCCAGGACAGATCGCCAGTCTTCTAATCGCAATTTCACGGATAAACGTTTGCCAAAGATATCTGTCCCGTCATAATTCAGCGCCGACAAGGCACTATGTCCAGTGGAGAAAGTTATGCACAGATTTGATCCGCTGTATCTGGAGACAAAATATTACTCTTATTATGAGGGCTTCATATCAAAGAACATATTTTTCCTATCATTAGCACCAACCGGATCATCAAAATTTCTCCCAACGAAGCCAAAATACTGGTGATTTGTTGGTACATTTCCGGTGCGTAAATGGCATCTGGATCTTCCAAGCTGACTAAAACCGTTCCATCAGATGGCCCCAGATGATCCAGTATGTCATTCAGCACCTCTTCGCATTTATGCGCATCAGTCACATGAACGTCCACCTCAACCAGAGCGCTTACAGGTCGGTGGTCCGATGTGCGGATTTCCATGCGTCCGTAATACACAATGTTAAAATCATTCCACTCCATATCTATACAAAAATTTAGGATTGCATCTAAACGTCGCTAAAAGACATTCCTAAGTGCGGCGTATCTGTACATACCACCAAATTTCCGTCCTCTCACTAGAACCCGGTCTGTCCAAGCAGGGCAGCGGAATTTTTCGCTAGTGTCGTAATCATCCGACAAGGGATCGTATTTGTAAGTTGGAGCAAATAATACCGGCGCTTCGGAATACTCCTGGAAGCATTTCCCGTGCTTTTTACTGAACAGCAACTGATCTCCTTCTGATAGCTGAGGCCATTTTTCGTTCTTAATGTAATCTCGGACAAGTTCGTTTTCCATGTCAATACGGTAATTGAAATCACCACACCAGAACACGAAATCGTGCGAATGCGGATTGAGTTCCTACATAAGAACACCCATTTCATACAACAGGTAATAACATTATCGTACACCATTCGACGCTACGGTTTTCGTCAAGCATAATCCCATACTACAGCCACTATCCAATACAAACATACAGAAAAACAATAAGCAAACGCCAAACTTCTCATTAACCTAAGCAGTCGAAGGCAGACTGGTAATACAAATTAGCACGATGTGTACTTAGCACCATGACCAACACCTAGGGTTACTTTTGCGCTTTTCCAATAAAATATGCACAATTTCACAGTTCAACGTACCGCAGGGAAGACCAGCTTATTGCTTATTTCCAGAAAATCAGCATTCCTCTCGTTGACATTTGACTGACCAGCAGCAAAATGGGAGCAACAGAAGCATATCGAAGAGTTATATAGCTGAAATCGAATTGCCACTCCACCCTTATTTCCGGTTACGCCGCCCATGCCAGTTTTCACCATGGCGGTAGCTACATCTCTAAAACGAAGCAATTATTCATGCCGTTATCGATTACACAAAACCGTCTACAAAACACAGCCGACTAATCAATAGCCATTTTCAACAATAGCATCGAATTTCGCAAAGTTATAAATTTTTTGTGGTGGAAAATAGTTAATACCTTAAATGAGGAACGTGTTCTGCACGGATGAAAACGAACAAGCATACTCCCACCAACTGAACCGACTGCACCAGAACATAATGTCCAACTTTCTTCAGCACGGCTGAAATATCAATGAACCATTGTCGCTGGTTAACGGTACTGAAAAGCAAAACGACATAAACTGTAAATAAGGTCACACGGTTCACTGTCCCGCAAACCTTTATAGTACCGTAATGTGATTTTAATTGTCGAAATTTTGCTGTGCAAGCCCAAACACCAAAACACTTACACAGCGTAGCAGTATCTTATGTATCTGTACACGGGAGTACCTTGCCGCCATAATGTTGGAAGCATTTAAATCAACAATCTCTTCAAACCCAATGGCAAAAATATCAACAGGTTTTTGTGGATCCCAGCTAGAGCGCAGATAATTTGTCTTGGTTTCCTGGGAAATTTTAGCACAATCCAAAATCCAATCATCTATAGGACGTTCCTTATTGCCCTGAGCGACTGCTGCTTTGATGCTCTTTCCTCCGTTAACATTCCACGTTCCCACCCAAAATGTCAACGGTATTGTATGCGTGTATTCAGCGGCACGATTAAACAAGGAATTCAGTAAGAACGCAGGCACTACAGGGAAATGCAACTATTAGAAATGATACTGAGGTTCGCTCCAAAAACAATAATAGCCGCATAAAACAAAATCTTATTCTGAACTGCTTGAAATTTGTCACTTCTATGCAAATTAAATACAGAAAAGTGAGTAAAATAATCACGAAAAAATCCGTAACTTCGGTTGATATCTACTGCTACTATTTAGTATTTACCTTGACGTAGATTAAACGGTAGGACCGTTCGAGCGCGATCGGAGAAATCAGAATTCAACAGCGCTCCCGCCAATAAGATATCCATGGCTTCCTTTTTGCTCGTGTCGAATAGATTGTTCTGCACTGTACGACTAACCGAACGCGCTCCATCTTTTATCTAGAACATACCTAAATATATTGTCTCGGTTACAAAATGTTGGTATCTCCAGCCTCCTCACCTTCGACTTGCCCTCCAAGGCACTGGTACCCGCATAAATTCGGCTAACATGATCGCCGTTCTGCTGCCATAACTGGGCAAATAGCTGCTCAAATCGTGACACAACCTGCGGCTTATCGGAAATACCCAAGGCCTGCATCTGCTCCTGTAGCACCTACAAAGAAGCATCATCCGGTCAATCATTTTTTACAAACGGGTAACCGAGGTCGGCGAGGTGTGCACGGATGAGAGTAATACTCACCAGTAATCCCAAAAACGTCTGCACAGCATTTGTGCGGTCCAGACAATCTAGGCAATTTGTCCGAGCCGCACCATTCTGTTGTCTAAAAGTTCGTCAAGCCACTGAGATTCCATGCTGATTTCACTTGCCCAAATTAGATTTTCACTCGCGTTATTTATTCAAATGATTCAGTAAGTAATTTCCATACAGTATACGATTTTCATTTATGCCACACGCTTCATTCACGGAAATTTCAAACATGTGGAAAACCGCCTTACCTTTTGATGCCGTCCTGACTGGCATGAAAGAATCCAAATTCCAACAATTTGTCCATCACTTGATCCTTCAGCTCTTTGATTAAAGCGTCTGGTCGGCCACCTCGAACATTCGCGTGATAATCGTAATGAATGTATAACATTCCAGAACGATATGCCGACCCTTCGAAGTTTTCCTGGTAGCACGGAAGCAAAAAATTAAATAATGCCGAATGTTACACGGATCAAATTAGGTCAATATTATCATGCATAAATCAGCACGCGCTTAGGAGTTCATGATAATGCAGTTCTAAATTTAATTATGCGACCAACCCGAAATTTTTCTGTGAGGCCCTTCTCTCCCTCTTTACTCCCAAGAAGATTCAGCAGAATCTGATCCCCGTACTCTCGCTTCAGCATAATCAAATGGCGATCGAATGCTGCACTCATCGTCTCATAGCTCCTTGAATAAGAAATCTTATGGGCTCCAACCTAATATGCGAGGACGTGTGATTACGGGTCCTGTTCCTAATATTCCAATATAAATAACTGACTACAACAAACATACCTGCACGCCGGTCTGTTCCCAGAAAAGAGGCACTGAACCTCGAATCTGCACATAAGACGTTATCTGATCGCCGATGCAAACAATCTACAAGTAATCAACACCCCGTCAAACAAAGTTGACACATGGATGCGAAACCTTAAAGTGAAGACGCAACCAGACTACGGCAAACCACCTGTTCGGTTTCGACGAAATTAGCCACATTTCCGTCGTCGTTGGCGCCGCGCACTTGAAATCGTGTTCCCGCACGGTAGGAATTGAACCGGGAGATCATGCCCACTCTGGCCTGATACTGGGCAACATACAGTGTCTTGATTTCCACACCGCCGCAGATAATTTTGACCAGCCATTTGTCACAGGAAATCCCGAAGCTCTGCACGTACAAATGCAGCCCCCGGTTCCTACACACCGCCATAAAAGAAAACAAAACAAACGTCATTTCCTGTACACTCCAAACCACACAGCAGTCAGCTCAAGTGTGGTTATATGCATATGCTTAATCGACGCTCGATGGTGTATGACGCACCAGAAAAATCGATTATCCGTGGGTGCACCCAGTGTGGCCCGTTGGCAGCATACAGTGAGATCGAGGGGAGCAGCGTTGGGCGTCAGGGAGACAGCGAAGTAAAAGATGCCCGAACTGAGCAGCTTAACAAACTCCACTAAACGCTCTTCATCGCCGGGATCGTTGCGCAAAGATATCACCGTCACTCCGGCGATACGCAGGATTTCGCTATCGGCACTTGAATTTAATGAGAGCTTCCCAATGGAAACGCAGCTGCTAACCACCACGAGGTACAGGATTCTGTGATGCCCTAAAAAGCAAGAAAAAATATTTTTCTTTGCGAAAAAATAATTAATTTTCTCAAATAAATTTTAAAATACAAAAACCAAAATTCAGTGCTTTGCTGCCTGTGCACAGGTATACTATGCGCAGTCGTGAAATGTCTGGAAACAGAAACTGCTTTTCAACAACAACATCGGTGCAGAACGTTCATACAAAATTCCAAATAAATTTCCCTAAAAATCGCATTTAGGTATCCAGAATCAGTTTCAGGCTGTTTCAAACAGGTTGCTGTCCAACACTGACAATTCCAAAAACTCTGCGCACTCACCTGCGTTGTATGTCAGCACTCCCAATAAAGCATAAGCATCACATATTTTGGCGTATAATGGTTTCAGGTGCTCAAAATCTTCGTAACCTATCGAATAAACAGTGGAAAGCTAAAACGATATCCACACGACAAGCGCACCACATTCTACGATATCGAAATCTACTTCTGTGTGAAGATTCCAATCACAACTTACTGAGCGTAGTTGCGACTCCGGATTCAAAGTACAGAGCTTCGGATTTGATGTCGCGATTTTCTACCACAACGGTAAATGGTCGCTGCTGGTCGGCTGGTTTATGGTAAATTTTAAAATGCTTCCCGAGAACCATGTTTCATAGGTAGGTGGTATCCTGAACTGGATCGAGCAGTCCACATCCACTAATTCTTCTACACAGTACGTTTAGCCGCTGCGCTGCTGTATTCAGAATTAAACATAAATCACGATAACGAAGTATCCGGCGGTTTTGATAAATGCACCGAAATTAACAGTCAAACAAACACAATTCTAGTTGATCTGATCTACCGTACATGCGCCAAAATTGAAATAAATAAAAATTGTTGTGTGTTGTCGATTGATGCATCGAGGCACACTGACAGCGCAATACAAGTGGGTGGACTCAAACCGTTAAAAAAACCGAAAAACCGATTTCCTTGATGTAAACCGCCCATGCTGAAAAACGTCGGCGAGTACTGTTACAAAGTTCATTTTAATTTTTTAACTGAAATAATACTTGAATCCGTTTACAAGTTTACAACCATTTTGATTCTTAAAATTGGCTACAGAAAGGCCATTTTGAAATTGGCCATTTTGAAATCCCTGAAATTATAAAAAGCGCCTTCAAACCGCTCACGGAACGTTTAATCAGCTAGAGAAGCCGACCGCAATCGCAAACGTTTACCAACTGGCTAATAAGCCCAAAGTCCAGACTTGACTGCTCACGCACGTACAGTGCTTCGTGCTTGTTACAGTATTTATTGTCACATTTTAGATTAATGAAATCATTTTTACGCAAACTGCATTCCGAATTTCCGACGGTCCAGTAACTTGATTTGTACTTTGTGGTCTGTTACGTTTGACGCTTTGGAAGTCTCCAGGATCATGGCTAAACCCGATCAGGAAGATCAGATTGAAGATGCTTCGGAGTTGCGATTTCCAAAAGAATTCGAGACCGCAAAAACGCTGCTAAATTCTGAAGTTTACATGCTATTAGAAGCCCGCAAAGCGCAGAACGAAGCTGCCGACGATGTAAGTAATATTTATGTATTGCGAAGTTTCAAACGCGTTGTTTGTCTCCCTCGGATTGCAATTCGTTTATTTTTGTAGGAAGCCGAACTTCCTCCGATATTCCTGAAAACCCATGTCTACACGCACAGATTCAGTGTCTTCAAGAACCGCGATACAATAGTCGCGGTCCGCCACATGTTGTCCACCAAAGATCTCCATCAGTACGAGTTGGCCAGCCTCGCCAATATCTTACCTGAGAGCGCCGATGAAGCTAAAGCCCTTATCCCCAGTTTGGATCGCTTCAACAACGACGAACTGCAGGTAGATTTCACTTTTTTAACTTTTTAAATATTTTTGAACGAAATCATTTATTCTAGCCTTTTGACTTTTTGCATAAAACTTTTTTGCATTTTGAGCCATTTTGATTTTAATGGTGTAAAATAAATGTTGATGGATGTCTTACATTCGTACTCTGGCGCTGAAATGCTACAAAACATAAAGTAACAGAGAGCTTATTTACTGCAGTACATACCGTAATTTGATCACACAATTGATTGATTTGCGAAGTATTCGTTACCATTACTTGTGTAAAATTAACGTAAGTCACTGGCAGTGCATCTGAGTTGCTAATAAGACCTGACGTTATGTGTTGTTATCCATTTATTTAGGAATTACTCGATGACATGAAAACGAAAAAGAGTTTCCAAGCGTGATACACGTCTTTCCTTTTCCGATGATCTGGGGAAGACTTCGTAGATGTGAACGAGAAGCGGCATCCTTGATGGGCACGCGAACTGCTGTAATAATTTTGCCAGCTGCGGTTCATCTACGTACTTTTGATCTACTTCGTTATGGAAAGTCGAAAGCTGTTACTGTGTTACAAGCCTGTTTCCTGTGTTTTTATTTGTCATTATCCTGTTTGAAGCAGGCATGCACTAACACGTGTGAAGTGTGACTAATACAGCTCCACGTTTTTGCTTGCCCTTTTTGGGTTTAACTGTTTTGTTGGACGGAAATTGGCTTGATGAAAATTGCTTCCAAGCCGGAATATTTTTTTATTGGTATGGCACTGGCGAAACTCTGGCGAAAGATCATGGACTCTGTATCTGTACGTGTATTGCATCTTAAATTCGGCTAACAAGTTGACTGATTTTCGGATTAACGGAATGAAATGAAATGCCGGTTGTTGGTCAGTTTGATGAACTGACTTTGCCATAGCCACTGACTTTGCACAACCATAACCGTATTGCGTACAGCATCCGGCACAGCCATAAGATCGCACAATTTAATTTGGTCAATTTGAACATGCTGATAATATAATATGATGAGTATGACGTTCATGTTGAACCGATCTGGGTAAAAAATATAGCATCTGTACTGGTAGTTTTTAGTCACCCGTAACATCATTACTTTGATTTCCAATCCCAGCTTAATTATCACACTTTCCGGATCCTGCAAGTTCGCCCATATCTTCGATAGTTTTTGGAAGCTTTGTAAAATGTTTATTTGGATCTGGTCTTGTTTTTGCATAATTTCCTGCATTTTCGGATTTCGATTTGGACAACAAGCTTTTGCAAGATTGGCTGAAAAATCACACAAGAAGTCTTCGAGTAAGTAGGATAATTCTTTGAAAGTTTGCATTGGTCAATGTTAATAATCTAATAACAGGATTAAGGAAGGCTACTTCTGCTTATATTAACAGTAACGAGTAAGTACTGTAACTTCGTTGACAACTTCAATTAAATGCAGTTCAAATTAAAAATTAAGTATCTGATTGTCACCCTGTACGCCTGTACAGTCTGTAGTGCACTGCGATAAGCGAGTGCGTTTCGACCTTGTTATGTAATTTACTATCTCGATTGCAGATGATGTTGCTCGCTCACCTTTTGTTCAAGAAGTTCTTTTTTGGGAACCATATGATTCAAGTGGGAAAACTGCATGGCAGGAAATCCGAAACTGTTTGCGATCGGCCACCAGGAGCATCAAAATCGCTACTTTCATTCTGCGTGGTCATTGCATCTCTGACGAACTGCAGTTAGCTGCCGCCCGCGGTGTAAAGGTGGAAATCATTATCGACGGCAAGCAGCTGGACCATCGTGGCTGCCATCCTGAAAATCTGGCTAAGGATTCTTTCATCAGGACAGATGGACGAAATGTCATTCAGTGCCGAATTTATCGAAAAACGCGCCATCAGGATCAGAGAAAATTCTCAGGTAAATTGCTCGAATAATTTTTTTTGAAAATTTTCTACAAACTGCTCATATCCGGCAAATTATTTAAGTAAATTAAAGTGTTGGTATTATTAGTAGTAATTAAGTACAGCATTAGATAGCAGTATACCTCCTAATCCATAACGTAGCCTTAATCGTCTTAACTTAATATATCCACTCGGGTTCTACCTTATTAATTGTTAGTAAGTGTGTGATTGTGATGCAGAATACTGCTAGGTTTGTGCAAAATTATTATTTAAGGAGTACAATTTAAATTTTGTTGATAAGTTTGGCTACTCTTCAGTCTTCATCAGAAGAAATTAGGTCAATAAAACTTTACTGAGACGAATACGATTCTGGTTATGAGCAAAGATTGCGGAGAAATCCTACGAGTAGAAAATGGATGTGTATGTAAATTGTCGCACAGGAAACACTATCATTAACGTTATAATTTGGATTGGACAAACAACAATTTTAACTGACGAACGCGGATAATAAGACCGGTCATGTCGGCGGAAATGTCCCGGAGAATTTTCCCAATGATTAAATATGGGGAGAATCTGCGCTCGCCATGTATACAGCACTGTGTCGTCATGCAACACCTGTACGATTACCAAATTGAATTATCCAGGCTAGCACAATTGCTTCCAATTAAGTATTTGAGCGACGACACGGTATTGATATAATAATAATAATTACTACCTTGAGGAATGAGGAGTGATAACGCTTAAATGATTTCTTCGTCAAACGTAGCTAAACGGTAACTTATTACCGGTTTGTTGCCGGAACGTGTAGAGGGGAATTACAATTACCGTAGTCATTATTCAATTTCTTGCACCAGTTTATCGATGATTCTAGATTGGGGCCTGCAGTCTGGATCACACAGGACGCCACGGAATAACGTTAGTGGCATTTTCCACAAGAAATATGTCATTATTGACGAAAGTTTTGTTATTTTTGGATCGAGCAACTTAACGGATGACTCCTTGCGTTCGCACTATGAGAATTTCATCATCACCGGTGATATGCGGTACACTGAGCCTTTGTTGAAAGACTTTAATAGAGAATGGCTGGAATTGGCACCGGTTTAGAATTGCTGGCGAACCCCTTATCTTGGTTTTTTGTTAATAAAATACTGAAAGCTAAATAATCATATGGGAACCTAAACCGAGCTCTGTGGCTGATGTTTTTGGTTAGTATAGGGTCGATATGCTCTCTGCCACAAACAATTCACAAACAGATTAGAACAACTTATAATAAATTAGAAAGATTCATGATATCGACGCAGTGAGTTAAAGCTGCACCAGGTGTATAAATTTAGAGATTTTCTCACCGCAGCGTGATCACATTTCCACAGTTATGAATAACATGCTGAATATTATAGAATGACCTTAAGATGAATTGTTGGTCTTTGAAGTACTTAAACTGAGTTGGAATGTCATGCAAAAAAAACAGCCATAACCACTATCATCATTAGATTTCTTCATAAAATACCGGCAACATTTAATTCATATAAATCACATTTAGAATATAAGCTAAGATATGAAACAATTCTGCAGTTTAAATTGTTGTGGTATGAAGTTCATATACGTAGTTTTAATGTTATACATTTTGTTTTAGAAACTCTGATTTAGGTATCTTTCCACTGCCACTATCAAGTCGAGCATTGGCTTCTGTGAGAATGTACTGTAGAAATGATAAACGTTCACAGCTTAAATTTCTATTACTGCAGGATTAAAGGCTTACATACGGACATGGTGTTTAGCAGCATTTGACAAGATCGAGGAATGCAAGCATGCACACATCGGAGCATAACCGTGAATTTGTTCAAGCGCATAATTATTTAGCGTATAATGAGAAATTAATGGATTTTCTTCTGATCCCACTGTCTTCTTAGCCTATTTTAATGCTTAACTATGAAAATACAAAGATTGAATTACCATTGTAAGCTTCATGATTATATAATTACCCATCCAGACTATCCAGTAGTGAAGTCGGCGTTAAAAGAGGTGTTTGTAATCCCTTTTGTGTTATGATAGGAAGTATCTTCTCAGTTGATCATGATAATCTGAGACTATAACTTGTGGAATTCGACAAAGTCAGAACGATCACAGTTGTGAGACATAATTCCAAATTATTACTTGACCTGCACTGTAAACTTTAATAATTATGAAGAGCAGTTTGTTTATGTTACAACAGATTGGTTGTACCACGAATTCGGGATGACGGACCATCATAAAAATTTTAATTTACATCTTACAGGTGCATATTTATAAAATGGTATTCTGCACGTACTATCCATATTTTGTATTCTGCACGTACGTTTTCTAACATGAATGAAGGAATAAGTTGCAACCCTATTCGGACGAATGATAATACTTACTTACTTATCGTTAGTACGCACTACGCAGTGCAGCACGCTCGAATTAACACAATATCAAGGGTAAGACATAAAATTAATTTAATCTTGAACTGAAATGCTAAATGAGATGTACTTGTGCTGTATTTGTACTTTATTTATAAGTGCATGTGTACCAACGGTACGATCACAGTTTCAGAGTGTTCACTATTTACAATTAAAGCGCGGCATTGATATAGATTTATGTGTGGCACTGAAATTACAAAAGTGCTATTGTTATGTTTGACCTTAAAACAAAATTACTTTTGTTAGTGTATACCCGGCGCAAAACCGCCAGAATATTGCACACGAACGGTTTGTGATCTACTGGTGTATTTACAGTCAAGTATCTCTAATGCTCCGTGTAACCTTTAATAACGCAAGAAAACACTTAGTAAAACACACTTAGAAAACACACGAAAGAAAACACTTAGTACTAAAACAAAAAGTACTCAGCCAATGCTCCTAGTCCATCAACCAACATGATGTGTTTTATATACGTTTTATACTATATATTTATATATGTTTTATATATCAACCAACATGATGTGATCGGTTTTATACAAAATTTATTTTATTGTTATAGTATTAATCGCATAAAACAAATTCAAAAACTGCATGAAACATAATTATCATGTAATACTGAATAATAATAAGAACAACATCATGTATACTCATCATGTGTGTACATAAAGCTACTCCGTACATATTGCTTTTCCAAAAAATAATTTACGAGCTATTATTGCTTGGGATATCGAGCTGCCAGTTGGTCAAGGCGTCATGTATGTGCGGAATTCGGCGTACGCGTTCCCCTTCCGCAGTTTAATAATGGCCGTAACTTGTTCTGCTATAATCACCGCAAGCCAATGAGAACAATCTGTTTACTCATCCCTTAAACCGACAATTTCAACACCAATTCATTCCTGTTTAGCTTTCGGAAGGGATTACTGATCGTGCACTCCCATCAAGGCAGACGCCACAGACACAGTCCATATGGTCGAGAATATGAGAAAAGTGTATCGACGGAAAGTGTACCCTGTATCAAATATGCGGGCGGAGTTTGTCTTTAAGGAGTACATATTATGGCAGCTGACTTAAGATGTCACACGCGAGTGGTATATCCTTGTCAAAAGAAATTCTCCTCTTTCATTCGCTCGCGGTGATGTTGCGATAAATTAAAACAGCGATAGAGAACTTCTTTTCTACATTTTGAGAGTCAATTTCAGTTGTTAGTTTTTCTTGATCGTGTCGTGCAACTGCATTTGATTTGCCAGAGTTAGCAATGACTTCGACCTTTGGTGTGACAGATTTTAGTATACGATCGCTGTTACCGGAAGTCACGGAAGAGGACAACGACGGCGACATTTCAGATCAATCCAGTGATAGCGATTCACTGGATGAATTTTCTGATTCGGATCGGGAATCTTCTGCTGCTGACAAGGATACCGTTTTACCTGCTGATGAGGATGGTGATAGCAAGGAAATTGGCAAGCATAAAAAGAACTCTGCTGATCAAAAGCCGGGTTTGGAAAAGCCACCGTTTAGCTACAATGCTCTGATCATGATGGCCATCCGACAAAGTCCAGAAAAACGTCTAACGTTAAATGGAATTTACGAATATATCATGAAAAATTTTCCATTCTACCGTGAAAACAAGCAAGGATGGCAGGTAACTTTTAACTGAGCAGACTTGTTTGAGCAAAAGGTGCCAATTTAAAAAAGCGACATTAAACACATTTTTCAAATGCGTAAAAACTTCAAAATATTTGATATGCCTCTTCATCACGGTAAAATGTTTTGGTTTATAATCTTCCACAGTTGCCTGTGTTTACCTGCATGTGCTTTTGTAAAACTAAAGCTTTTCTAAAACATTTACAGATCTATGATTTGTTCTTCACATATTTGAACTGGATGGTGGAAATTTTGCATATTTTAAAGCGCATGCGGCAGTAAGCGTTAACAAACAAATTTAAGTTATGTGTTTACACTTAATTAGGTCTACAATATACTGTATATTATCGATGCTTCACATAAGACGTTTTTGCGTATACGGGCAGCTATAATGCATGCTGTATATAATAACGCGGCTGGCTAGTAGCTATACAGAATTATCCAACGAACCATAAATAATAATATTTGGATTACAGTTTTGCATAAAAGTTTGTTTATGACTCGTTAAAAAAGCTGCGTTGCCACAAATTTCTGTTTCCTATGTTTCCTATAAGACGCCTTCTGAATGACTCATGATTTGCAATGCAACTCCTTTTGATGTGCAGTGCAGCTCCGTTCATCTGTACACACCAGCTCCAATTAAAATGTTTAGCGTGTGTGGTTTTTGCAGAATTCCATTCGGCACAACCTGTCCCTTAACAAGTGCTTCGTAAAAGTGCCTCGACATTACGATGATCCCGGTAAAGGAAATTACTGGATGCTGGATCCGTCCAGTAATGATGTGTTTATTGGTGAACAAAGCGGTAAACTGCGCCGACGAACAACATCTTCGGGCGTTCGGCATCGCCTGTGCAGCTACCGGCCGATATTAGCCGGTAATCCGTCACATATGCACAGCAGCAGTGCCGCTGCAGCCGGTATCTTTGGTCCACTCGGTCCCTATCACCAGCATTATCCCCCGACCATGGCCCATCCGGCCATGTTCCAGCCATTACATCCATATTTATCCAACCACCATCATCATCGGCCTAATTTAATGTTTGGCAATTTGAACATAAATATCTGGCAGAACAGTCTTGCAAACAGTTATTTGCGGGGAAGCCCATCGATAACGGAATCTTCCCTTAACGATATGTCCTTTACTGGCAACTTAGCTCCCGGCGGCGGCGGTATTGCAGGCGGCAGTCCTGAAGGATTCTGGAGTGAGAAGTTGCTGGCCCTGAGTAAAGCTGTCAACGGTAGTCTAATGGCACCGGCAAACACCGGTAACCCCAGTATATCGCTACTGCCGGCCCGATCGGGCCATAATCTGTCTCGTTCGCATTCTCCTGTATCAAATGACTATAAACATCGTAGCCGCAGCGACGTTGATCTAAGCTGCTAAGCGGCTGTTATACTGATCAGTAAATTGATGGTTACTGCACTGATGACAACACATTTGTGGCAATCTATTTATTTTGCCGGGCAATTGCTGCTTATCCAACTGTGACCACATGCTTCCTGCTATACATTGGCAAATTGAGTAATAAAATTAATGGTAATAAACAAAACGCCAGCCCAACGAAATTGACTATAAGCATTTGTTGATCAGAGAATGAAAACATTCGTTAGCTTCTGTATCACATATAATTACTAACCATAAGGAGAAGATACTGAAAACAGTTACACATGTGCTACTGCATTTTGCGGACTTCCATAATTCTGTCAAAGATACCGGGTAATATGACATCACAAAATAATTCTCCCACTGTAGAAAAGCTTTGGAATTGCTCAAATCCCATGGAAAGTTGCTCTAGTATGCGCTGAAAGATATAAGTCCTAATGATAAACCAGTTTATTCAGAACCGTTACTCGACTTACTCTAACTACCAACTTCGACGTATATTGTAAGCTAAAATGAGGCAAGCTTTTGACAGTATATTTTTCAATTTTGTATCTGGATAGTTTTTCCTGGCATTCAAAATCTGAGCATTGCGCCATATGCATCATGCCACAATACATAAACGCTAGAGTACCCAGATTACGATGTCGCGCTACTGACGCCGTAAGTTGCGCTGTCACACTTATTAGGAAGCTTGCTATTAATTTTCTAATGCGGTTTTTTATGAGGTAACTAAAAAAATCCAATTTCGAATCATTTGGCTTTTTTTGCAGTATTATTTTTAGATGCTTTCATAGATTTGAGGCCAAGTTTTAGTTTCGGGTTTTGTGGTCTCGAAATACAACAAGGCAAAAGACCTTTCATTCTGCGTTAACATTTAACGTATCTTGTGTGACCTTAGGCTATATCACAGCTACATATTTCTGCTGGGTGTATAGTATGTATGCATGTACCATGAAAAGATGTAGTTCTGGATTATCACATTGTATGCACGTGCTGAGCATAAAAGAAGTTTGACAAAACGTCGTGCTCAAGTTGAAAAGAAGCATGTGGCTCTTAAGTAAACGCTGTTTACTAACATAGTATGGCGCTAATTCCCATAAATCCGTTTTTGCCAGTGCTTTTTAAAATTACATTCCCGGGTTGCCCGATTGTCGGTGCCATCCGGACACAGGCGTTCAATGGGGACGGGATGCTGATTTTGCCAACGCGCCCTCGCTTCCATTGGCCCCATGCTGTTGTGTGCAGATGTTTGGCCACAGCACGACGGCAAGGTCAACCAAACCGTTCACGCCGCTATGTATACACGGCTGTGCCATTGTGTGTTTTTTTCCGGCGTCCACGTATAGATTTCGGCTCCCAATCCCAGCCAGCGGGCAGCGGATAATCATAGCATTTTGCAATATGGAAATCCGATTTATACTGTTTGGTAGCAAATGTGCGCTGTGGTCAGCGCGCATCTGCTGATAAGCGTCCTATTACGACCAATTGTACTGGCACAGTGGTGAACAGGGGCCGGCAAACAGGCGGGTGCCGCCCGCTGTGCGCAATGAACAGGTATTGAAGCATGTCATTATTAGTCGGGGTGTGCAAAACTGTCCAAAAGGGATGCGATGAGAAGTGTTAAAGTTTGTATATGGCAAACATAAACTGAGAGAATAATTATCTTGTCTAGTTGACTGGGCCGGCTACTCACCGCGTCCCAACCTGCCGGATTGTCAACTATTTTCCCCCCATTCTAATCAGCGAATTCAAACGGCACCCATTATATTCCTTTCATCATCGTGTATAAATGTATGCGAACACATATAGTGGATACTGTTGTCGCATTATGCTTGTGCGTAATTCAATTTTCAATGCAGCGGCGTCTCTCTCTTCGTTCAGCTGACACACTCACTGCCGTGCACTAGCGGTGTTGTCATAAAGGTTATGCGCAAGAATGCAACCATCCTGTTCATTCAAACATTTCCTATGCCGTACCTTTGAGTCGATCAGCAGGTTGTCACTAACGAAACGTCTGAGACTGCTTTTCATTTAGCACTACCACCTTTCAATAACAGTTTTGCATTTTTCCTGCAAGGGGAATCCGCTGTAGCCGAACGATGTATCTTGCGTGTAGGGTACATTGTTACCCGGTTCTACGGCAAGCAATTTTTTGACGTGCTTTAGACATCGTCGGAGCACAACACGCCGTCGTTAGAGCAGCATTTTTCAGTATACTTATGGAGCCCGTTTTCATACACATTTCTGAAGTACATGTTCTATGGAATTATATTATGGCCTTTTGAAACTCAAAAAAACACCCATCCAAAGGACATCTTTTGGATGAAGAAAACATGAGCGCTTTTCTCGGATAGAACCGGGTTACAGTATACAGAACTTCCTAACTAATAATCGCTTATAGTGTACATTTATTGCTCAGTTGTACGGCAGATGATAGGTGTTAATTTTTTACGCAAACTAGCAATTTTTCAGCGCGCTTGAAAAATTCAAGTCAGCTTTATCAGATTATAATACGTTATTAATTAATTACTGCACTTCCGCCTGTTTGGCGAACATATTAATACTTTATAATACATTTAAATGATATTTTGCCATGGTATGTTGTCGGCTTTACGTTAACACAAATAGTACGGAAATTTTGCCAGTATAGCGTAATTATATAATCAATGACCGACAAAATTCGTTATTATAATTTATCCGGTTACTAGACTTTTATTCATTTTTGCTCATGTAAATCTTTATCTGCGAGTCTACGACATAAACTTAAAATTTAAGCCATAACACTACCGAAAACACTTCTTCATATAGCTAACATGCATGTCAGTTTGGTTCAGTTTATATATCGGCAGTTCCTAAATTCTTTGTGGTATAAGTAAAATGTTGCAATATGAAACCGCAGAAAACATGCATGGTTAAAATCTAGGAACCAAGTTGTCATTGATACCGAACTTATTTTTTGCAAACATACACAGCTTCTCATTTTACATCAACTGCATGTCAAAAGTGGAGATGGTATAATGACAGAAAATGATCTGATCTAGCGGATGAGGTCGTGTACGTCGCCGACCCGATATCCACAAGGCTACTTTTAAACTTAGCCTGCTTTGCCAATCTGCCGACTTCAACACCAAACTCATCAGACAGGCTGCGACACTTTCCCAAAAGTTATTAAATATATGCGCCCACTTATCCACTTAATCCTAAGTCAATTTATAAACTCACAAATCCGGCATGAGTGTTTAGTGTCAAGACATGCAGGCATGATGGCCTGCAGAACATATTTCGACAAGCAACAGAAACTCATTGCTGACACTTAACAGAGTTAATGTGTAAATATTTAATTGCATAACAAATCTTCATAATATACTACAGGGTATGCCGTTGAAGTATGTCGCTTCCGTTTTGCTACTTATTTCTTCGCGCACGCGCAGCAGAACGATATTAATTTGGTGTACTTGATATTGTAGTTTCGATAGTTTTGGCTGTTATCGATATGTATAATTTCTGCGTCAGTGAGAGCTCTCGCATGCAAAATCAATACACTGCGGTCATGTGCAGGCACAAATCCGCAAAATGGAATTAGTAAATAATAAAAGCTCTTACACGGGCATTTCTTTTCACTGATAGTAATCGAAGGTTTTGTGTAATAATATGATCTGTCTATAAAATTAATTCAACAATTTGTTTTGCGATTTTTTTTAGCAAATTTATGCAGCAAATCTCCATGCATATTTATGGTGCTGTTGAGGGCATAGATTGCTGTTAATGTTGTAGGCTTGCAACACTTACAGAGTACATGGGTATTATAATGTTTTGCATTGAATTTCAAATCATAAGATTTATTTGTTTTGCTGTTCGAGTCAAAAACTTAGAATCCAAATTATCTGTAGAAATGCTTAAAATAAAATCATGGTGATGAACAGAAGTCATGCATAAAGTTTTGTGAAGCATGTGCGGGATTTTGCAATATCCATGCATTCTACCAAGATGAAAATAAATTTACCGGCGAAAGATTATATTTTTTAACCGACAGTAATTTTGTCAGATTATCGATATTGCTGTTTCAATGTTACCGATACTGGTGCTGTACTTGCCACGTAAGTTGAGTTATACGGATTTATGCGCGAAGCAATCAGGATTAGTACCCTTATTATTAATGCAAATGAAATCCATGACGCAACGTAATACCAATATTTACATTGATGTACAACATTAACAAAGCTATCGCGGGACCTTTGTTGTGGGATTATTGTAGGACATTCTATGGAGCGATTGATTTGAATGGAAGTGCGGGCATAAACAAGGCGGCTAAGCAAATAACGCCGATCGACCTTTTGTGTGATATTCTATGGGTTGTCTTTCTGCGAAGAGTATGCACACTTCTGATAATGGAATGGGAATAATTTAACAACTTTCCGCTTTTTTCCATTATCAGCCATATGAAGTTGGCAGGTAGCAATTTCTTTGAGAGAAATCACAGTAAAATACGGGAGTGACCGTCTCAAACAGCTTGGTCAGATAGATGATAATTGATCCCAACCACATCGTTAACGACTACCTAATCATTCGTTTCAAATTAAGATGTGACCCCCCACGGAAGCATTCAAACGAACGCAACGCAGAGTGTGCTGAAGAATGAGCGGCTACTGTATAGGCGGCTTTTATGGACTCGGTTCAGGACACTTCTCATAAACACGTTTAGTCCTTATCTCAACAACACAATCGACATCCATTGCTTGTGATCTAATGATTAACCCACAAGGCACAAATTGTTTGACACCTTGGCGGCACACACTTTACGCTACAGCGCCTGCTTAGTGTTTAATGAACGGCGACGGAACACCAACCAGTCATCCCGTAAATGCTCTTTATCAAAAGAAAACTGAATCAAACAGAGCCATCGAATGCTCGACGTTTATATTAACGTAACCAACCGGAAATTGTCGACATCTAAAGAGGTTTACAACAAATTAATAATGCTCGCATTTTGCGTACTCCACTAAAAACTGAGCGTTAACATGCAATGCAAAGATTCGATATATTGTACATAATGTTCTTGTATGCTACTTGCCAAGAACATTAGATAGGGTGCCTAACGAGTAGTGCTCTTGTGCCTGCTCGAGTAATAACGGAGAACAAAACGACAAAAAATAACGAGACAAAAATTATTAAACCCGGGGTGTCAGCAGCTGCATCACATTATATTGTTACAATACATACAAAGAACAAAAGAACAAAGTCCACGCAACCATGTTCCGGGACGTCGGTTTTGTTTAATAATATCTGAAGCTCAAAGCACCCTTACTGTAACACGAAACACAAGCTCAGGAAAACGAGATCTGCTGATGGCGAGATCAAAACGTTTCTGATCGCCGACTATGTACAGATATAAGGTGTGTATTGTACATACATTCAAAGGATATGCTTTTCGAAACATGCAGATTCATAATATAAGCGCGTCACATAAAACAACAACAGCCGGAAAAAAAACTGGATATTGCGGTGACTGGTTTTATGCTGTTTTTGCCGTTTTCTACTCGTGCCGAAAGAGCTTTGCAGAACTGTTATGGAATTGAAAGACTGAAAGAGAGTTGAAAGGCAGGACTGAAAGAGAACTGTTGTTACTGTTACGGTATACCTATAATTTGTATTGAATGGAATCAATGGATCCCATAATTTAACAGTCAAAAAAACTTATTCAAAATGTTAAAAAATCTAGCCAAAATGTTTATAACAGCGGAGCAATTATTACAATGGAAATACTTTATTTTTGTTGTTTAGAATAAAAATTTGGAAAACATTAAAAACGCATACTGTTGATGAAATGTATTTAGACAGTGAGCGAAGAGATTTGCTATCGAAAAAAATGTCTTGCGCTAAATTATTGCCTAAGCTAACAACAGTTATAGTAAGTAACTTTTACAGCGTACTCGTACCATTATCGAGTACTCTACCTGAGGTACCGATCAAGTCTGTTTTATGCTCTTATTATATTTTCATTTTTCTGTACTTCTATGTTATGTACGAAAATTTCATTATGTAAATTTCAGGTACAGACCGCAGTAGCATGGCTTTTTTGTGCAGTACCTGTATATTGGAAGTAAGAACTACGAAATGTTGCAATGAATCAATGATCTAGTATCATATTATCATTTCAAAAAAATTCCCATCGAGATTTTCTTTTCTTAACTTTAAAAATGTGAAAAATAATTTATTTCTGCCGTTGCTGGTACTATAATATCATTATTATAAATCTATGATAATACAAACCTGGCCGCTGCATGATTTGTTGCTGTCGCTTTTAATCTGAATGGACTGCAGAGTGCAATACAAATCATGCAATAAACTTGTAAGTATATAAGTTTAAGTCGTTGATCGTTTATCCAAATCCTGCAGTAATATAGCGTTTTACTGTTTGCTAATTCTTTCTTAATTGACGGTTTAATAGTTTTTCTGGCCTTTACAGTTTTCACGTAAACAATTAGGAAACTATGTTTTTCTTGAAAATTAAATAGCGGTCTGTAGGAAGGTGATAACTGACTACCGTACTAACTGTACTAACGAACCAACTCAGATACTTCCGCAGTTGTTCATTCAGTGATGTCCACAAGATGTTCATAGATGTTCTGTACAACACTTGCTTATATAGCACAGTCGGTAACATAACACACATACATTAGTCAGCACTTCACCCAGAAGTCTGATCATCATTAGGGATAGGTGTACTGAGTGGATGTTACACTCACTGATCAGCTATGAAGATAGTACACTCATAGATCAGTTACTGATTACGCACACGTAATACATTTCCAATTCTAACACCCCCCTTCACTCAGTGCGCCTATCGTTCAATCCAAGCACACCGGCTTCCGGTCCAAGCACTCCGCTGCTGGATTTGACCTTTGTACTTCCAACGTTTTCTGGTAACAGCATGCCATCCGCTTGTCGGCAATCTCGCTTTACCTTCACGTTCGTCTGTTGGTTCCTCGACGACTACACTACGCTGTACTGAAGCGTACTTCTCTCGTCGTAATTCTTCTCGGTTCGCTGGCCTGACTGGTAGGATTCTCACGAGACTGTTCGCACGCGTCTGGTATCCGTTTCTTTGGTCCGTCCGACCCAAACGATCCGAACGTCGAATTGGCTCGTAATCCTATCCGTCTGCCGATCCACTTCGTGGGCTCATCCGAACACACAGCCCTCAAATTCTTTCGATCTTGCGTCCAATTTGGCGCTCTGATCTTCACTCTTTACAAGTTCTTCCGGAACACCGACATCTGAGGGGCAGGTCTGGCCATCATTCTCCATGATGCCACGAACGAGGCGTACCACGACGCGGGCAAACTTGCAAGCATTGGCTTCCTGCCAATCGCCTTGTCAGAGGTTTCGCTCCTCGTCATCCGGATGCTCCACCGGCATCCGACACGTACCCTCTACGCTTGACTTTCTCCCTCACCAGTTAGCACTTCTCCATCATGCACTCGCATCCGGAGCAGTTGGAGCTATTCAGTTCCGTCACCTTCGATCTCATCAACACAGCCATCCACCGTATAACAACACACCATACGCGCAAGATACTGGTTGAGCCTGCAGATCCATCCAAGAGCAAAACCAGGTCTCATAATCTCTTGAAATTTTAAATAATGGTCTGTAGGAAGGTGATAACTGACTATTGTACTAACTGTACTAACGAACCAACTCAGATACTTCCGCAGTTGTTCATTCAGTGATGTCCACAAGATGTTCATAGATGTTCTGTACAACACTTGCTTATATAGCACAGTCGGTAACATAACACACATACATTAGTCAGCACTTCACCCAGAAGTCTGATCATCATTAGGGATAGGTGTACTGAGTGGATGTTACACTCACTGATCAGCTATGAAGATAGTACACTCATAGATCAGTTACTGATTACGCACACGTAATACATTTCCAATTCTAACAGTTTTCGGTATTGCGTGTGTGTGTGTCGCATGTTGGTAGGAACTAGGAAGCATACTGCGTGTTTGCAGTGATTGCATTGTTTGTAGTAAGCAGTACTCAACAGTAGCCATAAAAATACCAGTTACAAAATTCGGAAGCGTTGGGAAACTACACAGTTAAAATTTAAAAATTAAAAAAGTCAAAATCTCTATCCTCGACGGCCCTGGTTAGCACTTATTTAAAATCAAAGGTCACGCGACTAGCAAACTGTGGGGCTGTTTTCGTACGTATGTAAAGAGATGATAGTAAAGATTTAATCGTTTCAAAATATTAGTACCTATTGTGTTTACAGTTTTACTTTATATAATCTCCTCCGTCGCATGCACGCGGTATTAAACCTTGAGTATAATTCTCTCGCACTCCTAGAGCAACGGCAATGATTGAAGAAAGTGTAAGCTGTAATCCATCCCAGCCAGACTGCCGGTTGCGGCTGCGGCAGCGGGGACGATTGGACGCTAATTGTAAATGTTATTTTCCGGAGAACAGGTAAAAAAAACAGGTAAAAATTGTAATATTTAAATTTATACCTGTATATTTACTCTGGTGATATTACACTACTACATACTAGTTGTCCATGCATCTGTAGATATTAATAATTTAATATCTACATGTACAATTAGTATGTAGTGTAGTATCACTACCCTAGAGTACAGAGTAATATGTATAGTGTAATACCACTAGCAGTATATATTTATATATTCAGAAAATTTACTCTATAATTACCCTCTAAATTCCCTCTCTAATTACCCCGCCATTAGTATGTTAGTACTTAATTTCTTCTAAATAAAGTACAGAATGATATTTTCAAAAACTTCAATTTTTTCCGCTTTGTGAATTGTAATTTTCTATGTGACAAGGACACAAGTCACATAACAGTGTTTGTTTGCTGCGCGAAGCAGCCGCCCTAGGTGGCTACTCATGGGAAAATTTCGTATTTCTGATAGAGAAGTCGAGAAGAGTTGTTTATGGGATGCATTCCGTACTCGTAGCTTTGTTGTGGCTGTATCGTATGTTTTGGATTTTTTCGCATTTACGACTTTGCCATAATTTCGTTTAGGAGGGGCCCTCGTCTTTCCTCAGTTTTTATCTCAATTTGTAAGCTGGTTTTGGATGTTCCTTATGGTTGTGGACATTTCCCGTAATAATGCAGCACGCTAATGCTGCGTGATAAAGCGCGTACTGGTTCGCTGCTTCAATCAGCTGATTGAACACAGTGTTTCCCTCGACTCGACTCATGAGAACCTTCATTTGGGTTTGAAAAGTTTTAACGGCAACATAGATTTAGCGTTGCAGCGATGGCATCGCCCTCGACGAAGTCCTACTCTACCTCCGTAACGCAGTACATGAGTGGTCTGAAGAGCCGGAATGAAGATACCAGATCGCAGGCATCACGGGAATTGCGGCGCTACATCAGTGGGGAATTGCAGGAAGTTAGTCGAGAGGAGTTGGCAGCCTTTCTGGACGAAGTCAATTCTTATCTGGGGGATTTGGCTTCCAGTGAACGGACAGATATCAGCGAGAAAAAAGGAGTAATTCTAGCTATCGGTAAGGCTAAACGCAAGTGGCATTAATGATTAATAAATGACATAGCTGTTTTGAGTAAAAATCCGCTGCCGTACTTTGCAATTGCTTTATTTGGTTAGTTGTTTGGCTAAATAGTTGTTTGTTGAGTTTGTCCGCTGCAACTGCAAACGGGATTTCCCGTTTTGAGAAATCTCCCCAATGTGTTGCGCTTATTGTTGTTAATTTTTGTATACCGTATATGAGTGAGTATTTTGGTTATACAATACGTACCAACAGATTTATTCAGTTGTTGAATTAGGCTAACGACCGCAGGGATAATTTACGTTTGATAAATACGGTAACTTTTTCTGGATATCATTCACAACTTTGCTCGAAATAATTTTGTTTCTTACATGGACACAGTAGCTTTGATTTTTACCAGCCAGGATTCCTACCAATATGATGTTTTCTGGATTGAGAAAATAATTTCTCTGATTTGAGCTCGTTGTGATGAAAAATATATAAATAAACTGTTTTGATTTATAATTTTTTAAATTTTTATGCTCTCCTTTTTCAGCTACGTTGATTGAGTTGGATGTGGGAACCACGCATTCGCGAATCGCTCGTTATGCCCAGTATCTTCGTTCAATGCTTCCCTCCTCGGACCTGGCGCAGACCGAACTAGCCGCTAAAGCCATCGGCAAACTGGCGATTGTCAGCGGGACATACACCGCCGAGTACGTGGACTACGAGATCAAGCGGTGCTTTGAGTGGCTCAGTGAACGCAATCCCAGCGAGAACAAGCGTTACGCCGCTGTCTGCGTACTGAAAGAGCTGGGCAATAACTGTCCCACCTTCTTCTTCCAGCATGTACAGCAATTTTTCGACTGCATATTCACGGCGGTTTTGATCTGAAACCCTACATTCGCGAACGTGCGGCGGAAGCTGTGCGGGCGGCTATTGTTGTTACGGCCCAACGCGAGACACGCGAGCATTCTAAGTCGGCATGGTACGGACAGTGTTACGGGATGGTGGTGACGGAGCTGCGCACCAAGCCCAGTGGAAAGGAAGAACGCATCCACGGGGCTCTGTTGGTGTTGTGCGAATTGTTGCGCTGTGCAAGTGTCGACGCGGAGCGGACGAGAAACAGTATGGAAGATGCTATCAAGCAGCAGTCGGAAGTGGATCTTAATGCAGGTGCGCTACAGTCTGCCTGTGGTAGAATGTTTGTCTGTTGCTTTTGATAGGTATTTGTTTTTAATATTATTGTGTTAAATTATCAGTTAGTGAGTTTTTTAATTTATGGTTCCGCCATTAAACAGTTGTTCATGCTTCCATATTGGGTAATGGATCAGTTATTACGTATGAATCTCCGATCATTTAACTTAAATGATCGGAGATTTATAAGTCTCGCTATCTTCTAGTTAAAACATGCTTTACATTGTAGTTGCACGTCAGTCGCGAATGCGCAAGCGGTTTCCATTCGGAGCAGCTTTCGCTAAGGACCATCCGAGTGAGGCCAGAACGATTCACCAAGAAACCGGTGAACACAAGTTATTTGAAAGTCATGCTTGCAAAGAGCTGCTGGCTAACGATTTTAACAAGGTACAACAGGTTGTTTGCTTTTTAAATAAAAACTATGAAACGGGTTATGCCATACGATAGGCAGCACAAGCTTATGTACTCGTGTGATTATGTTGTCTAGTGAAAAGGACTATCCCTGTGCGAACGGTTAAACAGCGTGTTGTTGCAGATCTGTAACGATGTAATGGCTCAGCGCAATTCCAAAAGTCAAAATGTCCAATCTGCGGTTATGCAGTTGATACCTCGGTTAGCGGCATTCCAGACCCAGTTGTTCATTAAGGCTCATCTGAATGATGCGGTGACATACATCCTATCCAATATTAAACGCGATCGACAGCAGACCTTCTTGACCATCGGATTCCTTTCTGTGGCCTTGGGGGAAAATATCAAAACACAACTACCGAAAGTCATGGATTTGCTGCGAACCACTCTACGGTCCAAAGATGGAAATACCAAAAAGAAAACAGTTCCTGATGATTCGGCATACATCTGTTTGTGCATGCTGGCTAGGTTCGTGTGGGAAATTACATATATTTTGTTATGCAGTGAATTTCATAATAAATAGTAGGAATTGCCGGTTTTGCGTTGTGCGATAAAATTGCAAAAACAATGGTGTTAAATTAGGGATAATTGCAGCTCATAGGTTGTTTTATTGGTATTGTGAATTTCGCAGATCAGTCGGCAGCAGCATGCAGGATGAATTGGAGGATATCCTCGATGTTGCGCTTTCCGGTCAACTACGCCCAACATTAGTGGCCGCACTGAAAGAAATCTGTGTGGCGGTGCCGAAACTGCGCAAAACCATACAAGACGGTCTCTTGAAAGTGCTTTCATTGGTTTTAATGCACAGACCGCTGCAGCATCCAGGAGCACCTAGAGATAACACTCCCATAGTGACTGCTCCTACTGATGATGTTTTTACAGTTGTATTGGCGCTGCGAACTTTAGGCAACTTCGACTTTGAAGGTTTGTTAACGTGTTTCATTGTTGGCATGATTTTTAAGTGCGATACGTAGGTACGTTTGTCATAGCAAGGTGCTTGTTAAGGTTTGCGTTGTTTTGTGCAACTAACTGTAAGTTATTAACGTATTTATGGAATTACTGGTTTTTGTTAATAAGCTTTTTTCTTGTGTTAGGGTCTCTTGGTGGTCATTCTCTGATGCCGTTTGTTCAGTATTGTGCCGAACATTTTATAAACAGCGAAGATAAAAGTATTCGCATTGAAGCTGTTTCAACCTGCTCTAAACTGTTGTTACCGATTATACAATCCTCGATGAAGCCTCCTGGACAGTTCGCAAGCCCGACGGTGTTCAGCATGGTCTCAGACATATTAAAAAAATTGTTAATTGTTGGAATCACAGATCCCTTTCCCGACATCAGGTACAGTAGGGAACTGATATGAAATGAAGAATTATGTTTTTAATAACTGATCTTTACAACAGATCACTGTACTAAAGTTATCTTTAGGTTTTGTGTAATGTCTTCATTGGACGAAAACTTTGATATTCATCTTGCTCAATCGGAAAATTTGAATTGCTTATGTTTGGCTTTGAATGACGAAATGTTTGATGTGCGAGAAATTGCCATTTGCATCCTTGGTCGGCTAAGTGGACTGAATCCAGCTTATGTTATGCCGATACTAAGAAAAGTTTTGATACAGGTAAGAACTTAAGCGCAACCTCAAATTTTCTGCGACTGTACCTGTATATGAATACTATTTCTTTACTTGTTTTAGCTTTTGTTAGTAATAGCGCAAAGGACTAACGGTGATTATTTTTCTGTAGTTGCTGAATGAATTGGAACACAGCGGAGTAAACAAAAACAAGGAACAAACTGCCAAACTATTGGGCCATTTAATCGCTACCGCGCCTGCTCTTATGAGATCGTATTCGGAGCCTATCCTAAAGGTGACTTAAATTGTAATCCTTAGATCCTGCAAAACTTTGCGCGATTCTGAAATGACATTTTAATTCTCAGTCCAGTGGGCGTTTTGCTGGTTAGTGTTCTCAAACTTCATATTAGTAAACAGGCGTTCTTTGTTTAGGCTCTTGTGCATAAACTGCACGATCAGGACTGCAGCAACGTTGTTATCATCAACATCCTTGGCGCCGTCGGTGAATTGGCTCGAATCAGCTGCCCGACCAGTATCCGGGAGATTAAGAAGCGACTGGACGACATTTTGGCCATAATTCTAACCATCCTCCAGGATCCTACGTCACCTACGAAACGAGAATTTGCCTTATGGACTTTGGGTATAATTTCGATAACGCATTAAAATATTTTATACCACAAGGAATTGCAGGTTTCGCTTTTGCAGGGAGACTGGTCGAATGCACGGGATGCGCCATTGAGCCGTACAACAAATTTCCAGTTCTACTTGAGACTCTAATCGGATTTTTGAAGAATGAGCAGTCGCAGTCTTTGCGGCGGGAGACCATCCGGGTGTTGGGCCTCTTGGGGCGCTCGATCCTTATGCACATAAGGTCAATCTGGGTGTAATTGAAACCGGACTAGATGCCTCGTCGCCTGTGGTGGGTCAGCCAGAACCCATTGCCATGGTTGATGGATCTCAGGTGAGCTCATTTTTTGGAACTTTTTGGCTTTTTTAGCGGGTGTTGATAGTCTGTGGATTAAGGGGTTTACTTTTATAACCTTTTTTTGTATGCAGCATAGGTGTCTGATCTTTGGTTTGTTTTTTACTTGTGTCTGACAGGATACAACCCAAATTCACGAAATGCTGATATCAATGAGCTCAGTCAACCTGGAGGAATATTATCCAGCCGTAGCTATCCATGTGCTGATGCGTATTCTGAACGATTCCACGCTGTCTCAGTACCATACTATGGTTGTTCAGGCCATACATTTTATATTTAAGAGCCTGGGTGTTAAGTGTGTACCATATATTCCTCAAGTAATACCCCAGTTCATCAACGTGGTCAAAGCGTCTAACGATGCGGTTTTTCGGGAATTTTTGTTGCAACAAATGGGCGCCTTGGTGTCCATTGTGCAGCAGCATTTGCGACCCTTTTTGTTGGCGATCGTCAACCTGATTCGCGATTCTTGGACGGTGACCTCGCTGATGCAAATCACACTCATCCAGTTGTTAGAGCAACTAGTCGTGGCGCTGGGTCCAGATTTGCGACCGCACATTTCCCACTTGCTGCCGCAGATTTTGCGTATCCTGATCAATGATCCCAGTCCAGAAAGGAATGTTACGGCCAAGTTGTTGATCGCTTTGCAAAAATTTGGACCGGTTTTGGATGATTATTTGCACACACTGCTGGCACCAATCGCCAAACTTTTAGATACGAAGTAATGCTTCTGTGTAAACATACCGTAAATACAAGCTGAAGTATTTGTATCAGAGTGCGAGAGTATGGGCATTTTAGTTATATTAAGAATGTATCACGATAATGCGGTATCTGGTAATTCGGATTTTCTTTGCAGAGAGGTTCCGTTGAGCGTGAAGAAACTGGTGTTAGAGCTCATAAAAACATTGGCAGATACCAATGATCTTTCAGAATACGCTGGACTGATTGTCCATCCCATTGTTCGACTACTAGAATCTACTCCTGAGCTCCATTCCGCAGCCATGGATGCTTTAACTGCGGTACTAAAGCAGCTGGATAAGAAGTTCGAGATTTTCATCCCGCTTATTGAGAGAGCGATGATCAAGAATCGGATCACTCATCACCAGTATGGGTTGTTGGTCAATCAGCTGCGTAACGGTAATTAACATTATGAACGTTGTTCGATACAGTTTTGGTATAATTAAATGAAGGCGCAGAGTATTTTGCTAATTCTGATATTTTATTTGCTAATTCTGATATTCGTTTTCGATTACATTGACAACTGTACAGGACACTCTACGGAGCAGGAAGAAGGTTCTGCGAGAAACAGGCGCTACTACATGGGCGGACGAACGCCGCGGCCGACTGGCGAAAGTGTGGATAACAACGGGACGATGAAAAATTTGGATGTTATCGTGGACAGTCTGCGCCGGGCGTGGTCAACAGCACGATGCGCCTCCAAGGATGACTGGATTGAATGGTTGCGAAGATTAAGTTTGGAGTTGCTCAAAGAATCTCCGGCTCCTTCGCTGCGATGCTGCTGGGCTCTGGCGCAGTCATATCCGGCAGTGGCTAAGTATGGCTGAATTCAGCTCCCACTTTCCTGTTGGATCTCGTTTCACATGTGCATTAATTAATTGCACATTTACCGTTTCAGAGAACTCTTTAATGCCGCATTCGCTTCCTGCTGGACTGAACTAACGGAACAGCAGCAAGATGAATTGATTAAAAGTTTAGAAGAAGCCCTTATGCGCCAGGATATACCGGAAATCACTCAGGCGCTGCTAAATTTGGCCGAGTTTATGGAACATTGCGAAAAGGTTATAATCTTGAGTCATGTGGTTTCTGGGGCTTGACTAGGTAATTAGAGTTATGTTGTAGGGACCTTTGCCGTTGGAGCCACAACTGTTGGCCGATTTAGCCATGCGCTGCCGTGCCTATGCTAAAGCGTTGCATTATAAGGAAAACGAATTTCATACCAGTCCATCGTCAGAAGTCTACGAAGCGCTCATCAGCATTGACAACAAGTTACAACAGCCGGAAGCCGCTGCGGGAATTCTAAATTATGCGAAACTTCGTGGAGCTGAATTAAAGGAGTCGTGGTATGAAAAGCAGCACGAGTGGGAAGCAGCATTAGTGGCCTATGAGCGGAAGCAGGTGGGTACTAGTGCGACTGTTTTTATTAAAATTTGTACGTTTTAGCTTAGTGTACAAATGGATCATGTAATCATTGGGAAAGCCTTAAATAGCAGTTGATGCTGTAGATTGGACGGAATTTTTAATGTGTTGTCATATGCAGGAGCAAAATCCTGTGGACGAAGAACTGCTCCTGGGTCGGATGCGCTGTTTGGAGGCTTTGGGTGACTGGCAACATCTACACCAACTGGCCCAAGAACGCTGGCCAAACGTTGGCGATGATCTGAAGCAGAGAATGGCTCGTATGGCATCCGCCTCGGCATGGGGTTTGCACCGGTGGGATAACATGGAGGAATACGTGTGCCTGATTCCACGAGATTCGTTTGATGGCGCTTTCTACCGAGCAGTGCTGGCGCTGCATCAGGACCAGTTTATCTATGCGCAATCGTTAATTGATAAGGCCCGGGATTTGTTGGACTCAGATCTGACATCGATGGTGGGAGAGAGCTACAGCCGAGCGTACGTGATGCTTTGAACTGGCAACTGCCCTCTTTCGAATTTTTATTTTTTTACACTTGGATGGGTTTTCAAACTTACATCGATCTTACATTAATTTCTAGATATGGATCGATGATCTTGACCCAACAGCTGGCAGAACTGGAAGAAGTGGCGCAGTACAAGCTGTACCCTGAGCGCCGACAAAACATCAAAGATACATGGTGGAAGCGCTTGTTAGGATGTCAGAGAGTCGTAGAGGACTGGCAACATATTCTTCAGGTAACGGGATTGGTTTGTAGCGGTCACATATAATTTCTATATAACGTACACTGTGTTAAGTGATACATGTGTACGAGTATTTCATAAATTATTTAAATTTTTCAGTTTGCAGTTATTCTTATTCTAGTTTCATACTCATTTTTATTAGAGCGAGTTTACTTTAACAGGTGCGGAGTTTAGTTTTGAGTCCCCAAGAAGATATGCGGGCTTGGTTGAAATTCGCCAGTTTGTGCCGGAAGACACGCCATGTATCATTGGCGCAGCGCGTGCTTTATATGTTGCTGGGATATGATCCTCGTCGTCAGCCTGGAACTCCCGTACCAACCAATGCACCAGCTCTGTTTTTTGCCGTAATGAAGTACATGTGGCAGACGGAGGAGAAAAACGATGCTTTCAAGCAGCTGCAGCAATTTGTCGTATCCGCGCAGCAAATGCGCTCCGCTAACGTGCTGGATCCCGTTGTAATTGAATTCAACAAGCTGCTCGCAAAGTAATGCAAGCGCCCACGTGCAAACAATAGCCGCCAGAGTATTAATGTTATCCCATAACTTAACATTTAGATGTTTCCTTCGCTTGGGGCAGTGGCAGGAACAACTGAATGAAAGGACCCCGCACAAGATGACCGTAATATTGCCCAGGTACTAATAAATTGTTATGTGCAGTGGACTGTTTAGAGTAGCCATGTTGCCCGGCTCTTGGTCTCTGTTTTCGAAAAATTGTTCTGTGAACGCGCCCTTTTTTGAATCACTAGATGGTCTTCATGTTATAGTTTTTACTTGTAATTGGTTCGTCTGAACCGGCTAACTGTCAGTGCCTTTATATATAGGAGTATTTGATATTTTTTAGATTATTCAATGTTATAATGCGGCTACACAGTACGATCCGTCCAGTTACAAAGCTTGGCATTCATGGGCTTCGATGAATTTCGAAGCGGTTCTTTTCCATAAACACCGCTTCCAGCAGCAAACAGGCGTAGGAGCGGGGGATACGTTGGCGCAGTACGAAGGATTCAGTATAGGTGCATCGCGCAGCACCTCCAGTCCGCTGCCCTTCAACACCGCCGTCATCCAGCTGTACTGCATTCCGGCCATCAAGGGTTTCGTCAGCTCCATTGCATTATGTCGTGGTAGTGCCTTGCAGGACATCTTGCGACTACTGACACTGTGGTTCGATTATGGACACATTCAAGAAGTGTACGAGACTTTGTTGGACGTCCTGAAAAATATCCAGATTGATAACTGGTTACAGGTCAGTACTGCCGCTTATTAATTTTGAAAATAGATTATTTACTATCTGTGAGCTCTGTAACATTTTTTTTGCTCCAACCGGTTTTATTTGTGTTTAAATTTTATTTGCAAATTGTAAATGCCGTTTATGTCATATAGATATAAGCAAAAAAACGCAGCTCTGTTCTTCGGTACAGGTGATACCACAGTTAATTGCCCGCATCGATACGCCGCGGCAATTGGTGTCGAAACTAATTTGTCAGTTGTTGACGGATATTGGACGGGTGCATCCGCAGGCATTGATATATCCGTTGACGGTGGCGTCGAAGGCAACAGTGGAAGCTCGAAAGAACGCTGCTAATCGCATACTGAAAAACATGCGCGAGCACAGTGCTAATTTAGTGAACCAGGCCTCAATGGTCAGTGAAGAACTGATCAGAGTGGCCATATTGTGGCATGAAATGTGGCACGAGGCGCTGGAAGAGGCATCGCGACAGTATTTCGGTGAACACAACGTCAAAGGCATGCTGGCAACTGTGGAGCCTCTTCATCAGATGTTGGAGAATGGTCCGCAAACGCTGAAAGAGACATCGTTTCACCAGGTACGTTTCTATGCTTTCAGGCGTTTGTGTGGTAATTTTTTTTTTTTTTTCGCAGTGCACTCTGCAGCCCTTCAAATTGTTATGTATCTGTTAAGTTTTGTGCATTATTATTTTTGTAAGAAATATGTTTTTGATGCAGGCATACGCTAGAGATCTCATGGAAGCCCACGAATGGTGCAGAAAATACCAGCGCACCGGAAACCAGAAAGAATTAACGCATGCTTGGGATTTGTACTACCACGTTTTCCGTAGAATATCCAAACAGCTTCCGCAGGTAAGTGAACCCGATTTTGAAATTTTTATCATCCGAAAGTCGAAAACATCCTGCCGAAATTTCAGATGACTTCGTTAGAATTACAATACGTATCGCCACGTTTAACGGGTTGCCGTGATTTGGAATTGGCCGTACCGGGCACTTACGATCCCGGTCATCCGATTGTCCGCATTTCGGAAGTATTGGGTCAAGTGCAAGTGATCACGTCGAAACAGCGACCGCGAAAGATATGCATTAAAGGTCATTCTGCGCCTGCGACCCCGTGCAACATGATTAGTAAAAATGACTTAACTGGATATTTTTTAGGTAGTAACGGAAAAGACTACACATTTTTGCTGAAAGGTCACGAGGATCTACGGCAAGATGAGCGAGTAATGCAGCTGTTCGGCTTAGTGAACAGTCTCTTGCTCGATAATCCCGACACAGCCAGAAGAAACTTGACGTGAGAAACTTGTTCAGCTGTCTACTTTAAGTGTCCAGCGTGTAATATGGATTTGATTGTCTTCTAGCATTCAGCGCTACGCTGTGATTCCGCTGAGCCCAAACAGTGGCTTGCTTGGCTGGGTTCCCCACTGTGATACCCTACATGCATTAGTTCGAGATTACCGTGATAAAAAGAAAATTCTTCTGAACATCGAACATCGCATCATGCTAAGGGTAGGGAAAAAACACTACGTCGGATGATTTATAGCTTTACGGTGCACCTTTTTGTCTTCCTGTTGTTTAGATGGCACCAGACTACGATCATTTGACACTGATGCAGAAAGTCGAAGTTTTTGAGCACGCTCTGGAGAATACAAATGGCGATGATCTAGCGAAAGTATTATGGCTGAAAAGCCCTAGTTCTGAGGTACAGTAAAGCTTGTGGTTGATTCGAAATTTTCGTGCTTCATGTTTAAGAAAATCCCTGGTTTGTTGTAGGATTGGTTTGACAGAAGAACCAATTACACGCGTTCGTTAGCTACCATGTCCATGGTTGGCTACATTCTGGGTTTGGGTGATCGGCATCCTTCGAATTTGATGATGCATCGGTTAAGTGGGAAGATTTTGCACATTGATTTTGGTGATTGCTTTGAAGTTGCCATGCATCGCGAAAAGTTCCCGGAGAAGATTCCCTTCCGATTGACGCGAATGTTAATTAACGCTATGGAGGTACGTTGGATCAGCTACTCGGGCCGAAAAATCGAAAATTTAGCCAATGTTTGTGTACAATACAAAGGATAAGGTATCATTTCCAAAATAATGAGAGGGTGTTTCGATTCGCAGTAAATTCGATCGGTTGTTTCGGATTTAAAGAAGTGTATCACTTGACAGGTGACCGGCATCGAGGGCAACTACAAAGCAACGTGCGCCAATGTTATGACTGTACTAAGGAACAACAAAGACAGCGTGCTAGCCGTTTTGGAGGCGTTTGTGTATGATCCGCTTTTTAACTGGAGATTATTAGATGGTATGCTTTAGAGTAATGTATTTTTGATTGGTAGTAACTGCCTTTCAAAAACTGTAAACAAAATTATATGTATAGCTAAGAAAGGGTCTTTCCGTTCCGGTGAGCCTCTGGTGTCGTCCTTTATGGAACGCTCTGACAGCGAGGAATCGTTCCGCTATGAGCCCAGCCCTGTGGGGTCGATTCGTTTCCGTCCACGGACGCGGCGCTGGACATGGATGCCAACCAGCCAGAAATTGTCAATAAGAAAGCCGTGGCTATATTGAATCGTGTGCGAGATAAACTGGCAGGTCCGTCTACCGCATAGTTACATAACCTAACCAATTTACGACTTGATAATGTTGTAGGCCGAGATTTCTCTCGTGACTCCCTGGATGTGCCATCGCAGGTCAATCTGCTCATTAGTAAAGCAACGTCTCACGAGAATTTATGCCAGTGTTACATTGGCTGGTGTCCGTTTTGGTAAAGCGCAATGGTGTCATATTTTGTGATTTTGATTGTTTATTTGTCTGTTTTTTTAACTGATTTTTGAATTTTTGCTTGTTGGTCGTTTTGTCACATTACATAACTGCAGAATTTTAACAGAATCAACTACATGTATAAAAATCTGGCCCATGAGAAACGTGTGGTCGTTACAAAACATAAAGGTGAAAGTCGTCAGACTGACAATAATAGAGGAAACTGAGGAAAATGACGGCTTCTGAAAATTTATTTAGTGCTCATACTCTACTTTCCTTCGATCGACACCTCCACTTCTACACCAGCCTCAATAGAAAAGGAAGTGATTTGTTTAACAGTTTCAGGGACGCTAAACAGATCGATTACTCGCTTATGTATGCGCATCTGGAAGCGATCCCATGTCTTGGATCCTTCACCGCACGGTGTTTTCCGGGTTGTGATGCGGAGAATTTTCGTCGGGATGCGGACTGGGCCCTTGGTTCGTACGCGCTTCTCCTTCGATTTCTGAATGAATTCCGTGCATACTGCAAAGAAAATGTCCACGCTCAGAACCATTTCACCGCATCACCGTTGATCAAATAATACAATCACAGCAATACCGTACGCCCATTAAAAATGAGGGTCTGCAATAAAATTTTAATTACCAACTGAAAACCGAGCGCGATAAATTTCTATGTCGAAATTCAACCAAGAAATGAAACTACCAGTTTAAATGAGGATTCCGTCAAACACATTATCACGTGACAAAAAATCTGAAAGCAATAATGTGATGAATAAAAACTACTATTTCTCCGCTCATACAGTAAATCATCGAAGTGAAATGGAATATCGACAACGAAACCAGACTTCAGGCGAACAAAATTCGACAAGAAATAACAAGTTACAAGTACCGTACCTTTCTCGAGCGCGGCTACATCCGTAGAGGTAAGAGTGATTCGGATCTTCCTAACATCCGCGTGCTCGGTATGTTCCTTCCCCTCCTTGGTATCATCGTAAACCTGGGTCTGAGTCTGCAAAACCCGGATGCTCGTGAAACCATCAAGAACCCACCAAGAACCCTCAGAGCCTCCATAATATAATCATGCGACGACATTCCTGGGCGCAGTTTTTCACTTAGTTAGACTTACCGCTGCCATTGTATTAAAAGTGGTATCTCAAGTTCTTGGGGGAAAACAAGAAAGTCCAGAAAATATTCAACGACCCAACTAAAATGGATTTCTCATTTCCACATATACCACGATCCAAGATCCAAGAAGCAAACTAACTGTACTGTACGATTGCGACGTACGCGTGTTATAGGTGGCGTACGTCGTAGACGTACGCGTACCCGTATTGCAAAGTGCAAAAATTGCAAAAATTAATATGGGACTTGCAGACTTGTCGACACGCTTACCTCCCTGAAAGGCACTTTCCTACCTGTCTTGATTTTCGAATATGCTGTCCTGGACTGGACGCGTAATGAGATCTCCGTGAGTCCAGAATCAGTAGCTGGTATTCTTCCCTTTGATCCTTTTTAGGCAGTTTGAGTCTTGACACTTTGAAATGCGCCGTTCTTTTAAGTTTAACTTTGGTTTCTGCTCCCACTAGTAACACCTACAATCAGAAACTGTCTCCGCTTTCAGTGCGCTGTTGAATGTTTGAGAGATGTCAGTTTGAGCTGACTAGCTTAGAACACTGACTGATTTTGTGATATTTATGATAATTTATCGTTAGTCAGTGGTGGTAGCGTTTGTTACAGCTGCCGCTGTAATTTTACAACGATGAGTTCTTCGTCCGAACAAAATGGAGGAGATAGTACTGCTGCGATTCGGGAACAACCAGACCATTACACACCTACGTGCCCCGAGCATGTTGCAGAATCACCACGTGCCAAAGGTTTGTGATTCGTCTGTAATTCTGTATACGTCGATCATTGCAGCTCTCATGGCACTTTTAGCAGTACAGCTAACAGTCGATATTTAGAATCATTTTCATTGGTGTGATAAATGTAATGTGGAAAAAAACTGCATCGTTTAAGACGTTGGTGGACCAAGAAGCGATCCGCGTTGCATGAAGCTTAAAAGTGTACAGAAATCTGGAAAATAGCATTAAATTTCATGACATCTGTGCTTTTGTAGACCTTTCAGACACCACGAATCCTTGTTGCGAAACGTCAAACTGCACGTGCGCGCTACCTGGCAGTTCCGCGCAGTCGACCCATAACGATGGGACTCTCGGAGCAAACGAGCCGCCCAGTACGGAGTCGGGCAGTTCGGAGGAGTCCAGCTCGGACGACGAAGAAGACGCCATCAGCGTCACACATCTCTACCGTCTCATGACGTCCGGCTCCAATCCCCGCGAAGTGGTTAAACGTCTGCTGGATGTACCCGAGTCGGAGCATGCCTTCTGGATGAATGCCATGATCGGGATTTGTGGCGACTGCTGTTTGAGACGGTGTCCAAACGACAGAAACTCCGTCAGTACAATACACTGCACGATGCTGTGCAGCTGATTAAGAAATCCAAGAAGATCATCGTCCTCACTGGAGCAGGGGTTAGTGGCAGATTACGTATCTAGGTTCAGGTATTTCGCATTTAACGGGATTGTAGATTTTTTTGCGAGTGATTTTGGAGATTATTTTTGTAGACCAGAGAATTTTTAAAAATTATGTTCAACTGATTTTCTTAAACGTAGATTTCATTGAGTGCTTAAGTGTTTGAATTAGTACGGTACTCATACATAATACTCGTACAAATGAATACAGTGGTAAAAAACCGTTGGAGCACAAATTCAGTTAACAGATTGAAGACTGATTTTTTTGCCTTAAAATAAGGTTAAGCTTTATAATTATTTGCAGTGACTAGGTGAATAGAAAATTAATTTTAACGAATTATAAGTACGGATTAGGTTCTCTCGGTTGCTTTGCACATGTACTAATGTACTACACATGTATTTTTTGAGTTCCGTTATGGTTTCGTGTATGTTGACTACTTTTTATATTTACGGATCAGATTTCTGTCAGCTGTGGAATACCGGATTTCCGGTCTCCGAACGGAATTTATGCCCAGCTCAAACAGGAATTTCCGCAGCTCGGTGATCCCTCTCATATGTTTAATATCCATTTCTTCCGCAATGATCCCCAGCCGTTTTTCACGTTCGCGAAGGTGATAAATTGACCTGATCATGATGTACTATTGTACTGTAGTCGTACATTGTATCAGCAAATATTGTAACTGCATACTGATATAACGAAATACCAATGGCGACTTTAGTTTATGCTTAAAACTTCGCGCTAAATAAGAGGGTTTTATTGTAGGAATTATATCCAGGGCAATTTCAGCCGTCCGTAACACATAGATTCATCAAGGCTATTGAAGATCAAGGAAAATTACTACGGAATTACTCTCAGAATATTGATACTTTGGAGACACTTTGTGGAATTAATAATGTTGTGCTTTGCCACGGTAGCGTTGAGCAGTTTGCTGTTATGTGAACCGGTACATAATTATAAATTTATACATCACAGTTACTATTTTTATTTCTAGGTTCTTTTGCTCAGGCTACATGCCTTACGTGTGGCCATCAGGTTGATGCGGACTTCATTAAAGCTGATGTTCTTGCTGGTGTAAGTGTTATTGTGCATGACTTAGTATGATGATGATTATGAGATGAAATGATATTTATTATTCTGATAATTTAGCGGATACCAAAATGCATCCAGTGCCCAGAACCCGGACCACTCTCCATATATAAGCCGAATATCGTCTTTTTTGGGGAAGATCTGCCTGCGGCATACTACCAGGCCGTAGAAGTGGATAAGAGGGACTGTGACTTGTTGATTGTTATCGGGACATCACTAAAGGTCCATCCGGTAGCTTCCATTCCACGTACGTATTGGAAGTGACGCTAATCTTCGTGTACGCTGTCTGTCTATTCCTGTGTAATCGTTGCCTCGTTGGTGTTTTAAATACGTAAATTTTTAAACATTGTAGTTGTCAACCTTGCAGTTTTAATTACAATAGCATTCGAAATATGAATTTACTATACATTTTAGCGCAACTTTATAAATTTGGTTTGTTATTGAATGGGCGGAACATTTTGTGACCTTTCTTTAGGCAACATTGCCAGTGTTCCGCAAATCGTCATCAATAGAGAGCCAGTGTTGGACCATTTGTTTGACATTGAATTATTGGGAGATGCAGGTATGTGTGTTGTAAAGGAACTTCGATAATGTGATTCACAGGAATAGAGCTGATTTGTTCCCTTCAGTGTTGCTGTAACCACTGCTTCATGTTGCAAATCGTTTGTCATAAGATAGCGCGTGTTATTTTGGGAGCTATGAAATTCTGTCCCACTTCGAACAACACAGACGGCTACGTTGTTTAAGTTTAACCTGCTTAGCATTTGTTAAAAGCATTTCTATCTTATGGACATATCGGGTTTGCATCCATTAATTAAGCCTGGTTTGGTGTGAATCTTGGTTACAGACGTGATTACTCAACAGCTGTCATACATGCTTGACTGGAAGAGCCATATCAATCAAAATTTCCGACCGCTACACGAGATTAGCCGGGATGCGGCTCGTGAGCAATATCGTATTGCGCGCAATCCAGATCCCATGACACCGGAAGATTTTAATACGTGCATTCTGCGGGAGATGTATGAGTCGCGCAATTTAGGCGCATGGCTGCCAGGTATACAGACGTAAACAGTTGACACAACAGGGCGACTGGATTAAGATTAGTCTCCCTGTTTATTTATTCATCGCCAGTGCGCGGCGCGATCGCTGCTTGTATAGGAAGAGTGTTGTGAAACGGTGTTTTTGTTTTCTGATCCATTTGGATAGAAAGTCGGGATGCGTACATGTTTGTGCCGCCCAGTCGTTATATTTTCCCTGGGGCATTGGTATTAGAAAAAGATCGCGAGCCAGGAATACGTCGACTGGGAGATCCATTTGCTGCCTCATCGTCCTCCTCCTCATCGGAATCGGAGGAGGAAAGTGCCGAAAGGGACAGAATTGCTGAGAAAAAAGAACCCTCCCTAATGCACCAGTAAGGGAACCGTGAAAATGACAGTCGACCTGAATAGACCATGCTAAATGAGTGGCGGGTCATTTTCGCCTGTGCGTGACCATTGGAACGCCTTTTTTGCTTCCCATTTAATGCGGTTTTTATTGAGTGGAAAGTTTATTATCGAGTGTACTGCTTGTATTCTTATCTGTTGTTGTGTTTTTAAAGGGTTTTTTGTATTTTGAGTGTCTGTTAAACGTAATCGATCTCCAAACGATATTTTTCTCAGACAAATTACGTTATTTCTTTATTTTTGCATGCTCCCGGTTGTTATTTTTAAATATGATAGTCTATTACGGATATGTAAATGTAGAAAAACTTGGAATTGTCTTTGCTGTTGTTAAGCTAATAAACATTTTTCCGTCAATTTCGTATTGCATAAAATGTCCTTGTATTGGGTTGACAAAGCAGATTTGAAATCTCATTTGGCCTACGAATATTTGATTGATGCGATGCTAATGGGGCGATAAAATGACACGCTGCGGTTTCTTCGCCGGCTTATGCGATGAATTGGAAAACCAGACACAAAAAGCTTCGCTCATAAATGGATGTATTGCATAACACTCACGTGGCGGTGGGGATAATAAGTATTTTCAGTGATTGACAAATCGGTTCTTATATAGAAAGGATCATCGGTACATAAACCGGAAGATAAAAGTTTGGACACTGTGTTCTGCGATGGCTTGCTGCTGTACGACTGTGCATTGTGGTCTTCAAAATTGCAAAATTAATATTCATGGGTTCATGTTCATTAATAAAATGTTTCAAAATCCAGCTAAAATATCAAACGTTCGTTGCTAAAAAAACTATAAAGGCGTTCAGACATTTCTGTAACGTGTATAGCGGCATCTTTATTTTGGCGGAAGATTAGCAGCAAAAATTACCTGCGAATTTGTTGAATTGTCATACATATGTATATCGAAATGCATAGCAATCCAATTTAATGCTTGCTAAATTCAAGTAGCATAATTATTTATTTTTCACACCGTACCGGCGAAAGTTTTTTTTCACGTGCAGGTTGTCAGGTTCACACTTTATTCATCTTGCATTTTAATTCAATTTTGTATTTTCAAACCTTGATACAAGATTTAAAACTAAGCTTCGTTCCCGAAAAGACAGTTGTAAAATAACGATAAAACTTAAAGTGTACTTAATGACTGCTTGCAGAAACACGGCTGTCTAAATAAATTTCTAATCGAAATTGTTGTCTCGATGTTAGCAAAATTGCTTTATGGTGGTCATTAAAAGCCGCCACTGACGTTTTCACTATTTCAATGTGCATGGAGTTTTTTACAAATCGTTACTGATTGTGCAAAGCGCAGTCGTGGGCATTGAATGGGTAAATTTGCGCAGGAGACTGTGGCTGGTGTTGAGTAAACTAGTTAAGCCGCGTGTTAAAATAATCAATGAGGAATCTTAGAAAAGGATCGCGATGAGATTAAGCACCTAAATCTCTTAAAATGCGACCCGGCTCAGCGTATATTGCTTCTGAAATGCGTCTCGACGTATCTTTTCAAAATACAAGAAGGAAAATCTGTCAAAAAAGAAGCATTTCATTTTCTTTCCTATGCCAATCAAACAGCCGCAACTCACATGACAACAACCGCGCTGTATGATATAATCACGTTTTCATTTGGGAGAAATGTCACCACCGAGAGCTCTGCATTGGGCCGATCTGAGACGTCACACACAAAGATCGACACATTGGCCATCGCAAAGGATTTCCTCTCGGTAACACTTTCTCAATTGCCGCCGCTGCGGCCAACACCACGACAGACACAAATCCTCTTTAGCGATAAAAATATTTATGGTAATACAATTTCCTTCGAGTTTTTTGAGCAAGTGGATTTTGCTGTTTGAAATGGAAATCGTCAAGCAACTTCAAACTTCCGCACACAACAGACGACTGACAGTTAATGACGTACAACAGCGACATGGCGCAATGTATTCGCCAATCTCCATCCACGGGGAGGCGTGGTCAATATGGGTGCACGCGGCAAAGCCAGCGAACAATAAAGCTGCAGTGGTCAATGTGATTGTCAGCCGCGTGGTGAGTGGTTGTTGTCTTTGGTGCATATATATTTTTTCATCCCGCGCGCGCACCCGCAATGGTCGTTGAAGGTGCTGGTTTGTGATTTTTTCCCCGGCACTTCTTCACACCGAGAGGCGAGTGGATATGTTTGATAATTTAGTGGGCAGATAAACTGCTCCTAGGGATTGCCAGCAAGTGCGTCCCATTCTGTCTCGTATTACCATGCAAATTTAAGGCAATTGAACTGTTCCTGTTCGGTGTTGTTGTGGCGTTGTATTCAGGACAGTAGGAGCTGATGCGATCACGAAAATGGTAGTTACTGGTGCTGGTGGCGGCGGTCGTTTGGTTGCGATTAAGTGATTGACTGGGGGACCAATCGATACACGGCAGCCACCTGCACAACACATAAAAGTATCGGTATGTGCAGATATAGGAACAAGTACGGTGCATATAAATATTCCTGCCGTGAAGCTGCCGGCACTGATGACCTCTCGCTCACCTGAAGATCTGGCGGAATCCTTGGCGAAATCTACAGTCAAAACAAAAATACAAAAAGGTGTATTGTGTTGCATTCAATCATACGGAATTACTACTATTGCAGGACAAAATTAGCCCGTTTCCGGTTGATTGACGGGTGTGGTTGCCACACTGCGCGGCAACAAACAAGAAGATCTCCTAACCTTGCAATTATCGGCTGCTGTTAAGTACAACTTGCCGGTTTTAATTTAAAGCAAGTTGTGCCAGTACTGCACTGGAATACAAGTTTGTTTATGATGAAGAGCTTTTGATAATGTAATTACAAACATAAACTTTTAAAGGAAAATTTTGCAATCAAGCGGAAAAAGCATTGACATATCCATAAGCAGAAAAATTTTCATAATCCTACCGAGTAGTAAATCCTAACTTTAAACGCCTGCAGCCTTGCACTGCAATTTCGACGTTTAAGTTTTTGTTCTATTCAGAAGAAGCGTCTGTTATGAGCATTCAGTGTCATTATCCACGCCGGGAATTAATTAGTATGGTGCACTTAGTGCACTTTCAGAAATTATGCTCGGATTAAAAGATATTGCACAGGTACATGGACAAATAAAACACCACTTGTTACTAATTTTACTTTGTAGCGCGAAAAAAGTTCTTCCAAAAATCCGTGGAAATTATAGGTACAACTTTTCATTGTCAACAAGTGCAAATTAATGCAGATTGTGCCGACGTAGATTTATTATAGCTCAGCGCATTATACTGTCTGGTCATGCATGGATGCTCGGCAATTTTATTTAGTCCCCAATTCCGTCTGCAATTGAAATCCCTTTGCCATTGAAGCATTGTTAGGGCGGTGGAAATTGGAAACGATTTGTAATAAGTTTCCCTCTGTGGCGGTAGCGTACAGCTGTTCTTTCGAACCAGCGGTTTTCCTAACCTCAACGCACTGTGATGACAGTTTCCGATATCGAATCAATACCAGAATATCTTAATGGAAATCAATAACTTTTATTTGCAAATATTTGTATTAAACGGTTTGGAAGTTAATAAACTATCTCTACTAATCCAGACTGCTTCAGTCGATTTACGTTCAGCAACCGGTAAGATGCGGTTCGTTAAGAAATGGCGCTGTTCTATTGTAAACCAGGTTACGGTAATCGTCGTTTTTGCATGAATCCAAATGAGGCGATCGTTACAGTTTGTTATGCCGACTATATGACGCATGCTTGTACTCAACAACCTTAATTCTGACAGACACAACTTCATTTATTTTATTATAAAGAATTCTGAGGTCAATACGTTCAATAATCGGCAGTAAGTCAGTAATAGTGCGTACTGTAGTTGAAAGCGTGAAATTTAATGTGCATAATATTAATTTTTCTATTATGCAGAATATTATCAATTACTTATTATGCTAAACTACAATACTACTCTGTGTACCACTGAACTTATTAATCTTTCTAAATAATGTCATTAGCTCTTTTTACATATTATTACTTAGTTTTCAGTTAATTTAAAAATAGTTTTAATACTCTAAATAACCGGCTAGTACAATGCGCTGGCGCACCAATCCGCAATCACGCGATTAGTGTTTGCGGAGTATTATGGTAACTGGGGAGCATAAAATCAAGTGTATTTACGTAGTAATATGCATTAAAGCTGGTGTGCCATCAGAACGTGACAGCGAAGGATCCCAGATTGCGGAAATCATTAGAGGTTTATTCATGGAAAAAAATATAGGGGCAAACGCTAATTAACCCTTACATTCCCAAAATTTAAATGAGCAAAGTGATCAGACGAATACAAAAGACCAAGTCTTAGTTTTTGCCGAATGGGGCAAAACAATCCTTAACTTTAAGCAACTTTAACTTTATGGGGCAACTTTAAGCTTAAGCAACGTTGTTGTTGTCTCGCAGCTGTGTTTCCTGCTGGAAATTCAAAATAAATTATGTACTTTAGTCCCAAAATTTTCAGTGGGAGTTTTATAAGTTAACTGTTTCCGTTTCAAGCAGGTGCTCTGATTATCTGAAAATTATATCCCAATGATTATTTTAAAAGTTTTGTTCACGGACATCTAACTGCAACAGCTATGGTTGAATAATTATTGTGAGCCATTTGTAATTTTGCCAAGCCTGAATGTACTGCAGAACAGAAGTTTAGGGCGGCAGATAACACTTCTGTGTTTGGTTTTCCCGACAGATTGCTCGGTTTATAAATCAACCGGAAGCGGTACAACTGGAGCATCGTTGTCGAAATAACTTGACAGAATAGCTGCATCCTTTAACGCACTGTTTCCGAATGTGTAAATAAATATTCACTAAATAAACTACACACTTTTACTCTCACATCCACACATAGATTTCGAAATGAAGACCTTACTTGTTGTTGAGAATGATATAAATGATAGGATTGTAGATGGAATTGGACATGGCCAGAACGTACGCACTGAAGCAAAAAAGTACGCGTTAATGCCATTTATACTGCTGTTGCTGTACGAGGAGAAAATTGGAGAAAGTTAAGCAGATGAAAAGATAGCAGAATCCTGTCGGGAGCAAAAAAAACTAAATTACAACAGCGGCCTATGTAGTCACTCAAATCACTTTGCGGCGATTGCCCGATATTCTCTGGAAGTTTTTTTCTGCCAATCTCCTGATCACTGACATGCGGGATTATGTAATTACCTTGTAAAGACATGAGCCATATTCTTGAGCCGGCGTATACAGGGATTGATGCTGGTCACGACGAACCAGATGTGGTACGGCGCCCAGTTAATCATAAAGGTTATCATAACCCAGATGAGGACTTTCACCAACTGGAAATTTGAAAGGAATTATAATATGATTCAATCAAGATACATAACATTATAGCGCGTCGGCAAAATATTGCAGATTTTCTATTGGAAGCAAACGTGTTATCTCAACTGTTAGCATTGTATATGCAGCTGATAAACATAGTCATACATACAAAGTTTTTTTTAATTTCAAAACTTCCGACCTTTGACATTTTTGGATTGCAGACCTGAATGGATTACTTTCAGCAATTAATTTAACAACAAAATCTGTTAACAGTTCATCCTTTTAATCTAATGAAGGAACGGGAGTTTCTATCAGAATCTGTATTTGCATCAACACTATTTTGATTACTAATCCAATGTTTTGTTTTACTTAACAAACTCAGCGTTTGAATAAAACTTTTCTTGCACCACTGTATCAGTACTTAGTACAAAAAGTTACTATATAATTCAACTAATAAGTTACTATATAATTCACGTCTACTTTTTAAGCATTTGACAGGACATGGTCATAATATTCAGCTTTTGAGAATTACTATCAAAAAAGCACACTTTTTTTTGCATCTTCTACGTTCATAGGCGTAAGCTGTGCAGTGTAATTAATTTTACGAAATAAAATTAAGGTTGGACGTAAAAAACAACAGGCGGGCAAGTAGTATGTAAATGCATAATTTAAAAATGAGAGAGGGGAGATTTAGCAATCAATAAACAAAGTATGGGATTGTATAGTCTTGCTCTCTGGTTCTAACATACCATTGAAATTGCCCTTTTACAAAAAATGATGTTATGTACTGTATGATAATGAATTAATACAAAAAATTTAAGTAAAAAACTGTTGATTAATAATCGAACAATTATGAACGATTCTGTCAAAAATAAAGTTCATATAAGAACAATAATCGTGTTAATCTAAATCCAGTTTTAAGGAACACTAATCGCGCGCAAAGGATGTACCTATATGCGGAAAAGTCCAACTCGACAGGTGCAACACTTTATAAGAGCAATATTAAAAATTTAGCAAAATCTGTAAGGCCGTGTAACTGGCGCAGCGGCGGTGGCTGAAATGCCCATTAAACAAACAAACTGACAGTATCTGATTTCATTCTTTCAATCGCTCGGTTTGTCAGACTAATTTGTGAGCGCGCATTTATTCCTGGATGCAAGTGGTAAATTTAAAATCTATCCTTTAGTTTCCTGCTCACAGTATACATCGTACATGCCTGCAATTTGATCAGCCGTTCTGACAGCGTTAGCTTTCATTGCTGCTGCATTTGCAGTTGTCATAAATATACTCGTATTTACTACAATTCTACAAATTACCATTCTGAACGTTTTACGCCTGACCACGGTTTTTTAGCGTAGTTCAACAAAAGATGCTTTTTATTACAATTATCATGTAATGCTGATTATGTAAATCATCAATCGTGGTAATCATAATTTACACTAATTAAAATTTTGGCTAATATTTTGTGGTGCTTACACTCGATTCATCGTTGCATTGCAGCAGTGTAAAGAGATTTTATTTCGCATAAATCAGATCAGCAATAAGCGACTTGGTAAGAAGTGATAACAGCTGAACTAACTGATTAACTGACAACCAGAATAATTAGAAACCACCTAACACCTGTAGTTTAACAGTATCCCTGACCTTTGCGAAGGTTATGATGTTCAACCGGATGTCGATACATACGTACTGGGATACTCTTTGACATACCTTTCGTTTACTTTTGATCTGCTCCATTTGAGCCACTGTCGCTTCCCCGATACTTTTGCTCCCCCAAAGCTCTTGAGCGACTCTCCCGTAGCACAACGTAAGGGAAATGAGGGGAACAAAATACGTTATTACCATATAGAAGGACTGATAGATTAACAAGGTATCTGAAAACGATGATAGAAAATGTCAGCACTTTACGGCCATATGCACACGTACTCAGGGAAATGGGCTAATATCATACAGGATATGCAGTTCCTTACGCGGTTTTACCTTTTTGAGCAGCCCATTCGGTCTCATCTTCCCATTGTAAAAAGCACACCATATTCGTTGTATTTTGGATGTGATCAATTTTATTGTACATCAACTGCGGGAGTGAGAACATTCCGGACACAAACCAAATAATCCCGATTATGACGTACGCTGTCATTCGGCCCATCCGTGGACGCATCGGATGGACAATTGCAATGTATCTGTCATTAATGATAATTTTGTATACAATGTATGATAATCAGTTAATCATATTATAGTATGGTCTGCAACCATGGATGTAAATTTACAGATTATAATACATGAAGTTTGGGCTAAATTACCAAAGCGCAGTTTTAATAGTGACTCTGCTTTGTTCAAATTCGGTGTCGTAATTCCAGTTAGAATTAATAGAATTTAAGCTTAATAAAAAAAAAGGAATTCAAAACCCAAGAACAAAAATCCCGCTGAAGTAAAGGATGAAAATATTAAATGCCATAAAAACAGGAAGTTTGGGGAGCTTGACTGACAGAATAAACCGGATAAGATCGTATTGTTTTGCATACTGATGATCATATTCTAAGGAAATCTACACCATTATGACTGAATATTATAAAAATAACTGCATACAATCTTTGAAAATTAGGGCAGACATCAGCAGCCTTGATTTAAACAGCAATTTTAAACGATATTATTTGTAAAAAAGTAGCAAATTTAACGTAGTTAATGTAACCATGAAAGCTTAACGCGCGGTATATGGAGTTATAACATAAAAAAGCAAAAAATGTAGTGTAAATTTTCGGTTTTCTGGCTATTTCACAGTTCTGCTTCGAAGCTAGTTAAGGAGACTGGAAAGGTTACAAACATATTACTCTTTTATTTTCCCCGCCTGACTAAGCGTTAGCTGAACTTTTGACATTTAACGCAACTTCCAAAGCCATTATAATTTTTAAAGTTAAGTATGTTAATTATACCCACATGTGAATATTGTCGGAACAGCTTAGGGATTATATTTAGCATAAGTACACATTATCTGTATATGCCTTGACATTTGGACAGCGAAAAACAAACCTCACCTGTCAATGCTGATACACATCATAGTTAGCACGGAAGCGACAACGGTTGACGAGGCGATGAAATTCACCACCGTACACAGAAACTGGCCGAAAATCCAGTTTTGCTGCAGGATAAAGTAACTACTGAGTGGCACATTAATTACACAGGATAGCAGATCGGCTACCGCTAAATTGGCAATGAAAAAATTGGTAATCGTCCGCATGCGACGATAGTACAGACAGATCCAGATCACACCGGTATTCCCAATAGCCCCGACAATGGTAATCATTGCACAGGCTGTACCGTAAGCATATTGCCAGGGTTCGGATAATTCATAATCAGCTGATGAATTACTCGGCTCCTCGTTAAAGTAATCCGAACACTGTGCACTGACCGCCGCCGTAACATTATTGGTTACAGTAGTATTGTCGGGTATGGTAAACATTTTGCAACCAGAGAAGTTGCGTTGCGATGCGAGAGATGGCGGTTAAAGTGAGCTGGACTGTGTCAATACTTGAAAAAGTTATACGATCATACAATGGAGAAAAATGTCCAAAACTCATTACGCACTATTCCATTCCGCGAGCGCGGCACACATATACACGCAGGGCGGTGGCTTATGCGCAGCGCCGGAAGATGATCGTTTCTTGTGTTCATCAATTACACAAAGACACTAATGTCCAACAGCGAATGTCATATTCCGTGGTCAATAAATTTTACGGGCATTTTAAAATCGGCAGTATAAATGAAACGTCGGCCGACGATCGAGAGTGGAGAGAGGGAGAAAAACTTGGCCAACGCATCGCATATATATCCCTAGCTCCGTGAGTGTGCCTTCACTTCTGCATCAGGCTACGATTTTATAAAATGCACACAGACGCTCCATCGACCGCCAAAAGCATTGGTAATTAGTATTAGGGGCAATTTCGTCCTATATGCCGCGGATGCGCAATGGTGTGGCCCCGCTCTTTTTCGCCCGTTGTACCCGGTCCACGATGTCAGACGGCATCGACCAAGCGATAATTCATCCGGCGGTCGTTAAATGCAAAGACTATCCACAGCCCATGCTAAACACATTATGCTATTTATTCTATGGCGACTTTTATGTACAGAGCGATAATCCGGCATTTGAAAATTTTCGGGCTATGATCGCCGATGCAACCCCTGAGTCGTTGGATGAGAGAAGAAAAAAACAACAGTGACGAGCATTAATCACTGGAGACTTCCGGCACATTTCCCATTCTCGGCTGATATATGGCACTCAGCACTATATATGTGCCATTGCCGGCACAGTAGTAACTGCACCACCGGTAACACGCTGTGTGCGGCTATAAAGCGTGCACAGAGGCGGAACGGATGTGCATTGATTGGCCGGACGCCGGTTATGCAGTAGCTGGCCGATACGGATATAACTAATGCACTGGCGGCGTTGTTTTCCTTTTGAGGCATCCATCAAAACATTCAGTTAGCCGACATTGATCCCAACTGTTCTCGGATGAAAATCGGTTAGATCGAAAAAAGCTACTATACGTACTTGGGATAATTAATTGTAATTGTCACTTCCGGTTACACTGGTGGCGACAGGAAGCGTAATCGGCAGTTTCGTTTACAGTTTACGCCGATCAACCGGATTATCTGAGGTTTTGTAAAATCAGTTTCTGGTATGTTTTTGATACCGGAAACAAATTGTTTTGAGATAATATAATTCAAGGTGAAATATTATGAATGGAAGTAATTAATGCAGTTTGTTTGGCAAAAGGCTACAAATTCTTATGTGTTTTGTGTGCAGGTCTTTGATTGAAATACTGATGAAAGATCATGAATACAGCATGAGTTTACTCCGCATTACGCACGTCAACGCTTTCTGCGGCAACATCATTCGTGAAACGGCGCGGCGCGATATCGCACACTGCCGTTGTACTGACAATTTAAATCATCAAGTCCCGAGTTTTACTACTGAAAACCTCGTTGGTATTCATGGGGTTAAGTGTTTAGATTAAATCAAACGCTATTCCGATGGGATGGATAATGTACTTGATAAACAAACATAAGACCTTATACCGGCACCAGCATCGCCGCTTACGCATATAAATGGCGTAAAGAAGCACGGATATATCCATCCGTCGACGTAAAATGCCCGCTGATTGTATACGTTAGCCAAACCACAAAGTTCAGGATGTCCAAAAGATTAATGACCCAATAATTTATAGTTTCTCGTCAAATGAAACCCAGTAATACTGACATCATTACCAAAATCTAAACTGTTGGCTAAAACTATAAAGCTTTTAAAATTATCAGAAAAGCAGCAAATCTGGGCCTCTAGCTGTAGCTAAGTATTTATTAATTTATAACAACAGCAATAAAGTCAACATCTTCTTGGGGTGTATATGAAATAAAACCGTCGTAATTAATAAAATACTATTACTGGGTAAAAAAAAATGTCTGGATGAGCAATTTAATGTAGCAAGTATAGGTAAATGCAGTGCTAAGGTTGCAATATACTCAGGAACTCATTTATATCCACCTTATCCCCATTCGGTATAAACAGTTTCTTAATAGTTAGATTAAACTCTGCATGGTATCTGTTTTTAAACGTTTTTCTTTGAATCTGGTCCGTCATACCCTGATCATGATATTTCATTAATGTGATTTATTAGATTCGTTTTTACCTATTGGCAGCAGAATATCTTCTGTATGTGGATTAAGGGAAACCCAGTTTACGGAAAGGTCAACCAACAGCGCCAATTGCATACAATGAGCCGACAGAATCTCTATGATATAAAACCTCCTTGTACTGTTTTTGTTATACGAGTACGTATTTTAGGCAACAAAAAATCCACTGAACTGAAGAGCACTTTGAAGATATTGAATTAACTACGCAGCCAAAACCGCAGCGTATTGTTACGATTTTGAACAGCGGTCCATCTTCCTCCTAGACAGTCCGTCAAGACTCCTGGTCCGCACATTCTGAAAGCTGACTCATTAATTTTCCAAAGAAATGCTTATAGTTTTGCCACATATTTTAATATGATGCATCGGCACCAAAAAATTATTCGTCATATTAAGATTATAAATAAGCTGCTACAATAAATTACAGTGTTTAATCTGCTACAGATACCTTTGCCCACTTACGTTCCATTGCAAAAGCGTCCAAAATAGTGGATTTTCCCGTCAGAATATTCCCCTTCCCCATGATACTGTCCGTCCAACATTTCGCCTTTATAATGAACATTCATTAACGGCCATACATGCAAGCAGATCGGTCCAGACAGCTTATTATTTTTCCAGTGTCCACTGTAAAGGTGTCCGTCAAAGGTCACATATTTACCAACTCCGTTGCGCATTAGACGGTTGTCCAGATCTGATGCAGAATATTCGCCAACTATATGAAAGCGAATAAGATTGCAAAACAGTTAGTGCGTAGTGATAAACCAGGTAGTTGATAAATTTTTATCTGCTTAATTAAAAGCACTTTTCAATAAAATGTTTTTGCAAGCACAGAGGTTCGGACAACAGGTAATTCTACATACTTTCCTGTCGTCAACTTTTAGCAGTAATACTGCATTTACATATAGTGCTATTGTACGAACAAAAACTGTGCGTCCATTCACTTTCGGTCTAACTGACTTCTCGCAAATAAATTAAAATTTCCTGTGGTTATACAAAAGCTAGACCTGCTTAATGCATGTTATACCGTAGCGATCCCCGTTTTCATACTCCACTGTGGCAAATAAAGGATGCTGCAAATCCAGTGTAACCTGAATCCCGTCAGGAATAGCAGGATCTGTGATTTGTGGGTCAGGAGTCTGATTCGCGCTTTTAGGTTTGATTTTGTCTTTTTTGTCCATGATTTTATTTTACAGTTATGAGTTAGGCTTAGTTTTTGCTTTTGATTCCAAATAAAAGTAAGATTATTTCACTGCGCATTTCAACTTGCACATACAGGCGCTGCAATCGTAAGGAAGAATAAATAAAATCCAAACCTTATAAGGGCACTTCTAAATTTTCGTCATGACTGTACACAGCGCTATATAAAAAGCGATGCTTAATCATACGGTATTGTGGTGCTTAATATAAGTATTATGATTTATCCGTTAATTGCAGATAAAGCCAACTGAGGGATTTCTTACTCACACTTACAATAAGCATTTCTACTTATGCATTACGCATGTCCCTGCAATATATCGGTTACCGCTTTCATATATCTACATTTTAGTGTGGACTTACTAAAACTTTTGATTTACTATGGTAACCTTTGTAACTGTTGTCCGGCAAAGGCTGTTAGAAACAATCATCATCAGTTCATCTTGTATGCAATGCCGCAGAAATACCGTAAATTTGAAATATGTCGCGAAAAGTTTGAAGTTTTAACTCTAGATTATATGGTTAAAAATAATTTCAATAAACTTAAATCAATTAGTATTTTACTGGACTTGGTATCACATTGCCCTGTATAAAACCGACGTCAATAACCACATGCAAAGGGTTTTGCAGTTGCCAGTAACAGCTGACAAACCGCTGTTTATTATTATTATTCGTCTTTTGACGTTCTTTCTACGGCATTAACTTTGTTAGCAACACAATAAAAATGTTCAGTTTTAGTATCAATAACTGTATCTTCGAATTCTACTCTCCACAACATATTACGACATAAACGGGTACTCACTGACACCTGCTCTGGACATTTTTAATTCGAAACAATGCTTATCGTATTAATTAGCTTTCTGGTAAGTGCAATACAATGCAAGCTGCTTCAACTGATAGGAGTTTTATAATCTTGATTGTTTTTATCCTATACACCCAGATAAGACATGTGTGAACAATAGCCGATATTACACAATATAACAAAACTGGATATCAAATTGTGTAGTTCGAAAAATGCACGCCACTAACGATGCGTTTTAAGTCAGAGGCCATTCTGCGTAACATCTCTAATATAAAGTACACGGTTAAAAATTTTTTAAAACTGGGTAGTTTAGATACTGTTAAGCTTGGATTCGTGAAAATCTGATACCATGATTAAGAGGATACTGTTGTGTTTGGGACTATTGCATGCGGCTGCCGGACAAGGTAAGCGGACCGCGGAATTAAGCAATTCCACGAAGAAATACAAAAATGTTTTACGTTAAGTACAAAAAACGAGTATGCAAGTTGTATGTGTCTACCTAATGTGCCTTTTTATATTTTCTGTTTACACATATGTATATGCATCAAACTTTTGTGCAAACTTATTTACAAAAATTTGCTCCTCCTAATAAAGAAAAAAATTACAGGTGCAACTGCATCGGTATATTGTAATTTGTAAGTTAAGTAAGGAATCGCTATTTTTTACACTGCAATAAACGCGCACAGTAGTTGTTCTAAAAAGTGCTTGATCTCTTTACTAACTTAATATTAGAAGCACTTCGATTCCAGGACAACTTATCGTATAACAAGCTATAAGTACATCTTATACACATTTTCATAGTGATTGCAGCCTTAACACTAATTATTACTTATTATGCTGGCTGCAGATGGCTGCAAAGCCCCGGCATTTCTATCGGCAGCAGGCGGTTCCATCGAAACGCCATATTACGCTTATCCGACAATGGGCGGATATCCCAACAATCTTAGATGCCGTTGGGTAATCAGGAATCCAGCCAACAATGTGAGTTCTTTGGTTCGCTTAACCCGTTTCTAGACTTGCGTCCAGTGCTGACTGTTGATGAAGTAAGGGCATTTGGTACGCTCACTGAGCCTCACTCGTATGCATACGCAAGGGCCCATTAGAGTTTCACTATTCAAAGACTATTTCGACTTACCTTGACCTTTACCGAAAATCTCGCTTTGTCATTTTTCCAGAATATCTCAATTTCATTTGCCGAATCCTTCTGGCTGGAGCCAACAAGTGGATGCTCCTATGACAGAATCGTGTTTTTCAATGGAGAACGCACTGGAGCAGTAACTTGCATGCAGGCTTTAGGCGACACCGAAGCGCAATTCAACACTGGTATGCAACGTTTCTGGGTGATATCAGTTTACTAGTAAACAGCTGCAAGTTTTGCAATAAAATATGCGCCATAAACACCAAAGAATAAATTGTTAATTCAGTTTATCGGTGCAGTAGTCTCTTTTCAATGAGAAAAAAATAGTAAGAACTCAGAAGTAAACTGCCCGTTTCTGTTTTACAGGACCGTTGTGCGGTGCGGTCGCACCGGCTCCTTTTGTTATTGGGAAAAGGCCGGGTGATACGACCAGCGTTTTCACGGTTGAAGTCTGTAAGAAATTTTTCATACTCTTACTGCTGGACTGTATCAGTAATATTATGTATACAATACACTGTAGTGTATTACGTGTATTGCGTAATATTAGTTTATACAGATATATACTCAAGCGTTTTTATGATAATTCGCTGATTTCTGACCTTTTGTCTAGGATATATGTAATGGTTGTATAATCTACAGGATATAAATGGAAAATAAGGCACAGATATTGAATAACACTTATAGCAAAACTAAATAGAAAAATTTAGTAAACGACAAATAGGCAGACATGTACAAGTCATGATCATATAATTTATTGGAAAAAGGTTCAAACATTCGACCGTGGAATAACGTTCAACAACCGTGATCTATAAAACTTAATGTTTTACTGTATGTAGGTACGGATGGCTCTCAAACTGGGTAAGATACATTCTGCAAAGTTCTAACCAGTGGCCTAAGCTCTATTTTTCTGACTGGAAACATGTGTAGCCAAGGTTTCCATATGAATTTCAATGCCACCAATGACGCGGCCACTGCACCTTTGCTCGGAACCACAACACTTCCCCCGGTGACCGGACCAACAAGTCCTCCGATCCCGTTGCAGGCGCATTTTCACTTGACCCTGGACGAGCAGCTCAACAGAACAGTCTATATAACTTCACCGGGTCACCCTGGAAATTATCCAAATTACGCCAATTATTCCTGGACCATTTCTACGGAATCCAATAGCTATATCCAAGTACATCACTAACCAATAGAAGTAGTACTGAAGTACTGTTACAGACATTTAGGCGGATTTAGGCGCTAAGATATTTGATTAAAACAATATTATATTAATAAAATGGATCAAAAATAATAAAGTCAAATCAACATTAAAATGTACGAACTTACAGTGCTTACAGTGATTGTTTCTAAAGAGAATATTTGCAGTAAATACGTATAGATACAACATGAACAGTTTTAAAAAAAGTGGATGAGTTTTAATTTAACTACCCACAGGTCACAGCGGAGGCGTTCAGCCTGGAATATAACTCCCAGTGCGGTTACGACAGCCTGACCATTGTAGATCCAAAAAGTTAGTAATACAAATACTGCCGTATATTGAATTACTGCTGTAAAACTGTAAATGAAAAACTTGTACCGTGAACTTGAAGTTTTAAAAACAACTTATTCTTCCAGAAAGCGACGAAGTTGTAGGCGTTTTCTGTGGAAACGATGGTCCTATCGAAATTAAATCTTCTGGAAATGAGCTGGTAAATGTGAATTTGTGATCATACTCTACTGAGTATATGTGGGGCATCTGAAATTAACGTTTTTCAAAAGTCATGGTTTGCAGTTGGTTCAACTACAAAATTGTTGTTACTACACATATACGTATTTTTACTGATACTCTGCAAACTTTGATCCTGATGCTGCTACTGATAGTTTGCATTAGTTTATTTAGAAAATAATATTATGCAAAACAGCTAACGTACCTTTACATGTGTGCATATATTTCTGAATGAAACATGCGCTCCGAGTATCAGTGTAATGCGTGTATCTGTATTATTATAATATTATAACAATATCTAAATGTTACTGAAATATACTCGTACAATAATCAGAGCCACTTGCATGCATAATATAGTCACGGATTTGGTGTGACGACGTCTTTTGTAGCGACTTTACTTTAAAACCGATGGATCGGGGACGTACGCTGGATTTCGACTACGAGTTGAATGTGAGTGTTACCATTTTATTTAGGTTATAAGTTTATTCTTTCAGTTTACTTTTTAATAACTCCAACAGGTTTAAATTTTGTATGAACAAGTTATATTACAGCATACATTAACACATTCCACCCAGTCTTTACATTGTTTTTGTAGTGACAAAATGCAAAGCTGGCGAGTCCTCGTGTCCCAACGATCCCAGCGGCACCACTTGTTTTTCGCCGGATATGCTGTGCGACGGTAATTTCTATCGAAATGGGCAATAAAATAAATATATTTTTATGGCATCGAAATTTGTGTTACTATCCAGAATACCGTTAATTGCCCTTTTAAGCAGTTGTACAGTGTTATTTCTATTTAGGCAAAGGAGATTGTCCTAATAATGAAGACGAGAACTGTCCTCTGACATGCGGTAATCCAGCAGTTCAGCCATGGTTAAGCACCAGGTTTGCCGAAGGGATGGTGCAGTCCAGAATTGTGGGCGGAATTGAGGTAACAGCATCATAAATAAAATTTCACCGGGATATTTTTATCTGTCTATACGTACCGGTAAGTAAGTTTAAGTTTGTCAAAATTGTAGTCGCAAAGAACGCATTCATGTAATAAAACTACAGTTCTATGTGTTACTTATCTCATACGTGCATCCGCGCTCAAAAAATTCATAAAGGCATGAAAGTAATTTTGATATACAGAGCAAACTGTAGTAGTCAATCTTGGAATTATTCTCACGTATTCGTGATTCCACACCAGTCGTAAAGAGCATGTTACGAATCTCGTGAATAACTATGGCAGTCGTAATTATCATTACAGGCTCGGCCGCACAGTTATCCTTGGCACGTGGCAGTGTTCCCCGATCACAGCAACGCTCGCGGAGTGCTTTGTGGAGGCACCATTGTAAACATATTTTTTGATGTAGTCTTTGACATTTTCTCATTGATAATGCTCCCAAAGTAATGAGTTATTTCAGTAAAATTTTTGCAGATTGACCACCATTTTGTGCTGACCAGTGCCCAGTGCTGTGTCAAGTAATTCGTTTTGCATCTGATTTTGTGTAAGTGCTGGCTTTTTTACGACGATTCTTCACAATTGCAGCTATGCAAATAATCCCGCAACGGGTCTGCACATTGGAGTGGGCGAGCATAACATTCTGGCCTCCCGCGAGCCACATGCGATCAACTACACCATCCAGCAAGCCTTCCTACATCCTCGATATGCCCAGGGTCCTTCTACAAACCAGCCGTTAAATAATCCATCCTATGATTACTGTTTATTGAAAACTAAATTGGTAAATAACTTCCTTTCAAGCGGCACTTATTACGAAAAAACAGTTTTGCATATATGGGTACTTAAACAAAAAATAATAAGTACAAACAAAATAGATAAGTAATTTTTATACTTATTTGCATCATTGAAAAAGGATCGTATATAATACTGTTTTACGCCGACATTATTGGTGTGACTAACTACATATAACTGCAGAAGCACCAGAAAAGTTATAATTATACAGTCAGATATCAATTATTCTAATGCTGATACTTCGTGAGTCCGCTTTAGATTTAAATAAAATAGTTATAATATTAGTTAAATGCTTTTCCAGCCAATTTTCTTCAATGACCATGTGGCTCCAGTCTGCCTGGGTATGATGGAATACCCCGAGAATACTCGCTGTTACCTGTCTGGATGGGGAGCGGTCTCACGATCGCCAGGATCATATCCAAATGTTCCTCTGGTATCAGAAGAGTGGAGCCCAACCCTGCGCCAGGTCGACCTGCGTGTGGTCAGCGCAGCACGCTGTCGGTCCCTGTTTGCCCAGCAAGCAGTACCAGATTTCAGTGATCAGATGCACAATATGACGAATGTTATTGGACAGGAAAACATGTGCGCCGGTACTCCTGGTAAAGGAGGGTAAGTGACACCGTCAACGCCCAAATACTGCGTTATATCTTTTCGAATCCGTCGGTAGTTGTATAGCTACTGCAAAACCGCCTACAGAGTTCCTAAAATACTGGCAATGGCCTTTAACAAAATAAATTTACTTCGGGAGGCTGTAGATCTAGCGCACTGGGAAAATTAACGTGAAACGTCCCCCTGCTTATAAGCGATAATTCAACGAAGGTCTTAGATTTAGTGTGTTTTAGGTGCTTTGGAGATGTTGGTGGTGCTTTGGTATGCCAAAGTCCAAGTGATCCCCAAACCTGGCAAGCAGTGGGCATCTTTAGCTCTCGATAGTAAGTTTTCCCACTAATTCCAGAGCCAATTTGACCACGAGCAAAATTCGTATGACTGTACCAGTACTTGCACATCTGGTGATTGTGTCGTATCACTGGCACGACATCATTAAAATTTGAAGTGGCTGTACTATTAATTTTGTGTTGCGGGGGAAATGGTACTAGCGTATATGCATTTTTTAGTGGGTGCGGTGATACATTGCCTTCGATCTTCTCAAAGGTATCGTCGGCCGTGGAATGGATTTCCTCGGTGATGTTTTCATAATCATAACAGAGTTTCCAGTAATTTAACAGTCTTGATAAATTGCGTCCGTTCGTGTACTTTACTTGATGTGCAATTTAGGAATGGCTTTGCTGCTTGACTGTAACAAAAAGGAAAACTCGAGATACGTCTGATCTAGCAGTTGCTGGTAGAATGACCGTGTTTGCTTTATAAATGTTCATGTTAATTATGCACTTTATACAAAGAATATGCACTGGAGTCTAGATGTTACAGGACGCAGAAAAACAAATCACAACGACAAACATGACCTTGTCTGATTGACCAATAATTATATAGATACGCCGGTAACTTTTAGTTCCTGCTAAGTTATCCATAACGATGTATGTATTTGGGAAAATCGCAAATGTAGGCAGACCTTTATCAATTGACAAGTTATTACCCTTTTAGTTTTCTTAACACCATTTGCATGCGTTGGATTTTTGTTTCTGGTGCATGCAATAGGTGTGCTAAAATTTAATAAGGCATGCAATAGGTGTGCTAAATTTAGGTTCTTTCATCGAGTTTTGCTGTTTTTACTATGCCAGCTTTGTAATTATAATACGTATTGTCATCATTGCAGTGCTATGCGCAAGCATTCAGAAAACAACAAGATTTTGTTTTTATGACACTCTTCAGAAGTTATACTTCGCATCGCATTATATATTAAATGTCTCACTTATGTATCAGTAGACCGATAGCTTGCTTGCTCACAATCAAAGCATGAAACAGAAAAACTATTACAGTACAGCATAAAATTATTACCACCGGTGTACGGGAAAACGATGCAATGCCTTAATTATAATTATATAGAGCATCCTAACTTTCAGGAGTGTCTTGAACGCTGGGAACCTCGAGGCATGAAAATATGAGACGTCGCTGCACACAATAAAAATGTCGCAAGGTAGAACTGTATGTTGTCGATCTCATTGTTAATAATTCTAACTCTGGAACTAAGGCGAACGTATCTTTTCTTGGATTTATTGATTGCAAAGAAATTTGCTACGAAACTACAGGTCGGTCGCGCCAAGTGTGGACAGTTGCAGAAAATAAATTTTAATATATTTCTGTAAGTAGTTTTAACATTAACTTTGCACTTTTCTTGTGTAACTTTTCATTGCGGACAAAATATTAATGAAACCGGAATCTTCTAACGTGTTCGCAGGGGGTGGGGCGGAGCTTAAGGAAGGAGGGTAGCGGGCGTTTTTTGGGTGTTTATAACTGCCCTTCTAAAAAATTCAGGAGGTGACCTTTTTGTAAGGACTTTTTTAAAAACTTTTGAGTGACCGAAAAGGTGTTCTCTGTGGGTAAGCAAAAGAATCTTGCGCTATCCGTGCTCTTGGAACTTCCGAAACAAGATGTATCGCCCATAGACCTGTATGTTAAAAGCCACCTTCAAAAGAATGTGGTTGCCTGGAGCGCGGCTCGCGTTGGGCAAGATGTTAGCAATTTAAAGGAAGGTAGAAAAGTACCTTTGTAAGACCACTTCATTAGTTGGTAGTTCTCAACCTCTCACAATTTTTAAAAGATTATTGACTGATCATGAATACTGCTTACTAAGCAGGGCGATTTGTGTGGAAAAACTGAAAGATAATATTCGGCTTCCGGACCCTGCATATTAGCTTCCAGTGCAGCAACATGACTAAGAAAGTTGCTGTAGATGATGAACTATCATAAAAAAATAACGAAACCATTTTGGGGTTCAGCGGTAGCAGCTGGGAACTGGGATTTTGTTACTGTCCACACTTGGCGCGACCGACCTGTAATACAATCCATAACGGCAGTTGTTAAAGCAATTATTGTCGTATACTGGATGTGAACAGGACATAATTCACATTAATTTCGTCAAAATTGAGTACTGCAAAGTACTTCAAAACATGCGATTCTGGTTCCCGGTATTGCAAAGGTGTATCCTATGGAATTTCAGTTATATTTATTTATAGAACTCCTGTTTTTACAATTTTATACGCGGAAAAAAGTTTTTGTGGAACTTATCTGATTTCCAAAACCGCAAATTTCAGCATAAACTTTGAAGTACAATACTGTACTAATGGTATTAAAGTCAGTTCAGTCAGACAGTTCAGTACTTAACCGTCCACAAATACAAGTGCCTACAGAAACAGAAACAGCCGCAGGATAAATTTTTGAGTTAGTACTGTACTTACTGTGCACTGTTGTGTATGATGTGTTACGTACGTACAGAACTGACCCTGGTGAGAAGGAAATCAAGGAACTGCCCCGCTCCAAGTGGTTCAGTGGAAATTTTGTGAGCGCCCACAAAAATTATTAAAAGTACGTCCTATTATAAACCAGTAAATTAAACGCTAGCGTTTGATTTACTGGTTCATAATAGTAAGTACTTTTAATAATTTAAATATGTACTGCTCGAAGGTGCTACCGTTTGTACGTATAACGTTTTAGAACCTGCCCAGTACTATTACAGTACTTACCATTATTATTTTATTTAAGCCGATGATGATGTACGCACATACAGTACGACCCTGCACTCGTACTGACATCATTGATGGCTTCGTCATACAGTACTCGTACAGTACTAGACTAGTAAATCGAGGGCACTCCAAATACACCAAATATACAAATAAACTGCGTACCCGCGATTTAATATCGATGCCAGCGTGGATTCCGATTGTACAACAATTACGAAATAAATAAGCCGCAAGGCCTATCTCTTCGTTTCACGGCTCATTCGTTCATATTCAATCTTCGAAAGGTTTTGATCAAAACGTAATCGCAGACAAACAATATTTATACACTGTTTGGAAGTTGTTGAATAAATATTTCGGGATAGTCTAGCGCTAATGCGGTGACTTTTTTAAGCGCGCTTGTTTTATCCCAGCAGCAGCAGACGCGTCGGGAGTAAGTATACTGCGGCGTCTGCAGTAAATCCAACAGAAGTGTATCGCGGCTGCATCCATCGACCAAACGCCGTCATGTTATCTGCCGCTGATGAGTAATTTTAGTTTTTGGCAACAATGCATGCACCACGGAGCCTATACTGTCGAGCCAATGCGCTGGCGCTGCGCTTACGAACGCAGCCTGGACAGTGGAATTTGGAAAGAAATCTGCACTGTTTCGCCCGTGGCCGATCCTTCGAAGGCCGATTTCAGTGGCATCCTAAACACGTTACTTTAATACAGTACGGCAAAGAATTCCCATCCGGAATAGTGTTGCGTTCATCATCCACCAATGCCACCGAGGACATCCCCAAGGATAACACGATTAAAGTGGATATCTCGCAGCTGAGTAACTCGGGAAATGTAGACGAGGTAAAAGTCGTCTTGTTTAAAGAGCGGGTGTAAATGAAATTGTCGAGGCTGATCGCGCAGATATTCGCAGTTTTTTTTTCGCAGTGATCGCGCAGATATTCGCAGTTTTTTAAACCGGTGCTCCAGAGTGGTTATATGTATATGCGATACTAGCGCAGATTTTTCAATAGAATATGCTGTATTTTATGTTTCAGCGTTTGCGAACTTATTAAATAGTGGATAAATTGCACTTGTACTCGTAAATCGAATAAACACTACGACTGTACATTTCAAGTGCGTTGTTATATTTTTCATGTTAAGTATTTGTGGTTTAAGAGTATAGTCAATTCAGTGAAATATCAGCATTTAAATTTCAGAATGCTCAGCATGAGCATGAAACTCTTTCGTTTTATATATTTATCGTATGTATAAATGCTCGTTTCACAAATGTGGCTGATTTCTGAGATTATTAACTGCACGTATTTGCTATGATTTAATTTCCGCCGTTATTCATGTCGGTCGTAATTTTCAAAAATAATCATTTACTTCGGTTAATGCTTAGTGCTCCTCTGTTTATGGTCAGCCAGTCACGAATCTCTTTGCGCTCCAGAGAACAAATAAGCTTTTGACTATGATTAGCAGCATTATTTATGGATCATGGATTCATGCGCTGCATCTCTGTAACCGCAGTAGCGACGGTCTGCAGACAGGTCGGGAGTGCTGCCCTAGCCCAGCCGGAAACGAAATGTTCATCTGGGCTGATCTTTTTTATTGACATTATGCAGGTAACTGATCAGCTGCGCCAGCTGAATCACATCCGGGCACTGGTGTCCCAGCTTTATTTGGCCCTGCATGTGCCCGATACGTACAAAAATGAAATGGAGAACATGCAGCGCCAGCTGGATCAAATTCAAAGCGAATTAAGGCCGCTGGAGGAGGTGAATATGGACACGCGCTCTAATTACTTACGTAGCTTCTAGCGTGATAACAGCGGTTAATCGTCACAACATTTGGATTATTTATCGTGTTTTGCCATTTGCGCTGAATATAAAACCTTTGCCAAGTGGAAGATAATTTGAATTGTGCAACGTAATCTTTTATTAGTGTGTAAAAGTTAAGGCGATTAAATTTCGAATTCACCAAATTTTTTATATATTGCATGCATAAAATGTAAATGCGCTTTTAAACGAATTTTTCGAAAATCTTATTCGCGATTGCCGCGAAATTGATTTTTCGGTGAATTCTTGTCGAATACTTGTTTACAACAGTTTTAGTTACACTTCCATTGAACTTTTTCTTGAAAGTCGCATTGTTGCAGAAAAAAGTGGAATTATTGCTGCGGGCGGAAAGGCGCAGCAAAATCTTGGCATGGTCCGGGCTGGGATTCATGGGAATGCAATTTGGATTCCTCGCCAGGCTGACATGGTGGGAGTATTCGTGGGACATCATCGAGCCCAGTACGTCATGCAAAATTTATCGTGCTGTACTCCCTTTTCGTTCGGTTTAGCATTAATGATTCTTTATTATTTTACAGTAACCTACTTTGTGACATATGGAACGGCAATGTGCCTATACGCGTACTACCTCGTAACTCGACAGGTAAGCGCTACAATGGCAAAACGTGGCGGCAATAACCTGATCGCCGGCATGATAATAATTGCGGTTTTACGCTTCGTGCTTTTTATGAACATTTACAATCGCAAATCGAAATGTCGTGTTGTTCGTGTGCATTAGTCTCACCGAGCATACATGTACCTTAGTCTGTTCGATCAGTTTAATTGTTCGTACCGTCGTACTGAAAAACTGAATCACACCTATCGTTAATTCAATACGAGTATTTAAGTCTGTATTGATTTTCAATAAGTTTATGGTTATAAAACGTTTCAGGAATTTAAAGTACACACAGCTTACCCTTGAGGATATGTTTTTTTCTGCTTCGGTGATTTGCTGAGCCTCTACGCTAATTGTATTCCCAAATTGAGTGCAATTTTTTGCTTTTGTAATGCCAAAAAATGTCAAAAAGATGTTCATACTTGAATGTTCTTTGACTTCTGACGTCAGGATAGCTACTTGCAAAAACATGCATTCGGATTGTTTAACACTTAATTAAGTAGAGCTCTGGGATGTGGTATTTCAAGGTTATGTCGTAACACTTATGCGCATCTTGATGATCCCAAGTTTTAACTAAGAGTACATCTAGAACTTCGTACGGGCACGCTGCCAAATGTGTACTGATCTTTCAAAAGCGGTATACATTTCTCTTTAATTGACCGAACGTTCGGCTGTTGCTTTTGCGTACAAGTAGCATAATCTTTATTTGGGGATCCGTCATTTCGCAGATAATTAGTGCCGGCTCCGTTCGGCTTATTGCAAAGCGATAAGCGAAACTACTGTTGTTTTAAAGTCTTTTTATGACGCAATGGTTGAAGCCATTAATCTAGTAAATGAATTTTGTTTCGCTGTTAGAGATATTTTATTTGGATATAAAACGCCGGGCGAAGTGATGTTACTAACAATATGAGAAACAATTATTAAGCAGCGCTTGTTATTGATACGTTGCTTTTACGCAGCCAGTCTTTTTAATTGGAAGCCGGTGAGGCGAGCAAATTAACATGGCTTCCCTATGCAAATTAGAGACTTGTACAGTATACTCGATGCATCCTATCTGATAGAGCAGATCATTAACACAATAACACATGAAATGCTGATGCAGGATTACAACTTCCCGGCCGTGGCCGACCGCTGGACCGCGTTGGCTTTCCACAAGAATGTACGCCGCGCCAAATGGGAAATGAATCGCTACGTTGACTTACGCGATAAACTGCGAAAAGTGCAGAATGAACTGGAAAAAATGAGCATGCTGGCGCCCCATACACCGTATAAACCGCCAACATCCGCGGCGGATGTGATCCATAGCAAAGAGCAGGAGAATGCGGCATAAAGAATCCCAGACACCACAGCAGTGGCGCCTGCTGCGCAGTGATTATTCGTCCATGACGTACGGTGCAGCGAAAGTGTTTTTGATTTTTCTACTCCCATGGTGAATGTATGTTCTTTCTTCTGTGTTTGTTAGCATGTAAAAAATTGTATTGCAGCTGGGTAAGCTCTGCTTGTTCGAGTAGCGCATTTTGATCGCCTTTTTAATCGTGCACCCTTGTTGATTTTTGTTATACGTCGGTGTGTGTAAGTGATATTTTCGGATGACGGCGTTTTCTGTCAGTTTCAACTATCGGTGGTCTCACATTCCGCGCTGGTATTTAATTTTGTAGGAGAGTTTAAAAGGTGTTAAATATAATTGTGGTTTGTAATGTGGTAGCGTAAAGTCGCATGCAGCTTTTCCTTTGCCACATAAATTAATTGTGGAAGTTTTTGCGCCAGGAATGGTTATTCTGATAAAACGGATGAATGAGCTGTATGATTAAATTTGGCACAGGGCAAATGATTAACGAGGGGCTATAACAACATTTCCCAACAGAAGCTTATGACGAACGCTGATTATAAATTACTAGTAAAAATTGGAAAGTTACTGCGCATCACCCATTCCTGATTAGAAGATTTTGTGCACACGCCGCTTATAATAAATCCGGACAACAAAATTGAAAAAATTCACATAAAACACATTGAAAAAGTTCTTCTTTTGTTAATGAAAGAATAAATAAATGCAGTATATCGCATCGTTTAGTTTGTTCACAAGAAACAAATACTTCTACAGAAAACAAAATGCTTTTTTACCAAGCCGACAAAAGTAGCCGTCGGACTGTGCGGTAATTCAAGGATAAAGTGGATAGTCAAAAGACTCAAAACTGCTGAGTCATCATCACTTGTTTACTTTATCTTAACAGTCAGCTGTTTGTTCTGGCAGTACAAACAGTATCCAAATGGAAAATCGTCCTTATCGCCCTATCAGCATCGTATCTTTTAGGCAAAAAGTACAAGAATTATTTGGCTTCATACGAACTGCTTTTGTGTTGGATCATTTTCCCTATAAGTCATATCGTTGTCCAAACAAACCCCTCTTACCACACCGACCATATGAATAATTGATTTTGAAATTGAATTCCCTAATCCTCGCTGGCGTGGGCTTTTTCTTTGCGGTGTAATGTTTAACTGGATTGCCAGGATATCGACTGGCATTGGGATTGTCGCCGTCTTACTCGCTTATTTATCCTTTCATCATCAAGTCGATCCACCAATATATGCACATACGGAAATGGATGCGCTTCTGCAGAATTTTCGACAGTTGAATCGCAGCTGTTTTATTGTGGGCGCTAGCGGCGAAAGTGGCAAGGCGCTGCTCAAGGAGGTCGTCAGACTGAAACCCTTCGCGCGGATTGTTCTCATTAGCCGACGTAAACTGGAATACGAAGATGAGGAGCTGAAAAAGCTCGTAAGTTATACCATATTGCTGTCTGTTTTGGGAAACCGGAAAAATGGGAGCGCTGCATTTGCAGTGTGCAAAATATTCTAGCATCTCTCGGGAAAATGGCTTGCGATTTGGAGTGCATTAATAATGGTTGTACCGTTGTACAAATAGATTAACATACTTAACGAAAAATTGTCTGGATGTACATCAACTGTGTTTTGCATTTGCATTCTAGGAGCAGCGCGTAATCGATTTCGATAAAATCGACGAACTGCATCAGAATGATTTTCAAGGATTCGACGTGGGTTATAGTTGTCTGGGAACTACGCGAGGCAAAGCCGGAAAGGTACTGTAGTATTTTTGCCGTTGAGGTTTCTGAATGGAAAATAACTGCAATTGCTATTTTGTGCTTTTTTGTAGGAAGGCTTCATCAAAATCGAGCATGATTATACTTTAAGCGTTGCCAAAGCAGCCAAAGCAGGCGGTACTAAGCATTTCCAGCTGGTTTCATCCAGAGGCGTCGATGAAAATAGCTTTTTTCTCTACTATCAAGTGAAGGTGAGGAAAATAAATTTATTGCTTCTCTATGAGCAAATTATGAGGGTTTAATTTTTGCTGATTTGCTTATTCGCTGATATTCGAATGTAGGAGATTAACAATTTTGTTGACAGATTAGTAACTGATTTTGCCGTTTTTTCATTCATGTGACTGATTTACAAAAGGATTTTTTATATGGCAACTGATTTACAAAGGATTTCTTCTAATTGGATAAATTGTTATGCAAAAATCAGGCTGACGCTGAAATTCAAATGGAAATTTAGTTAGCTTTACCTGAGTGTATTGTCTGTTGGTCGATTAAATTTATGTGTAATTTAAATAATTTTATGCTGCTTCAGCCTTCGGTCCTAAATATTGCTTTAGTTTTACAGTGATTACTTTTTTCCGTATTTTACAGGGACAGACTGATCGCGAAGTATGCGAGCTCGGTTTTGAACGTGTTAGCATTTATCGTCCAGCGTAAGTCCATGTCTTTGGCCAAAGTATCACAGGTAGCCAGGTACTGGTCTAAACATTTAGCTTTTGTTTTGGCCTTTGAAGGGTTTTATTGGTTGACCGGGTGGAGAGGCGTCCTTTGGAGAAAGTGGTAAGTACAGATGCTTCATGGGAAAGGAGAACGGTTGTACGCAGATGCATGTAGTACGAGTACATACTCATACAGTACTCGTTTTAATGCCCACACGGCTTGTTGATTCCCGATAACGTTGTTGTTTGGTCGACAACAGCGTATTCTTCAAGCCGGCGCAATTCTTGGGAGCTTACTTCATTTCTGTCGTCTTTAACTCTTTCAGGCACAAGCCTTATTGAAACCAGTGGCATACATTGCTCCCACTTTCATATCCACTCCGATTGACATTTTGGCCAAAGCGATGATTTTGAACACAATCAACAACGGACCGCCTGGGGCACAAATTGTAGACAATAAAGAAATTCATCAGTTGGGCAATTCTTTAACAGTCTAATTCCTTTAATAAGTATTAACAATACGTGGTACGTACTTGCATGGTCCACACTGACGCCGAGATTCTTGAATTTACCGGATAATTGTTCACAACTGCATAGTTTATAAGTCAAGCAGTTGTTTATCAAAATAAGGTACCGTATCAGTACTATAAATATTTAAATCTATTAATTTTTATTCGAGCAGTCTCCTGAATTGCATGACAGAACATGTTTTAGGATTGATGTTGTTTTTTAGGATATACACAATTCAAAATTTAATTTTCAATTTTCATACAAGATTTTCAGATAAATTACATGTTCATTGAGAAGCGACAGATATATGCTCTATACTGCATTAAACAATATAACCAGAACATAATAAACAACTGAACAAACTTTTCATAAATTATCTGGGTGGGCTCTTTGGTTTGGGGACTTTGGAAAGCAAAACTGGGATCTCTTTCTTCTCATCAAAACTCTTCCACAATTCGTACAAATTCATGATGTGTCGCACGACTTCCTGTATCTGTAAGAATACACAATCTGCAGTTTTAACAATAGTATGAAATGGATCAACGTTTTAAAAAGTTGAGTACCTGCTTATTGCAGTTTCGACACTACTGTAGTCATTTTACAAAAGTGTTGCATATAAGTTGCCAACAAACTGGCTATTATTGTCTATAAAATTTATCTTATGACAGCTAACATAAGTACTTACTAGAACGTATTACGGATAACAGTTACACGGAAAGGTAATTCAGAGAATGCTAAATCCCAGAATAATATCCGGTCATGAAATTCACCTTGTCAACGTCCACCGCCAATTCAGCGAACCACTGCTTGAAATCCTTTTGTAAAGTTATACAGGCAATGCTAATGCAACCTGCAGCGAAGAACAAATATCTAATGTATATTTAGGAGAGAGTTTGGAAAATCTGCCGAGTGATACTAGTTTTTTCCCCATATTACAACACAAAATCCAAGACTCAAATGAATTCGTACAACTAGGTAAAGATTTCTTCCCAGTTACTTACCTAAAGCAATAAGGTACGGCGGATACAAAAGGCAGAGATCAGTACGCAGTGTATCATTGACGGTTTTCCATGCCAGATTGAAGATGGAATCCTGCAATGCCGGATCTTTCTTATCCATGCTGGCGCCCAGATCTTGGCAGAACTGCGCCAAGGGACGGTATGGATGAAACACAATCAAACAGCAATCCATCATCTCCAACAAGTAGAATTCACATTCGAAAATATTATTAATGCGATAGGGGAATTCTTGTGTGAAAGCATATCCGAATTTATTTTTCACTGAAAAAAACACAAATGTCTCGCGAAAAACAGCGAAGATTGTAAACCATATATATTTGGAAAAAAATACTCAGCAAGGCAGAAATTATCCAGACAACTTACCAATTCCTTGGCAAACATTAACGAATCGCGAATTACTTATCACTCCAAATTCCTAAAAAATAACGGGAAAATGAGCGGATAAATGATATGGTAGTTTCAGACTCCTCACTTCAACTTTCGAGGCTAAATATAAACACGTCGGCGCCAAAAGTAATGGATCAATCGTTTTTAGCGAATTCCTGCAAGCCGAATCCAAATGAAGATTAATACAAGAAATAATGCACCCTAGCTTATGCTTTAATACCTAACGTAGAATCTTCGGAAATACACAGTTGCAGTTGCGATAACTTGCTGCTTGATTTTGAGCTGTTCGCCGATGGCTTGGATGACTAAAAATAAGTACCAAAATAGTAGGATGCACGGAGCAAGAGAGGAAATAAAGAGTACCATTGGCGTAAAAGATCATGATTTTCTGGTATTCATCTTCGGACAGAGTCTGGTAGTCCACTTGGCGTTCGCGGATTAGATCCTGTCGATCGAACAGCCATTGCTGACTGAAACCAGCGTCAATGAACAAAAACGCATACGTTGTACTTTACTGAAGGGGCGCTGCATGGCGCTACCCCGCCGCATGATAAAAACTCTCATTTGCTACAAAGCACAGATACTTACAAATGAGAGCTCAGCCAAAAGTTTCCCGCCATGTTGGAATAATTTCGCTGTCGGGTAAACAGTCCGTGAACGCGCTCTAGTACAGTACCACGTGCTATTCGGGATGCTCGAGCTTCGGAAATAGCTTTCTGGAATTTGCTGGTATGATCGTAAGAAGGGAAATTTATCGGAAAATTTATCGTCAAAACTGAATTCTTTTAAGTTATAAGTTATTAATTCATCGTTTAAAAATTGTTAAATTCAAACAAAATGAAACGTCCAGCCTCGGTATGTACTTTTGTCGTAAACACAGAGTCCAAACTCCAAACTTCCATTGAAGGCGGTTACGTGGGCACAATGGGCAGTATTGTTACAAATGTTACTGTACAAAAATACTTTTATCTTTTAAGTTTTAGACATTTTCATGCAGCAGTATTAAATTAATAAACTTCGAAATCGGATTAGTACAAGTAACAATCACAATTTACACAAACAAGTACTGTTAATTTTACACTGGATTAATGCTGCAGCTTTCTTCAACTAAAGCTGTTTCCTGTCTGCATAAAATCCGGAGCATTTTTAGTAGTCGCAAGTCCATAAATGAAACTCTATAAATATACCCGGCTCATTTTTTTGTACTTTCTTGTGCACTCTCACTCCTTCCGTTTAAGAAAATCACTTTAGACCTTCTTGTTACTCTTACAAGATGTTCGCGAATATACTGTGATAAGTATCAACGGTTAGCATACTCCATTATGTACAATGGGCTATGGTGAAAAATGTGCAGCAAATGTAGCCTTTCAACTTTAACAACTGAATTTTGTGATCTCTTTTTGTTAAATTGCAGTTAGTTTGTTTTACACTCCACGCATCATCCACAGTCTTTCGTGATGATGATTTTTCTAACAGTAATAAGCGATTATTATCAAGGCACGATGACCCTTCACCGTTTCATACTGTTACCGGACGATACAAAAATAGAAACAGCGCAACACAAGCGCTTGTTACATTCAGCGGCAACAGGAGCAACCGACAAAATAAAAGTAATTTGTAAAACACAATAATCTCCGCACAGCAGACTGCATAAAATTAAATTACAAACTCAGTGAAAGACTAGCACAGCAAACCAGAGGGCAACTTAAAATGTGTGACAGTTAACAGAAATAAAATTCAGTAGTTCACACGCTGGAAAACAGAAAATTAGTGACCAAAGAGAAGATTCACACCGTTAATACTGGAAACGCAGCACAAAAACGGACGGAATGCCACATCTATTGCTGCAGCCAGTTCCGTAGCACTCTATGGAAAAATGCACAGTTTGGCTGAGAAGTTGATGAAGGTGTGAAAATCTTGAAATCGCACTTACGGTTAAATAAAAGTATTTTGCCAGGCTCTATTACAAGGAGACCAAAATCATGGCAGCTGCTTCCAAAAATCATTCAAAATAATACAAATCAAAGGGCAAGCGCAAATGCAGTCATTCTGTGTAGTCCCAGCGATGTTCTTGCCAGCGCGCCGGAAATGGCAACGGCCAACTAAAATGTTTAGGGAGACGCCCTTCCGGAACATTTGCCTCAAAATACTGCAGTATTCGAAACCACCATACTCGCGACAAAAAGTTTGTAGAACCAGATTTCTGGAAAAAAATGTCCTGAAGTAACATCGCCACATAACGACCAAGTGGTTCACCTTTACCTTCAATTCGACGTGGCAGATGATTGTATGATACATCCAGAATGTCCTGGTAGTTATGTAATAAGCCAAAATAATGTCGACAGTGTAGTGACCGCGAGAAATGGATACCATCACAATTCCGGTCATGGCCATCAAATACACTCCCACCATGAGGGGCAAAAATTTGCGAGGAGCATCTATAAGAGGGCATCGAACTTTTAAATAACGGGAACCACACTAACGGGAAACACTTCATACTTGCGGCTAACATGATATGTAGTACAGAGTTTCGCTGAGGACAGCTTTGCAGACGGAACAAGAAGACGTTACGAAAAACATCATGAAAAAATGTTTTCAGTTACCAAGCGAATTCCTGGTATCTACCACTGGAAGAACTTTACAGAAAAAACCTTATGTTTAAAAAAAATATACATACGTGTGCATACGCATGTGCGTAAGATTTCTTACAATACTGTAATATTACAGTACTTTGTAACATCGGTGCTGCACCGGCGTATGTATGCCGACCATCTAATTGTACGCGTCATTTTGTTGCGATTTGTTTAAATTACATGTTTTAAAAATCCGAATCAATTACCGCGTTGCCAGTTCGAATAATGCGATTATTACTGTTTAAAGCGATTTTGCTTTGCGTACATTCTGTGACGACCAGTGCGGAGAGGACCAAGACGCATGTGTGCCCACTGTAGATGTAATCTCCACAGTAGATATGTCGCCCATTGACAGACAATCCCAATCCGCTAAGTAGCATGCCAATCCTTTCCAAAATTACTAGTACGGATGTATGGTTCATCTGCACGGAAGTAAATCATCATGATTAGTGCCTTCCAGCAATGCTTATGTTGGTCGTTATCTCTAACCTTTGGCGAGCAGTAATAATCGGTATTAGCAACCGGAAGGGCCGTCACCAGCATTGTAACACTCCGACCCAAGTACAGCAGCCCCACTATCATAAACAGTCGTCGATAAACGATCCATCTGCAAAAAAAAAATCAAAATACGAAAACGAAGCCTGTGCTCCAAACGTTTAAAACGTTTTAGAAGAAAAACAAATTTCTGCCTCATCTTTTTCGCATCCCAACAGTACAAAGCTACCAATGCTCAATGGCTCTCAATTTCAACAATTTTGCAACATGCCAGCAAAGCGCTTCAGGCAAAATAGGCTTTTTAGCGGCAAACCATATAACTTCATTTAAAGAATTCCGTTATTAGTGCCGAAATACAGCTGCGAAACCAGGAAAACTCAACCTGTACCTGTATCGGTGAAAAATCATCAAAAATATGGCCGTCCACATGGAAGCAATCAGCAAATACTCCGATATCGGCAGTCCGAGATCCCACTGCGGCACCCAGTCGAAGACGAGATCCGGTAAGGGCGGCACATCGGGCAGTCGATCATGGACGATGGCCAGCGCCGTCGTCGTGCACACCATACAGCAGGCCATAAAAAGGAAGGCGATCAGCGTCTTCAGGCGTTCATCCACAAACTTTACTTCAAACGGCCCATCGCCGCCGTCCGCCAGCGGGAGTGGCGACGCTGTGCCCCCCTCCGCTAACGGCGAGGGGGGCGGCGTCTCCACGTTGATGCGGGTTTCCGTGGGGACCCCCGCATCATGACGCACATCCACTGACTGAATATTGTCCAGGGAGGAGTAGCCGTTGCCCGGATGGCGTAGGAGCGGTCGGAATTCCCCGCCCGTCGGAGGTGGAACATTGACGGGGCTTGGCGAGGTGGAGATGTCGTTGGGCCCATCGCCATCGGGCGCCGTCAGCAGACCGGACTGCATTCGGCCTGGCAGGTGCTTCTTCAGCTGACGAATGCGCTCCCGAATGGATATCGTTGTAAACAGGAATAGGATTAACATATATTAATATGTCAGGGGAGCTGGCGTCATGTGCGCGCTGGTGGTCGTGCTTTTAATACTATGTCGGTTCCTTGGCCAGTACAGAGGTCCCTCGATACAGTGCATTTATCATATCACAGCTGATAGTCGTACATCTTCCCTGCATCGATAAGATATACTTCTATCGAGATATCGCTAAAACACTAAACTTCAGAATTTATAACAGTCCGCATCGTAGAGCACGAATTTTTAATGGGAATGTCAGACGAACAGTAGTCGATTGTGTGTCTGTCGGAAATAGAAAAGATCAATAAACACAGCGAAGTCCATTGTCAACAGATTGTCCAACCGCAGCGGGAGCGGTGCAGAGAACGGATTTCCGCCGCAGTACAGATTAGATGCTTTGATAATAATTGATTAAATTTAACCATAATGGCTTTTACGTGTACTGCAGACTCTGTGACTTCCAAACAATTAAAAATTCAAAACACAGTGTTGTGTATAATTCACAAAATTTATTTTTCCAAAACGCACAGGAACCCATTGATAAAAAATCAATACATATGCGGACATGTCGCTCACGCAAAGGTTATCGGCGTAAAGATGTTTACCAAAATGTAATTATCCTTAATAAACCAAGACATTGCATATTATATAAATCAGATCCAAAACTTGTAACACCGTAGTTTAAACGTGAGCCCAAAAAAGAAATTTGCAGATTTTAGTTTTCCGTACATGATCATAACGGCGCGCGTACTGAAGTCATCAGTCAACGACAAACCACGAAGATGCAGTTTATATACGAGAAGGGCACAAAACCAGAACTGGGAGTATGAAGTACGCTCAAGGGGAATACAGCTTTGAATGACACTTGTTTGTTACAGGTAGATGCTAGGATACGGGATGTCGCATCAACATCCATCCAGTCAGGCATCTTCTGCACTTTATGAAATCTTCAGAATCCACTTATCGGAATACCGCTCCCTTACAATCAGCTTTCAGCCGTACCGCAATGTGTAATATCACGACAGCTTAACTAGAATTTCCGATGCGCAGTCCTCAAAACTCGCCAAGAGCAAACAATTTCGGATTACAATATGCGTAAAGAAAATTAAATCAATACCAGCTCACACGCACTATTAGCTGACATCCGATTTTCTGTGAGTGAGATAGGGGATCAACATTGGGACGAGCTGTAAACTGCGTAGGTAGTCTCATCACAAACCCACCCTACAACATTATATGCCTGTGATTATATTAAAGCACTGTGATCCAAATTAATTAATAAGTCACTTTTTCTGTTTTACTTGACTCATCCATGACATTAAAATACAATACGTCAAGCTGATACAGTAATATTCTGAACAAACAAAAAAAATCACGGAACAATGTCCAGTACATAAAAACAAAAAGAAAATTAAAAATACCCTTTTACACCGAACATATACTCAAACGGCAAAATAAATCTTTCCAAAGAAAACATTCAAATCAACGCCACCAGACAACGATGGCACATCGAAACCCTGTTAAAAATCTGTTGAACCATCTGAATCAAAACATTACAAACGGAGACCATAGGATATTTATCGACAGACACAGCTGACTTTCCGGGTATAACATTTACATGCACTTGCTGGATTTTGGAAGGCGATTACGGAAAACCTTTCTTTTAAGGACAAAAACACATTCCATGGGGAAATACACTTGTTATTGTCGTACTCCGCAATAAATTGTTGCAAACGTATTTACACGTCCCGATACGCAGCCAAGGTGTTTTCCAGATTTTTGACGATCTGCAAGAATAATTCTTAAGCCTAATAATGCGTATACAGCCTACTATGCATAACACCGTACAGTGACTTGCATACCTGAGAATAGAAGTTAATTTGCTGTTGCAGATAATGTTCCATCATATTTTTGAAGCTGTCAGTTCGTGCTTTATGGAAATTGTTAATTTCGGCCATTACGGAATACGATACAACATCTGCACGGGATCTCAACGCATTCAGTTCACCGGCTGGTAATTTACCGGCATCACCCAGTTTTTCCGAATCTTTTAGCTTCTGTGCAGAACTCTGCAGATAGCATTATAATTTCGTAGTGGTAAAATAATCTCCATAACGAGCTTAATTATTTGACAATGTTATTAATTACTCATCGTTGATGCTTCATATTTATCGGAAACAAAATGTTACACACCTTTTGCACATAAAGTATTTCCGGGAAACTTGCCAGTAAGCCACGATAGATATGCAACCTATAAACACACCGTACCGGCTAAGCAGACTATTACACGCAAGGAGCAACTGAACGTTGCAGAACGTACGTGTCTAACATCGGATCAACATCATGCCGCGGCTACAAAAAACAAAAGATGCTTTCAATAATGGTAGCAGAACGAGTAGTATTGCTACTGTGATTAATTTCGTGTTAGATACATGTAATACTTTCATATATTATCATCAGTACACCTGTTTTGCTGCGTTAGATAACAGTGATACTAAAGTTTGGCAGTATATCTATTATCTAACCTGTTCCTCGAACATTTTGCCAATATTTTCGTATGTATCTCCCGTCTTTTTTATTGCCTCTGTCAGTCCCGCAGAAACTGTAAAAATTTATACTGTAGCAGATCAAAGATGATAGTTCTTATGCAGATTTCATTAATATGCCACGACAACTAATAGCCAACAGTTGAACTCACATTTGCTAGGATCCTGTTCAAACGCTTGTCCCAGTGTCCGGAAGGCCTGACCCATTTTTTCGTATTCGCGTTTGAAAGCTACCAAGAACGAATTATGTTAAAATTAATAATAAAAACGAAAAAACTTTATACTATGTTAAACAGCAAACTTACGCCCCATATGACGTTTGGCATTATCCGCGGCTGAGGAATGCAGGAAGCGTACACTGTTATCCATGGCTTTTGCAAAAGCACCAAACGAATTCATATCTGCGTCACTTAAAAAACAATGATATAAGGCATATCACAAATGAAACACTCAAACAATGGCGTAAGTGTGCACACTGCACACAAAGAAGTACGAGTCGTCGTACTAATGCAAAACTTAATGCAGAAATGTTACTTCTGTATGTGAATAATCTGATAAACAGCGATTAACGAACGAAACCAAAACACATAGTTTAACATATTTTAGCTACAGCTACAGTTAAACATGCGCATAAAAGTAATTTAATACTAACAGGTCATTGGTAATCGGTTTGGCAGGGGTCCTTATTGAAAGAAGGAATGCACCACCCACTAATTCATCCTTTTCAGCTTGCCGCTTGCCCACCTTCCAGCGCTGCCAAGATAAAAATGCCCCGATAAAAGTGCTACGATACGAAAATGCTCCCAGAGCCATTTCAAAAATTTATACTGTACATTAAAAAGACATAATGCGACAATTAAACATACTGATCACCTTTTCGTCGGTACATTCCAAAAAATGCCTCCAAACATCGCACTGCGACAAAACAGGGTGTGTGCACAAATGATTCACCCAGAGCTGCAGTTGGGCCATCCTGTGTTCGATGAAGTCGTCTTCGTAACGTCCTGCAACATTAAAAAAAACAGTGGTTATGAGATATTTGAAAAATGCTTATGGATAATTAATTAATTTTACTCATTCCAACATTAAGCTTCAAAAGAGAGCTATAATGTGGTGCCAACTTACGGCCGCTGTTGGAAATTCTTACCGGTGACTTGTTTATCCGGCAATGGTGGGATTGGAATAAGAACAAACTTTTCCGTAAGGCGCTCATGAAGCCAATCAAAATGTTTGTAGCGTCTAGCCACTTGGACATTGGTATACTACAGCGAAAATTTCGATTTCATTGATACGGAATAATTCAAACAAGAAGTGTTAAAATGATTACGGTAATTTACACTATTCGAATGCATATGTACATACCGACGGTGTCAGCTGATAAGCAATATAAGATTTCAGTCCCTTTAATTTGGACTCCTTTTTTGGAGAAAACACCTCGCAAGTATACGGTCTGCCATTTGTTCCCCACGTTGGTCCCCACTGTGTATCCTATTCAGAAAACAAATTTTCATGCACCACTTGAACGTATCGTATATTAATCATAACAAACAATTTCCGTGTTTGACAGATTTTCAGCTTATGACCAACTAGTGCATTAACAGAATGTAGCTAAAGTTTTAGTGCACAGGTCTAGATATTATAACTTTTTATAAAAGATCAGATTAGGCATAAAAAAGCAAGAAAAAAAGGGAGCAGTGAGTCTCGTAACACTTACGGTAATCGATACGACTGATCCATCCGGGACGCTTGCTTTTAATTTTCCAAGAAGATAATTTTCCGCTCCCGATTTAACAAATACAGAAAAGCGATTAAGGTTTCCTTTGACAGAAGCTTGTGCAGCAAAAGCCGGATTATTAACGGCCGTGGAAGACGAATAAGTTGGCTCAAGCTGGCGTTTGGCGGCACCGGCGCCTCCTGTGGCGGAAGTCGCACGGGATCCCTCCTGAAAATTCTCGTTAGCATACCGCCTCCCCCGCTTCAAAGCAGAAAAGGAAACTCAGAGGATAAAGCACAACAAAGGGAAATAAAATGCGTACAAATTGATGCAGCTACATAGCAGCCAAAGAACTGCCTCATATGTACGAGTACTGTATTAAGCAGCATAAGCGTGTCGCAAGCGGTGTGGATACAATTGTCCAATTTGCATTGTTACATGCTGAATTATATTTATTATACAAAACATGAACTCGTATTACCATTGTATGGATATGCAAAATATTTAATCTGACGGTAAATAGTGTGCTGCTTTAGGGAAAACAAAGGTCGGTCTTAATTCTTATACTTATACCTCTGCGATACAGGTATCAGAATAATTTTGTTACTAGCACATAACTGCGCAAAAACATCAACTAAAACGGTACGACACATTGTACTTAGCGGACATGCGTAGCCTATATATGACGAAATAGCTACTAAAATACAAGCCGCAGAAAAAAACTGAAAACTGCAGGCACAGTAAATCGGTTAAAAACCGTCAAGCAGAAGAGATTACGCTTGCTGGAGTGATTTTATTTCAAATTACCTGCTCCTTTTCGTCTTCGGAATCCTCATCCCATTCATCATCCCAGTCAGCCCCAGCCGGTTCCTGCTGGGGAGCGGAGGCCGCAGCAGCTGGAGCCGCAGCCGGTGCAGGTGTATCCCAGTCTGAGTAACCGGCACTGGCAGCTGCTGGCTGTGTGTAGTAAGCATTCTGAGGAACAGAGGGATACAAGTTGCTAGCAGCAGGAGCAGCAGGTTGGGCGGCTGAGTCCTGAAAAAAATTGATCTTGAATACAACCATTAACATCAGCAATTATGCAGTAAAAGCTTGATAAAACGGAAAGTTCGAACGCAGTGAATTTCTTTAACTGGACTGTGCATATGGAGAAGCCTTTTTCGTTTTCTGCATTATGAGTAGAACGAAATTCATAGTAGCTGAGTGAAAACCAACCTGGATTTCTTCGACGTACGAAGCCGGGAAGAGACCGGTTTCCCCTCTCACCGAACCTTCCCACCTGGGTCAAAGTAACATCATCACGTTATTTTTCAATTTTAAACTGGAAGGCAAAAAATTTAAATCGACAAACGCTGCTTTTACAAAAATTTATATCTAGCCAATGCAGTTTGTAATAGCAAAGAAAATATACCGGAGGTTACAGTACTGTAATCGCAATAAACGACAAGCACAGCCAATAACTTTTTGGCTTCGTATCTACAGTGGCGCATTTTTATATCTGCGAAAAACTGCACTACATACAGTACTGTATAATGTCTTTCACATGGCGCTCGCCTCTGTTTTTGAACAATATGAACACAAAAAATATGTACTTAAACAATAAACAATGCAACATTTTTGAACCATAACAATACGATAACACCGAGTGATCACATCACCGACAGAGATTGCAATTTGAATAACCGCACAAACAACGTACCAGCCTTCGCCGACATCTTTTTTCGTGACTGTAACAATTTCGTTCTCAAATATATTTAGCTCATTGGATCCGGGTTGGGCTTGGAAATCATACAGTACACGCGCCTACGGATGTGAAGAGAAAAAAAACAAATTAGACAAATGACGTATATTCACAAATCCGCAGCACGTAGCACAAATTTGCGTCATAATTGAATTTACGAACCGGCGTCGTTAGCAGTTGGGCTTGTACGCTAGTTAAACCACAAGTTGGAAAAATGTTGTCGTAGTACGGCAACTAACTTCTGATCTTCCCATTCCTATGTATGTACTTCCAGAGGGGAATACTTATGGATAATTACGCCCTAGTCACGGACAGTCACCGCAAATGCACGAGATGACGAATATTATTCCGCCTGAGACTCTAGCAATCCCTATATATTGCATGTACTGTATGTACACATAGTCACACACTACTGTATCTATCCATATGCATAGCGTGTGTGGTTGTGTGGAAATACTCGTAAGATCGATAAATCGTTCAAAAACTGCCTTAAAGGGGAGCACAGAAGAGAATATATGTTCGACGAATTAGTCTGTGATAAAACCATAATAAAACCACGGAGGAAAAACATAAAACCTTCAATTTAAACACCGTTTGCGGTGGCAGGCCATCATTCAGATGGTTAACTAGCAGAATTACGTAATATTATGTGCAGAGGGATTTGTATAATTATGTCCGCAAAAAGGTTATTGGCACGCTGCATTTGACAGCGGCATGTAGTCAGCTCAGTAAATTTCACGTTTACGACACTTCAAATGTTTTGTAAACATTGTAAGTAGCAGATGAAGTTAATGGAAACTAATTCTAAACAATTTCAGACAAATTATAACAATTGTAAGAAGCGCGGATTTGCTAATATATATTATAATCAGAATTACAAACATACTTACAAACTGCAAGCACAGAACATTGCGTTATTTTTGTGTAATGCGATCTATTTTCTTCAAATATATTTAATTTTGCACTGATAGAAATTAAGCATATCTTGTAGGTAGAAATCGTCAATGGCGCGCTTACTGGCAGATATATCTAGTATGTCGATCCCGATATTATATAAAATTTTGAGTTGCACTTGTGCACGACTGTCAAAGCAAAACCTGCAGAACTCTATCCGACTGTATGTATTGTAACTATTTATACAAATATTAATAGTATGGTTAGTTCTGTTCTTACATCACCAGGACACTAGTATTTCACAATACAAGCATACTGGAAATTTATTTACAGACCTTAGAAGCCATATAGACAATCTTGATCGTTCCAAAGTTGTAGGGTACAATTTCTCGAAAAAAACGGACTAAAACGTAGTTTCCAGGCTATATGTTGGCGTGTTTCCTGGGTTTGATCACTTTGATGAGAAGCGTATATCAATGCAGACCACAAGCACAATTTTCTTAAAACCATAAAACCATCAAGAACACACTTTCCTTATTGTCAGCATCAAACCCATTGCAGATGAGAACTCAGAACGAAGAATAATTGAAGTTTCCTCTGATTCCGTGATAAATTTGGTACCGTACACGAACACTTTTCTGCTCATCGATATCGTTATTTACTTATCGTGGCACGTTGCACGATGTCTTTCCTACATCGTCGCCGTTCATCCACTGCTGTTGATTCTCTGTGCGTGAGCGAACGGAGATGTACTACATACGCAAAAGACCGAGTTTCTTACGCCTACGTAGGTGTATATGTATACGTCGCCAGCAAATCTTTATCGGCAATTGGTCAGAACACTGATGTTTATGACACTGACCGATAACAAGCTTATTTGTTTGGTGTTGTCTATTCCGGAGATACACTTGCATAGATACTAATCTGTGAGTATTATTATTTTAGTTGCTACATTAATGCACCATAATAAAATTTTTCGTAAATTAACTAGCATGAAATTGAAAATGCAGTACTCCAGACACATTATCAAGAAAATAGTGATTGTTGCAACACCCGATGGTACTGCCATAGTGCGATTACGTACAAAATATTTACCTATAATTCCTTGTAAACTACTGCGGTAATGCAAAAATTCAACATTAAACTAATTTACAATTGTGAATTCCGCATTGATTACTTACTTGGAGAGGGCACCACTTCAACAAATACAGTTGTTAATCGTACAATGTTACGGGAATACCGCAGTACGCAGGCATGATACGATATCTTATTTTACGCTACCCAATTAACTATTTTACGCGTTTCAATAATTAGGTTGGCTTTGTTGTTTTCCGTTGTCTCGATTATTATTACTTTTCTCCTTTATTCCTGCGTGAGCTGCCCATATCGATATAAGTCAATTTTGCGGTAGAGCGAAATTTTGCCCTTCCACTTCCGGTCACTGTATTGTTAATAGAAGTATGCGTACGCAAGCTGCAAACTTCGGTAAGATGATTTCAACCTGTACCAACAATTTACTCGTATATGTATAGTAATTATGTAACCGAAATCTAGGCGAACTCGTTACACAGCTGGAGTATGGTATCTTTTTTTGGTTTTTTCTTTATCAAATGTAATGTAAGCACGCATGCGAGAGACGGAACATTTTCGGACCAACTAGTGATAATTGTTATAGTGGAATTAATACCAGGTTCGTAACAAACACCTGTTGTCCTATTTTAAACAGAAATCTGCAAATGCCCAGACCAAGTACACCAGGACAAAATGAATTCTCGCAAGCTTCTTCGCGGAAATTGCTTTATCTAGTACCTTAATCCTTAATTACTTTAGCCAAGTGTGCCTTCTGTTATGACCAGCGAAGACGCTGGAACGTTGACACGGAGCCCGTCGAAGCATTAAACCACGGACTTCCGCCCGGCAAACGGCTTTATAGTAATCGCAATCGGAGTAGTGAACGCCATTCATGTCGTCACAGATTCTAAACATGGTATGGGTGGTCGCTTTATAGCAGCTCCACTGGCAAACGGGAACGTAACCGAAATGCGAACCGGCAGCGGAGCCCATTCCCATTTGCGAGTCATACATGGGATCATAGGCAGCAGTGGCGTCGTGCGGCGAATGGGACGCCGGATTACTCGCTGATGGATTTTGACCATTGCCTTCGTTGGGAGCATTGGGATTACCGTTACCTTCGTTTTCAATCGGCTGCTGATTGCTGCTAGTCGATAACTGCTGACAAAAGGTCATTGGCTGCGGTACTAAATCTGGAAAATTAAGCTGTTTACGTTAGCTCTTGTTCAGCTCTGTCTGTCCTACAAGAAGTTTTCGAATGCCTGTCTGGTAATTTTAATTGCTTATGTGACAGTGATTTTAAATTTTTGTACATGTCGCGTTGAAAATGGTACAGAATGCGCTATGCGGCAATATAATCTATGTAAGAATTTTAGAATATGCACTTACTCGGCATCTTTGCCCGGGCGCAGATAAAATAGCACATGTTGGAATAAATTTGCTCATCGGAAGCACAAACAGGTTGCCTACATAATACAGTGGATACTGCGATGAAACGATGAAACTAATGTGTTTTGTAATCGGGAGCCGGATGCATACAAATGCTTTATATTGTTGGATTACAATACACATGCATAATATACCGCATACAATAATAATAATATACCGCATACAAACATAACGATAATAACAAAAGCCGCACTGTCGTCAAGAATTATACTTTACAGAATTATAATACTAACTTGTATAGAACCAATTGTTATTTCAAGAAGCATACTTACCAAATTTGTGGACAATAGCATCCGTTATTTTGTCCTGCAGCAAAACGATTGCCAGTAAGTAATAAACGCGAATTCACGATTACCCCATCCTTTCCATCACCGAATTTCGATATTGCTTCATAAATTTATTGACTCAGAAAACATTCTGCATGGATTTTAACTCGCTTTTAAATTTATCTTATTCCATAACTATTTTTATTATGCGCAAACTAGAAAAGTGTTTTGGGAATTCGGCCTGCTCTGACATGTGCAACTATGCAGTACGTTCTTACCTAAGACTTTACAATGGCTAGCTAAGACGCCAGTAAAGAATTTTAAGATCTTACTTAGTATATGCTTCTAAATTTTTACAACCGTAAAGGTTCGCACGAATAAATGTTATAAACCGCAGGAGATCCTGCTAATGGCAAGGAATATTCTTTAATAAACCATTAATCCCCATAAAAATATTCAACGTACTACCTACCTACTGAACAGAAAATTACAGAGTAGGCTAACGTATTTGTAAATTTAGCGAAACAATTCATTGTAGTCGGCTCAAAGCTTGAAAAATGTTTTCAGCATGACAGTAATTACTAATTTTTACAGAACACCACTACAAGGGTGATATTACCATCAGCTCTTTACTTGAAATAGAGTTAAGTACGCCGAACTTACCAAATAATAACAAAAATATTACCAACGTAGAAGGCAAGTGTTCGCACCACATCCTGTAGGCTCCTTTCTACATTTTCCACGGTCATCTTGTGGTATGCATGAAAACACAAGCACATACTATCCTTTCTATATCGGCAGCCATAAGTTCAACTCCATGTGTAAATTACAAGCGAGTAATGTTAACAGTTCACTACCGTTAACTAATCCTCTGCTTCCTCATCGGCGTTCGGCATAATTTAATATAAGATATCCACATCGGCACATACACGCGGTTCACGAAGGACGAATATGAACTAGCACTCTCACATTTCTTCCATCACTCAACTACCTTTAATCAGATAAATTTATACCACAAAATCACGCCGAGCAGACTTAAAAGAAGACGCAGCAACATGGAAGTATAACGTTACCAACTCAATTGTAGCTGTACGTGGGATAAAATCCGTACGCATTGTTTACTAGGCGCGTCCATCATCGGGTTCATTCCACATAATAACGACTGCGGCGAGATACAGTTACAAGTCAAAAAACACACGTTCTAGAGCCATCACTTTGTCGCTTGCTGAAATAACTGATTTCACCCCGAAATGAGTCGCTCATTTCTTGGTGCAATTAACCGACTGAAAACAATCACAGTTTGTCGGTGGTGAAAGTGGTATCCGGGGCTGCTTTAAGTAGTTGGATGTCATACTGGTTTGTACCGGCAAAAGGCGGGGGATTGGGAAGGTGTAGCTCTTGGCGTAGGTGGCTTAATGGTGAGTGCCATCGTTGTTCAAAATAAACGTTCAGGAGAAACTGTGATTTCCAACCGGTATCAATGGCCCACGGTAAGTATGTTGTCAGATACAGCTGGCGGTGTCTGCAAATGAAATATGTAAATATCATTCGACAGCCAGATGAGTTCGAAAAAAATCCATTTTGCTAAAGCACATACAGGTATGACCAGATTTGAAGTACTTAATTTATTATAGGAAAATCTGGAAATAAGTTTCCACATTTGTAAGTACATTTAAATTTTAAACGTCAACAAACTCGCCAATCCCACATCAAATTCATTATACAACGCGTACTGGCCACGAGTTCACTTTTACGTGATGCGGATGTAAATCTAGTAGTTAAGCATTAGTAGTTAAGCCCGCCTACTTCGTTTTGAGCCTCCAAGGTCCAAAAATTCCGGCCAAGACGCACATCGGCAATCCGAACTGAAGGGCTTCAATCCATTTGACTGTTATTTCTCCCAACATATTGGTTTTCATGCCCAGCAGCGTGTGCACCAGATCGTGAATTTCACGATATCTCTGCAGAAGAAGAAAGATTCTGTAAGAAACCGCAATAAAAAAAAACAGATAGACAACCAAGCAAAACAATAAAAGAAGTTCAATACTAGAGCTCGAACGTCCAAGGACAGCTTAAAATGAACTATAGCAAAACAACAGCGAAGACAGCGAAACAAAAAAAATTACAACGAAATTTACACAAGTTTGACCGACTGTTTTGTCCAACACAGTTTCAGATTAAAATCATACGACCCGGCAGAAAACATGTGCAAACATAAGAAACTTATTTGGTTTCTTCATAAAAAAACCAAAATCAGCTGATCACCGTCATTTACGCTATTTGCAAACATTTTTAACGACATGTCATATGCAAAACTAAAACCTACCGCTAATATTTTCTCCGGTTTGCTTACCTGCATAACATAAGCTAATTCATCGTCATCGACAAAATGCACTCGCTTCCTCGTGTCCGGACTAACACCCTGTCTAACAATTGGATCCAGATCTCAGTTTAAGCAATCACGAAAGTCTTTACGAAGGTGATTTACATTGGTTTCCAAGAAGTTCAGGTATGCTTCACCAAATGTGCCTCTTGGACATTCCTTTAGTTGTGCAAAATCGACAGTATGGGAATTAATCAAGGGACGCTCTCTGCAACGTGACAAATGCATAGTATGCATAATAATATCATGCATAAGAATCTACATATTGTTACGCAAAGAAGTATGCATAATATTAGATCTTGATAATTTTTCATACCTACTCAAGGTAAAAACTTATGCTATGGCAATTAAAATTCCCAGTGAATAGGCATGCATGCATTGGATGGCATAATAAGAAAAAGCCAAAAAGAGACATTTTAGCCTTTTCAGGGCTTACTTCAAAATTTTCCGTCCTTCAGGATGCTCTGTCATTTTTTTCCTCATATGGACAAGCGCCTGATATGCCGTCACTTCCCCGAATGTCGCGATCAATTCTAAAAAAAGACAGAAGTTCTCTGTGTAGAGACTTCTGTTCGACAAAGATAGTATGCGCTAGCTGTATTTCTCACCGTCATTCGAAGGCCTTAAAAATGATCCTAAACCAGCCCCAAAAGTAAGCAGTGTCTTTTGGAAGTACGATGTGGGAATATGGGACGCAAACAAAGGCACAGCCATGGCTTTCAGAGTTCAGAGTTCGAACAGTTTTTACATTGGTGGGAAGAAAAAAAGTCTACAAGAACATCTATCCAAATTATCAGTGACCAAACCAAACATCAGAAAACAACTTCGAATTGACTTCAAATTTTACGAGTAATTTCAAGTGAAAGTTACAGCCAAGGCTGCCAAGCATAGCTGACAAAACTCAAAAGTTGCGAAATCAACAGATAGATGCGTTATTTTCCAGCAAAGCAACCAGCGCCCATGGGTGGCTGATGTTCCCAAAAACAGCTCTCCCAGTTCAATAAAATAATATTTTATTTTTTTCAAAATTCTCATCGCAGAATTTCTTTCTTGATGATAATCATAAATTAGAGTAGTCATTATACGATATATTTCTCATTCTTCCAGGAAAGCGTCACTGCATTGTGAAACTTGACCATATTAACTCATCTACTGTTTTCTGTTATTTATATAAGACGAATACAAGTACAGTAAAATAAGTGCAGCTGAGATGTGCTCGCTATCCGCAACAAGCGAAGCCGCGGAGCTGTCCTCCGACGAATTCATCCCGGTTGTGAGAAGACGAAACCGAATACCGAAGAAAGATAATCGTGTTCTTGCTGATCGCCATCGAACTATGTTGCATGCCGTTCCTTCGCATATCTTCCACAGTAGTGAGGAATTCGTCAATAACATTCACGAACTGGACAGTTTAATTGGTCGTGCAAAGTACGTTCTCTTCGCTTACCTTTTCATAGGTAAAACTTTTAAAGTAATTAAAATTTTATGCATGTATGTTGCGTTGGGCGTTAGGACACCGGGGGTATGTAAAATGTTTCCAGGCAAAGGATCCAGAACGAGCACGGATCGTTTTTTCTGACGGATATCTCAGCAGCTTTCGCCGATGGATTTCAACGCTATCTTCAAAAAGATGGCCCGAACGAAATTGTTTGTTATGCTTTGGGAAGATTTTCTGTTCCTTCCGACTGGAGCTTTTCTTGTCGACTTCAATTGATTCTTCTCGTAGAACTCGCACAGTTTTTCAAAGTAAGTAAGTTTGAAGAAACCTAAGTATAGTGATAACACCGCATTATTATTTTATTTAGGAATTTTGGAATACGTAAAATCATATGCTTTACGATCTTGAAAAAATGTTTTTCCCTTATAATGGCCTTATTAGCCATAATCATATTAAATACGAACTGTACGATCATCATAATCACTACTTCTATGAATTATGTAGTTAATAAATTTTATCGAAGATCTATGATTCTGGTTAGAAATACGATGTATGTTAACAATTGAAAGTCCATATATGACTCTTATTCATACGCTGTACTTTTATTATATAGATATATAGAATAGTTTTATAGCTTTATAATTACAGTACTCATCATCTGGAGCAGCTGAAGTTTGGGTTTTTGTTGTTAATAATTACTTGCTTAATACTAGGTTCCTGTTTATATTTATGATCCAGCGTTTTCGAATTTGGAGAAGCACTATTTACGGTCGTCCTATTGTGGATTCGAAGTGATCGACCAAGATGAGGTGCGAGTGCTGCAACAAATGTTACGGGTTGTAGTTATTGTACTTTAAAATTCAGATGCATTTCAAGTCCCCTTTTATAGTTCGTATAGAAAGTGTTCATTGTAATTCTCTGCAAATTTTGCAGAAAGCGCGGTGGGTAGCGAAACCTTGGACATTATTCTACATGATTCATGCTGACAGTGAATTGTACATGAACTTATTCCAGTTTAATTTCGAAATTGATACGCTCGCAAATCTGGTTTTATTTGGAAATTCTATTCAGAACGTTTTCCCTGAATTCCAAGAAAACGCTTCTCCAGTGAAAAATAATCCGCGCAAAACATCGAGATATCGGAGAACAAGCTCCCATGACGTGAAAGAACCGAATGCCTTGTTTCAGTTGTTTGGTAATGTTAATGTGCACACTGTGAAAATCCCCGATGGAGGCTCAAACGGATTATTTTGGACTGCCTTGTCCGGCGATACATTTCTGCAGTTCTTAGTTCCTAAAAATGAGCCCGGAATTGTGTAGCAACTTATAAACTTGCAATCACAAAGCCTATTGCATTGGATGAATCTCCTTATCTAGATTTTATTGAAAGCGCACCAGAATCTCAAAACTTCGGTGGTTTACTGATTAGTCAAATGAGCCAAATTATCTATAACGGATACACCCGATGGTTCCAATCTGTGCTGTTTTTCTTTACATAGTATCAGTGCTCACTGTTAAACCTCAAAAATTTGAATTTTTGTAGACATACATACGTAATAAAGACGTTCAGCGTTTGGTGAAATCCTTTTCTAACGCGGCACGGGTCCTTTGCAGCTTGTTCCGCGTGCTTTGTATTCTTGATTCCAGTGTTCCAATATCCGCCGTACTGGATAGCGCTGACCTAAAAAGTAGAAACAATGTAAAAAAATTATTCCACGCGAACTTCTTTCAAAAGATTTTCCATTTCGCAAGCACAGAAAAGAACAACTAGCGCATAAAATACAAACTAAAGCAAGCAGCCTTGAAGCAGGTATTAATGAGAAACTGAGAACCAGTGTGTAACACGGTGATATAAGCTTAGCCAACATCAAAATCATCAATTTGATAACACCAAATAAGCGTACCACCCAGTGCTGTTATTAATAAGGTATCGCTGTGTAAAGAGAAGTACCCTTACAAAGTCTTACCCTCTACTGCCGCCACTTCTGTTACGCGCCTCCTCTTCCGCATCCTGTTTTCGATAATCAGCAACATTTTTTGCGCGCTCTTCATCGCGAACTTTGGCATCCGACATCATCTCTAGTCGTTTTCTTTCCAGTTCAGCGGGATCCATTTTTCTGAAGAAAAAAAGCATGCTTGAAAACAAAAATTGAGTAAATAAGGACGTGCAGTTTCGGAAAATATTTCGCTAAATCCCTTACCCGAATGTCCTGCTACCACCGGTCTTCGTATACTGCGAAGTTTTTGTTGGTGGCGGATTTCTGTGTTCGTGGCGAGATGAAGTGTGATGAGACGATGAAGCATGGGACGAAGAGTGATACGATGTACTGCGCCTGGAGGACTGATCGCTGGCATGAGTGTGAGAACGGTGTGACCGGACCGGGGATTCAGCACGGTGAGAATCTGAAGTGCGGCGATCACGGAAACTCTTCCTATCTTTAAAAACAACGATTGGTTAAATTAGAAAAAACAAGATATTCTATTCCACAAGTCCAACCTGCAGAACGAGACCGACTGCGAGAATGCCGCCTTTTCCGTCTCTTTTTATCACGCTCGTCATCACTGTCATCCGCCAAAAGATTTTTTATATCCGTTCCGTGTTTGGCTTTCAGCTGCAGCATTTTGACCAGAAGATCCTTGTCTTTTAATTTGGAGCTTTTTTTCTTTTCTGCAGCCGCTTGCTTGCGTTCCAGCTTGGAATGATCAGAATAACGCTCATTTAGCAGTTTGCACATAAAAGTGACAAGAAACAACGTTTATTTAGCCTCTTAATTCTTAAATTAAAATACATACTTCTTCCTGCATCATTTTTAATCGGATTGGATTGTTCAGCAGGGCACGCCGTTGCTCCTCTTCCTTCTTTTTGATGGCGTACAAAGGATCTTCACGCACTTTAAGTTCTGCTTCAAGCGCTGCACTGGCTGCGGCTTCCAGGAATAGCGCGCCTGGTTTATTCCCTAAAAATTCAGTCACCCATAATATTAGTGCGATTTTCAGGGAAGCGTTTCCTTGAGTTACTCTGTACAGCATCTGCCTGATTTACATAAAGATTATCTTCAAGTGCAAAGATTTTATATGCACTTAAGGGAAGAACATATAATTCTTATATCGAGAGTGTAGGAAAAAAACGACTTTTCTAAAGTAAAAAAAACGAATCTCTGCATAAAAAAATTCAGGAAGCGGAACATTCGCAAAATGAACTTTTACAGCAACCCCCATGATAATATACTTAAACGACGCTTCCGTCAATTCGGGATTAGCGAACAGCCGCATAGGAACATACCGATATCTTCTGCATTCGTAGGCACTCCATCGGTCTCTATATGCTCCACGGATTTATCAATAGCTTTCCCCAACAGATACGCTTCAGTGTCCACGGTAGGACGCTTATACATCCAGTTCAGATTATCAGTCATTTTTTAACTTTACAGATCTTCGAGAGAACCGTGTTTCTGTCGCCAGAAGTACTGATGTCCGCGTAGCTCACAAAAGAAACAGCGGGGATAAGACCTAATAGTCGTGTCTCTGATCCGTTACATCGGAAATGGAGAAGATGAGCACTGGTATAACATGATCATCCTGATGGCAAGGCCGAGGAATAGAGCTGATAAGGGAAAATCAAATTTAACGGCAAACAGTCAAATTGAAAGAAAGATCTAAACGTTCGGTACTGATCCAATTACCACAGCTATGTCCAGACAAAATAAAACTACTTCCATAGAAAAGATCTGATAAACAAAAGTTACAAAACCATGAAGAGTAATTAAAAACTTTCACAACATATTCCGATTTCGGGAAATCATCTGGTGCTCGGCCAGCTGGGGGTAAATTTTTGAATTAAGTTCGTGTGTTTTATTTTAAAACGCTTCGCGTGCGGTCTGCCCATACGTACGGCTGCTACGTGTAATTATTATAAAGCAAGGTTCAAAGCTTTGTTCTCATAAGTGTCAAGCCACAAGCCAGTTCTCAGCAGACTCAGCTTCTCCTTTTTGGAACTGCCAAGGAGCCATCTATTCGAAAGGCGAAAGCTATATCGTATTTAAAATTAACATTGTGACTATCATATTTAATATCTAAAATAATCTTGTTACTTGTGGTTAAACGAAGCCCTAAGGAGTTATTCCTCCTTCAATATGGCCACTCTGCAAGCAGTCAAATTGGACCAAGCCCAGAAACAAAGTGCCATCACTCTCCAGGGTTCTGCTGCTCTTGTCGGGGATTATCTTTGTAAGAGGGTTCAGGAAGACTGGATTAACAATTCACATTAAAGTATTTCTGGTTGCGAATGTTTGAACGAAGTCCCGAAGGATATTTGGTCATTTGGTATATAATTTTTAATACGTACTGTACTTACTGCTATGCTGTAAGTGTATACTTGTACGTAGGTGCAGGTAGTTCGTCGCCTCTGTAATAAGTGAAACAACAAAACATCGACTTGTAATCAGTAATATCATGTTTTTGCAAATTTTAGATTGTGCTATCAACTCGATTCTCTACATGCGTGGTGTGTACCCGACGGAAATGTTCGAAAGTGTGCCGAAGTATGGAATGAGTATATTCGACGCCAAGGATGAAGAGCTAAAATCCTACCTTGAAAAAGTCATGAAATGGACCAAAGGTTTGCACTTTACACGACATGAACCGTAGTCGTACCGAGTTCCAAACATGATTGCAGATTGCCTGCATGTTTTATGCAGATTGGATGATGGAGGAAAGTGTCACCGCGATTGTTCTGGTTATTATTAACCCCATCACGAAAGACATCGTTGAACGTTGGCAGTTCAAGATTATGTGCGATCAGCAACATGCAGAAGAAAAGTAAGCGCAGTTTCTGAGAATGAATTAACGGTATGCCGTATTATTAATATTGTTATGAAGTAGATTCTTATGGTTAATGTTTTCGGATTTGCAACACGCCTTGAATAGAAACTATTGAATTTTTTATTATGAGAATATTCTTCTACTCAGGACAGAAAAATCCGTTAGTGGAGCAAAGCCCGCGCCAACAATGGAGGAAATCCGACGCCAGATCGGATCCGTTTTAAAGCAGATTGTCGCCAGTGTTTCCATTCTTCCGGCTACCCCCCTGGATGCGATGAACACCTTTAATATCCTGGTCTACACGAAGGACAACCTGGATGTGCCGGCTGATTGGCAGGAGTCCAATCCCCACTTCATTCGCAATGCTCAACAGCTGCATTTCCGAAAAATTCATACGTCCGTTCACGAAGTGGACACTTGTGTTACGTACCGTTCTGAGTGATCCGATTTTTACGGCGGTATTAATTCTGAGTAGTGAGTGAGTAGTGGGATATATCGAGATATAGTGGGGTATTGTAGTTTAGTTTTTTTACAGTGGCTGGATGAACTGATGGCATGTGTTATTTGTCGGTTTACTGTTTACGTATTGGGTTTAATTTATTTGTGCTGAAGTTAAGCAATGAAGTATAAACGGATGATACTAGAGATACGTGATATTGGATACGATAAATTTTGTGTCGCCTCGACTACTGTTGACCTGTTCGGTTTTCCTTCTGGAAACCGGCATAAACAGTAACAACAGATGTTGGCCTGTTGCTGTTACATAAAAATTTTGAAACAAAAAAATTGTTGAATGAATGTTGATGCACTAGTTGGAAATTGGATTACAACAGAAACCGTCAACTTGTAAAATTAACAAATATGTCAAACTGAAACTACGAATGACCGTATTCGTATATATACAGGCAATAATACTAACTACTCCCGCCAACGTACAGAAATTGTAGCTATAAAATTATTGTTTTGCACAACTATCATAAAGTATAACTTAAGTATATGTGTTAAATTTGTTCTGAACGTACAGTAATAAAAGTTTAAAAACGATAAGTACGTAATCATAAGTTTCTGCTTTCTCCCTTACCGCACACTGCATTTCGGCTGTGGGTAAAATCTGTCTTGTGTGTAAAATAGCGCGGCGTAACGAGATGGAAGTGATCAAAAAGGGAACGCAAGCCCTCAGCGAAAAACTTCGCTGTTTCGAATTCAAGCAAAAATCACATCACGGTTTGCACTTTGCATCAGCAAATTTTTGAAGTGTACAGTGTACTGAACAAAGCACTATACTTTTTCTAGTCTGATTAGGCGTTTTTATCAACTTTCTATTAATTAGTAAGTGTGTAGGTAAAAAGCAGTAATTGTAAGTGATATTTTCTTTGGACCTCAGTCATGCACGCTGTACGACGCTCGTGTTGGAGATATTCTTTTCGAGCATTCAGTACAAAAGTTCCCGGAGTACCAGGAGCCGCGAAACCCATACACGAGGTTCCTTTGTCGGAGGCATTGCCTGGTTTTCCTAAACCGTCTTTCGCTGTGGTAAATGAACGTGTCCAAAATCAGACACGGGTTACGACATTGAGCAATGGACTGCGAGTGGCATCACAACCAAAATTCGGACAATTCTGTACGATTGGGACTGTGATCGACGCTGGATCTCGTTACGAGGTGGGTGTAATAGTTACTGCACTTAAATGGGAGCATACACTTTTATACAACTTGTACATGCGATTTTCCAGGTTGCCTATCCGAGCGGAATTTCTCATTTTCTCGAGAAAGTCGCCTTTCAGTCTACCAAAGAGTTTAGCGGGCGTGATGCCATCCTGCAGGAGCTCGAAAAGCATGGCGGAATTTGTGATTGTCAAGTTAGCCGAGAAACAGCTGTTTACGCTGTTTCAGTCGAAACGGATGGCTACGACGGAATTATTAGAATGCTTAACGAAGTTACCAGGAGAATGCAGATATCCGACCCCGAAGTGAGTGTACTTCTTGGGCCTTTCGTTTGCTAAATGAAATTAATAATCCTTTAAATACGAACGGAAATTCCATCGCAGCTGTATGTCTTTTCGCTTAATTTTTCTCGAATATTATCATTATCGCTTTTGTGGTTATGATTGATGATTAATATTCAGAGATGGCTTCTGTTTTTTTTTTAGTTGGCTGATGTGCGCCGAGCGGTGAAATTCGATTTAGACGATCAGCAAATCCGCCATGAGCAAGAACCTTTGATTATGGAAATGATCCATGCTGTAAGTTCGGCGTTCGTGGTTTTGTTTGGCTAAATTACATTCCTTATTGCAAACTAAATTGCATATGTCTGTTTTACTTACTCTTTTAAGTATAGAGTTTTTGCCGTAAAATCCGCTCATATTTATAAATACTGGAGGGGTCGAGTTTACGATCAATTTACACATGTTATACTCTGTAGATAACGTCAATTTGATATCGCAGATGTGTTTGCCACGGAAATTATTTTATATTATATTATTGAGCAGTGACTTTGTAAAATCAAAATGACTTCCCCATATTTGCAGGCGGCTTACCGGGAGAACACTCTTGGGTTGCCTCGTATTTGTCCGGCTGAAAATATCGAGAAAATCAGTCGAAATACAATTTTCACTTACTTATCTCAGTATTATCATCCATCGCGAATGGTCATCGCGGCTGTGGGACTGGACCATGACGCTCTTGTTAAGAGCGTGGAGAAATATTTCTTACAAACTAAATCCATGTGGGAAGAGGATCCGAGCTTGCTCAGTCTTGACGCCATGAAATCTCCACCAGACCTCTCGCTTGCACAGTATACCGGCGGGGATATTAGAATTGAGAAAGATCTTTCCGATATTAGCATGGGACCAACACCCATACCCGAATTGGTGCATTTCGCACTGGGTTTCGAAAGCTGTTCATACAAAGACCCGGATTTTATTCCATTTTGTGTATTAAACATACTTATGGGTGGCGGTGGATCGTTTAGCGCCGGTGGCCCCGGAAAAGGAATGTATACCCGTTTGTACTTGAATGTTTTGAACCAGTACCACTGGATGTTCAACGCGACAGCATACAACCATAGTTACGCTGATACAGGCTTGTTCTGTATCCATGCCAGTGCTGATCCAAAAATGGCATCAAACTTAGTTGATGTTATTGTTACTGAGTTTAGGAGGATGACCGGTCCAATAGAAGAGGTAAGGACTACACATTTTATAATCTTATATCTTTTTCGTATTGTATTTTCCTTGGTTGGAAGCAAATTGGGATATTATGCTACAGGAAGAACTGGATCGTGCCAAAATTCAGCTGTCATCTATGCTGATGATGAACTTGGAATCTCGACCGGTAATTTTCGAAGATATTGGCCGGCAAGTTTTGGCATACGGTCACAGAAAGCCATCCCGTCAGCTGGTCGACGAAATTAACAACGTCACCGAACACGACATTAGAAGAGTGGCCGAAAGGATGTTGAAATCCAAACCATCCGTTGCTGGATTGGGAGACGTGAAAGTATTGCCGAGCTACTCTACAATCGAGGCTCAACTCTTTAAGCAGCCAGAAGTGAAGAAAGCTCGATCGTTTTCTCTTTTTGCTTGATACGGAATTGTTGCGTGGAATGACGTTTTTTTGTGTCATTAATTTTTTGAACAATTTTTTTAGATTTTGACGTTGATTTTTGAAAATTGTTATACCAACCTGGTGGATAATTATTTCCGAGCGGCAGATTTTTGTTCAAATGCAGAAATTATGGCGTTAAACATGACTGCCCGAAAACAGTGCAAGGTGTCGTTGTCACAATGACAAAATGACAATCTAGTAGTGATTCGAAGCCTAAAATCTTCGAGGTTCTGTAAACAATAAATGTATAGTGCACGCACGTACTGAACTTCAAGGCATTATTCAGCAACGCTGTGCTCGTACCGCAGAAAAAGGGGGAAATGCAGCTGCCAGTGCAAACATGAAAAAGAGCCGGGGTCTGGTATACAAACTACAAAGTCACCAGTTCACCATAAAATTTTTTTGCTGTTCGTCTTTCGTCATCGTCCCTTACGCTGCTCCGCCTACGGCATACCGAATAGAATTGTACCGCCTCACTTGTACATGGGACACAGCAGTGTAGAAAAATTGCTACCGATACTGCGGTACTGCCGGTACGTACATATACAGATATACTCGACCGGTCGATTTTTCAATGGTATCGTATATCGGTGCCTATTAAGGTTTGATGCTAGTAAAATTTTCAAAATAATAATTTATTTATGAAAGGTTTTGTCGGATATCATATTCCCCATGCGGTATGATGCTAGCTAATGATCGTAATTATTTGTTGAACGACTGCATGTCCCGTGAAAAAAGAAAGTCATGGATGGAGCGTTGAGTGGCACACACACTGCTGCCAGTGTGAGTGGCTCGGTCATACTCCGTGTATGTCTGTAATCAGATCAGGTCGGGTTGATCTGCGGAAACGCAGTAAAAACGTTTTTTCCCTGAGTGTAGATTAATTGCTTGCTCGCTTCTGTCTAGAATGGTATGCCTCGTGTTCTGAACAGTAATAATGGCTATCGTATGAAATGTTTTTCACTCTCCACTTGTGCCCATTGTTTAAGTCTGCCCGTGAAGCGAAACGTAAATGACTGCTGCAAATTGGTCGCAATGGATGAATCATAGAACGGCTTTCAGACTATGTACGCATATAGCGGCTGTGCATCAAGTCATCAACTGGCATATGCATGGCTGAATTCACTGTGAAGTGGTGAACAATCATCGTGCCTATCTGAAAATAAGTATACTTCTGCAAGAAAATTTATCGTTTAAATGTTTGTACCGCCACACGGTATACAGCGTTTCGTTCTTTGGCGGCACTGCCGAATGTGTTGACAGAGGGATGAATCGTACGGGATTTCTTGTAATCATACGAAGGTTGGTCAAAAATTCTTAATAATTCATTAAACCGCGATTGCACGTTTGATTGTGAAGTGTGTGCCGCGCAGCTGATTGTCACGTAAATGTTAGATTTCTGTATCAAGTGACTGGTGCATATATCAGCCCAGAAAATCTGTTGAGCAGTCGTGTGTTTTAAATAATCATGCGAATCGTTTCTGGTTTCAGATAGAGGATATCAAGATTTCATCGGGTTTTTGATTTTAACCAATAATTTGACCATTCCATCGTATTCCATGGTTTAAAACTGGCGAGTCGTTTTCTTGGGATCCCAGCATCATCCGTCAATTGTCTGTGATGACCAGTTTGAAATTCAGTCGCGGTGGTGGAGCGCAGGAGGCCCCGTCGAAAGCGTTCCATGTGGCTGTAATTGGGACATGTTCTAATGAGCCTATCGAAGAACATAACCATAAAGACCGTTCCAGCAATGAGCTTTATCGCTCACACGATACCATTCTATCCGAAACTGGCTCAGGAAAATCCTGCCTGTGTAATCGTTTTATTCGTCCTGCTGAAGATGATTATCAGCCCACGGAACATGTCAGTGTGCTGAGTGCGGCCGATTTTTCTTCGCTTCCCATTAGTAATGACCACTTTCTGTACTGGGGTGACGCCAGGAGGACCTCGGATGATGGGCATGACTGTGTGTTCACTGTGATAGAGCAGACGGAATTCATCGATGATTCCACGTTCCAGGTACCACTGCTGAAATCTGAAACAGAATTCGCAAGTGCACAATTTGCACTGCTACTGAGTCACAGAAAAAAACCCAGTTGTTGGCGCTTTCATACAGATTTAAAATTACATTAGTTTACAAGCTCACGGATGACATCTTCTTTTTCGTTGTTTGACTTCCAAAGAAGAAGACATTCATGCATCTGACGATTTGTGTAACGATTTTTAATAGTAATTTTCAGCAGTATCATTAAAAAAAAGCTTACGTATTTGAAAACTGGTATTAATATAATAATATTACATTTTGGCAGTTAGTTTGAAGTACCAGATTTGTTTACGGAAGCAGCGATTGAATTTTCTAATGAAGGCTTCAATATATGGAAAATAGTAAAGACAGTTATTCCATGGTCCCTACAAATTAATGTACTGAATCGTGATTAAAAAATATACACAAATTCAATTCCATTAGCCAACCTGAAAGCAAAAGACAAGTTTATTTCCCTTCTACAATGATCCGGGACAGACACATCATTTATATTGGTATTATTTAATACTATTCATGTTTAACTGTTGCGAAACTATTTATATTTAACTGTTGTTGATCGAAACTATTTAAATCGCCTGGTTAAGTTGGTTGAAGTGTTTTGGTTTGTGTCTAAACATTTTACCCTAATTTTACCATTTTACGTGTCGATTTTATGTCGATAGGTCAGTTGTTTGAGCGGCTATGGATTGTTCTGTCTTCAACGCCGAACAGTCAATTACTTGAGTTAGTGCAAATGCAGTAATGCACACTCTTTTTCGAAGATGACCGGTTTGTCAAGGTTCAAAATTCTCGCACGCGCTTTAATTACCGATAATGTTGGTTCGAAATAAAAAAAGTTGGTGAGTTTAATTTGTACGGACTGACGCCTGGGTCCTTTTATGAACACATTCTGTTAATTGTAAGTTGTTCAGCTGTTGCTGATTGACGCATTGTGTCCGAATTGGTAGCAGATCCTTTTCATTGGTAAACATCAAGTAACCTGTCGCAAAATTTGTAGAAGAAAATTACTGACAAAATTCGTGTGTTAGGAGAATGCTTACTTGTCAGAAAGTTTGTGTTTTGTTGCTGAGAGCTACTCGAAATAGATCTTGCTCTGCAGTTTTCCGTATGGCCTTGAGGTTTTGTCGATTGATTTATAAGCTGTCAAGACTCAAAAAATTGTGTTGTACTCTCGAAACATTAAGCAAACACTTTCGTATTTGCATCTTATTCATAAACGAACTCAGGTGCCGACTTAATTTGTCGCGTCCAAGAAAAGAATATTAAATGATATTCTGAAACGAAATGCATGTGCATATCCATAATTGAATTATTCGCTTCATTCAGGTGAAGAGCAGCGTCGGAATTATTTGTTCGAGTAGACGTTACAAAGGTTATCGTTTTTTGACGACTTGGATGCCAGTTTTATTGATCGTAGTTACAGTTTATGGAGCAACAATATCGTAAAATTTGCAGTATTCATATTGATTTATGTGTTCAATCGTAGACCGTAGCTGTGCCAACCAGGGGGCATAATTCGATAAGATACTTAGTCTGCAGGAATAATAATCACCAAGACTATAGTAGTGCAACTAGCGAATATCAATAAATGATGAATGAACTATTTTGCGCGTAGATAGACATCACATATCATATCGTATGCGCGTCTTGAAATGCAAACAACTATTTGTGTAAACATCTGTGTGAAAGCAATGACTAGATTGAAATTTGAATGGAGTGATTGATAATTGACCCAGATCTTCCTGATTTCACTTGAATGGATTCTTGCTTTGCTTTGCAGTATTATGGGTAAACTACGCCGCGTGATGGTGATTTGCACGCTTTGAATTAATCCTAATAAAGTCAATTTATTTTTACAGCCTTTTCGCACCGGCAGAGGAGAGCGAGATTATAAACGGCGTGCGACCAATCTTAAGCTGCATTCACCTGGAAAAATTCAGTATTTTGGAAAAAGTCAGTTGGGTGAGTATTGCAGTTTTAATATATTGATATGCTTTATTAGTTAACTGTGTTTTTTATGCAGCACGAGTATATCAAAATTTTAATCGCCAATCATCATCTCAGTTTTATTTTCTGTATAGTGGGATGTTGGCTGGTCCGCTTTATTACAGGCAATGGTTGTTTTTGCTATTTTTATATTTTTGTTGGTTTGATTGTAATAAGTATCAAACTATGCAATAAATATTGTTGTCTGATGCTTGCTCAACTCTAAAATGAATAGTTAGGCGAAATAATTGAAGGGTTGAATGTTTATAGGTATCGAGAACGAATATCCCATGTTGCCGTTACCCGATGGACGTTTCAACGTTGACGGGTTTATTTGTTGCTTCGATGTCAGTCTGGCATCAAAAAAGCCTGTAAATCGGCAAGTGGAGAATGTTGTTCATCTACTGAATCAGATTGTACGCCAGAAGAAAGCCGCCGTCCTCGCCGTGACAAAAACTGATGACTGTGATCCTCTACTCCTAAACGAGGCGAATAAGCTTCTCCATCGCAAAGAACTAAAAGGTTGGATAATGGCAGTGGTGCTTGTGGCCTGGGCGAAATATATCCCAGATCATTTTTAAAGCGTTTAAGTCTGGAGAGAGAAAGAGAGCTATAACTGCATGGTGTGGGCCAAGCCGAGCCATCGATTGATTTGTTCCATAGTTTTTCACTTTTCACAACAGTCTGTGAGTATGTTGATATAGGTTGTGTGCATCTGGTGGAAACCTCAGCGTTGAAAAATGTTAATGTGGATGCTGCCTTTATGCTCTTGGCACAACTTATCGACCGCAACTCTGGCCATGCTCAGCTGATACGTTATCGTCTGCACAGCTACGAAGATGCCGCATCCATGAGGAAAGAACGCATGGATACCGCAGCGAAAGCCTATGAAGCTCTCGTTAAGTCCCAAGTTAAAGAGCGCCGCATGACTTGGCTGGAAGCTCTGAGAAAATTTGAAAACGATCAAGATTTCAAGTATGACTCGGATTTTGTACAAACTTGTTTTAAAAAAATCTTACATGAGGATTTTTTGGAAATCATTTTGCTGGTTTTAACGTAATCCTTACGCTGAAATTTTTTATTGTTAGTTCTTTAATTGTATCAGTTAATAATTTATAGGTAGTATGCTTTACGGAAATGGTTTTGATGCAGTTGATGTTTTAACTTGTTAATTACGGTCAGAATCGTGATATTCTTTTTTCCCAGATTTTATTGCGAATTGTGGGGTACCGACTCAGCCAAGCGTATTTTCGACGGCTGCATGCGCCAATTACGTGATCGCGAAGCCAAAAACCGGCTAAATATTTACATTACACGGCTGGAGAGGATTTTTCATGAACTGCTGCCGTCATTGTCCCTTGTCAGCAACGGGTTGGTTTTGTGAAATTGTGGTTATCTTTTACAGTTGGGAAGACAATGCAGACTTGTTTTTCGTTTTTTTCCCCACAGATGGCAGAGTTGTTTAGACTATCTACAGTCGCTGCCGGTCTATGATTCCTATTTTGTTGATCTCGATGGAGTTCGTGAAAATGTTGCTTCCGGGGTTGTTGGATTTCTTGATGATGATAGATTTTATGATATGGATGATGCACGAGTGCCGTCGCGGATACTCCGCACAACGGACGCTGAACGATGTTTCAACGTGTATGCCGACACTCTGAGACGGGAAGAGAGGCGGACGCGGTACATTAGCATAATGACTAGTGCTCTCTGTGTGTGATAAATGTGTCTGTAAGTGGGTTGACAGAAAAAACACTTTGTGTTTACAGACTGCGCAGTCAGTTTATGGCCTTATTAAATGAGACACCATATGCCTTACCTGGACGCCCCTTTCGCGATACGCGCGTGTTTTTGACCAGTGAACCAGCGTTTACCGAGGAAATCAGTGAATTAAGTACACAAGAAATGCAAGAAATTTACGAGAGTCACCAGGAAAAAGTCATTGAAGATGCCAAGGAGAACTTTATTGAGCTGTTATTGGAGAATATCGCTTTGTTTGTCGGTAAACAAGATAACCTTAAGCAGCGGAAGCGGAATAAAAAAGAATCAGAAAGCAAAGAAAGGGCGTCAAAAATAGCCAAGCACGAAGAGGATTTGAGTGAAATCGATCACGTCTTGCGCAGTGATAAGCGGTATCGGGCCATGGATTTATTAGGAATTAGAGGGAAGCTTATGTCTTCCTTGATGACCAGCTTAACTTCGCCGGCGTCGGAGACGTGTGATGCACGATATGGTTGTTTTGATATTGCTGTGAGGACACATCTTGCACGGCGTGTGAAAACGTAAGTTTCGTGAAGTATTTTTGTGGAAACTCACAGAAATAGCCGGGATTTTTGGAGTCTTTTTAATATATACTGTTTTTCTCCATATAACATGGCTGTGAACGAAAGAGTTCTTTCTTCCTGCTTCTCCCTAATGAGAAAATCTACACAAACCCGATATAGGTTGCGTAACATCAATTTTATTAGCGGTAGAAAATCAAATTTGTTCTAATTTTTCTGTAGGCCGGAAACCCTGCCGGCATTTATCCAGTTTCCCGTACTAAAACCGCACTCCACCGTCGTGAAATTGCTGATCCTTGGGAAAAACGAACTAGCCGACAGCTTTGCGAGCCTAATACGGGTTAGTGACAAGAGGAGTAGAAATTTCTGTAGCTCCATAATGACGCTGTTTACGCCGCCAGCTAACCCTGTTGCATCATTGTAAATTCCACTTTGTCCCGCTTGACAGACTGCGTGCGGTGATGGCGAACTACTCCTTGATGGCTGCTTTTACTCTATCGATTTCCGAATTATCAATGGTGATTTGGGCGCCCTGCACAACGCTTTCCAGACGGCTGATTTCCTCCCACATGGTACGGGTATTATTTTAAGTGGATTTGGCTTATTTACGGTAATTATTGGCAATCTAATGGTTAGTTGTTTGTGTCGCAGGGTGCCTTTGTGTGTATGATTCCAAAGAGACATTCGAATACATAAGGGGCCACATGGAGAAGGCTCTAGTGAATGAACTGGGGCGGAAAGATAATGACCAGGAGAATACCTACATGAATGGTTCAACCAGTAGCATCATGACACCCTGCAATGGACTGTGCACGGTACTGGTTTTCCAACCCCAGGACAATCTCAAGGAAACTGAAGTACAGCGGCTACGTGAGCGTGGTCAGGATTTGGGGGCTAAACTGCAGTGCGCCTTTGTGGAATTGGCACGGAACAGCAGTTGTGCACCCGTTCCGATCAATGCTGCGACTGCTCTCTTGAGTGGTGAACGGAAAGAAGATGTGCTGATGAGGCACTTGAAGATTTTGATTAGAGATATTCAAGTACGCTCCACTATTGCTCGCAGCATCATGGAGGGAATGCCTACTGTTGACCTCTTTGATTGTGATATAAGGTGAGTGTGTTTTGTGTAAGCGACGCGTGAGAAAGCCGAGATTTCGAGGAACTGAGGTTGACACACTTTCACCTTTTAATTCATGATTTCCGTTCGAGGTAATTGTTTGCTCTGTGCTGGACCACAAAGAATTGGTTTTCAAATGCGAAGTGAATGCGGTTTTTGTTTGTGTAAATTTGGTGAATAAGTTTGCTTAAGCTTTTTATGTAATATAGAGCCAGGTCCCAGGGATGCACATTTTTTATACCGTAATAAAAGCTGCGCGCTGTTTTGAAGGTAGTTAATATCCCGGAAGAACTGTTTTTAAAGTTTTTTTCTCGTAACCAGTTATTCAGTCCTTAGCAAATCTATAACGAAACTGTATGCGGGTATAAAAGGATGGCATTATTTTCGAATGCATAAGCAGATGTTCTGACGATATGCATATTTTTTATGGCATTCTGGGAGTATTCGATACGCAGAGACGCTTGACATAATAGGATAATATCACCGTCTGCCTATCTGTTTGCAGAGTTCGCATTTGTTTGCTGTGCGGGGACCATTTAGGCGGATTTGCTCACCATATTCTCAGTCCTTTAATTTCCCACACGATCTGTTACCGACATTCCAAAAATCCCCAGGGCTTTCAAATTGAGACATTTGTTTTTGATGACTGTCGATTGCGAATCGATGTTGACTGTAAATCTTACCACGAATCGTTACGCGCCGCTCATCCGGGCAATATTGACGACGATCCATCACGAAAGTCCACTGATGGTTATGTATTCGTTGTGGCTGTCAAACGGCGCGCATCCTACTGCATGATGAGGTGAGGTTTACTAATTAGCCGTTCATTTCCGTCGTGGCGGGATAACTGTCCATAAGACTGTACTGCCTAAATGAATCGGTGACAGACATAATGCTCGCCGTCACGTGCACATATTTTTTTTCGAATCCTGCCTAGTTTTGTTAGCCGCGCTGTGTTTTGTCACGGTCTGTTAGATCTTTTCGCATTTGATGGTTTACTGTTTTTTGATGTTGTAATATTTTTTAATTGTTGTAGGTGTTTAATGGACATGCTTACCTTGCAAAACACGCTTCGACCTAGCATGGTCATTGCCACGCTGGACCATGCCGATAATTACACACGGGACGAAGCCAAAGTCCTGGATGAACTGAAAACCATCTGTGAGGAACGTGACGTGAATTTTGTGGTTACCACCATTTCCGATGGGTTGCCCATCGGCACATACATGCCGCTCTTGCGCACCTGTTGGGAAGCCAAAGTATCGGCGTCGTACGATCGCGCGTCGACGGCCACCTTGAACAGCACGATTCCCAGTTTGTCAGATGAGGAGGCTGTACTGATCAAGAGCCGGTCGCTGGAACGCGAGAAGCAGACGGCCAAGCCGATCTCGGCGGTCTTTGCCAACCGTACGCCGCAGCAGCGCAGTAATATCGCCGCACTCAGCCTCGACGCACCAACCTTTACTACCTTTGGCTTTGAACGTGAGGCGGGACGGACAAGGGCCAATATGATGTAAGTACCCCTGATGTCAGATCAGGTGTCGCGTTATGATTTGATGATTAGGGATACCTGATACTGGCGGTGATGACGATGTGTGTATAAAGTTATGGCATCGATTGTTGGTGTATGATGGTAAAAGGTGCTTGGCGTTTGTTCTAGTGCAGTTATGAAATGGCCATTGTATGCGCTCGTGTTTGCATGCAATTTGACTGAAACGTGCTTTGTCAAGTTTGTTCATCGATTTTTATGAGTTGATTATTGCTTGATTGCCCTTTTTCATAATCAGCAGGACCATACAGGTAAGGAATTAGAGGAATTTACGGTTAACTTCCCCTCGGTCGCGCCTTCGAAGTTTTGTGTTAGCAAAGCACATTGATCAGCGGGAACTGGAGTATTTTGCATCATGTTTTTGTATTAAGTGTAAAATGTTTTTTAGATTGACCGTCGCGTTAACTGGTGCTCTGTGAAGTCTTTTTATGTGCATTTGTTTTCTGAGTAAGATAACAAAGCGATCTTGCGTATGAAAACATGGCTGTATGCAATTAATGTTCTGAAAGCACTTTTTATGATAAAATTGTGAGAAGAATATTATGAATAGTAAAGTAATGAAAACGCCTCGTCCGCTTTCAGTAAATGCATATTACCGCTTTTGGAGTGAGGCAGTTGTGGGACGTTTTTGGGGGAACATTTAACTTTTTTTACCCTAATTGGCCGAAATCCTTTTATTATTGCGTTATCGGTTTCACGAAATCGAAATACGAGTAATTGACTATCGCGCCATTGACAGCGTTTCAGCATTCCATGTTGTACTTATATTTATTTAGCAACTGTTAAGTTATGCTATTGGGCCGATTTGCATTCAGATATGTGCAGTTGTTTGCGCGAGTACGGAGTGCAGCTTACACTAGATTGCAGCAAAAGTATCGTATCGTCAACAGGATAATATAACGACTTTACTGTCTATTTACTTATCTGCTTTTCGTTTTCAATACTTGTAAAAGACACCGTTACTTTTGAATAGAATTTTATATAAGCCTGCCATTGAACGTGCTCGTAGGTTATATTTACACTTGCTAAGTTCGGTTAGTGTTAGTGCAGTGTTATTGTTATTTTTTGCAGCACTTCAAATGATTTGTCAGCTCCATTTTCAAGATTAGCTACTGATGACGCTCAAGCTGGGCGTTCGACTGGCAGCGTCGTAGACATGCTGGCTTGTCCAAACGGTCATTCGGGAGGTGATCTAGCCGTATCTGACATGGCGACGGGACCTAATCGGCTTTACTCCGCACACGATGATCTCCAGCGATCGAGTCAACTTCGCGGTCAACGGCAAAATGTAGCCACCGGTAAGGTTCTTTTTAAGAAGGCCTGCATTGTGTGTGTGGTGCTGTGGTTGTCGTGCCCCCGTCTTCAGTGCAAACGTGGTGTGTCCTTTTCTTTTGGTAAATGGCTAATAGTTTTTCTCCGTCGTCTAAATGTGATCCTTGATATGGTGCTGTTGCATCGGTGGTAGATGCGCTACCCACTGGAAGTACTTATGATATGACCCAATCGGCCACAGAGACGTTAGTCTCTGATACGGCGGCCATTCCGGCCACCAGCTCGAAGGTGACGGATGCTGTTACCCGGTGTTTCGTTACCCGGTCGTCGTCGGCACTGAGCGTATCCAGTCCGATCATGGACGACGCCCGTCGAATTCTGCATCCACTGCGCAGAGGGTTTGCCGGTAAAGCTTCTTGATCGTTGTCCTTCTAGCCGTCCTGTTTTCCATCGCGCTGGTTTTTCTGTTTAGTCTTGTCTTGACAGTGTTGATGGTTTAATTTTGGTTCGTTAGTGTACGCTTAGTAGATCGTGCTTGGTGGTGTCCATATGTTTATTAAGTGAGATAAACTCGTAGTTGCCTCGTCGCGTCCTTGATCTTTTGCAGCGTAGTGTTCCTGATTTGACACCGATATTCGTTCGCGTGTTTATTTTTGGTTCGCTCGAGATGGATTGCGCTTTAACGCCGAAAGTTGTATCTGAAACATTGCAGCCAACGCATTTTGGCTTAAAAGCGTGCGCAGGTTGGTTTCAGAATATTTTTTTGTAGTCTGGCAAGCGAAATCTATTGAAGAATCGCCGTATGAACGGGAAAAATCTCCCACTCAGCGTTTCGTTGGGCGATTGGCAGCAGCCGGAAAATATGCGTCTTTCATGGATCAGCTGAACGCCAACATTGCCCGTGGTAGCCAGCCGTCTCCGACGGCTCCGCTGGCCCTCCCGGAGTTGATTGAAGATCATGAACAGGATCCACCGAGTGATGGCTGGGAAGAGGGAGCAGCCGCGTTACGCTCGCCGGGAAATGATCGACAGTTTTTGCTGGGGCTGAAGAAACGTGCTCGTGATATTAAACCGCCGGAGCGAACTCGACGAGTTGCTGGTCCGGTTGTGCTCCCTTCGCAACACCTTAGTATTTCTCTGGATGATAGCGAAGCAGGTAAGCAGCTCCTTTTGAGTTGGTGTGAATGAACGTAAGTTGCTGCTGCAAATTTAATATAAATACATTTCGCTTCTGTTTTTTTTTCTTTCGAGCATGTTTCCTTATTCGAAATACACAATGATCACTATTCTTGCAAACTTTTTTTGTATTATTTTGTAATTTATTGCATACTTTTTTCGACATAGCGCATTTTTTTGCTATCGCATTTCTTTTGCTGCTGCTTGAAAGTGCAGTTCTTGCTCGTCATCGAGTTGGACTGACATTTGTTGCCGTAACTGCGATGTCTGATTTTGTTTGACCGTATAGGTTTTCATCGTAAAGTAGACAGCATCGGTTTGATCGTAATTTCTTGCATGGTGTGGAGGATTATTTGTTAGTAACTGATTTGGTTTGTCTTTGATGCTGATTCTGGCGATAACTGCTTTACGTTTTGTTTTCAAGCTTATCCTGATCGCGCTTCGCTGCCGGAATTAGCTGCTAACAAACTGCGAAAAGGCTTTGTCGGCGCTGTGTCGCCTCTTGACGATAATGTTTTCTTTGCGTCCAGTGAGTTTTTTTGCTTTTTTGCGGTGGCTTTTTTTGCGCCGGTGTGATCAGGCAGTATTTTGCAGGTGATGAATCCAACTTAGCCACTACCGTGGACAACAGCCATAACATTAAAGATGCGGTTAAGACGGTAAAATTGCACCTGTGATTGCTATCAGTACGTAAAATTTGAGGAAAATCTTATTTATGGCAATCTTTTACAACAGAAGCCCGCCAAACCAAAGCGCGAAAAGGAAAACAAGTCCGTCAAGAAATCTAAAGATGTACGTTTTCCATCTTCTGTAATTCGTAACAAGAAAAAGACATTATGTTGGTTGATTTCAGAAGAAACAGAAAAAAGCAGAAGTTACATTCGAATCTCTGGCACCGTCCGCTGATAATCCAATTCCACTTTTTATTGAAATGTGCATTAAATTCATTGAAAACCGAGGTGAGTGCGAGAAAATTATTTTTTGCTAGTTAGCAAGGGGATGTATTGGTTTTTGTTTCATTTAGAAATGAAATATTTAGCACGAAATGTCAATTTGAATTTTCAAAGGTATTGACACCGAAGGAATTTACCGCGTGTCCGGCAGTCGTGTTCATGCGGACCAGTTATTACACAAGTTTTTGTCCCATCCTGCCTCCGTCGATTTATATGCCATGGATATCCCCATCTATAATGTCACCACAGCACTCAAGACCTATCTGGTCGAACAGACGCCGCCTGTGATACCACAGTCGTTTATTGATGAGCTGCGCGATGCAAATTGTGCGTAAAAATGAAACACTATGCGCTCGTTTTTGTATACGAGTAGTGATGTTGTGTTTCGTCCAGTCAACAGGTGTATATTGTTTGTTGTAGTTATGCGTGACAAAAACGACAGAATCCATCTGATTAAATCAGCTCTGGCTCGTCTGACTCCAACACACTTCCAGTTGTTGAAATATATATTTGCTCATTTACGCCGGTAAGTCTGTGCGTCCATTAAAATATTTTACAGTTAAAAGTTAATTCTGCTATGAGTGTCGTGAAGTATTCTGCAGCATCGCGAGGTTTTGCGTTAAACATCGAAGGAATGGTAAACAGCTTTTTGTGGGATTTTAGAGTTTCCGAGAACAGTCGAAGGAATAAAATGGACGTGAACAATCTGACCTTGTGTTTGTGGCCCACATTGTGCCCGATTGAATTCCCCAACGATCTGGCGCGCTTTGAGAGCGTTCGCATGGAAGTATCGGAAATCCTGTCGACCATGATCAGTAGTTATGACAAGATTTTTGAGCCGAATTACGTCGCACTGCCCTTGACCAACGGGTCGCAACCGGTCTCGCCGCCCCCACAAATCGGTACCCTTGCTCACGAGGCCGCCGAAGCGGCTCGCCAACGGGTGAATCGCGCTAGTTTCAATGGAACCGGCGGAAACGGCGTCCCGCTGACATCCCCACAACGTCCCATTCCCCCGCCGTTCCCAGCGGCCTCCTCATCGTCCAATGCGTCGTCTTCCTCGTCCCTCGATGCTGGCAAAACGCCAGCGGGGACGGCATTGATGCAAGCGCCGGTCGTATCTAGTCTTAAGAGTGTTCAGGTTTAATCTGTGTTTTTTTGATTTTTGTTTTTATACCAAGTGGGAGGTTCAGCATTCGGGATGTGAAATAGGGTTGTTTTTATATGATTTTATTTTACGGGTGTTTTGCTGAGAAGAAAGGGCTTTTACAATATCAGTATTGATTTTCTGTTAGTTCCTTTTTTACAAGTATTGCATTGGTCATCCGTATCAATAAAATTATAACCGTGTTGGAAAAACCGTGAATGTTGTAGTTTCTGGAGATCCTGGACCTAATTGCCATGTTCAGGGCATAATTAGCGCGGACAGCTGAGTGGAATCTTATCTCTAAAACTGAGAAAATAACAAATCTTAAAAAATATTATATGTTTTTGAAATCAGAAGATGAAGCAGTACTCGCGGTGTATGTTTTTATGGGTTTAATACCGCATTCGGGGAGATTATGAATACAAAGTGCACCGATAAACCGAGACCGCCGACTGTTAGCCAAAATCTTTACTTGAAACTCGACAAAAAATGCAGAAGTACCGCACGAGTACCTTATCTCACACCTTTTTATACATGCAAATCTGAACTTATAATGTGCCAAATGGTTTTACCCCCAAAAGTCTGTGCTAGTAAACAAAGGAAATTAATTAAATTATTACAATTTGTCAAAAATAATTTGGTCGATGCTCAGTATACATGTGCTTATATATAGGAAAGAACACGCATGCGCACGCATGAAAAGGTCATGAGTGTAATAAGACGCCATCTGATAAAATAAATATGATCAAGAATGTTGCGGCATCTTCGAAAAAATAAAGTAAAAATGTTGACTATGTACTTGTATATTTGGTGTGGACAAATTGCATTCTGCTTTAATTACCCTTTCTGTATTACAGCAATAGCTGTAACATTTGTAAACAGTTTTTTTGGCTGAAAAGTCTACTTTTTTGGTTCAACCGAAGTTGTCTTTTACTTCTGTTTGCTGTTTATTCTGCTCAAAGTCTCCATAATTAATCACGAGAAAGTCGACTACCGCTAACGGTTAAGCAATGTTACTGTACTAGGAAAGTGCACCGCTGTGGGCTAGCACTGAAAGACCGAAGCGAAGCGGGAAACAAATTAAATAAACACTTTCGCAGGTTTATCTTTTTTTAAACTTCCCACTTTAATTTATTATTTTTTGTGTTCATTAAATACAGTCTTCAACATTATCTTCCTCTTATGAATTTTATGTAAAATATGAAGGCGTGACCTACATGACCGATGTGACCGACTAAGTCCCGTTTTCTTGAACATAAAGGACCTTCGCTTCGCTTCGGTCGATTATCAGGATTACCGGTATCCGCCTGTATTCAGTTTTTACTACGTCCGTGTGTCATCGCTGTGTTGTCGTTTTTGAATCTGCAGATTGGATCTGCGCAGTGCCTTGTTCTTCTATATTATATGCATTGCCGTCTTTTTTTAAAACACAAATGCTTCTGTTTCAAGCAGAAATTATATTTTTATATTTGGTTAATATTGTATCTAGAATACGCGCAGTAGCACAACCATTGCATACAACAATTCATACTATTATAATCGCCTACATTAAGTAATAATTATCAAGTAACATGATGTGACCCGCTGGTTTTTCGGGGGGCTAAGTTAAGTCATAAGCTAAATTAATTACTTATACAAAATGGAGGTAATCCGAATGCTAGTTCTACTGCTGCAATTATTAAGCAAAGGGAAATCGTAAGTTATTCAGAGTATACTTTGTCGAAGCCGATGAATTGACATACAATGTGTTTAATGTATGTGCGCAATCGTATAAGTCGGTTAACCAGCGATATTGATACTGGCATACACAAAATATTATTAATTTTTACGATTAATTACCGTATGTAAATTGTGTATGTTTTACTGTTAGTGCTCATAAATCTACGACTAGTGCAGCATTTCATATTAGGTAAGTATACTATCGTAAATCTGTAGGTACGTACTACTGTACATCGATATCACGTTTACTTCTACAGATATATCGCATGCGCGAAAAGTGCTTGTGAACTGCTTGTGAAAACTTTGCAACGCTCTTGTTGTTGGTCAATACAGTAATGTATTGGTTGCTACCCTACGGTAGGTTTCATCCAGTACACAACGTGTATCCTAATTGCCAATTATGATGACAGCACCATTACTTAACGCGTCCCGACCTTCTCAGATATATGGGAATCCATCTTTGTGCTCTTGTGGTTTTGCACCGGAAACAACATACCACTTTTCCAATCATTGTTCTTTTTATAAGCATCCCTCGTTTACTGTATTGCGAAATTCCTAGAACATGCTGGCTTTACAGAACTGGGTTTCCTTAACATAAAGTGGCTGTTGCCGCCGCTTTCTGAAGTTTTGGAGCTCTCAAACAGATTTCGGTGATCCAATGATAAGCGACTAGTTTTTACTGTCTATGCTTACTCTGTTACCTTGGCAATTCTAATAATTTGATATTTGCTGGAGCAATGGTCCTTGAAAAGACTACGTATACGCTTTATGTTTATGCAACAACAACAACAACAACATGACAGCACCAGGATAAGCCGTTCATCATATCTGATGGGATCGAACAGGCAAAAATGTACCGAGGAACTGGGGAGTAATCATCAGGATGCAGATATTGTGCTACCTCGTGACCTCATATAGCCGCCGAGCCGATATGAAGCCGCAACCGTAGCCAGCCGATTGGATACCGATATCTCTAAACAGGTGATTTTTTCTCTTAAGCTTTTATTGAATGTCTGCGGTTAAAAATTTACAGGAGCAAATACCATGAACGCATAATGTATGTTTAAAGATTCTATCGAATGTGGATAAGCTGAAGTTGCATGAGGATTTACTGGATGTTATCACCAATCTCACAACCGGCACCCTCTAATCGTATCATAGGGAAATTTCGATCCCCGTGTAATTCAACACCAGTAAATATTTTCCGGATTTGTTAAAGGCTACTTTGTGGGTATCGAAATTCCTGGTTGATTACATTCAGATTTCCGGTCAGAATTTCTGTGAGTGTGCCGGTAAATTAAACGAAATTAATAAAATCACGATATTTGCACGATCCGCTTTTGTCAAAATTACACTCGGCGTGATGTCCAACTTCCGGGGAAGACTGTACACATGCCTGGTGTTCTATTGTATGACTTACGATCAGTGTGGGAACTGTCGCGACGACAAGGCCACGTCGGGTCGTAATTTGACCGACCATCCCAGCGCTGCAGCGCATTCTTGCTCGCAGTACATAATTTTGGTAGGTCATCTGTCTCTGCGGCAGACTTAATGATTAAAAAATGAATACTTCAAGTATACTGCACATTGTGCACAATGCGCTAATTGGTGTCTGAGATACAGTAATCGACTTAATGTAATGAATAGTATCTGCCAGGATGTTTTATTAGTTTTTGAATTTATATTGTACACAGTGCTGGTATCAATTTCTCGAGGTTTATACTGCAGCGCAAGGCTACTTCATTCTTTTTTTAGGCCCCTTTGTGATGTGCAGGTCGGCCTGCCCTTTTTTGCGGCGCCAAAGTGTTGCCTTGTTGTCAATTACGTAACACTTTGTTTCATTATTTTAGTAAAATTGTTAACTACGCTGTATCGACGATCTTGAATTGCACCAACCACAGGACAATAAAGGCTGACAAACAAAGTGATGCAACGTGTGCGGGCGGCAACAGTAATAATACCAATATCACAAACCCGTATGTCGCATCACGCCATGACTGAATTTAGACAAAGTTAAAAATCCAAATTTGCTATTGAATGGGTTTACGTTCTACGGTTCTACCGTCGAAACTCGAAAGGGCGTATAGTATAAACTATAAGGTATCACTACGGTTGTAGCATGAATCTGTCTGCGCCATGCTGCGCAATACACATTTTGCAATGCTGCGCTTACCGTCGTACCGCACAGCCAGGAAACGACCGGATAACTACGAGTAGGGTCACTCACGTAGCTCCGCTGATTAGAAGGGAGCGCAGACCAGCGTCCTTTGACATTTCATGTAATTTATTACATAATTAATTCCTGATACAAGTTTGGTTGACGTGTTTGCTGTAAAACTGATACAAAACAATGTGGCGAAACCGATGCAACCTTTTAAAAAAGTTATAAATGAAAAAGGATAGTGATACAACATAATTCGGAAAACGTTCTCGCCATCCCATTCATTCAAAGGTAAGTATTGTCTTTTTTAATTGAGGTCATGCGCGTACACATCGTAATGAATAGAAATTCGAAGCAGAAATTAATAAAATTTTGTAAGCTAGGACCTATATTCGGTCAAGGTACTGAAAATTCGAACATATTATACTGTTGAGGTTTACCGTTATAAAAATTTGAATATCTTGCATGCATGAATTATTATAATTTATATACGAATTTTTTTAACCGTTTCTCCGTAAACAGTACTTCAGTATACACGTATGCTAGCTAGCTCAGCGGAGTCGGCGTTACTGATCTTATCTCGTTTCTTGGCTTGGTCTATTCTAATGGCTTTGAGCTGATCCGTAGGTGCCTGGTACTGCAGCGTTGTGTCTGCCGCTAGACCATTGGCTCGTTTGCTTATCCAGCCTCTCACCATACCGTACGTTGATTGGCTTTGTTGGTCATGGTTAAGTAGACAGAAGCCTCCCAAAAAAATAGTTACCGATTAGAGGCAGTACTACAGCTACATTTTCGGATCTCATTAGTACTGTAGATCCATTCCGAAATCCCGTAAAATATTTTTAAAGTACACACTGTAGAATGGAGTATGGAGCAATTTAATGTATGTGAAAAAATAGTCCTCTCTATCATTGTTGGTTCAATCAGTAATTTTCTGGGAGCCGAATACTCCAAAATCGCAGCGGATCCCGAGTATTTTATATTACGATGCTTCATTTTAACAGTTCCTATTGTAATTATATCAGGGATAGTGGGATGGACTTATCGCATTCGGTTAAGGAGATATTGCGCTGCTCTGTCTGCGTGTTGCTCTTGGATTGGAATAAAATTATGCAGTCTTTTACGCAGAATCCGCCGCCGCTGGGCAGGAGACCTGACAAATCGTGTTGCGGCTGCCGAGTCCCACGTCGTTCGTTTACATGGATCTGGTTCGCAGATTCGCGTAAGGACCCTCGACCCAGCGGGAGACTATCAATACGCGGACCAGGTTTAAATGTAAGCAGTGGCAATCAGAACAGTGATCTCCTGACTGATCACCAGGAACCGAAGGTCATCAAATCGTAACACCGCTCGCTTATGTCCTCGCGCCACGTAGCCCGCCGTCCACGACTGCGCGCAGCCTGTCGAAGAAATGACCCCGTATGTTTATAATATGATGTGTTGCAGGGTTTCGGAAATCGCGAAATCCGCATCTATACGGACGCCGGAAGAGCGGCTCGGCCTGTGTTAGTTGTTGAGGAGGAAAAACAGACGCTGAGATTCCCGAACATCGAGGTAATTCGTTTGTGTTGCACTGGTGAACAAAAACCTTTAAATACTTTCACTTCTCTGTTTTGCAGTTGATGATGCTTTTGACGAACAAGGACCTGTACATGAACGAAACGTTTGGGTAAATATGAAGACTTCGTTCGATTGTTTCTTTATCATGTTTTTACCATAATTAAAGTCAACAACTTCGATATTGCAGGTGGAATGAATTACTTTCGCAGGGGTTTGTGGAATACATTGACGTTCACGAGGAGGAGTACATCATGTGTGCCATGCATCCACGGGATTTCTCTCGCAACCGGGGATACTGTCATACGTACACCCATTGTGAAATCCATCCTTCCATGATCCTGGGTGTCTGTGGCTCGATCATCCCTTACCCAGATCACAATCAGTCACCGCGTAATACCTACCAGTCGGCCATGTCCAAACAGGCTTTGGGCGTCTACGCAACCAATTTTAACACCCGCATGGACAGCGAAGCGCAAATATTGCATTATCCCCAGCGACCGCTCGTGGAAACGGCTTCCATGTCACATTTACGTTTCCGCGACATGCCAGCCGGGATCAACTGTATTGTCGCCATTGCCAGCTACACGGGCTACAACCAGGAAGATTCCGTTATCTTGAATGCCGCCGCCGTCCAGCGGGGGATGTTTCGGCACACCCTGTACACGTCGTATCAGGCCAAAGAGGGCATGTCGACATACCGGAAGAATATGGAAGAAATTGAAGTGCCTGATCCGGATGAATGCGACGGAATGCGGCCGGTTATGTACGAAAAACTGGACGATGATGGCATTATCGAGCCGGGAGTGCGGGTGTCGGCAAGTGATGCGATTATTGGAAAAACCACAACCACCGGATCGCGAGCAAAGCCTTTGTCGGATGAAGAGGTGAAGTTAACAAAAATTAAACGAAACGTATTCCAGTGTGTAACCGTTTGCTGTTTAATAGATAAATCCAGAAATGTCAACAGAGAAGCCCAAGAAGGACACCAGCGTCCTGCTTCGTTCATCGGAAACAGGGATTGTTGACCAGGTGATGGTGAGCATGAATGTGGAAGGGAACAAATTCTGCAAAGTGCGGGTCCGCTCTGTAAGGACGCCGGTAATGGGAGACAAATTTGCCAGCCGCCACGGACAAAAGGGAACTGTTGGTATCATATATCCAACCGAGGTATGGCGGTAAACAACCAATACAACAATAACATACAGTGATATACTGTACAATACAGTGTTTAGTGTTATACAAAAATTATGACGCTTCAAAGTTAAAGTGAGGGCATTTTATTGCAACGGGAGCAAGAGACGTAAGAACTTTACAATTTGACAGATATTTTGTTCTTCTAAACTCGTATCGAATAGTGTTTGCGACACCGCTTAATTTAGGAATCAACAGGCAGATTTTTGTGTAGGATATGCCCTTTACTTCGGAAGGTATAACACCGGACATTATCATCAATCCGCACGCTATTCCGTCCCGTATGACCATTGGTCATCTTTTGGAATGTCTCCAGGGCAAAGTAATCGCATGAACGTCTTACCCCTGAATACAAGCTATTAACTGATTCTCTTCAGGCTTCCGCAGTTCAAGGAATCTACGGTGTCGGTACTCCATTCGAGTCTCCCGAAGTGAAAGAAATAGCTGCGATCCTGAAAGACAAGCAGTATGATCAGTATGGCAACGAAGTGATGTATAAAGGATTTTCCGGCATGAAACTCACCTCGCAAGTGTATATTGGCCCAACGTTTTATCAGCGCGTAAAGCACTTGGTGGAAAACAAGATGTACGCCCGTGCACGTGGAGCCGTGACCGTGCTGTGTAGACAACCACAGGGAGAAGGAAGGGCGAGGTGATCACTAATATTTCTGCGGCCGTATTAAATACATTTATTTCGGGCCCATAGGATGATGATAGGCGTTATTGTTAGGGGTTTTTTCTACTAAATCGTTTATTGTTGCCCCATTTTAAGAAAACCGTATGGGATTTTAATATTCTTATTTATTTATTTGAGAATACTGTTTTCCCATACTGTTACGATGTAGTTTGTCTATTTCAGAGGCGGTGGGTTACGGTTTGGTGAAATGGAACGGGATTGTTTGATAAGCCATGGCGCGGCTCTGAATCTGCGGGAACGATTGTTCGAAGTGTCGGATCCGTATCGGGTTCATGTGTGTGATAAGTGTGGATAGATTGCTATGGCTAATCTTACCAACAGGACCTTCGAATGCCGACGCTGCGTCCGAAAGGTTGATGTATGTGTTATGTTGCCTAGCTAATTTTTTCTTGGAACTCTGATACATACGCCACGGTACGTTGCAGGTTTCGCAGATCACGATTCCGTATGCCTGCAAACTGCTCTTCCAGGAACTGATGTGTATGGGAATCTCACCGCGCATTGGGGTTTAGCTAGTGTGGACTATGAGCTCTTGCTGTTTTATGGAGAGTCCGGCGCGAAGACATTGTTTACGCTGTGCTGATGTTTTATGAGGTTTTTTGTACAGGGTTTTTCAGTATTGTGATTGGTGCAGATTCTCCACTGTCTTTAGACTGCTTTATTGATCTGAAATTTCCGATTCACCGAACTTTTCTGACTGAATGGAACCGGGTCTTTAATTTTGAGAAAAAAGTTGCGCTGCACATTGTACACATTGCTTTCAGTTGCTCGCGTGACCGCGTCTGATCTTTTTTCCAACAACACATGAGGATGTGCTTCTTAGTTGTAAATGTTACCTTGCAAATCCTTACTTGCAAATATGCCCTTTGAGCGAAGATTTGACGCATTGATGTGAGCTTGCCGAAGTGACAGCGATCTTGAAAGTGCTTGTGATGTACTCATAAATCCCGCAAAGATGGGTGGGCGGTTTTTTGCTTTTGCTGTTGTGGGCAAAAGTAGGAGCCTGCTGGGACAGTTATCTGGTTTCACGACAATCAAAACCGAGGGGCAATAAAAATTGTGAATTCAAGGTATCTCGAAGCTTATTAAAAATAAAAAAAGTAGTAGAATTAGTCCAAGTGTCGCTTCTAACGATTCTTAGCATTATGACTCATTTAAGTACATTGTCGAACAAATGCCAAACCAAAGAAGCTGAAGAATCGGAAACGCCCATACACATGAAAAGAATTAGTTTGTCATTGTCATAAAGGTAACATCATCAGAATTTCGTTCCTTGAAGTTATTCTTAACATTGAACTTCCTTCAAAGCATGTTAAAGTTAAAGCGAAAAATATCGATAGATGTATTTTAGTGATGTAAATTGTGCAAATTCCTTTCAGTTGCTCGCGTCTAATCTTTTTCCAACAACAAATGAGGATGTACTTCCTTCTCCCAGTATTCAGGTGCTAAACAGCAACGAAAACGCGTTAATGAATTGTATATTAAGGAGTCGCAAAGGGACTAACTAAAGAAGAAAGTAACGCGGCAGTCTATGATGGAAGTTTCTTTTAGAAGACCGGAAACCAGTGCCCTGTATGACACCGGCTTTCGTAAAATCGCTTCCTAATTCCTACAGCCAGCCGATAAGTAATACTGCACGTACCATTGAGAAGGCCTTCAAAATCAATAGTTTCATCTTTGCCATTCAGGACATCCAGATGGAGGTTGGATGAAGGCATTACCGAATTTCGCGAAGGCTGCAAACACAACAAGTACAACTGAATTTACGGGATTTTATTTTCTAATATGAGCCGACCTTGGGCAATTTTCAATAGTAACAACAGCAGCTGACCAAAAATTCAGAAAAAAGCCTCACAAAATCAGAACTCCAGGTGAATTCGGCTATCGGCGGATTACAAGCTACCCATTCTCACTTACAACGATACTTATAAAAACCACAGTTTAACCACAGCACCTGTTTAACCAGAAATTTTTCCATCTGTAGACGCAGAGGAGCATGGATTCCTTGAGTCGAGCGAAGCATGGCGTAATTCATTCGATCTTCCTTTGTATCATGCTATAAAGATATTCGCATTATGACCGCATACTTAAGGTTAACCGTAAACACCGATCTGGTAATTTGGAATAGAATATTTGTTACCCGTAAAATAAAAAAAACTGGTGCTAGTTTTGCGACTCACAATCAGAGCATACGAGTACAGCACTCACATATAATTCAGACATTTCCAAAGGATAAACATCCGCCGCCTTTCGTGCTACAGAGGACAGACTGAAAAAAACAATTTTGTAGTTAAAAGCAGTGGAAGTCTTGACAGAGCTGATGCGGTTATGCAGACAATCGACAGAAACTTAACGCACCCCGACTGCAGAACATCACGAAGTCCGTGGGGATTAACGCTTTCCTGCTCGACCGCGCTGTCGATACTCGCATGATTAATGGCACAATTCGCGTGGAAGGTAGGGTATCCGAAGCTCTGGAAGCAAAATTTCCGTTATATACACTACATAACACAGCGCGTTTTGCAAGGCAAGCAACAGAATTACCATTTCTCAGATTTCTGATTCCTGATATGAAGAATAAATTCCCGACCAAAACTCGGGTAAGCAGTGAGCAGTGATTCAAAAACAAGCTGTAGTCTGCAGATGTCCTTTGCCAGTTCACGCGGAAGTTTATCAGTTAATCAAAACAAAGAAGATAAATGAAAGCAACAGCAATACAAGGCCCAAGGGAGATATCAGAAACTGAACAATGCAACGAAGAACTTTGGCAATGCTGTGTCGACAATCCCACGCAGCAATTCCCGTAGGGATAACGAAGATGACGGCAACAAATAATCCTACATACAATCTTCGTTCGTTATTATCAGGAGGGATTACCTTGTACCCGACGTATCCACACAAAATCTCAGAAACGACTATGAACAAAAGCGACCAGCCGGCTAACGGAAGCACAAATTTAGAGAGATACCAATGCATTTTGCCATACTTCTAGTTTTAAAATAATAATCGTAAAACTTAAGAGTCAGTTCGGTCAAAATCTCAGAACGGTCAGAATCCAAATCATCACGCGTCGCCGTGCGGTTTGCCCAACCAAGCTATTTTCACTTAACGGGTACAGTATATATAACATGCGTAAGGCGGCATCTATAAATTACGTCACGCAAGTAGGGGGAGGGGAGGTACTCCCAAGCGTTACTGTTTGTTACAACGGGGAGGGGGTTTTAAAAGCTTGTAGGATTATGACGTCACCGTGCTATGTCTATGGAGGGGTAGACGATCTCAGTTTGTTAGCACTCGTGACAAAGGAAGAGGGGGGCATAAAAATGTCAAATTTTTCCCGTTACGTAATTTACAGATTCCGCCTAACGGGTTGCTGGATGGTGCATTGCCTACCGCTTGATACGTCAATAGGCCATTTGCGTTTCTACTTGTATGGCACACAAGTAAGTAAGGATCCATCTATACAAGTAGCGCTAAACCCGACCGGAAATGGGCTTATGTGTAGGGCTCACAACGTGTTTGAGCGAGCTGGTGTGCGGTACTCGTGTAGGTGCCAGCATGTACACATACAAGTAGCCGATCTGACTGCCAGTTGATCTCCAAAATTTTGACAACTTATCTTTCGTTTACCTCTCAACGGATCTTCCCAAGCGACATATCAGAAGATGTAGAATTAAATTTCGAGATCAACCGGCAGCTGCATCTGCTATTTGTATGTATGCATGCAAAGGGGTGGAGTTACAGACATACACGTAAGGGCCTTACGTGGATGAATTTTTGGCACCGCCTTCACACACGCATACATCTAATTTGCGCGGCAGCGAATCGCCGCGTTCTGGGTTCGGTCATCACGTAACTTGTATTGATTACTTGTCTGCCATACAAGTAACCAACGCACATGGTTTAATATACACTCTGCACTACGTAAACCTTACGTTACGTAGTTTGCACGCACAGTTCCGTACTACGTACGGCATCCGCATCTCCATTTTATTTTCATTCGATCAGCTGACGCCGCCACACTTAGGCCTCGTCCCGGACAGACGTCCCCTTTCTAAAGCGTATCGCGTTACGATACAGCATCGTATCTAGTTTAGATGCAGTACAGAAATGGGACACCATAGATATTATGTACTGTATATATAGTCTCCTGTAGTACTTTGTAGTATCAAAGGAGGAGCAACATGACCGTAAAAATTCATGCAACACTATAGAAAATGGAAAGCCGCACTTACCTACTCACCTGCATCTCTGTTCCTGTACGAATGCTGGCGAGTGTGGATCCAGCGTAGTAATTATTGATTTGTTACTGCTACATCTCGAATTTATCAGGTAAGGTCTGGTAATGAAAAGAGTGTGTAAAATCTGACACATTTAAAAACAAACATTCAGTCTTCGCGTTTTCGCTGTTACGAAGTTGCTGCGTAAACCAGATACAGATACAATGACCAATCGGTTTACAAGATTTTTCTCCCATACTATATTTTCATATAAACACATCACTTGTGTATAAAGTTGAAAACGTATATTTGTTTATTCCCTGCTACTGTTGAAGATAATCTGACAAACAGAATTCCAGCAACGTCTTGATATGCGGTCATCAGGAAAATATCAAAAAATGACAGTTATTCGTAATTTCTTGGTTGGAATTGGTCGTTGATTTGTGAGAACAAACGTAGATTAGCTGAACAACGCTGGCCGTATACAATGGATTCCGACAGTGAACGAAATTATCAAGAAGCTGTTTTGAAAATTGTTTTTCTTGGAGAGCCAGGAGTAGGGAAGGTATAGTAAAAACGTTAACGACAAACATATATACATTCTCCTTAATTGTGAAAATACGTTTTTTGTGCTAGACGTCCATAATTCATCGCTATTTAAATGACCAGTTTAGCGGTGATTCCATTCAGACCAGTGGTGTGGAGTTCCATCGCAAGCGGATTTCCTTTCCGGGTACGTACATATTACCTATTCCGTCTACACCCTGATCAACAATGTGCAGTGTATGTGGGCACACAATCGCATGTCATGAGGATGAACCGCTTAATGTATTATTAGGGAATACTGACGTCAGTTTGCACATTTGGGATACCGGCGGCGCTGCCTTGATTAGCGGAATGCTCAGTTCGTACCTGCACGAAGCACATGTAAGTTATGGTTTCCACAAACAGTGTATGCTGCAAGACGAAAATGTATACTGGACGACGAAATGAGCAATACGATCCTATCCGAACACATGTATGCAGCATTGCGGCGCTCATGTGATAGAAGTATTGACCTTTGCTTACAGTTTCTCAAAATCTCTTTTATCGATTATTTATACCTTCGTTAAAATTAGATCATGTACGTCTGTTAAAACAAAAACAGATCGCTTTTCAGTCAAGGAAAAGAAAGCGTCGTCATACCGATGGAAATATCTCTTGTTGTTGACCCGTTTAATAACAGTCCGTAAATTGCTATTTCCATGCAATAAGAATGGAACATAATTTGCAATTGGCGAGCATGACCGGGTTTAGATAAAATATAAGTACTTAATTACGTAGTGCTGTGCCATGTACAATACGTAACATATGTATCTACAATTTAAAATGTGCATCAACCATAATTATAAGGTGCTCTTGTAAATTATTATCGTTTTAAGGTAATATATTATATTATCGGATGGGACTAATGAGTTTAGGCTGGTCGACTGTTCTTACTACAAAGTATGTTGGTGGTTGGTTCATGATAACTCTGTAGGAGCGTTTAACGACATGGTTGACAACGAGGATGTGTTTTTTGCTTTTAAGCCAGCTAAACGGAAGTAATGGTTCTGTTATTGATTATTAATGTACTGTTATGAATACCAATAAAATACTGATGACTGAAAAAAAATTATTTTACACTCTGTAGGTAGCTGGTACTTAGTACTTTGCAGCAAGCTTAAGTCATAATTCAGTACTACATAGACACAAATCCTATAAGAAAAAGTGTTAGTCAGATGCCCAAAAATTGGTTCCCGTGATCCGTAAAATATATAAATGTGATACGCAACAGTTCCATTAAAAACAGGAGTGCCCTTTTAGAAGATTACGCATTCAAATTTTTTTGTTCTGTACTCGTACAGAGGCAGACTTTAGCCACCTACAACAATTATTTTTTCAGGTGCTTGTGTTCGTGTACGACATTACTAACACCAATTCCTTTGTGAAGTTGACGGACTGGTTTGAGATGATACAGAAATACTACCCACCTACCGTTGATGGAAGCAGTAAACGAAAAGATCCATTTATGGCCGTTATTGGGAACAAGTGTAAGTTGAATACTTCTATCGACAATAATTACGTATACGGCGTATAAGGATAACCTGAGAATGCTGTTGCCAGCAAATAGAAACTATGCTTTTCACAGCTGACCTTCAGCATCTGCGTACCATCAAACCCGAAAGAGCCATGAAATTTGCTCAAGAACGAGGTGTTGCGGAGACCGGCGTTATATCGGCGCAATCGAATGACGGCGTTCATGTTCTGTTTCGGAAAATAACGGCTACTGTGCTAGGGTTACGGTTGGGACGTGCTGATTTTGAACAAGACATTGTTGCTGCTCAGGTAAATACAAATACTGGTGCAGTAAAAGTAACACCCAGCTGGTAAATCTTTAATTATTATATTCATATTTATGGGGGTATTTTTCGATTACATGGAAGGTTAAATGGGCACCGGCTTTCAGTTTTCAGTTTGTGGTTATTTTTACTGCAGCTATTAGATCCAGACACCGGCGGTAGCATGTTACTTTAAAAAGTTAAAAGTTTAAGTTTAAAGAGTTTAAAAGTTTAAAGTGCGTTTTGCCTGTTAGTAAGATCATTATTTTTTAATTAAATCTAAACCCGCGTGAAAATCAGTGCATGCTATTGTGCATGCTATTGTCACAGCATCTTAACTTTTATACTACCGTTTATTGATAAACCAGATCAGGTTTCAGTTTTTCTAGCTAGCTGTAAGTTAAAGTGTTTGTTACTTGGTTTGTGTATGAAATTTACGTAAGCAGCCATTCAACACGTAGCTACAACTCCTGTAAATGCAGGATAAAGGTTATGTGTTGGCGTACGTGTATCCGAGATCGCTCAGGCCTCAGGGTAGTACTCGTCCTGTTTATTTTTTTATTTTTTGTTAAAAAAAATTTTTTTTTTATTTAATTGTAGGTATGTAGTTTTCCAGCCAGACGTTACGCTATAATGTACCTGCTGTGTATTCCTTTCACAGAAGAAATCAGTCAATGTGTCTGGCCACTAATTATTTTGAATGTTGTGGCCATGTTTAATTATTCCAGCACCCTACCTACCCTAGCATGGTGTCATTCACAATAGTTAACTGCAGAAATCGTCACAACACTAATAGCCAATAAAGTGATAGTGACGTGAAAGATTGCATTGTCGGATTTATTATGAGCCCTGCTTTTTCTAGCTCCCACAAAACTCCAGGGATCCCAATCCAATAATACGGCCCACTGGCAATCCATCACGCTCATCCATCTGTGCTATTTCTTAGAGGATAAGGATTGCTTAACGTGCATCTAAATTCAGTATTTGACTTCTCATGAGAATTTTTGTTTTTATGCACAACTTCTTAGATGTGTTCAAACAGAGAGTTCCGGGACGTATAATTCTGGAGCACGCCGCTGGTATTACAGTAATACAAGCACGCCGACACAAAGCGCACCTTGAAGTCATTTGCACAACCGTAGTGGCATGATATTAAAACTGACAGTCAGATGTATCGGTGGAAATTCATACTTTGCACCTTCCTCGGTTATGAGCAAAATTATCTGTGGTACAGAGCTTGCAACAAGAACGTTTATTAAAACTCTGCTTAAACCGTTTAAAGTAATCACATTTAGAATTCGCTCAGTTTGTAAATTTTGCAAATAAATAACATCATCTCGAGATATAATTGCATTGAAACCTTCTTCACTAAAACATCACAGCAGCAAACACACTTTTATATAAGTCGGTTAGAGTACATAATTATATAAAAATAGTGCTGAATGCAGAATATTATTTCACCTTTTTAAACAGGATCAACTCTAATAATCGAGAACTTTTTAGATCGCTTTTATAATCTGGGATTGTGTAAGACTATAATATGCACAGCGTTTGATGTTAGCATATATGCCCATATAGAAGTATAGCAAATACATCTTTCTCTCGAGTCCAAGTGTACATGCGGTCAGCCTGCAGGAATAGCCGGCCTCCCTCATTTAATTGTGGAATTCCTGTTCCAGAAGGCTGCACATTTCCATCAAGCCTTCATCCAGATTCCGTGCAAACATTTTGGTACTGGTCTTTTTACAGCTTCGCCAGCTGGAGATGCAGAAGAGAATTTGCCGCTCGTGCAGATTATAAGAGCAACCGTAACCACCCTTGACGACCGGCCCATAACCCATAAAAGTTCTTTCGTCCGTAGTCGGCACCTACAAAATAGAGAAAACTTCCGTGCTATTTGTTTTCTAGAGCATACTGCATAGCGTGAAGGTCATTTCAATATGCAAGACCGTTTTCAAAAACGTAAACATCAATATTAAATTTTAAAAGTACATCATAATTATATTGTATAAGTGCCTATCAAATAAACGGTTTAGTGCAAAAGGTCATGCACTGTGAATGAGTAGAAGTTAAAATGTCTTCAAATATATAAAAAAAGAATAACGTTCTGTATAACAAAAAATGCATTTATGATCGATTACCGTAACTTCGACTTCAAAGCTGGGAATTCTAAGGGCGAACAAATGCCACAAGAAAAATTTTTCACTACGTCAGTAAAAAGTCTTTTCACAAAATTTGCAAATTTGTGCTATCAAATTCTTGAATTTAACGTTGAAGGAGATATTTTGTTATGATTACATCTCTAGATCTAACTCGATAAATCAAACGGCGCAGCAATGGGCCTACGTCTATGCAAGTTACCGCATGTATGCATAAGAGATTAAATTCATCTGTACGCGTAAGGACTGCCATGTGAAATTAAAGTTTTTGTTTGCTCTCATCAGTCTATATCGTGTTGAAGTATCATCAAACGGAATAAGGATACCTGACTAGTGGACAGCAGGAAGCAGTTGAAGTATTTAAAGTTTTCGTCGTCGAAAACTTCCGGCACGTATCCGGTCGTTTGCACACCGATTTCTCTGAGAGCAATGAAGTAATTATCGACTCCTTGTCCACGAATGGCCTGCAGCCAGAACAATATATAATCCTGTTTTATAATCCTCTTTTATAAAACGGGTTGGGGCTCATCCCATTATTCGCCGCCTGCCGGTATATATGCGCGCATTTTAATTGGAATTCCACTCGAGTTACCTTATTCATAACGTCCGTCTGTCTGGCCATGGCTTCCCGAAACAACTTTAATTGCTCTTGTTTACTGTGCCCGTTTAAAACCATCGCCTTCACCCATGCCAGCGCTTCTTTTGTGGCCGCTCTAATCACGTCAACTCGCCCATAGTTGAAACGCCGGATCGATGCCGATTCGTACGTGGCCACCAAATGTCCGTGTGACCTTTAAAAAAATTATCAAAACAGTGAAAACAACAAATCTAGAATTTTAAACTTAAACTTGCATTTTAAAATTTAGATATGAGGGTCACACTTAAATTTATGAAATCCTTTTTAGCTAGCCTAAAATCCACATTGATCGAAGTACGCAGTATCACTATACTCGTCCTGTAGAAATATAACAAAAAGCTTACCGCCAAATGCGTCAAAATGAGATAACAAGCCGAAGAAAAGCACAGCAACTCGGACTAGCAAAAACTATAGCTTTCGTTAATTAATTACTATACATATAAAAACCAAAATATAACAAAATTTGGAAATGCAAATACGTACGCAACAAAATATGCAACAGTCAAGCAGGATATTCATGGATTTTGCGATGGGCACGCAGCATGCGTTTATGGCGCCTAAAATTATTATTAACTCATAAGCGTGCATAAAATAAAAAATTGCCAAATAAGTGTGCGTGTGAAGTAAATTTGTTAGCCACCTAACAAGCTTTTGAGTGATGGATCTTTTATACCTTCGCAACGTCTCTGGTATGATACGTTTTTGTTTTTATGCTAATTTGACTGTGCCTTCATAAGCATACTTATAATAAGCCAGTTGCAATGCCAGTTGCACGAAGCAATCAGGACTCATTTTATATTGTTTGGGGATGTTCTTGCCGAACGGCTCAAAGCGGTAAACACGCAATTCCAGATCGCCAGCCAACCTGTTCAAACGGAAATTATTTCATTTTGCCCGAGTCAATATTGGAGCACAAGTGCAACGCGATATACGTCGTTCTCTTACTGATCAATTTCCAGACAGGTTGTGTCTAGTATGTCAAGAAGTTCGGAAGATAAACACCATTTGAGATGTTTCGGTGGATAAGGAGTATCGGGAGGTAGAATGCCGTCGACGGTGTCGCAGCCGCCGCCGTTTATCCCGTTTGCTACTCCGTTCTCCCGGTGACCGTTCGACGGCAAAATAGCCAGTCGTTCTCGCCATGATCGTCTAACACGAATGCAAATCAATTTTGAAATCGTTAAAATAGATTTCCATAATTAATCCATAATTAAAATGAAATGTAAAATCGCGTTACACATATGTGTATGTCTCTGTATCTGTATTAATACACAGATATACCGTATATATAATTTAAATTATGCAAATAAAGAATTTTATTCGGTATTGTTTATTATTGTTAAGAATTGTTACCAAATCAGCTTTGTTAGGAAATACACACGTATTGACTTTGTTCGGATTTCGGAATTGCTGTTATACATATATATGGCTCTGGATACCGATATTATATCTGTATATTAATGGTACATACCTAAAAGTATTTTTTACAGTAGCTCGAAAAGATATTTCGGTTAAACATGCCATTACACAGTTGCCAGTATGTGTTATGTGGCATTTGAAAGGAAAACTGTTCATATCGATAAACATGAACATATTCGTGGGAAACGTCCGGCAGTCTATGACCATACTGCATCTCGTCAAACTTACGCTTTATCGATGGCATATTCAATGCAGGCCACAACCGGAATGCCCTCAGCGGTGGAGTGCTCGTAATTTAAGCCACAATAGCCATTGCGATTTATGATCAGCTGCAAGGGCTTCTCGAACCATCGATTTCTGGAATGGGCAGTTGATCCTCCTCCGTGAATCATCTCGTGCAGCGTAGTGGTCTGCTCGTTAACATCAATATCGCTCATCATCTGACATTCTTCATCCAGGCATATTATAAACAGGCTGCTCTCGATGCTGCCCAAGGATTTTTCATTCGTTGGATCTGTACGGGACCAATGCCGCGGTTATATATATATTTCCACAGGGCTCATTTAATTCGGGAATGTTTGCCATTACTTAATTGTTACGATCAATCTTGATATATATGCAATATTTATCTCCGAATTCATAGTGAAAGTATATGGTTATTCTGCTCGATTGTGGTAAAATGTCACTCTGTTTAATCATCTCATTTTTTTCACATTCGGATTCTTGGAATTTATACAGGGACCGGCATTTTTCACCTTTTGTTAAGAGCTTATGCGTTTTGCCCCAGCGTCTTCGATCCAATGTCGTCAGCAGGCCAACCGGAAGCTGCGGACTGTTGTCGCTATTCTCCAGTATCCAATTGAGTTCTTTACTGATACACTCCACCGAGCGCGGCTCACCATGCTCAAACACGGCCATCTGATAAAACTGACCTTTGACGGCCACGATACAGTGTTGTGAGTGCTGGAAACGCAGGCGTTCATCCTGGATGATGCCGGGTCGACGGTAAGTGAGAAACATATTATTGTACTGCCGCATGCACAGCGGCTCATTGTTGCGTGTGTACTGTTGAGTTATATCTTCGTTATCGATCAGCAGTTTGTAATCTATAATGCCGCGTGCCACTTCCGCTACGTATCTGCAATTATCGGGAACACCATTATCAATAAACTCATATAAAAAAACTTTTCAAAACATTTATTCACGTTTAGAAATTACTAAAACTCAGTGCGCAATTATCGAATTATGTAAGCAGTGTTAAAATTAACGATATCGAAGTTATGTGTAACAATTGTACAAGATAGTAATATCTATATATATATAGTTTGTATGACTATATGAAGAATGAATTAATTAAATAAAACAATACACTTGGTCAAATATTTACCGCAACCACTGATGGTCGGTGTCGAAATGTTCCTTGGGAAGGACCATTCCGGGATTGGAATTGACGGGCAGGGCGAGTCCCATCCGGAAGTACATGTCATCCAGCCAGAAATCATGCGCCTGTCACAATTTCAAAACACGCGGTAAATGAACCACTCAGTTTGGGGCAGATATTAGCTAAATTTGTAAAATCATTACATCCCCGCCGCTATGCGCAGTTTTGTATCAATAATGAAGCTACTTGACGCCGACAACAAGTGTAGCAGGTGCGCCATCGATTGCATCAATCAGCGCATAACAACTTCATGTCTTCGTTCAACTAATTCGATTTTGTGCAGTAGTGGCGGCTAGTAGCAGCTGAATATCAAACCAAGCATTAAACTCAGCCTTCAAGCTTGAACGATTCCATTTGCAACGAAATTCATTCAATGCATACGAGTATATCTATAGAAGTATACTACTGTACGTATATTCGAAAAAGGCGCAAATATTGAAAAAAAGTGGAAAAACGGTAACATAATTTATACTACTAGTTCGCCGTTTCGGAGGCAAAATAATTTGGTGTATCATTTTAACAGTCATTAACCATTATAATATATTTTAGTAAAAACTTTCTAGTTTTACACACTTTTACTTTTAGCTAAAAATAAGCCAATCAAGCGCAATTCCGTCACAAATTTTTGGTTGTCTTTTTTTGCTATACGGTACACAACACAAATTGAATAACTTTGGAGCTTGTTTGGCCTGAATTTTATGCCACAAAACCACGTGCGGAAAGCACGTACATATAATTTGATAGAATTGTATAAATTAGCCGCTTTATAGGTCAAAGGGAAGAAATCCTATCCAGTGCTGTAATTATGTGGAACAGTAAATTTCACTTGCGTCTGCCCTGTAATCGTCTGGCCTGGGGTTGTTATAGGCACAGTGATTATAAGAAACGTCGACAGATTGGTTTTGGGGAAAAGAAAATTACTGGTAACAGTCACACATGTCGGTAGCTTTATTAATTGTAAGTTGTTAGGTCGTCTGTGGCGCTGATGAACCGACGTTTTTTATGATCAAATGCATGTAAAATTTTTAATTATTATTTAAAGGCGATTTGTGCATTATTGGCAGAGATAAATCTGTCTACGAGCAGTTCACACAGAAATCCGAAGTAATAAAGTTATATTTGATTCAAATAATAAATTCAAGTAATATTTGCAAGACGAATACCTAAGTGATTGTGACTTCCGCACCGGCAAAAACCGGGTGCGTAACATTATGCTGATGCGAAAATTGCAATTTGTAGAATGTGGTAATTCTATACATCCTGACAAGTCCAGCCTCATCGTTTACATGGTAATGCATTCCCTGAATAGGAAAATGGTAATGAGTAACATGGGAAATTAGATGAGAAAGGGAAAGGGGACGCAGCGAGGGATTATCGGGATATATGCATTGACGGGATAAGCCGCCGTCTCTCGGTAGAAGAAAGTGATCAAACTGTAGTATAACTACTGCATATACGGCAGCCTAAATCAGTCCTCTCTTGGCTTACACTATGCTCCAGGGACTCATCGCCGGGACACAAACTAACTTGACGTATCGTAAAAATGGTAATGCCACAAAATCTTTGACAAATCCCGCCGCTTTACCGGCTGAATACATTAAGCTGTGTTAAATTAATCTGAGCAAATTGCCACAGTCAATTGCGGCGTATATATATACATCCGCGTACATGCTATGTGCACATACCCAATTATCCGATTTGGCGGCAAACTCTTCCAGCTTCTGATGGAGTTGTTGTCCCAATCCGCCATTCTCCAGGAATTTGTCCACCTGTGCTTTGGCCCGCTGCCAATCTTCGGGGCTGACAATGGCACTCAGATCATTGAGGTAGGTCTGGAAGCATTCGCTGGGCGAGGGGACCGGTAATTTCGGTGGAATAACGTAGCGCGTAATCGACATGGTGGCCGCCGTGCGGTGGTGTGCGCGTGCAGTCCCGGTGTACGGGCGCTATAAAAGTCACACACACAAAAAGCGACAACGCACACACACGCAATAGATGGCTTAAGCCGGATGGGGTTATCCAATGACACAGCTCCGTGCGACGCTGTATACTCTCGTGTCAGCTATGGTGCGCCGAATTATAACTGTCGAGTGTTGATAGGTCAACTGTGTGCTGACACTCTCGGTCTTGATGAAGTAGAATTGTGAGGAAGTTGTCTGGTCGTTTTATTTGGACATATATATTTATCAAACCAACTGAAGATGTGGAGCTGTGTGTATGTGTTAGCGGATCATTATAAAGAGTCCCGCAAAAGAAAGATGAGTCAGTACTGGAAGTGTATGTATGTGTTTTTATCTGGCGGGCGTTTTTCTTCGTGAGCTACGTCGGGTTGGCATTAATAAGAAAAGGGGAGGGGGACGGCGATCAGGATGCGGAATTAGGCACCGTGGAATTGTTTGCTTATGCGTGTGATGCGCCGTCTTGGAAATACGGCGATGACGATGTGTGTGTATGTGTGGTGCTGCTGCGTGTATGGATTGCCGCATGCAAGAAGGAAGTGGTCTTCTTCAATCAGGGATTGGTTTGGTCCCGTTGACAAGTTTACAAATGATTTGCGCCCCTACTGGGACTGTGTACACGAGTCATTAGTGATGAAGGCCGCTGCAGCCAGCAGCCGCCGATGCATGGGGAGGGAAGGGCGAAATCTACATTCGACAGTGAGCAACGGCCGCGGGCCGTTTATATGCCTCCCGGCAAACCATTTGGCCTGCGGTTCATTTTCATCGATTTCCGGTGGCTGACTTGGCTGTCATTTCCCTGCCGTACAGTATGACTATGCGTTTGAGTATATGCCTCTTGACTATCGTTATCGGCAACACTGGCTACTTGTCGTGCGGAAGCGAATACAATTGGATTTTTCTTTTCTCCTGCCGATGAAAAAGCCAGCGCGCGTCGGCTGTGCAATGATGAAAAATGAACTCACAAAAACCACCGGTACTTGTTAAAGGGAAAAAAAGTTCGTTAAGCTAATTGTGGCGATGCAGTCGTAACCTTTAGGGTAATTTAATTAGAAGCACGCAGGGAAACTGCGGCCGGGTCGGTATAATTTCATAAATCAACGGCACTAGTAAAAACCGAACTCGCTTGGAGCGTGCGTGATCAAATGAAACCAAATCATTTGTAGTATAAGAGATACAAAATTATCGTCAGAAATCAGGACCGTTACGTAATACCTTATAGGTTTCTTTCAATAGTGTTTACTCTGGAATGTGTTACGGCTAGTAACCAGTGAGACTCGAAAATTAAAATTAATTTTAAAAAATTTTAAATATTTTTTGCCTGACAACACATATGCGACCAAGGAGTTTCTTTTGATATTTCAGTTTTATTTAATGCCGGAATAATTCGGTATCGATATATTAGAAATCGTTTTTAATAGCTGTTATTTGTTTGTAAAAGCAGCTATGCTCTGCACACAACAAAATGTTTGGAAGTGATCATAATCTGAATGTAAATCCGTAAAGTATGTCAACAGAAAATTATTTGCTTTTCTAATTTGCGCCAGTGAATAAGGTTTTTCTGCATGCCTCGCTGGCCTATGGAACATATTATGTCAATAAGAAATTACGTAAGTGCAGTTTATTTATAGCTCACCAGGTACTTAATTATAATTCTAAATTTTTTATAGTTTTCCACATTTCGACAATGGGTTCTGACGCGCTGTATAAGTTCACTTAGTAGAAATTGCGTAGAACTTGTGCAATACATGTCGACAGTTGTCAAGGTTGTGTCTATTGATAATCGTGCCGATTACTCTGGCACATCGGAGATCGTTAACGATTTTCAAGTTGCGCAGCCGATCCCAGTCGACATTCTTCCCTGAAACCGATTTCGTTGACGGAAGAGTGTTGCGCACGCGGTACAACGTGCAGAATCGTCTCTCCCGTCCATAGATTCTTTCTCTCCCTTTCTGCGCCTGCATCAAGATGTTCAACCGGAAACTTGATGAACTGGCACGCAGCTGTGCTCATATCGAGATCATTTTGGATATTCACTTTGATTGACCGGCCAGATAGATATATATGTACAAAGCCAAGACATTTATCGCGGCCAACCAAATATTTCCGAGTTGTTAGCTTTTTATCACGATTGAAAAAACAACCCTCTGATATTTAGGTTTGACGTCATTGTGCGACTGATTTACTACACTAAGAGAAACACATTAACTCCATATTCGCTCTGACCGGTCAGAATTTCAGCGCACCGTTTCGTAGTGCCCTTCACCAAACTGTCAAAATATTGCAGACTATTTAGTCCTGACGTAGTTTGCTTAATAATCGATACATGTCAATGTGTCTTAATGTACCGGTATCGGTTGCAATATCGCAACTAGTTTATTTTTCGAAGAAACTCTCAAATTTTCATCAAGCTTAATTTCGCAAGTTACCCTTCACAATGGGTAACCGCAGCGAAAAAAAGCGCTTGCAGTTTATGCAGTAAATTAGAGACTTGCAGCACGTACCCGAATGTCTCATGACTGCAACTAATCCTGTGACGTCAATGGACCGTGTGTGTGCAGTCAGTGAGCAGACATAAAATTGCTCCTCGTAGGCATAGTTTCTTTAGTTCACATAATTTTACATACTAATAATTCTGTGCGCAATACTCAGCAGCTACCGTTATTGGCAGACATGAAACGTTTTTCTAAATTGTGCTCATAGGAAAAGTAACTTTAGCCAGGTGGTGTAGGTATTTAACAAAAACAATCGGATACTGAAAATCACTCTAATTGGCTTCGTTATATGCAGTAACTTGCAACGATGGAATACGGTTATGTACGAGTAGTTTAGGCTTTGGAAATCAGAGGGCTTAGTATAATTATAATGAAAATGAGCAAAACAAATACTCTAGCTCCAAGCCTCCAAAACAAATAGTTTTAAAAGCCTAGTCATTGCGGTGGGGACCATTAAAGTACATGGAAAATTGATTGCGTACAATTATATAAAGTTGTAATACTGTATTGCATGTTACGGCAGTGCTGGTGTTAATATGGTTAATCTATTGTGAATGTATTGAGGTGCTAGTTAATAAAAAATCATTTATCTGCATTTTTGTTTATTTAATTAGGTATTTTAAAAAGAGCTTATTTTGTTAACAGCAAGCACTGCTCGTTGACAACAATGTAAAAGAATAGTTCAATTCACAAGTAAGTTCGCGTGAGAATGGACCGTACCAAATTAACATTTCTTATTTAATTGCAGACGACGTAATTGATTTTATTCAACATGTAAAATATTTGGCTACTTCTGCCTTGTAAGGCTTTTAACCTATAGTAAAGCACTGTTTCTCTCAAGCTTTCGGCAAACTCTCCGCTTAAACAAATTAGACAGTTTGTTTTTACTTAATTTGTTATAATGAAGAAACTATGGCATACCGGTTAAAAGTTTTGTTGACCGGCATCGGCTGACTGCCGGGTACGTCACTAGCTTACAATATACTGGTGTCCATGAACCCAGTGACCAGTGTTGTGACCAAAATGAAATCTCACATAGCTCATTTCCCTTAAAGCGGAATAGTTACATTGTTAGTAACAGATGTGGTTGTAAATTTAGATTTTACGCTTTTATTATAGTCACGGTTAATCCTGTAATGACCCAGAATTACAGCCCTGATATGAAGTAATGAAGCATAAAATGAAAGCATTTATTAACCAGAATACGGTTGAAGTCCAAAATAACTTAATTCTACACCTGTTTCGAGGTACATAATGCCCTATCTTTGCGCTATAATGTACAATACAAAGACTTTCAAATGCACTTATTTCGAGCACTATACTGCGTTCTGGCGCCCATGTAATTGTCGCATGGTATTGTCGAACTAAAGGTCACAGTCGAATGTATTCCGTTCTTTTCATGGAAGAAAAAATGGAAAAGATATAAATAAATAATTTCTCTCCTTAACTCAAGGTCAGCAATAGAAAAAAGAAAACAAACCACGTCAGAGGGATGACGTGTGCAGCGCAGATCGCAGTACACCAAACAGACACAGGAGAACAAGAGATTGCAATTTGAGAAAATTGTGACGATCGACAGCGGCGATAACTGCATGGCTGGCAGCGTTAGGCGTATATGTGTACGTATGCATCGGTTTGGTGACAAATCGATCGTTGGTTGATTCGTTAGTTACGTTGTCTTTGAAAGAGCACGTCTGCAGCAAATGTGTAGCCTCTATTTTACAGTGCGCTGTCGTCGTAAAAATGTCAGCTGAGACAGCCGTCGAAACACGGAAACTGCATATATAGAGACCGAAGAAAAGACGAGTTCGGGGGCTGGTGCGCCTTGTGTTAACAAAAACCAGTTAATGCCAGCGCGTTGTTGGTAACTGCACTGTGTGTACGCTAAAAATTATTATTCCATTTCATCTTCCTCATCATTATCCGGGAGAATCCGGTCTGTATCCTTTTCATACTCTCGATGGTATCGATTCATCGACCCATAGGCGCCATTGCGCATAATATTTTTAGGACCGGTCTGCGACATGGTAAAGCGCTGCTGTTCTTCCTGCCATTCGGAGAGTTGCGCCATTTTTCCATCTTTATCTTGCGGCATAATGGCTTGTCCTTCGTTGTAGATGGCATCGTAGTTGTAAGCCCCCCGCAGCCAGTACAGTACCGGCACGTACAGTAAATTACTGACACCAATCATACAGCACAGGACGGTGAAGCCCAACGCTTCGTACACATTTCCGGCAAATACCGGTCCAAAAGCGTAGGCCGTCGAGTAGGAAATATCCGCGATGGCGTACACTGACCCGTACACGGAAACATGCCGTACATCCACCAGATAGCCCAGCGCCGGTAATAGTGCCGTATCAATTAGAGCAATACCGAAACAGATCACACACAGCGGAATAATTAACACCCAGAAACTACCGCAGGCCGGGATGAAAAAGGAGAAGATGCCTTCCAGTCCCAGACCGACTGCGGCGTACAGCCAGCCGTATTTGGGCCGGGTGGCGAGTAGCCGTACTGTCAGCCAAACGCCGGCCACATGCGGCAGGAATGCCGGTAACCAGATCATGCCCTCTTGTGCTGAGCTGACGCCCTCCATACTTTCGTTGATCCATAAGGAGATGGTCGGCTCCAAAAACGCTGCAAATATTACCAATACCGTAAACTATTAAAAACTCTGCTTGGTTAAAAAATAAAGCATTCAGTTCCAGTTCAGTAAAACTGAAATTAACTGCAAGTTAGCAAACAAATACGTAAATTCTGCGTCTAGAGTAAACAGTGCGTTACACTGCAGTGACTGCAGGTATTTGCGTGCATAATTATGTAATTCATGCCTATTTGTATACCTGTATATATGTACGGGTTTCTGAAAACTTCTCCACACATATATACACAGGTCACAAAATAATTACTATCTATCTGCATAAAATGTACAGGGTTAGCAATTTTTAAGTCACTTATTCGAAATCTTATCAGAACGCTTATTATAGTGAAATCAAACATGGATTTGTGGGGGAACATAACGTGAGCAGGTCAGCAGATTTATGTGCTTCCGTATAATTGCGAGCAGAGCGGGTGAACAGCTGTTTATTACCTAATGATACGTTGGCCATCATAAGTGCCCCCGCGCAAATGGCAATGTAGGGATCAAGGAATAGCTTCCACATGGGTGTCGGTTTCACATCGCTTGGCACATCCCCGATGAATTCACGGGGCACATCCATGGTCTTCTGGCGCTGTAGGGCGGTTTTCAGGGCGATATTCTCTTTCGGCTTCATAATCAACGACAACCCGATGGCATCGGCTAAGCAGACTAGCGACAAAATAATAAAAGGTGATTCTTTGCCCATGTGCTGGTACATCACCCCGCCGAAGGGTGGCGCCACTAGTGAGCCGAAGGAGATGAAGGCCAGCGCAATGCCCAACATTTTACTGCGCTCGGCCTCATCCGAGAACCGATCGGCGATCATGGCTAAACCAGCCGTATCGGCAAACGCCGAGCCCACTCCCTGGAGACTACGGGCAAAAAACAGGACACCGTAGGCGGTACCAAAGGCGAAGATGGTCGTGGAAAAAAACATGATAATCAGTCCGAACATCATCGGTTTTTCGTACCCATGTCGGTCAATTATGTAACCTGCAAGCGCAATCGGAATAAACCGGTTTTTGCAGTGCGCTTCGTATGTCAGTAAAAAAAGTACGACTATTCTCTTGCGACCATCGTTATGCAATCTCATCGACACCAGCCGCATCAGTAAAAGCGGGAATGTATTTTCTGCTGTTTGCCGTAACATATAAAAAGTGAAGATTTAAATTTTATGTTCTGATAGCTTAAATTTTTACATCAGATGAAATGCTTTAACTTTATAGAGAAATTTAACGGTTTGAGTGTATTGTATAAAACAGTTCCCTCTAAAGTAAGTAAGTACTAGAAAACAAAACCTAAATCCAGTGTTGCCCACAGGAATGTGTGTAAAGCCAGTTAAGGTAAATACGCAACATTAAAATAACAATGCTAAAAATTAAAATTTTACTAAACATTACTAAAAGTTAATTAGGCAGATTCATTGCTCGCATCGAAGTCTCTTTACGTATACTCGTACGGTACGCGAAAAGTTTGTTCCACTGTTTACCGGAAAAAGGGTTTGCCATGAGTTGTACAAAGGCTTTCGATGCGAAAAGGTAGCCATTATATCTACTTTCTCCTTCGTAAACAGGATCAGGTAGCCCATCTGGACCGGTAACATTGCCAATGGGCGCTCCCCAGGCCTCGATGTCGCGTAAGTATTTGGGGATGATGGGTACAATCACCATGTACAACATGTTGTCCAGTCTAAATGGTACACAGTGTTAAGCCAACGATTACATGCATGGCTGCGGCGAATACGGACGTAATGCCCAGAATCGTGCAGGCATTGTACGTTCAGCTCCCAGCTCTCGCCCTTCCGGTAATCAAAAGCAATCAGTCTATGTCGTGCAAGAGCAATTCACGCACGCATGCTACGTATACATGCAGCGCGCACATCATAATCAATATATAAAAGAAACACCGCCATTTTCACAAGTTATCCCGTCGGGAATAGAATTCTATGTTGACGGTAAGATGGTAAAAGATCAAAATCGGGAATTATTAAACTAGAATTTTTGTAGTTTTAAGTTTGCGATAGAAAAATCCGCCTAATAACAAAAAAAGCCACCAGCACTGGTTTGACCTTTCCAGCAGCGCAAAAAAACATCGCGTCTTAATGAATTTGCAACAAGCTAGTCAACTTACAGTAAGGCAATGCAGACAATGAGCATAACCAGCCGTCTCTGGATGTGTTCCTGCTGGATCTTCTCGTAGAGAAGCATTTTCAGCTCGGCAGTGTCTCGGTTGATGATGGGAATGACCGGCATTTTTGCAGTCTGGCTAATTGCGCTGTATGTCGTGTAATAACAACCGGGAACCGCAACAGCCGCTTTCACTCAGCTCATACAAAAACCGCTTGCCGGACCAATAAAACAAGACCAAGCCGTTATGTATCACTTTGCCTAGTTCCGGACAGCAGGATCCAAACACGCACACCAACACCGCATTGTCCAACGGGCATTACGTCGGTTATATAAGCGCAGTTGATAATGTAGCCAAATTGTTCGGGCAGGCGCTTATTCTATCCGGCTACAGTATAACACAATACAGTCGCATGTAAAAAAGGGCGCATCACAAGCATCGTCCTATCTGTGGCGCGCGGCATAATTTGCATGATGGTCATGATGCTGCATACATGGTAAAAAGGGAAGAGGGAGAGGAAGATCTTGGGACTCTGCTGCTGGTCTCTTCCTCTATCTCTTCTTCTCAATCGTTAAACAGTAAAGATTTGCATACTGTAACAGCTAGCCAATATATCGACATACTCGTTAATTTGGCTGCTGTTGTAGTTGCGATCCAGGAGATATATACATATGCATGCTGCTGTGGACGGCGCGCGCGTGTATATGGAAAGGGCCCAGTGAAGCCCAGGGTGTATGAGCAACTATCCGGATATACCACCACTGCAGGCGGAGTCATCACCATGTTGCCAGTGGGACAGATTGTAAAGTTACCGATCGTGCACACGGTGCGGCCGGCAGAGTCGGACGGAAGCCGATTGGGAATATGGCATGCCGCAACAACGAAACATTTTACACAGAGTGAAACATTCTGCCTCCTATATATTACGTCATTAGCTGCGCGAAGGCGCGCGTGCATGTGTATGGTTGGTTGTTTGATCTTTCACATAAAAATTGAGGAGTAAGAAAAGGTTATCCCGGCGCAAGAGAATCAATGATGCTCGATGCCGGGGATGGGCAAATTGTGGGCGACGACGTCGACAAGCGATGTAGCCGTACAATTGGTTGGAATCTACATATATGCATGCCGCGCGCGGGATCAGACTGCCGGTTGTGCCGGGGCCGGATTCGGCATCGGAAACCGTAAGGGGAAACGAGTGCGCGTGCTACATCTCGTATTCCTAATCAATTCTAATTGCTTGCTTTCCAACTGGACGATTTTCGGTTTAGTTTGGACAAATGCACCATCGCCGCAGCGTCTTTCTCCGTCTTGTGTCATTCAAGCTCGCTTTCGTGTATAAATGGATAACGAGTGTGTTTACTTGTTCACTGCCAACCAGGGCGGGGCACTTACGAGTGGCCACGATGGAAATTATTTTCATCCGCAATCAGGCATTAACAAGCATAGTAATAGATATTATTTTCGGCTACTGTTCAAAATATTATTTCTGCATTAAACCTAATTCTATGGTTATGTGACCGGCCGTATTTTGACTGAAACTGATACGCTATCAGACTTCTGTATTATACGATGCTGTGTTATTTGATTACAAGGTCCATATCCCTCCATAATTTCCATGTGATTTACGAGTATATTATGAAGATGTTACTCGTAAATACCAGTAGAGTAATCTCGTGTCAACATAATAATTATCCGCGAATCTAGTTTATCAGAAAATCTGTTGCATATATCAGTTCAAAATGGAAGAAACAACAAGTTTACAAATTGTAAACATTTAATATTTCTGTGCAATGCTACAGTATGTGCGATTAAATAATATATATAGCGGTATACTGCTACGTACCGGTATTCTGACAAGAGGTGTGACGCATTGACGAAAAAACTACAGATACTTGTACTTGTATTAAAATAATAACAGCTTAATTTTTCACCAGATTAACTACCACCCGAAAAAGTGATAGCATGTTTAAGTTTAGAACAGTGTACTGGTGGAGGGTAGTTTAGTAGCTAATTAACACAACGTGAATTATTTTTTGTTTAAATGGTTACTGAACGGAAACGAAGTGCAGCACAGAAGACATGCAGCATAAATCAAACAGCAAATTTTAATAAATGTAGCGAGTTAAGCTTTCAACGGCGGCCAATTGGTGTCGTATTAAGTTGCCAGCTAAAGATTGATTTTGCCTGTAAATGAGCACAGCGGCACTATCGATCAATTTGATTTGGCTGTTGGTATTCCAATTGCTTGGCAAACAAGATAACGGAGAAGATCGGCCCGCAAATTATTCTGAAAATTGCTAAATGTATGCAGGACGTTAATTATCCGTATGTGCAACTGCATACGTCGTAAGTAGTATGGTGCAAATAGTGGAGATCGGGACGCAACAGAGTATATGCCCGCAGTTTAGACAGCTATACTCCAGACGACTGCCAGTCAACCGGGACAGAGTGCAAGTGCACTTATTCAAAACAGCCAATAGCCACCGGAAATATACTTGCCATTTTCATTTATGGCATATAAGTGCTGTTCTTCCTGTAAAGATTATATGCGCTTATCCGCATCTGCAGCCATATAAGCTGCTTATACATTTACAAGAAGCCTCTCTTATATAATCGTCGGCACTTTAGAAATAATTTTATAATATGTTGGCCACCAGTGAATAATGTCAGTCTTATAGAGCACCGTAGCGTTTTAGGTGTGTAGTTGCAATCAGCATTGTTAATTAAGTGTAGATGCCCGAGGTATGTGAGTTAGTGTGTGTGCTTGTTGGTTGCAAATGCTATATTGTAGAACTTTTGATAATTGTAACTATATATCACAGTACGATTTATGATGTCTACTCTCGCGTATACGCACTTCGGGTGATTCATGGTCAAACCTGGGGGATGCTAGGTTTGTGCGGCTTACGAGGTCATACTGTATTTCGAATATGCGAAAACAAGTTCAGACGTCCAAGGGTACACCATGTGCGTACGGTCCACGTTTCGACTATGCCTTTAACCGCTTTTCGAAAGCGCTTTTTGTATACTAATTCCAGTGTATAAAAAATTGGTAGTGTCAAGTGTCAACAATATTGCAGTAATATTAACTACTTCATTTCTTTGATCTACTTCTAGTATTTTATGTTATAATGTATTCTAAACATAAAAAGTGGAAGCCGTCGACCGCATGAGCGATTATATCTTGATACGCACGAAACTATTCTTGTACGTACTCTGTGTAATATTAATAATGTTACATAAAACCTTTTTTCTAGCACTCTACATAAACGTTCTTGTCAATTTGTTTCAGGTCCTGCATCCTCGATCACCGATTTCTTTGGTCATTCGATAGCGACCTGTCCCTTTTACCCGAAAATATTCTGCACATTGCGCATAGTGATGGTTACCCGATGGCCACTCAGTTCGCACAAATGCCACCTGCGAAGTTCACCTGTTTCTTTGACATGCTTCCTATGGATGAATTTGTATTTAAGCACATGCTTCCTGGAAGCATCAAAATAGGACTAGAGAGTTTCAAGTTTTTTTCATTGTGCGGTTTTATAAGTGCCTGTACTTCTGTTTCATTCTGCCTGTAGCAGGGTACCTTGTTCCCGTGAAAATAAATTTAATTGTGTTGATAAATAGGGCGTTTACAAGCGAATTTATGTATATCAGCATACAAATTACATTTCTTATATAATCTACATAGTTTTCAATACTCCCGAGCAAAACGGCATGGAAAAAAATATGTGGAGTGAAGTTTAACCTACCGTTAGTTGAGCGGATTTGGTGCTTAACTACGAGTACGGTCATTTTACGTTTAAATCATGTGTTTTTTCCATTTTTTTACCCGATGCTTTAAATATGTAACAAACATTACTTAATAATTTTATCACTTACGATTGCGTGTAGTGCAGAGGCACGGCATTTGTTTACTAACGATCCCTGAGAATACACCGATGAAACCGAACATTTCCAGAAGAGGCTAAAATTTGAAAATCCTTGTTGGCTCATGAAGATTAATTATTAGCTTAATCAAGATACCTCACGATAATAGAAGACAACTAAGCTTGCACGAAATACACTACGAATCGGAACACACGCTAAATAATAAGAAACCGTTAATTTTAATTAGCAACAAGACATTTAGCGATGCAGTTGTAGATCTAAGTGCTGTGAACGGACATGATTATATTACAATTCCGTTACTGCAAATCCAGATCATTACTGAAAAAGCAGTTTATATGGGTCAGCAAAAATTCAAACCGCAAGACCACACTCCGCAGAACATCCATAGAAAACAGAATTTCATGTATGTGCATCCTGCGTTTTCTCTGATAAATCACCCCAGCCTAGTACCAAATTGACTAAATTAAAGGCTACAGTTTACCACATGCTTATTCAATCACCATGTATAAACAATTGCTATGTTGTAATTTATTTTTGATTTTCTTTTTTAAGAAAACTTCTACAAAATTAAAAGAAACCTGCGTAAATTTAACCGCGCACTTTCAATCATACCCACACTTACCTCTTCAAATTGCCGAACAATGCATTGCCGCTCATTCCGAAAGCCACAGCTTGTAAACCCGCCATGCTGTTGTAAACTGCAGAAATATTGCGTTTGTGTATGTTGTGTTCCAGCAGTCAAACACCAAAACACAATCATTTAGATTTTATTAAACCAAAATTCGCAATAAGTGCAAACTTGGAGGGAAAATTATAAATAAATGTACACACAATGTGCTGAAAGGAATACCAGTTCCCAATAATTCTGAACTATAGAAGTGCTGATTTTACGTACTAATCCTCACAGAAGCCTACTGTTTTGATATACAGAGTAGTAGGCAATAAACAAATAATATTTTGTCGACGTTGAAGCCGTCAAACGAAAATTTCAGAAAGCATTTTCTTACCTTTCTATACAGGTAGGAATGGGAAAAAACTGATGGAGTGCTGATACTGTACTGGGGATTTGTCATACATGGGAATCCACGATGATACCTCTGGGTGTCATCTGCCAGTGCTCCCGATCCAAAGCTAAAGTGATTTTTTTTGCATTTTGCATGAGATGTGTTCCGACAAGTACGGAAGTTTTATTGTGAATGCTATTCAGCCGGTTTGACTGACAAGCTAATTTGAAGTTAACTATCGGATAATTAATAAGGCTCTAACTCTTCACCGCACGAACACTCATCCCGATTATGGTAATCATCGACGGATGCCTGTTGAAAGACGTCAATTCCCATCCTATGTAATATGTACACGGACCGGAACAACCGTCACGAAAACAATAATCACCTATGTGTCGCGATGAACGGCCAGCAAAAACTAATTGCAAATGGTGCACACGTAGTAGTGGAAACAAGAGCGCATCATTTGGAAAAAAGCTCATATATGTCTCAAAGCTATCACAATAAATCGCCGTTAGTACAAAACCAAAAATTTTCTGATATTTGGTAATGATTTGTTATTTTTCGAGCTATTTTAATGATACACTGAAATGCTTAATATCAAAAGCCATGACCAAATTACTTTAACGTACGTTTAACATTCTTTTCGGGGGTTCAAGATTTACTGCGCAACATCTGCAAGTTTCAGAGAACAGTAACAAAATCATTCTATGGACTAAATTTTTATTATAGTGAGCACTTCTTTTTAATTTTATTGTTTTTCAATCAGACTGCAACACACTAAACAATGGTAATCTCCATTACCTGATAATATTGACACTGAGCAACAAAAATGTTCGTCAAAAGGGAGAGTTAGTAAGTCCTTTTTCGGTGTCACTGGCAAAGCTATCAAGGACTGCTCATTTTAAATTTCGCCATATTTAGCAGCCGAAAAATTTATCAAAGGACAGTGCCGAATTAAATGCGATCAGAAACTGAAAAACACAAATCAAATCACAACAGAAATACTATAAAATCAATTACTATGCACGCATTAGCGGCAACGGAAAACAAAATTAATCTACTGTGATTCTTGTATAGCAGGCAGAGAAGTTTCACAAAGGTCATCCGTAGTAGTCGCAACATATAGCGGAAGAGTAGTGGACAGACTCTGGCCGCGACAAGGATTTTCGTTCTCCAGAGATTTACTAAGCTTCTCCAGGTGCTGCAAAAACGCATAAATTAAGAAATGGATCCTTAAAAGAATTTTCGTAGGCTAAATGGCTAAACAGTCGTCAGTTTTCAAAATAAGGTACTGGACAGGATACTTAAAATTGCAATACCAAAAACCTGTAAACCGCTACCCATTAATCTAGCAACTGGCCCGCTTGTAACGCACCGTTGGATTGGCAACGAAACGGGAATTCCTAGACAGTATATTCTGCATGCTCAGCACACACACATTCCGCCCTTCCTGAATCTTGAAGCTTTTGAAATTATCGACAAGCACAAAATCCTCCGTTGACAGTACTGATTTCGTTTCCATCAGGCTTTTTTCATCCACAATATGACCTTTAATGGCAGTATACACCGCTGCGGATGTCGACGGTCTCCACGCTACTTCCTGTGAGGAGGGCTGAATGCGCGCAATAATCATATTAACCCAGGTCTTTTCCATATTTGCGACTTTCTCCGGTAATGGATAGAATTTACAACTAGATTTAATTCGTGCTGAAAGCTTCGGATGCCGACGATCTTCTGTCAAGAACGGCATTCCGATGCCTTCATCCACATAATACACCTATAACCAAAATTATAATTTTTATCATACGGTGTAAACTGATGATAGATATCTAAGGTACTAACCGCCAACAAGAATGCAATCGCAACAGAGAAATTACTAACACATCATTATACATGTCACCAAGAGAGAAATTACCAACGCACGATATACCACTTTTTTCGCATTTCGTTGTCTAATGTATTGCACAGAAGGTAGGGACAAATTAACTTATATATTCGTTTATATATTACATTCAGTGCCAACTTTAAGGTTAAAGATAACTAACGTGCCACCTATGCATGGCGTCATTATTAGAAAGGTCATAATTAACCAGATGCTCAGACTCTAAGTCTGTGTTAAATATACTCACATGAACATGGTCCTTATCGATACTTTTCAGCACTTGGACTCTGTGCAGTTTCTTCCCGTTAGCACTAACCATACCACAAACCACATCAGGATCCGGAAGACTATTGTATGGCTGTGGTAGCTCGTCCAGAATATTGGCCATTTCTTCATCCAAATCCTTCTGCAGTCGTTCGTATGAAATAATGGACGTATTCTCCCCGGCAACAAAAACCCGTACTATACGCGCAATAAAATGCATGGGATTCAGATAGCGCATCAGGCGAAACTCGAATTTGGTGCATTTGTCCGGAGATAAGGCTAATGTCAATTTCTGCGGTCGTCCATGGTAATGCCGCGCAGAACACGATCCTTTCTTTATACAGTCCCCTGAAGAGTCAGAAATAAAAATGCCCCTTATATCAAAGATTTCAAATTCTCACTTCCTAAGATGATTTAATGTTACAAGTACACAAATACAAGCATGTTTTGGAAAATAAATAACTTGATTACTATGCCATATACATAATTCCAAAATAGGTCACAAAATTTGTGCGAAATTTCAGTTTGGAGGGCAAATCAAGTGCTTACCATAGTACAGTTGAATGAGGCATGGCGGTAACTGCATGAACCGCGGGCTCTGAAGGATTTTTTGGCTAGCTAACACAACCGGCGCCGGGATAATGCTGTACCCTTCTGCCGCACTAGCCATGTACAAGACAATAGGAAGAATCGGTTTCCATCCTTCATCCAGAACAATGCGACACGGCATACTGGGCATCACCACTTTTTCACCGTTTCCTTTAGCTAATGCCGCGTATTTGGATGTCCACAACGCGAAGGATTTCCGGACACAGCCAAAGCGTCTCAAAAACTGCAGGACACTTTGAGGAGGCGCCAGATGCACGATGAGATCGGCGTCATCAATACCAAAGTCACCGGCATATTTGTCCGGAATGGCTAGAATGCGAATCTGCTCCTTGGGATCTGACTTCCACCAGTCACGAATGCCATTCACCACATCATAAATGGAATCGTTTTCGCTAACGGCCTGTAAAAAAAATTTATTATAAAGAATATTTCATGAATTTTCAGATTTCTTTGAGCGGCAGCAACCACAGAAACACATCGACTGCGCTCTCCGTTATAAAGAGTCGTTGCAAACAGTGAAAAAAAAATAACAACCTCCAACAAAAAGTACTCAATCAGTAAAGATCTCATACCATGCGCAAGTTTTTCACTGCTTATTAAATCTTTGAACTGTACATACCAAATTCTCAAGAAATTCATTAATATTGCTATCTGTTTCTTCCGCAGGAAAAAAATCTTTCCTCTACTGTTTAACTTCTAATTTTTTATATAAAGTAATAAGGCGTACTACATTTTCTACCTGGAAGTCATATTCAGCTTTCGGTGGCATGCGGCCACTGCGTTGCAGCGCTAGACTCTGCTTCAGTTCGGCACTCTGCCGGTCAGAGCCGACAAACAGAATGATTTTCTCTCCTGGCTGCCGATCCTGGAAGGTTTTCTGTGCTTGCATAACCCACGGAAGGCTGAACTTGGCATTCGTTTCGAACAGCTGAATCGGGAGTTTTTCATGGACAACCGCGTCCAAATAGTTACCAATCACAGTGCAGACGATATTCTCCAGTTTGCCCACCAATTTCTTCATGGCCGGTGATGACGCTGACGCGGCAAACACGTAGTTTATTTCGGGGTTTTCACGGAAGCGTCCTAGTATCGTTTCCGTCAGGGTCGGATTAATTCTCAGCAAAACATCGATATTTCTACGACCACAACAAACACATTTCGAATTTTCAAAACAGCTGAGCCAAGAAAATCACGGTTTAATAACGGGCGAAATGTTAAACACCAGTGCCATAATTGTTTAAATATTATGCCATACAGTAACTGGAAAAAGGTCACTAAATTTCTTGGCCTGATTATTACCATAGTAATTTTTAATTTACATAAGTTTTAAAAATATAAAGTATACAACAACGAAAAAATGGTTACATTCCATCAAATTGGTCACATTTCACTATCTTTCATTTTTCCACTTGCAGAAGAATGCTGAACATTTGAACATAAAACATATAACATAAAAATAAAAGGTTAGTAAAAATTTCTTTTTATAATTACCATAAAATTGTACACAAAATACAAAACAAAGCATGCAACAATTAAATACTCAAGTTAAGCAGAGATATTTAAATATTTTTCTGTATTAAGTCCCCCGCTGTAAACGGATGGTTGTAAGTAAGGTCACCAAAAGTTCTTTCATAATTAATAATTCCGATTTTCATAATTCCGTTACTTATTACGATACCTGAAAACAACGATTTCAACTTTCATGAGATTGATGGGCGCGGACCAGAGACGGCCCTGTGTGGCGAACAGCGTTAGCACCGAATGCAGTGCCACCACCAACACATCACAATTCTCGGCCGTCAAATAACTCTTCTCCTGGAACTCCTTTTCGTCGGGCAATTCAAAAACATTCACCACACGGAAATCCCGGTCAAACTGCATGGCCGCCGTGCGGATCTCCTCCACCAACGACAGGGATTCCTCCAGTGTCGCCACAATTACAATGGCCAATGGGCCTTCATTGTACGACTGCGCCAGATGACGGCGGGCACATGACTCCGCAATACGCAGCAGCATGGGCACCACGAAGCCCGCATCCATGGCGTTGTCGTAGTTCGGAGGGGGCTCGGGCGCCAGCAGCGGATTCTCAATGTACACCACGTTGTAGCGGTGCACGATGTGCGGCCACAGCAGCGACTGCATTTCGGTGCGCCGCGGACCGGACAGCGAGAGGACGAGCGGGCGGACGTGCGGATTTAGCGGCAGGGCGCCGCTGATCAGCTGTGTCCGCCAGGGGAGAGCGGCGAGCCCGGTGTAGAAGAGCCGTGAATGCTGACCGAACAGGGTCGACTCGTCTTCGCAGTACTGGACGGGTGGACGGCTTTCCGACATCTTCGCAGTCAAGAGTTACAAAACCACTGCGGCTAAATCTGACAACACAGACATTTAACGTTTGGATGTGGTCGAATATTAAGTGAACTTCAAAAACCGTATTTTCAAAGTGCAGGCTGCAGTGTTACTAAGCAAAACTTTATCTTTTACTGAGTTAATGAAACAAAAAAGGGAATTATATAATATGGCTGCTTATTTCTGTCAGTGCTACACAGTGCACATCCGCACGCACGTTGCAACGATGTAAGTCATTAGAATGAGAAACATCACCGACACCTTCTTCGCATACCATCAGGAATGAGGAAGCTACTGGTAAGCGAAATCTCTTGTAAAACTCATAAAAATTAAACTGGAGATTGCTCCGTTCTGAAGAAATTTTCCATATCGTGAAAAAAAGAAATAAAAAACTACCACAGAAATCTAGACGAAAACAAACAATAATATTTGTGTGTTGTTTTGGTCTTACAGGTTGCTTGTTTTGGTGTTTTAGGGATCGTCCAGGACCGGAAAACTGCTGTAGTCACGTGAGACAGATCAATCAGCGAATGGGGATTCATGGACCTGGCATACGGAACCGCCCCTCCACGAGGAACATTACGACTGTTTTCACTTGTGAAATTATAAGTACTTTAACTGTCACACAAAATCAATACTGTATGTAAAAAGTTTTCTATTCGCACAGGACACTTTTACAGTTTCAATTTTATTACCTTTAAAATGTCCTATAAAAATTCCTTTAAAAAATATATAACAGCGTCTGGACTCAAGAAAGACCTGTTACGTAGCGTGATTTCGAACAAGTTGCGCGACCGCAAATTCGTAACTGCGCAGCAGCTTTGTTTTACAGTAACTGGTTCCTGTATTAAACTTTTCATAGTCAACTTTCTCAAAATTGAAGACCCGGTTCCATTCAATCAAATCAGCCCGGTGAATAGGAATTCCTGATCAATAAAGCAGTCTAAAGACAATGGAATTTACACCCATCACAACAGTTAAAAACCCTGTACAAAAACCTCATAAAACATCAACATAGCGCGAACAAGGCCTTTCGCGCCGGACTCTCCATAAAACAACAAGAGCTCACAGTCGACACTAGCTAAAACAGAATGCGCGGTGAGATTCCCATACACATCAGTTCCTGGAAGAGCAGTTTGCAGGCATACGGAATCGTGATCTGCGAAACCTGCAACGTACCATCGCGTATGTATCATTGTTCCAAGAAAAAACCAGCCAGACAACATAATACATACATCAACCTTTCGAACGCAGCGTCGGCATTCGAAGGTTCTGTTGGTCAGATTAGCCACAGCAATCAATCCACACTTATCACACACATGCACACGATACGGATCCGACACTTCGAACAATCGTTCCCGCAGATTCAGAGCCGCGCCATGGCTTATCAAACAATCCCGTTCCATTTCACCAAAACGTAACCCACCGCCTCTGAAATAGACAAACAACATTGTAACAGTATGGGAAGACAACATTCCTATAACTGGGTCCAGGCCCGCCAGAAAGGGGGGGCGCACCGGCGGGCGCCCCCCTTTTGCGGATTTTTGACCGCCGGGGGGGCGCATTTAAAGTACTGAAAGGGGGCGGGGCGAGGCTGGCCGACGTGTCACGTGTTACTTTTCGCCATACTTTGAGTCCGGCAGACCGCCCCCCCGGCGCACTTGCGCCCCCCCCTTTCCAAAAACCTTGTGGCGGGCCTGACTGGGTCACATAAATAAATAAGAATGCTGAATTCCCATACATGGTTTTCTTAAAATGGGACGACAATGAACGATTTAGTAACAAAAAACCCCAACAATTACACCCATGGCCCCGAAATGAATGTATTTAATACGACGGCAGAAATATTGGTGATCACCTCGCCCTTCCTTCCTGTGGTTGTCTACACAGCACGGTCACGGCTCCACGTGCACGGGCGTACATCTTATTTTCCACCAAATGCTTCAAGCGCTGATAAAACGTTGGTCCAATATACACTTGTGAGGTGAGTTTCATGCCGGAAAATCCATTATACATCACTTCATTGCCATACTGATTATATTGCTTGTCTTTCAGGATTGCAGCTATTTCTTTCACTTCGGGAGACTCGAATGGGGTACCGACACCGTAGATCCCTTGAACTGCGGAAGCCTGAAGAAAATCAGTTAATAGCTCGTATTCAGGAATCAGGGGTAAGACGTTCACGCGATTACTTTGCCCTGGAGACATTCCAGAAGATGACCAATGGTCATACGGGACGGAATAGCGTGCGGATTGATGATAATGTCCGGTGTTACACCTTCCGACGTGAAAGGCATATCCTACAGAGAAACCTGCTTATTGATTCTTCGATTAATCGGTGCCGCACATACTATTCGATACGAGCTGGATAGAACAAAATATCTGTCAAATTGTCAAGTTCTAACGCTCTTGCTTCCGTTACAATAAAATGCCCTCACTTAAACTCTGACCTGTCATAATTATTGTATAACACTCGGATTGGTGGTTTACCGCCGTACCTCGGTTGGATATATGATACCAACAGTTCCCTTTTGTCCGTGGCGGCTGGCGAATTTGTCTCCCATTACCGGCGTCCTCACAGAGCGGACCCGTACTTTGCAGAATTTGTTCCCTTCCACATTCATGCTCACCATCACCTGGTCAACAATACCCGTTTCCGATGAGCGAAGCAGGACGCTGGTGTCCTTCTTGGGCTTCTCTGTTGACATTTCCGGATTTACCTATTAAACAGCAAACCGCAGCACATTAGAATACGTTTCGTTTAATTTTTGTTAGTGGGGGTACATGGTATAAAATGTACTTACACTTTCGCGCACTCCCAAACACATTTTGTTTCGGTTTATGAGAGTTTTGTAGCCAGAAGATTGGTATACACGGGCGTGAAAACCGTTTGTGCACTGGCTTGCAATTCAAAAGTTTAAATGCGTTCAGGTGTACCAAAGTCTCATTATGGACCGATCTCCCTCAAATTTTGCACGTAAATGCACATAACCACGAAGAACGTTTTTACACCAATCCACTGTTCTAGCATGTTTTTCAAATTTTAAAATGAATTTCAAAAATTTTAAAATTCATTTTAAAATTTGAAAAAAATCATGGAAGTCTGGATCGGTGTAAAAACGATCTTCATGGACATGCGCATTTACGTGCAAAATTTGAGAGAGATCGGTTTATAATGAGACTTTTGGTACACCTGAACGCATTTAAACTTTTTGGAATTTTGCAGCAGCCATAACTCCCGAACCGGATGTTGCGCGCACAAACGGTTTTCACGTCAGTGTATACAATTCTTCTGGCTACAAAACGTCATAAACCAAAACAAAAATGTGTTTGGGAGTGCGCGAAAGTGTAAGTTTTCGTGCATGTACACGAATTTGGTACCATGTACCGGCCCACTTCCCTTAATTTCACCTCTTCATCCGACAAAGGCCTAGCTCGCGATCCGGTGGTTGTGGTTTTTCCAATAATCGCATCACTTGCCGACACCCGCACTCCCGGCTCGATAATGCCATCATCGTCCAGTTTTTCGTACATAACCGGCCGCATTCCGTCGCATTCATCCGGATCAGGCACTTCAATTTCTTCCATGTTCTTCCGGTACGTCGACATGCCCTCCTTGGCCTGATACGACGTGTACAGGGTGTGCCGAAACATCCCCCGTTGGACCGCGGCGGCATTCAAAATCACGGAATCTTCCTGGTTGTAGCCCGTGTAGCTGGCAATGGCGACAATACAGTTGATCCCGGCTGGCATGTCGCGGAAACGTAAATGTGACATGGAAGCTGTTTCAACGAGCGGTCGCTGGGGATAATGCAATATTTGCGCTTCACTGTCCATGCGGGTGTTGAAATTGGTTGCGTAGACACCCAGAGCCTGCTTGGACATGGCCGACTGGTAGGTATTACGCGGTGACTGATTGTGATCTGGGTAAGGGATGATCGAGGCACAGACACCCAGGATCATGGAAGGATGGATTTCACAGTGGGTGTACGTATGACAGTATCCCCGGTTGCGAGAGAAATCCCGTGGATGCATGGCACACATGATGTACTCCTCCTCGTGAACGTCAATGTATTCCACAAACCCCTCCGAAAGTAATTCATTCCACCTGCAATATCGAAGTTTTTGGCTTTAATTCTGGTAAAAACATTATAAAGAATCAGTAGTCTGACATAATCTTTATATTCACCCAAACGGTTCGTTCATGTACAGATCCTTGTTCGTCAAAAGCATCAACTGCAAAACAGAGTAATCCAAGCATTCGAAGACTTTTTCTCACCAGTAAAACAGAGCAAAATTACCTCGGTCTTCGTAAATCTCAGCGCTTGTTTTTCCTCGTCAACAACCAACAAAGGCCGAGCCGCTCGGCCGGCGTCCGTATAGATGCAAATTTCGCGATTTGCGAAATCTTGCAGAATTGACACCTGCAACAATTCATATCATGGACCATACAAAAAGGTCATTTCTTCGAAACCATCCACAATGGCTTACTTCTTTGTGAATGACTCCTCTACGCCGGAGTGATCTGACATGAGTTACGAACGCAGTGGGATTACGATGAATCCCCAGCCAGGTTCCATTCAAAAACACCTTGGTCCCACTGAAATTATTGGCAGAAATCAGTATAACGATACGACAGTGTACCGAAAAATGCACTGACAATATATAACGATCATGATGGCCCTTGATGGGTAATTTCGCATAAAAAATTACCCATCATAAGTGACAGCAAACTGGGGAAACTTACGACAAAATTTCTGAAGGACTGATGCTGAATAATGGATCAAAGGGCCACTGTTCCAATAACTCTGCAATCTGGGAATCTGCATCGGAGGAACCAGGAGTTATAAAGGCCATCAACGCCAAGTTCTTCACCAATCCACACGCTTGTCCTTCCGGCGTCTCCGATGGACACACAATACCCCATTGCGTGTTGTGCAATAAGCGCGGTGCGGCTAGACGGGTTTCGTGGGTCATCGGTGTGTTCACCCGTCGTAAATGCGATAGCGTAGCACAATACGTCAGCCGATTTAGCACTTGCGCCACTCCAACACGTCCTGTCATGTTCGCAAGACCGTTTCCGGTTGAGAGAAAATACCGCATTCCATCCGTAATTACAGAGCTTTTGATGAGAACGGGGATGGCGACTTTCTTCCGTTTGTTCACGTATGGCTGCATTTTCTTTCGAAGTTCAGCACACATTTTCAGAAAACACTGCCGAAACTGAGCAGTCATCAAGGGACCAGCTAAATCCAAACGTTTATTGGCATAATGATCCCGGTCGTCCACATCGCGAGTACTCAAAGCTGTGTCCAGCAGACGCATGATCATGTGGCCGAGAAAATAAGCCTTGACCTTGGCATTTTCAGCTCTGGTTCCCATGTGCGGCAGAAAATAAGTGTTCAAGAGATCCTCAGCAAATCTCATCCGTTCCTCTCGATGCACACCTGGCTGGGTGGCACGGTTACCGATAAAATTCAGTGCCAGATCCTGAGTTTCGATCGCTAGACTGTCCGTTATGGATGCCTCCATCCAGTCCATCACCAATTTGGTTTTCTCGGAAATCTTCACATTTCTTTTCTCGGAAAGTCTAACCAAGTCTTCTAAGTTTTCACACACAATGTGCTCCAGGATGTCTTTCACGGATTCACAGCCTAACGCGCGAAACAGGATCACCACGGGAATTGGTTGCCTGACAAACGGCAGGACGGCTACGATAGGGTGTCCCAATGTTGTCATGCCCAAAATCTAACCGAAGACCGTGACCAGGTAAGTACGGCAATAAGATTAGATCCAAATTCATGACACACACTATTGTTAGACGCAACCATAGTAATTTATTGTACTAAAAATTCTTAACACACATACATACCTCCTTATTTCGCTTATGCATTTTCAGCTGCAATATATTCGGCGCTTTGGTCGAGTTTTTTGCTATGGATCTAATTTCGGCGATCCAGTTATACTTCGCTTCCCGAGATCTGCAAACGCGGATTTCATTCGACGCCAGTCTCTCCTGGGCAATAATAACCTACAAATTCGAGATCTCCATTCGCAACAAGCAAAACAATAAAACACTTCTACGGCAATCATAACTCGCATTTATGGTATGGCAATACAAAAACTTGATAACCCAAAAACGCCATGAAATCTTTACTGATCTAAAGTAATGATGCCATTCCGCACTTACTTTTTCAGAGCCATCAATTATGAAATATCCACCGGGATCCATCGCGCACTCGCCCATGATCGCCATTTCTTTATCTAAAAGTCCGGCTAGCATACAGTATCCCGAGCCCACCATCATGGGAACCTTGCCGAGAAAACATTTCTCGTGTTTTATCCGAGTTCTCTCGGGCTTGCTTGAGGGATCGTATATAGTCTCCTCGATGTCAACGTAGAGTGGGCTGGCATAGGTCATATTTCTTAGTCTGCATTCGCTGGGTGTCATCATTCTTTTGTCATTGTTGATGTCCCAGAAAACCGGGCGAGGGTGAATGAAAACTTGCTTGAATGTGTACGTATACACAGCCTGCGAAACCGTAGCAGATTATAATGACACAACACTATTACGAAATTCGCAGTGTTCAAAATGAATAACAATATTCAGAAAATTGCAAAAAAATTATGTACTGCAAGAGTATGAAAATTTAAAATAGATAAAACATTACCAGAAAATGCACGATGTAGTGCATGCCGACGAAAATAATTGTATTATTTAAAGCATTAATCGATAGATTGACTAACCACTAACATTAATTCGCTCCAATTTTTCTGAAAAATCGAAAATAGTAACTTAATCGGAACAATAGGTGCACAATGCACATAATATTATCAAAGTATGTGAAATTAAAAAACTGAAATAATTTAACAAAAAAAAAAGCTAAAAGTTTCGGCTGGCTGGGTGAGCCCCCACAAGTCATACCGGTTGTTCCGCGACGCCCTTCTTGTGAGTAACCTCCTGGACAATTTCAATGGGTTTGGTGTCATCGATCACCTTCTGGATGCCGTTTTCGATGAATTTACTGTACGACTCCAGTTGCTGCCGTACCACGCCTGTTGCACGGAAATAGGCGCCTTTCAGATTCGGAGCAGCATACGCATCGTACTCCTCCGGTGTTAGCTGGTTCTTCGACAGCAGGAGCTCGTCCGTCACGACTTCCGTGGGCTCTTCTTGAGCGGCGGCCACAGCAGCCAAATCCACGAAATCGCTGTTGGTCATGGCTGCCTCTGTGCAGAAACATTCGCATTAGTGATTAGCCAGTCAGAACACGGCGATATTGTCGAAACACAAAACCACACAGACTGTGACAGAACTGTCGTATACTTCGATATCCACCACACATTTATGACGACACTAACCCACAAAGGCAAAGGGATCAGCAATGCCATCTGGCACTGCATCTTCCGTGTCCATGGCGTTTCTCTCTGCAGCAACACCATTTGTACGCACAACAGCAGTCTGGTCTTCATCGACCATCACTTCCATGGATGGCCCATCACCTGCAGCCAGTAAATGCTAGTTAGTTGCGGGCTGGGAATGCATTGTGACCACGGAGAACCACCGTAAGCCCACATGCAGTTGGCGTACCATCACAGATCAGATCATTCTTTGTTGGTCTGCTGTCAAGTTCCATGTCCTGATCAGCATCGGACGGCGCAGACCGTCTTCCGTTGCAATACACAGACTTGTTGTTAGCCATTGTTATCGCAGAGATCAGATTTTCAGATCTGTCACAATTATGAATTATGATCCACAAATCAGCGTATCATTTCTGCATTGTGACAATTTCGCGAAAACCTCATTCATTGATGCATTTGTCAGAACAGCACAAGGTGTACGCGCAATGCATCGCTGAACTGGTAACAAAATCAAGCCGCGGCAAAAATTTTTTTGTGTTGAGGAGTGTTACGCTGAATGGGTCAAGACCGCTAGGAGGGGCGGGTTTGATATCCTAGCCACCAATCACGTTTAGCAAAGATGGTCTATAAATTCAAAAATATGCCAAACTCTGGTAAAAAAAGGTCAGACCATATAAAAACTGTTGATAAAAACCATAGAAGCATCACATTTCTACGATATCCGGGTCTACAATCTTCAGAAAGCCGTTGTGTAAGTCAACAATTAAGGTGTGCAATCGAAACCGTGGCGTTACCGGACGCTAGATTCATGGCAAAATTTGTTTTCTCGTAGCCCATTGTATTGTGATTTGCAATGTTTCACCTTCTTGTTACTCGTTGATATTGATAAAATTGTTCCTATCGGCCGTGCAGTTTTGTTGTGCAGAGCTTGAGCTTGCTTACTGCTCCTCCGCGGTTCGCAAATTATTCTGCACACCACTTATCGTGCATTCTACTTGCATGTTAGAAAGCTGTATGTAATTAAACCTAGTTAAACCTTTCTCCCGTTGTTCACAATGTGAACAACGGGAGAAAGGTCACTGCTGTTGATATGTACATGCTTACGTTGTATGTTGTATAGATATATTGACAGCACTACTCTGTACGAGTATAAATGCAATATTCGTTGTAGTCATAAAAAAATATGTAAGTGGATACTGCAGGAATGTATGAGGTATGAATTGCGCATTCTGAAATAAAAATTTTATGGAGTCTCGCGACCCATAGGTCAAAAACTGGCTTGTGCAGCTGCAATTAATTACATGCAAAAATTTGACATCGCAAGTCAGCTGGCAACAGTCGCGGCAAAGATCTTCGAATGCTAGAGCTTACAATCAAAAGCCAAAACAGGAAGGAAGTCCACTCGAGCTTTTGCGCAATTTATCTAGCAGAAAGCTGCATTTTAAGCTGTGATTACGAACTGGAGCAAATGTTCGTTCTCAGTTTGCATGAAGTATCTTTGGGAAACAGCGCAAAACGTTGAACTCAGCAATCCCGTTGAACAATGGGTCGCAGGCAACAAAATCATATACCACAGCTCTGAGTAATACAAAATTTCAATAATTGTATTTTATAAAATTAAAAAATTCACTTGCTGAGTTTGAATGCATTGGAATTTCATTGAGGGCAAAATTTGTTTTGGTGCATTTTCAGAATTCGGACACTGTTGAGAAATGGTTGACAGTCGGTGTATCGCCGCCACACCCTGCGAACGACGGATGGGTTTCCAAATGAGCTGTCTTCCATCGATCCATAGCAAATCTCAGTTTTGTTAGCCACAAGATCTAAAACAATCCATTAATACCTTCAAACAACGTAAAGATTTTTAAGAGGTGGCCACGAAAACAATATTCTCTTTCACACAGCCGTTTATATTCTATTTAATACAGTACTTAAAACACTACAGTACTATTTAATACAGTATGCGTTTAGCCACATCAAAATATAAACGTACACACGTTTATTCTGTTGGTCGTTTAGAGAGCTAGAAGAGTTATTTTACTGTATTTTATGATTTGCTTTACTCCGGATTTTGACTGTTTAAGGTTTAGTGTAAATCATTGCTGGTCCAAGTTTGAAATTAAAAGAAATGATTATTATCCCATTTAACTGGGCGTTTTTTCGTCAGTTTCGCATGATATAAGCATATAGCCATGTACGGAGTCCCGACTTACCTTTGCAGATTCGTTGGAAGCTTGCAGCGTTACCGCGCTTATTATCTGCTGATATCGGGATACATGAAGGATCACCAGAGAATTCTTTAGCAAAGGATTGGCTGAAATTCATATTTTTTGAGTTGATACAATAATGGCATTATTGCATAATATCGCCATAGAAAATAACTTTTACTTTCTATGGTATCGGTAAGTGCAAAATGGTCAAAGAATAATACGAGTAAAATTTTGAGCTTCTACCGGTTCGTCTCTATGAAGAAGTATGAACTATGAAGTGATAGCGATTTCGCTTACATTGCTCGGAGGGGCTCATGTCGTGTACCATTATTCTGTCCAATGGCATTGGCTGTTTGTACACCACAAACCGGGCTGAGCTTTCCTGATTTGGCCATGAACCAATCACATGTTGTTCCGATACGGATGACTTCTAATTAAAACAATCTCTTATTACCAGCTACATAAGTGCCAAAAATCTATGGTGCCAAAAAGCTACTCTGCTTAAAAAACCGTTTTTAGTGTTTTTTAATTAAACACTTCAACGCCTAGTACGTACAGATGTGTATTGATTTAAAAATAAAATAAAATTTTTTTATGTATTTTGTATTGGTATGTATTGATTAACACGTATCTTTTTATGCCAGAATCGCCTTTTGGTTTACCTTTTTTACTAAACCTTTTCGTTTTTTGGTAAGCAGCAGCATATCGTCAAACAGAAACACTTGCATTTCCACCGGTTTTCCATTTTCTGTAAATGAACCGTCTAGCATACTATGAATGTAAATCGTCAAACCGTAAAGTGTACATTTCAAAATTATAGTACAGCCAGTCGCATAAATCAGCAAAAGGAATGACATGTTCCAGCTACAATGAAAAACAGCTGCTCTCACCAATCATAAAAAGCGGGCCTTCCTGTACAATTATGCGTCTTGGACTGAGGATCAAATCCTCGCATGGCTGCTTGGCTAAATGCTGCTTTAGCACCTGCAACAAAATGTAGATATAATTTGTTGCAAATAGTCCCATAAAAAAGCAAGAGCACAATGCAACGGCAAGTAATACTATTTTGCTTACTTCGGGAACATAAATCTTTGGATCTTGCAAATCTATCACAGAAGGCCACACTAATTGCTTTTGAATGGCTTGCAATTTTTCAAAATTTCTCAGCCAGTTAATTTTCTCATCGAGACCACCTAAATATAAAACAAAAATTTAATGATCACTTAGCGTATACAAATTGCCATATATGCGTCATTATGTGGAGTTTTGCTAAAAGATTAATTGTGATCGATCACTCACGCAAGGACGATTCCGTTTCCTCTAATACCAATCTGAGCTGTGTGCAGTCGAAACCGCACTTTTCGGAATGTTTACAGATTTCCCGCAGCAATAACGGTCGTTTCATCGTGTGCTGCACGGGTGTCACCAGTAAATCGGTTAACTGTAACCGATGACATCGGCGATCTTGACTACAAAACTGCAATTTAAAAATTTATTATTATTGCATATCAATTATTAATTGAAGATATTTACATTCTACGGTGAACTGTCGGCCTTTACGATTCAAGTTTCACAGTCTCACTGCTACGAAATGATAAATTAAAGGTTTTATTAATTTTAAGAGTTTTTCTACGTTTTTCTACGTTCGTACACGCACGCATATGGACATGGTACATACTATATGTAACGTCAGGTGCTATAAGAGTTGAAGCTGCATGTGCTGATGTGCAGTACGTTTTACTTTTGCACTTGAAAGATCACAGACCTTTTCATATTCGTTGAAATCATCATGTTTTCGTAAACTTTCCAGATAGTTGAGTGCGTTGATGTAGTTTAAACAGTAGCGGTGAAAGGCCATAGCGGTGTCACGATCGGCTTCAAAATCTTGCAGGGAATTCTGCAAATAGATTGATTATAACAATGTGGGTGCGGCTGCAGGCCGTCAGTCACTGGCAACCAGACGCTCAGAATTAGTCAACATCCGAGGATGATTACATTTTTAATGGCTTCAGCGTGTCGGCGCTAACTAAGGTTTGATCTTTTAATAGGAAACGAATAAAATCCCCTCCATGAATTCAGTAATATTATACAGTACAGTATGTACAGTATCATAAGCACGCCCATTTCCGAGTAAAGACAGTCGCATAATCCAAGATTTATACATGTTAGTAGTAACCTTTAATAAGTATCATGATACGAATACAAATTATGTACCAAAACAAAACATCATTTATAAAAGAAACACTTCCTTTTATACATGTTAGATGATTTTTAGCATTAATTAACGACACAAGTCTGATACGTAGTACCGATGGTTTTAATATCGAAACAGAAATGCTGTGTACCTTGCGCAGTAATTCGACAATGCGGTCAACAGAAACGAATTCGTTGTCTTTTCCCGCTCGTTCTATTATCTCGGCGAAATCCGCACAGAGTTCGTAATTCGCCTGAAACATGCAGTTTGTTTAAAATATGCAGTTCGTTTTATTTGTTGAATATTACCACATAATACGTTACTCATTTATGGTAGCTATTTTGACAAAATACGCTGCAAAAACATAGCTAGATTGTAGTTAATCTTCTTTTTTGATTTCATATTTTTAATTTCACAGTTAATGAATTAAAGCGCATTTGATCAACGAAATAGGCTGTGCACTACCGAGCATAATTCGTCCAAATTGCCGAAAAGCTTTTCCGGTGCTACATGCATCATAAATCCTTCCACCTGCAACTGTTTGAGCGGCTCCAGATAAACCTATAAATCAATAGTAGTTCACATATGTAAAAAACGTACACAACAGTTTCGGCAGTTACTTCCTGGAAAATCAATGTACCCTACATATGGTGAATTAATAGTGCTCCTTCAGAGTGAAATTGTTCGGGAGACGAGAAGCGCTCGACGAGGTCCCGATGAAACCAAAAATACACTATCATATCGACAGTGACAAAAATAGCCGGCGACCGCACATGCTTCTTCCCAGTCAAAGAAAATGGCAAAAACGTCGCACGAGGCAGGAATACAGAAATTGCGTGCTCAAGATAGTGTACAGTATACTCTTATAGTGTGCGTTACATATGTCCGGGTTGATGAACTGCTAACGTACATGCTTCAATACCAGCAGATGGTCCAAGAGTAACACTAGCTCGCTTTGAAACATCTCCCAAATGGCTTCTCTACGCTTGACTTCCGCTTCCGAGAGATCATCCGACATGGCGGTTATATCACTCCAGTGTAGGACCTTGTAGCGCATCAGTGCGTCGTCATTAAATTCCGAGATTTTCAGTGTCAACAATTGGTCTTCAAGACTGCCGGTTTCCTTGCTGCGTGATGAGCGATCGAACAGCTTCATTAGGGACCAGTGCTTCTTGCGACCTTCGCCCGTGCTCGCCTCGGAATTAGGTAAACTGATGGTCGAACCGGCAAGATCAGGTGATCCAGGGGAAACTGTATTTATCGCAAGTGAATACTACTAGTATTAGCAACATCGGTCGCGCCCGATCTAGCGATACATAAATTAAATGGATACAATAACTGATATCTAATGACTACTAGTCATAATCGAACTTGTTCAAATAATTGTATAAATGAAAATACTGCATCATGTAGAATCACAGTAATTTATTATAAAGTAGTACGGTAATCACGCTTGCATTCTCGTTAATTACATAAATATATTACGATTTCTAAGAAATTCTGCGAGATCTTTAAAGATAAATTTTGTCATCTTGTTTTCTTAGATGACGTAATTTCATGGCGCCCTGACGCACTTACGGTGTTTTTCGAATGAAGAGGTAGATTTGGGTGGTTTGGTGTTGCAAACCATACTCTGGTTGTACACCAGGAGATCTCCCGGGCAAATCTGCATGGGCGGAATAACCACGATCGAACTTCGACGGCGTTGAGCTGATATCGCAGGACTTCTGTCGCTGAAAATTATAGCGGCAAAAATGAAATTTTTTTGGGTGTTGTGTTACATGCACTGAAAGACGAAATCAAGCATTACTTGGCATCTCCATGACTGTCCCGGCTACCAACGGAGGATGCGCGAGATTCCGCAAAGCTCTAAGTGTAATGTATGACAAATCGGTCAAAACGCTTGTAGTAACAGCCGCGCTTTAATTAAGTGTTTTTGACGCGCAATTTTAACCGAAAGAAAAAGTGTAGCAGACATAAAAGTGGTGCTCATAAGAAGGCAAATGAACACTCTATCACAATTAAAAACAAAGATTTCCAAAGCAGCTAATAAGGTATCTGTAATTTCGTAAAGAAGAAATAAAACTGACGCTGATAATTATTATGAGAAGCATTTTTTCTACTTTTCTCTACAACAGCATCAGAAAACGTACACGAAAGAGGCAAATGCACATAATTATGGCTTACACAGACCTACGTATTGATAATATTATTAGTAAACTTGCAAGCATCGAATGCACACATAAATGAAACAATACAGAGTACCTTCCACACACGACCATGATTAATTACTGCGTTACAATCTCGCACGAAGTCATTAAACAGTTTAGCTAAAAATTAGTAATAGTTTCAGTTTTATTACAAACTGATATTATTACTACCAATTTTCCGCAAATTTTAAGAGTGTACGTTCACTACGTTGCATATGTATTGCAACGTATTGCAACACGAAATAATTGCGTATTTAAATAACTATTCTGCAGCACGTATGTACGTCTGATGTTTAGAGTTAGCTTTAGTAAAACTAGGAAACAAAAAAACGGGTCGGTACGGGGTGGTTAATACCAGCCACATTCAGAAAGGATACAGCGGTAAACATTATTAACATGTAATGAACAACAGAGGAAGGTGGAGGAAAACATATAAGAAAGCGACGATTGTTAATTGCAGGAACGCAGCACTGCAAACTTGCCTGCGTGGGGGTTAACGCTGGTCTCCGTGCACGCAGGATTTCGACGGAAGGAGGAACACTTTCTATAAGATCTTCAGCACTTACAGGCGATTCCAGGAGATTGTCTGACATGGATGACTCCGTTGCGTAATTACTATGTCGTCCGGATCGCAGGGAAAAGCGTGAATGCAGCTTGCGCTCGGGTTTCGGCGACGAAGTGGGTGTCGGCATTCCGGCCAACTCCAAAGCAGACGGTTGAGATGTTGCTTGTTTCATCATCACCTGCAAATATATACGACAATTACAGGACATGCCACGCTAATCACCGAAAAACATTGCATCTCGTTAAATAATATGATTCCGCCTTGTCGAGGGAACTGAACTGAAGGAACATATTTCATATATAAAAGCATATCCGAACGCTATAGGTACTATTTAATTAAGGCACCGGAAGGTAATAATGATGTACGCTACAGGAGTTTGCCACATTCTGCATGGTAATAATAAAATTAATACTAAATAATTTTATTTACCAGCGCAGTATGCAAACCTAAAAAAATCATATACAACAGCAAAGGTCAGCTATTACGCCGGGTCCGGGCGGGATTCCAAAACAGTGCTTACAATACACTGTTCAGGTTATACAAAACACTGTATGCCTACAAGCGCAAATTGACTCACTTAAAAGATAAGGCTATTCATCGTACATGGCATATAGCATATTTTGTAAAAAGTTATGTGAGATACAAGTAAACGCAAAATACAGAATACAGTTAACGTAAAGTACTTGCGCATGTTGTGAGGATTTTTTTTGAAATGCGGAAAATATGCAGTTGGCACTCTAATATTACTGTATGTGCCTGATCAGTTACTTCAAAGGATTCAGAAAAAGAGCCGACAGTAGTGAAACTCGTACGTCTGTGCTAACACTATAAAACTTTTTCTTTTTGTAAACAATGCCGCGCTGCATGAGCACAGGGACGACAAATCTACTGTATGCGCTTAAAAGTTGATCGCGCTTTACAAAAGAATCTTTCCACTGATCAAGTTCCGCCGGAAATAAAGAGATCACACACATTTTGAATTTTTTGTACCCGAACTCAACCGCGAAAATGAGCATGAAATGGGGGAAAACGTAAAATGATATCATCATTACTATAAGTACGATGCGTACCAAGCATTACTTAGTGGAACTACTTTAATTTCAACCTTGTACAAGAAATGCCATTTACAATTAAATCTCAAATACCGAATAGCTGGAACAAATAAAACAGCTCTTCTAGCTCTTTTGAGCAACCAACAGTTCCCAGAACAGAAGCGGCATTTCCGCGCTGACAACGCGATAGCTTATGATAATTATGGCCCTTTTTACTATATACAATAATAAAAGCGAAAATCAGTGGCCGTTAAAGACATTATGAGTATATTTTCTAAATGCAAATATCTTATAAGTCGGGTGGTAGTCGTAATTTTTAGTTGCAGTTTTGCATAACGTCCTCTTCACACAAATGCAGTTAGCATAAAAGATATTTCACTTCGTTTAAAATAATTAATCAATGCGCTGCGCCAGACGTCGAAATTGGAGAAAGTCTAGATTGGAGAAAATCTAAATACAAATTTATAAAAGGGAGTCGCACATAAATTTTGATTATACATTAAAACAGATTTAATTTGCAATATCTGCTACTACAAGAAATATCTGAAGCAAACATACTGCATCACAGTTTTCCTCGGTTAGGGATGTGCTTGTCGCCGCAGGTTGGAATGGAAGATTTGGAATAGTGTAGCTGCGGGATGTATCCTCACTTTTCGCTTTCGATAAACCTGCAAAAGTACATTGTAGAAATAATTCCTAAAAGCGGTAAGCATGTAATAGTAGCAATAATTAAGTAAACCATGCTATTTGTAAACAGAACATTTCACAGATAGGTGCAGTCTCTGCAATTAATTTTGCAAGGAGGGGCGAAATAGATTTCTAGTAAATGTTATTTATGAAATCGACACCTACAAAATTGCATGAAGAAATCAATATGCTTATTGCCCAATGCCAAGTTAAGGTTGCAATTATAATTAATAACTCCTGATAAAGTCCGGCATATGTTGGTTAAAGGTTGACGGCGCAGAAACGGCATAATCCAATCTGCATAATCCAATTTCTGATCTTCCTGCCCGCGCATCAGGTTAAGCATCGACTTAATACCACATGTCGCTGGCACAGTACACCGTGAACGTTAGCACATTAAAGAGTTCGGACTAAATGAGCGACGCGCGGAACTCATCTGGGAATACCTTCGTTGAAAATTAGCTGTCAATGTCATCCAGTTCGCATTACCAGTACATTTTTGTTTTACGTTGTGAAGCATCAGCAAATAACTCGGTACCGCGGTGCTGGTAAGCAGTACATATGTTGAACCTGACCGGTAACGGAAAGCATCTAAATTAGCCAGACAGCAATGTTGTCGGCAGTTCACCGGGCAGCATGCGACTGCAATCTGTATCGTAAAGAGTGCTTTGTGGGGTTTTACAGTACCAAGTTTATGCAGCAGCACAATAATATTATTTCTAATTTTTGAATTACATACAGTAAGCGATGTTTATGTCTACTCGTCAACAATGTTGTATACCGGCCCGGATCCTGTAAGTTGTCTTTGTCAACTTGTTGTTTACGATATATTGCCCAGTATTTCCAGGATATAAGTTGCTATTGCCTTTTTACCAGTAATGCCAGGATAGTGTCATATTCCTCAAAAATTGAGGCTTATATCACTGAATAGCATAAAATCTGTACTATTTTAATAAATGTTTTGTTTTCCGCTAAGTATTACCAATTTTTGTAAAGGTCATGTAAAGTAAAATATTACAGATTTTATCCTATGCAGTGATGTAAGTCTCAGTTTTTGAGGAATATGGCACTATCCTGGCATTACTGATTAATCGCGTTAAAGCGTTTTAGTGGTGGCTAACAATATTCGTAGTTTCTTTACAATGATACTACGCCATAACTTAGATATTGCTTCAAACTTTCATAAGGGTGCTGAAAAAAGCTAAACCGGCATTTTTCAAATCTATAAAGTATAAACTGTTTCAATTTATTGCGATCAAAGTTTTGCACTTGTACTTGCTTATGGGTAAATATTGCCTTTGGCGGGTGTGTTAATTTTTCGTTGTTTATTTTTCGTAACGTTACAAATACAGTAATTTCAAGAAAAATAAAACTTTCTGCCGACATTTACCCCATCGTTCTAAATTTCTAATAAATATATTGGCACAATCGTCCATGCTCAATCCGGCATGGCTGCCAGTCCGATTACTTGCAACGTTGATTTGCAGATCCAAATATCGGCTTACCCCAGTAAGTTAAAGCGACTGCTGAAAGGACCAGAATTACCACCGGATACATTGATACAACAGCTCCCGATAGCAGCCAATTGACCATATCGTAAAAGAAATGAATTAACGGCGCCATCGTAGCACCCTGCGTCCCGTCGACAAAACAATTCCCAATCACATTAAAACAGTAGTCTCGTCTCACGTAATTCTTTTCAAAGAATACGAGAACGATTATCTGAAGGGTTGAATAATGTTGTGGTGCCATATATACATATGTGACAATTTTCATCGGCATATATATTCCATGACGTAGCCGGCCATCGCCACTTAATTAATATTAATATTATTATAGCACCGTTTGTCGTCCACTTATCGTAATGGTGATACAACAATTACATTAACACTATTATGCTCCCAAAGTAAAACCACTACCGCGTTGATCCTTTATGCGGTGAGGAAAATGTGGGATGTCAGTACTATATTAATAGTCGTAAAACTTTTCAACAACTGAAAGACTTTTCATCGGTTAAAGCACCAAGACGCCGTGTACCATACCGAAAACAGTTGCAAGTAATGTGTACTCCCTTATACATAATATCCTATTACACGCCGTTTTATGATTCATTCATTCTGTCTGGCAAAATGCCTAAAAATATATTTGCTGACCGTAGCAAAGGGGAGTTTGTCGGAATATGCATCCACAGAACCATATTGCCTGCATCTCATATGAAATCTTCCGGTAGGAAATTTATCCTAAGCTTGAGCTGGTAAAACGACGAAGATCATTGCGATACGCTTCATTGATCACCTCTACTCTGGATCTTCAAAACTATGACGTTGTATAACCGAATTCGGACAGCCGAAATTTATATTTTAATTTTGAAATAATTGTGACAATTCTGAAAATAATATATAATTTAGGATAATTCAGCTTATTGTTAAGCATTTATTTGCTGTCAATTTATAGGATAATTACAGTATTTGCTTGGCCTAAAAGATTTTTGAACGACTTGAGCGTGACGGCTTTTCATAAAACCCAGTCTTTATAACCTTGGATGGAAAATTTTAATATTCGAAAGGAGTAAAAAACACACCAAACTAGTTCATCCAAATGTCAAAAAATTGAATTTCCAAGCGTGGAAAAATTTAAATTTGATGTGGCAAAAAAAACCCAAGAGGTCGTATTGTTAGAATGTCCATACCGGACCACAGAAACCACAATTAATTGCGTCACACTAATACTCAGTCCAAGAAAAGAATATTTCTCATTCTTTCAACAGAACGTGGACCAGAAGATCGTCGCATTCTTAAGTTTCACAACCTTATACCGGATACTTGCTGCTACATACTTGTATTGGGAGCAACCGGATACACTTCCGTCGGTTGTATGGTTATCGTTAATCCAACTGCTTCTATCAAGCCGCTGAATCGTGTTAACGAGAATGATTTCAATTTTTTGTAGTGTAACCTGCATTGTACTATATGTGCACCAGTTAGTATTTGTTAGTTTTCGGGGCAGCTTTAATGCGGTCAAACTGACAGCTGATAGCCACAGTACGGATGGTTACGCAGTTTCCTTTCGTTGTATGTGCGTTGGTGACGCGCAAGAATATATGAAACGATAAAACAAAAGGGTAATGAATGTTTATAAATCAGGATTGATCTTTTGTAAATACGAATTTCAAAGCAATAAGTGAAACACGTGATTATTCTTGGAAAAAATATTTAAACCCAACATAGTGAATTAATTAAAAATGTCATTCACGGTTGCTTACTCCCTGTCATCATATTATAAGCATCCGCAAATTATGACTTCCAAGTTCGGCGTAGAACTGAAGGAGAGAAAATCGTCTTCATTTATCGATGATCTTTCATAGTTAACTAAAAAGCTTTCTAAATCAATAAACAATTTTGTAAGAAAAATAATTTTTCTGTTTTATATATTTTCCTTTTACATAGGTAGATGGATGCTACCTGAACTTATAGTTAAAAATTCAAACAACTATTGTAAAAGGTGGAACACTGGACTCCAAAACTTCAACCCCCGAGTAAAACAGCTTGTAGGAAACACGTTAGTTTAACGTGTAACTACCGCTAGGTGAACGGATGTGTGTCAATTTTAGCTGTTTCCAAACGTTTACCTAACGTTTTTTTTGCAAGTCGTTTTACTCGGGACCCCCAGTAACTGTAGTATCGCATAACATCTTTTTAAGATTTTTGAACGTTTTGCAAACTGATTGTATCTGTACATATCATATTAATGTCTCTAGTGCAAGTCACGTTATATTTTTTGTATTTATCATCCAGTGTTTGTAGTTTTAGGCAACCAAATTCCAACTAAAAAAATATTTTTGTAGCTGTTGTAACACAAAAATATATATAGTTTTGCTTCTTACGAAGACGACGGGCAGCACTTCCGGTTAGAATTTCCATTTTCTGGGCTAATGGTGAGTGTTGCATGGTAAAAATGCCGACGATATGCAATTACACAAATATGTCGGTATGCCTTTTCTTCCCAGGAACAGCGGCAACAACACGGATGCGATTTCGATATATATATGGAACGATTAGTGGCAATAGAATTATCTTGGGAATCGATCCAAAATTAACAATGACAGCTTGTCATCTCAATGAGAATAAATTTTTGCGCCCAAGTTCTAAGCAGGACTGAGTTGAGTTCCACGATTATCGGTATCACTGTCACGATAGCATACAAAACTTTGGGATCAGGTGCACAATATTTTGCACAAGTAACACTTGAATCGACGCACAGCATAATTATTACACATTGCAGCGGGTGAAATAACCGTGCTGCCGAAAAAGGTTATTAGTGTAACATTACTGCATGATGATGGTTTTTGTATGTTTTGAGAAATTATCTTGGCCGTCAAACCTTTGGTATATATGGTAACATGAGCAAGCTTATAGTTACGACAATATTTTAACATCAGCTTCTTTTGCTCCTCAAAAAGTCAGTATTTATAGCTGTTCAAGAAGTTAAGGATGGATGCCGATCGGAACATGGGTGCGTTTTGGTGACAGATGATTATGGTAACGACCAGGCGGTACGGCTATCCCAAGTAAATCCAAGTAATCGAAAAAACGCCTACATTCTACACACCAACAACAGTATGTAAATACACGCTACTTGTCCATAGGTGGACTACTTGTGATATTAATATTTATTCACAAGAGCAATCCCTTTTGCACCCTTGTGAATGGAGACATCTTTTCTGATATTCGTTTGACACTAATTTCACAATCTATTTCCAATACGTCGATATATTGTGGAAATCGAAACATCCCACCTGATTACCATCTGTGCATTGATTCAATTGAACTCGTGTGCGCTTGATAAAATGGACATTTTTGCGTTAGGTCAATAACAGTGACAATCGACTGCGTGACACTCTGTTGTAATTGCTCAACTTTTACAATGAGCGGAAAGGCACTGCTTTGTGTAAAACCTGGAAAAAAGCGGTGGAATATATTTTGAAAAGTAAATTCTGCTCAGCAATTACTTAAAAGCGTTATTCCAGTTTTTTTAATTTTGCGATGGCGTAGAAAATGCAGTTTTATGATGAAGATAGTAATAACAAGTCAAAAATATACTGCACGCATCCGTGATTTACCGGTTCCTATAATGCTTGTTTTGCTGTAATAACGCTATCTGTATAAAACATTTCCAGTAGCCGTTAAATTTTCTATTTTTATTTATTAGCTAAGAGCTAAGGCGTAAATCTTAGCCCTGGGAAAGTAGCTTATCAAAGTAAAAAACAGGATTTCCGCATATTGTAAAAGTGTAATTACATATGCTTATACTTTAATGCACCGGCATTGAACAATTATTCACGAGCAGTATGTAGTAAAATCTGTTCCTGAATTGGCACTGAAGCTCAAGCCATCGCTACAAGTTTGTCTTCATATAAAACTGAACTCGTGATGCGAAATTACTCTAATTTTGCAATGACATGCGGGTCGTATGTTCATGACGAACGTTGGTGTAGGCTAGGAAAAATGAATGATTACAGGCATGCTGATTGAAATGCGCTAATTACAGTCAAAATATCGTGTCATCATTATAGTACGAAAAAGAATGCAGTTCGGTATAAAGGAAGATATCACTCATGAAGAAGCGGTCCGAACATCACGCTGGACGGCTAAATTAAATCGCTTAAAAATGCACCACACTGACAGCATCATTCCTTGTAACAGATGTTTTTCCATCGCACGACATATTAACCTGGTAAAAATCTTAAACTGCTTTTAAAGATGGATAATGAAGCATACCAAATTGTTCATTGCTAAACTGAACGGAACATTTTAATTTACGTTTATAAGCAGTGCAGCAGTGAATCGAAGTATGCACTATACTTCTATACTGACTATATATAAATATACGTAGTATGTCTAAGTTGTGTACACAGATGCGAATACCTGTAGATCTAAAGCAGTTTTTCAGTCTTTCTACTTTTTTTATTTTTTGTTAGAAAGTGGTCAGTTCTGGTATTCAGAGCGGTAATGTGCAGAGTACTGCATGCATGCATATGTCATGTGCATATGAAGCGAGAAAATGTTGCACCTTTATATTTTGTGAACTGTTTTTGTCAAAAATGGCTTGATACGGAATTGTTTGTGAATCTCGTTTTTCCCTACCTATTTCAGTTTCAAGTCAAAAACCCAATAATAGACCAATAGTCTGACACACCAGTAGTCTGACACAACATACAATACATACACATGCAACAGCTTATACGTATATCCGTATATAAGCGTACGCCGCATTTTTTACCGCGTAAACGCGCATTTTAGGAGGTTTATTTTGCCATAGGTACTTGTATAATAAACAATATAATTTTTTAATACCTATGGTATCTATGGTGAAACACCCTATGGTAAATTTGCCTATGGTAATAATAATTATGGTGGATACCTTCACGAGTACGAGTACGAGTGAAGTACGAGCCTCGTGATAAGCATCCGTGCATTGTACCGTTTTCGGTACAAGCTGCAGAATCTGCGCTGTACCACTTCGCGCTTATTGAAGAGGCAGACGAATCCTGACTGCACAGTATAATAGAATTCTCATGACCTTTATGAAATCTTGCTATCTGTCATTCGAAGTTCATCATTTTTGACGTAGTAGGTGCAGTAGCAATCATCTCCCCTACTTAAGCATTCATCTCGATTCTCATAAAAATCTTAAAAAACTGCGTTTACCATCTGCAGCTATGCTACAAGACTAAATGAATCGAAAAATTTACTAGGTCATGTTAATCAGTTGATGTAGCAACCGTTTTCGCTGTCCGAGCCTAGTGTACATGTAACGTAAACTGTAACTGGGTGCGGGATTATCAAAACATGATACATAATGCCCCGAACAGAGTTGATTATACGGTTGCAATTAATAATTAATATCTCTGATTCGGCAAAACCCATATTATCATTTCGAATTTTGTTTAATCTCGAATTAACCTATGAACACAAAAACCTCTTGGCTTCTCGTTTGGCAAGTTTCCAGGGTAATCATACTGCAATCGGAGATACTCACAGAATTAACATTACAGTTTTAGCGATCAATTGATCCGCGGTTCAGGCCGAGTTGTCTGTACCTCGGATGTACTGAGTCGGACTGACAAACTTTCACTCACCCGGTCGCGGTAACTTGAGGGAACGACGAAAGGCATCCCGTACCCACTTTGGATACTCCGGCTCACAAAGTGTCGCCCACGGCAGCGGCGAGAGTGCAGCCGGCATACTGCGCCGGATCTCCAGTGATTCACGCTCCGGATCAACATACAACGGTGTCAATGTGATGACATCGGCGATCAGCCGACTATTCATGACGGCCGGATCCGATGGACGGTGGTCGCAGGAAATACAGCATTTCGAGCGCAGCACCCAGTCCAGTAAATTAGACTCGGAGCGGGTATGTTTGCGCACTAATAATCGTTTGGGCACTGCCTGCCCACGAGAGGAGACGGCGCGCGCCGAAGGTGCACGGAACAGCAGTGTATCCGGGCGGTTGACATTCACCGACGCATTGGTATCCAGCGACAGGGTAGTGTGGGCTTTTTTGCGGAAAGAAGATTTTGGTGTGGATATGGGCGAGGATGGACGGGATGTGGACGGGGAGCGTGTAAAAAAATCCCGAATATGACTGCCCGCGTCCATACTATCCTCCGTATCGCTGCTGGCTATAGTAAACAATGCCTTATTGTGAAACATGATTACTCTGTACGTGTGTGCGCAGAAGAAATCAGAGCGAGCGGTTGAAAATTCAAAGAAAAATTGACAATCGTTACTTAACAGCTCACAGCCGATGATTTGAAAAATCCCCATTTCCTCCCCATCCTGGCCATAATTATATCATTGGTGGTCAGTGAAGCAGAGAGCGGTTAACGAAGCGGCCAGGTGTATGACGAGTGGTGACGCTGTACCGGCGCACTAGTGTACAGGCCGCTGTACCGGTGCTCCAGTAATTGCCGAAAGGTAAAACGGGATGACGAGTCGTATTACAAAAATATCTCTTCCCGCTGACAGAGGAACGTTCAATTGTAAAATGGTCGCTCATTAAGTGCGATGAAACGAAGCGGAAATAGGACAAGTGGATATAATCACGCAGGGCAAATCAAAGAATTACTGACCTTTGCCGTATTATACCAGTTCCTCCACTGGATCCAATGCCTACAGAAAAATTAATTAAGAAGAATAAAACGACTAGAAGAAAAATAAAAAGATAAAAAATTTGGAAGAAAAAATAAATGTTGTAAGCGACGGTCATGCGTTGTCGTTAGTGCTGCATGAGATTAGATCCGCAAAAATCCCTATTGTATTCTCATATGCCGTACTGGAGTTAATGCGTGCATTTGAGTATCACCTATGAAATCGTGAATCAATTACATGACAAATTGTCTATTAGGGCATAGTACAGCGATATAGAGCCGGTCAATATTAACGTTAACATGTTAAGCGGAGAAGCTCTCCTGCTATAAACGAAAAAATGTCAAAAGGTTTTTTTTGAAAATTAATTTTTTTAGAAATGCTTCGTAATTCTGCACGTCAAGATCGTGCAAGAGACTTTCGTAAAATTTAGAAATTCGTAATCGGCTAATTGCTTCACAGTAAATACAATGCAAGGCTGTCAGAAATATTGCAAAAAGAGGCAAACTTACAATGCGAGATATGACAACTACCAAAATTAATGGCTAAATACCCAAAAAGTAAGAGGGAGTTCCAGCAAGATTATTGGGAAGAAGCATCAGATCATGCATGCCAAAATCCTGTACAACCACCAATTAAGAATTCATCACTGCCTTACCTAATCAGTCATCCATATAAATTTAATCAGTAAGATTCTGACGTCAAATAAAAATATTTTTGGCAGATTAAGTTGTTGTAATCGGTTGGCTCATATGAATTGATCTGGAGCCGCAAGAGGGATAAGTGTGATCTGTGACATATCTAATCCAATCGCCATCACTTTTCACCACTGCTGCGGCATAATAAAACAAATGTACTGTGCACTGTGCAGCACACACCGACAGCTGCACTGTATTTCACATGACTAACGAATTCCCACAATCTGGATTCTGGAATATCCAAGATGGACGATGCTACTCTAGTCAAACTGTGCATTGTGACCAAATGTCACTAACACTACGAGAAACTCTTAAGATTTTCCAATTACGGTAATGACTATTAATTCGGATCACAGCGTAAGTTTTTCTGGAAGACCATTGTACATGCTAGATAAGTGTATTATTTCCAACGCCACCGCATAATTATAAGCTAATACTGGGTGACCTTGAACGCAACCGTATTTCCTAAAACTATGCACAAGATTGTGAATAACAAATTATCCAGAAAAATACGTGGTAGACAATTATTGCATCATTCATTTTGCGAATTTGTACTTTACAATTAGAAGAACATACTCTTAAGACGTTAGAAATGCCAAATCCGGCCTGAACAACACTGTTGTTCGCGCCTCATCAGCACGCGCTTCCATAATTAGAATCGAACAAGTCTTTTCTTCCAGCACACTACTTCCCCATCTTGAATTGTTATTGGTTACGTGGCCTTATGAGAAGGTCGCAGAGCGGCGCATAAACGGCATCCTCTGCGTAACGGGCATCGGGATTGGGCTAACTAGGTGCACACCGGAATGACTGAACTACAAGTAAACTGAGTGGTTAATGACAATCTTGGGATCAGCCATTGCGACGGTACCGCGGCAAAACTTGCACACTTCCGGACGATTTCACCAACTTGTTATTGACAACATTGTGATCATTGCTCCATCTGATACAAAAGCAACGTGACAGGAGACCCTTGTTAACGAACTTGGCCTTTAACACAACACGAGTAGTGCTGGATAAAAATGCGCGGTAGTCGATGTCGGCACTATGCATCCACACATGCATGACTAATCCGTTTAATATCAGTTGCATGGAAATTGTATCCTGTACCGGAAATGTGGCAACTGGCCATGGCAAGCTTGCTGCTTGTACCCTACAAGTACAAGTACCTGACGCAAATTACAGTGTATGTATTATTATTATTGCAATAAAAGGTAACAGAAAAACGATCAAAAATCAACTGTCATCAGATTATTGACACATTTAAAGTTAAATGCTCTGTACAGTCAACAAAATTAACACAGATACCATTTCAGCAAAACAGCCTCCACATTCAAAAAAATTCAAGTAAAACAAAAGAAAACTGCCAAGAAAAAAACGTTAGACATTCACAAGTTTTTCACTTTAAGCGCTGATTTGTTCCTTCTTGGTGTAGGAAGGGAGCGCGGACTGCCTCGTTTGCTAAAAGAAACCAAGCTTTCCCGCGACCTCCGCGCTAGTCGCTCCTGATAATGCGCTTCCGTGTCTTCGTGCATGGCTAATGTGGACTGCGAGATGGCACCGTTTTCCTCTTGCGAAAACGCATAACCTCTGCCCGGCGAACCGATCTCCACGTCGGCCAGCGGAAAGTTGTCATGCGGATGGGGCTGCAGTTCTTTCATATTCTGCAGGGATTTCTGCTTCTTCTGTCGTTCTATCTGGCGCACCCTGTCCACCACACTGGGATGAAACAGGTTAATGTAGATTTTGTAGCAAATGTCGAAGATCAATGTAACAACAGGAACTAAGAGTAGGCCGAACCAGAACAGCCACGACCCGAACAATGCCCGATCCACTCCCACAAAATCTTCTCCGAAATTCAAAAGATGCGGCCATAAATTGGCGTAAATCGGTAGAAAAATAAACCACGATAGGATGCTCCCCCAGATTCCGATATGAGATGCCGATGTCCAGGAATTCATTTCTAAGCCGGCTTTCAAACACACAACCATAATGACATACGTGTACGCTGCCGCACCGAAAACAAATCCTCCCGAATTCAGCCCATCTGACCACAAAGTTTCATGGGTAAACATAAAATACGTGAAGGCAAAAATTATGGCTGCGTGAAACAGTGCCGTAGCGATCCAACGCCAGAACACCCTAAAATTAAAAAATGCGCCTGTCTGTCCGGGCTGATACAACGCGGGATATTCCATGCGCGTGCTATCCGATGTACTGCGATCGAATATTCCTAAAATAAAAGGTGGAGCCGCTGTGAACGCCAGATTGTATAAACCAATAGTCCACCGTTCAAACATGGTCTGCCCAGAGAAAGAACTGGCAATGGCATAATAAAACTGCATAATATACAACGTGATGTTTTTGTGGTAGCAATATAAGATCAATTTGGCGATGCGCTCGTAACTCCATGCACCATGAACGAGCAGCAGTTTTTGCAGAAACCGGAACTGACTTATCGCATAGTCGGAAGCGCACACAGCCTGAAGACCTTCTTTCCCGCTGATTCCGACACCAACATGGGCTGTTTGGATCATGGCCACATCATTGGCTCCGTCGCCGATAGCCAGTGTAACCACTTTGGGATTATCCGACCGGACCAACTGCACCACATCAGCTTTCTGCATCGGACTCACTCGGCAGCATAGAACGGATTTCATAGAAATGGCCAGCTCCAGGAAATGCTTTCGGATTGTCGGATCCAGAGCGAATGACAACGCTTTTCCATCAATCACCAAGCCGATGTGATTATTTTCCTTTTTCAGTGAGTCTCCTAATTCATGACGAAATTTTTTCACATCATTCTCAACGCCCTGTAATGTGGGGCTGGTGATGCGCCAGATAGGCATGTCCTGCTTGAGCAGGCTACAGGAATAACCAATGTTAATGGCAGTTTCCACTTTGTCGCCGGTCAGAACCCATACCCGCATGCCGGCGTCCAAAAGTTTCGCGATGCATTCTGGTACACCTTCCTGTAAGCGATCCTCGATAGCCGTGGCGCCCAACAGCTTCAGGTCTTTTTCAATCAAACTGGAGACTTCCGACACCTTCTCTTTTCGTTTCTCCATGGCCTTGGATGCCTCCGTGTACTTCTCCTTCCACGCCGCATACACATCCGGCGCCAATTCCGCTGAGCCAACACACAATGTCCTCAATCCTAATTTGGCAAAATCTTCCAAGTGCTGCATTGTGACATCCAATAACGGCTGATTGGGAGCGAGTCTATCACAGATAACCGTATCGGCGCCCTTACATAAGAGGAGTATTTGACCGGTGGGTGCGCGGACAATCACCGACATTCGCTTGCGATCAGAATCAAAGTCCAGGACATCCAGCAATTCATAATCAACGTTCTGAAATTGTTTGGTCTTCCAGTTCTTAATATGAGCGGTCACTTTGTTGGGATTGCGCTTCAGGAAAATGTAGTCCATTTGCGCTGCCGCACTGACGAGGGCCGCTTCATCCGGAGATGATGCCAGATAAAACGGTCGGTCGGCATCCTTGGGGTTCACTTCTGGGACAACAGTATGACAAAGGGCTAACACCAGCAGAAAATCGTTGACGGCTTTTGCGAGCGGTGTATCGGTTGCAAGTGTCTCACCCATGTTGCTGTCCACGTACTGATCCGACTTGACGTTTACGGTACCAAAAACCGCACCGCCTATGCTGCACTGGCGAAATATCATCTTGTTCTCTGTTATAGTTCCAGTTTTATCGGAGAAGACGAATTTTATTTGTCCAAGATCTTCGTTTAAATTGGACGTGCGCGCTACAGCCGGGGTATCCGAAATAGGATCATACATGTCGTAATCCTATAACAACAAAAGATCCGATAAAAGTGCCGCTAAAAATTTAATCGTTCAATGATTTGCTGACGACAAATTGCAACGGTAGTAATTCAATCCTGGCTTTTAAAGCTCAAACTCAGCCAAATGTAAAACTAATATATACCCAAGAGAAAATGCTACCAGGAATGTTGTAAAACAGAGTGTCCTCGTGAGCCATCAATCAACCTGCACCTGATTCCCCATTACTATCGAAAAACAATAAATTTTCAGAGCGGCATTATTTCGCTGTTCTTCGAGCGTCAACCCTGACTTGGAACATCACGGTTTTCCAAAAATTAACTGAGAATACCCTCTTGTGAAAGATCAATTTTTGTATCTGCGGATACTTCCACCATAAAACTTTTCTGGCTAAGTTTTTTAGTACTTCGTGGCATCGGCATCGTTTTTTAGTACTTCATAAATCATATATTTTTAGTACTTTCTATATGATTTTAGTATACGTAAGTGTATAGCACTAAAATCATATAATACATTTAGTACCAGACGTCACTGCAGTGCATCTTAATCAACAGATTACAGGATCAAAAACGTTTACCCATCATGAATTTAAGAATTAGGGTGCGCCGTCAAACAAAAAGAGTGAATACCAAAAGATCGACATATGTAATACGTATTTCAAAATTTTTATTCTTTAAAGGGCAGAGGCGTGCCGTGCCCTGCGTTAACAAGTGAATCATAAAGACCTAAACATTGTAATCGTACCTATAGTTGTGCACGCTTAGTCACGATCAGGTTCTGCAAAATCGTTTATCAGTGCCATTCCAATGTAATTATTTTTCACAGCGTACGAGAAAATCTGCATGACTGACAGCGGTTTCATTGTTCGTTTACGTATGTGAGCAAGGTCACAAGAGCCTTAATAATTTATCTACAGCGCTAGCGCGAAAACGCTGAAACTGTTGAAATATTTGTAAAATGCTAACTTACCCAGGCAATAAAAAGCGTCTGGAAGAACCGCACCATTTCCAATGTAACCTGAAGGCTGATCGGTATCAGATTGTTGTACAGGATGAAAAATGTCAAGAAGCTAAATCCAAAATTCTGAGATTCCAGCATCGGCTTTATATACCAGTCGGAAGTATGATAAGTTCTCCAGATCGCATTTCCCGAACCACTAATAATACATACGACCACTAGTAAAATAAACATGATGATAATTTGACGGTTGGCAACTTCATCCATTTGCGATCTTTTTAGAAGTAGCATCGCTCCTTTTTTGCTGTTTTGCACCAATTTGCTGTCGTCACCCGTATATACCGCTACACCATATATCCATTCGGAATTTTTCAACCGAGCCCCACGGAGCAGTAGCTGATCGGCATTTAGCGGTATAGTCTGGCCATTGTAATTTAGATTTCCCGTAAATTCATGTAAAAGTCGATTTGGAGCCTCGCATTCAATACTCGCAGCAATATTGAAATCAACTGCAGCTTCAGCACTGCTGTGACCATCATTCCGGCTAAAAAATGTATGCGTCTGCTCCAAAGCTGATCGTGTTTTTAGGCTTGTTTCTCCGTCCAGGTTAGCCGTTTCAATGTAGCAAATACCCTGCGGCTCACTGGAAGAGAGTAATATCAGATCAGCGGGAAATTCCTCATTAGAATGCACCTTAACGATGTCTCCAACGCGGATCAAGCGCCAGCGCACTGGTGTGAATTCGTTATTGCGCATAACCAAAGCAGTCCGATTGTTAACGTCATTATCTGAGATTCTTCGTTTAAAATCCTCAAAAATTTCCTTGCACGCCGAAACAAAAAGGATAAATGTCAGTGGAACGAGTGTGGTCCATCGACCTGCAATATAACGTTTGTTAGAATCGGCAGTAAAATGCTGTCTATCATATTGCATAGAACTGAGGTTCACCGGTTTGAAATCTGTAAAATGAGAGTAAAAAAAATTACTAAGGTGGAGTGTCAAGGCCAGTAAATAAAAAATAAGTCGATGCGATCATTCGTGCTGGTATAATTTGTTAAAAAATGGCTTCGTTATCGATTGCGCAATTGGAGATCTTTCACACCGCCTTATCAGTCTCTGCCTGTGGGTAAAAGAGTACGAGTGCACTTTGATCGTTTTTGCAATTCACGGACATAAGATCACATTCTTAGACTGATAATCCACTATAAATGTGTAAGCATTGCACCAGCAGGAATTCAGCAATTAAGAACTTTACCCGTCTGATAAAACGATAATTATGTCTAAGTTGGGATTGTACAGATAGTATTAAGTGTTGTAGCTAAATTTGTTTAACACAGCTGTTAACCTCTGTCGCAGTTAATATAATTATCATAAATTATGCGAGTCGAAAATCAGCAAACATCAAACAATTAAATAAAAAAAATCGGAATAAATTCGGCTCGTTAACTTATAAATTGAAATAAAAACATAAAGACCCAAAGCAAAAACAAATTTACATCGAATTCCGAAACTGGAAGGAAAACAACATTTTACTATTTACAGTTCCACACGCAAGCACCAAAACTTCGCCATGAATGTCGAACATACCTGTGGGGGAAACATCGGGGATCTGCTGTAGGGCTGCGATAAATGCAAAAAATGCGTTTGAGTATCGTCGGAAAGATTCAAAAAGGAAGAGGGGCAGGAATGAGAGAACGTTATACTTGGTCGTTCTGACAACATTCGTTTTGAATTTTCCCTGCTGGGCACTGTTGATCAAAACTGTCCGACTTAAAGATGCCATGGGAGCAGTACGTTGGCGTTCACCTAGGAGAGGCTTCGTCAGAGGCTCCGCAGTGGAAGTGGCCGAACTGGAACTATTCGTGGGAACCGTGACCATGACGATAATGAGTAACTCGCCCACCGCTGACTCGGATCCGTCATTCAAACTGACGCACAATAAGGGATCGTGTATCCGGTGAGCACTACGGTGATTTACCTCTCAACTGCTACCTGCTGGTGCCTTGTCGCGCGTAAAGGCAATAAACTGCAGTGCATTGTTAAAAGCAGCCTGTAAAAATCCATTGGAATTCCGCACACGTCTGGGCTTTGTCACAAAATGGGTTCCAAAGTAAAGCACAGAAAAGAATCTCAGGGGATTGCTTACACTAATTACTGATTAAGGTAAACTGGGGTTGGCGTCAATGTCGGTCAATCAATCAAAGGTTCGGGAAGGCCTGTGAAGTCAATAAGAATACCGATTAAGATAAAAAAAATTTAAAAATCAGTTGAAAACACCAGCACTCTGTCTAAACTCTACATTTCACATTTCCAGGAACTGGTAAGATATACCCATCTGCTGTAAAAGTCAAGTAAATATGAACTGTACGTTCACGGATTCTACCCAATAAAATTAAGTACTAAAAAAAATTTAAAATCGTATAGTAGCAGTATCGTACAGTATATTAACGCGCATTTACGGCATTTAATAGAGCGAAAAAGCTTTCGGAAATTTTTAGACATCCTTTCCGCAATAGCTCAACGTTTGAAGAGCTGTTCAACCGAAAACACCACCGACAAACTGTCCTTTTTAACATTATGCCAATCGCAGGATACCTTTGCGACGACCGGCCTTCCATCTCAAAGAAACCGCTGTCTCGTGGCGGGCTGCCTGGCCCGTGGCGAATAAAAGTTTAAACAGAAGGTTTTGTTAAATGTTGATTTTTCATTTGCGAATCAATCCAAAAATCCACTAAATTTGACAGTCGCGAATTTTCTCGTTTACTTGAGTGATATTTACGTTTGGAGATACACAGAATAATTCTAGACAAAGTTTTGTTGCTGATTTTGTTTCTGGAGTTTTGGCCGAAACATATTCTTCGCGATGGCCGAATCAGCGCGCATGAACGAAGCCATCCCGAAGGACCTGCGGAATCTCCGTGCCTGCCTGTTGTGTTCTCTCATAAAAGTTGGTGATGGAAATTTGAATGCCAAATTAAAGCTACGCTGAAGTGCCAGCTTATTGCTTGTCTTCGTAGAGTTTCGACCAGTTCCAGAAAACCGGTTGCGAGAACTGTGAAGAGTATCTGGCTATGCGTGGACAACCTGACGCTGTATATGAATACACCAGCTCCAATTTTGACGGGCAAGTAAAACCTCTGCTCAGTAACCATCGTATTTTTTTTTAATTTTGACAATGCGATTCTGAATTACTATTATCAACGGTTATTAACTGTTTTAGGTGTATAGCCATGATGAATCCCACGCAGAGCTGGGTCTCCAAATGGCAGCGAATAGGTACGTAATCGGTAATAGTACGTAATACTATGCACAAGAAAACTCGAACTAAAGTTTATTTTCTGTTATTAACCGTACAGAAATTGTATACTGCTCGAAAAAATTTTATCACGCATTTAAGATTTAAATCAAACAAATGTCAATAGTACTGGTAAGTAGCAGTTTGAAAACTGTTACTCCAGAATTTAATGTGTTCATTTATAATTGATTAGTGCCGTATATCCCTGGAATGTATGCTGTCAGCGTTTCGGGTAAACTTCCTCCTGCCATCGTTCGAGAACTAAAAGTATGTAAAAAATTCATAAAAATGATATTTTATTCACTATAATTTATAGATGTATTTCAGGGCCATGGCATTCACTACAAGCCGCGAGATTCCACGCAGGGACCTGCATAAATTATGTTTTCATTTTCGTATCGTCGGTGGAAGATGTGTTATGGATTTATTTCGAATGTTCGAATGTTTTTTCTGTTACCGGAACGGCAGACTTTGTTTTGGGACATGTGTACATTATCAGGTTGTCCTGATTTCCCACTTCTCACCAGCGTGAAATTGTCTACAGTTTTTAATTAATTCAGCTTTGAATGCGTTGTTGTATTCTCAGAACATTCTGTTTCTGCAACATGTGATGTCTCCACAGAGTAACACCACTGAACAGTATTGCACAAATAAAAGATAAAGCGGTAAATATCGTAAATTTCTGACTTTCCGTCTGTTGGCTCGTATCCGGTTTACACGATCGCCAAAAGCGAGCTGGTTTCTCACTCTCTCCCGTGCCTGCCAAACGACACTCCACCTGCTCTTTATAACCTGTTGGTTGACAGGATTCCATGCCAGAAGACGCTTCGAACTTGGAACAACGCTGGCACGGGTTCCGCACGGTGTGCGGAGTTCCAGCCTGGCAAGGACGTGAATCCGTCGAGGTGGCCAACACGCTGCTCGCCAATTTCCCCGCTGCTACACTGGTGTTCGAGGCAGTGGCAGAATTCCCCGCTGCGATTTTGGGATCCATGGCCATAGCATTGATAACAACACTACTTTTCTCGTCACCAGATCCTTTGGGAACTTGTTCATCCCGCACTGCTGGTTGTAGCTGGGACGAGGATAGATTTGTGTTGAGTTCCGAGGCATATTTGATGTAGAGTATCACGAAAACAGCCAAAACAATGGAGAATACAACGAGAGATCGTTTGATGTTACAGACACTGGCTGCAGCTATAAATGCGTTCTTAGCGGAAAGTAACCACGCATAAAGAAATGTTTCCGAAAGCTGCATTTCTGCTCTGTGAACATGATCCGGAGACTGCAGCTATAATATCAGGAACTCCAAATTATAAGTCTTCAGAAAATCTCGCACAGAACAAAGCTATAGCTAGTGATTTATAATAATATTTCATTTGAAATCTGACTGTGCAAAATCAAAAAGGCATTTCAAACGATCAAAGAGATCAAACATTCAAACACCTAAAATCAAAGTACAAAGGACGCTCCAAAAGTAAGTTTCCCTATTTTGCCCATTTGAAGTAATAGTCATGTGATTTATTTTTTGTTGTGTAAGCAATTATGTAAACTAATTAGAGAAATAAGAATCAAAAGATTCAATGAGGAACTGGGAAAACGATAAACAGAATAGCAATACTACTTATTAACTTATACACTAATTTCCACGAGTTTTTTTGAAGCTCGTTCTTTTTATTACCACTTCCGTCCCTGTTATAATCTCGACAGCAAATTTAAGTACCAGCTACAAATACTGTTTTTAATATTACTGCAATGACAGAATGGTTTGAAAATTTCCGGAGGAGAGCAAACTTTTTTTTTCTCCACGACGCCGGAATCCTCTTTTTCAGCCTTCTTGCTGATATGAATCCAAAAGTTCTTGGCGTCAATAAAAAGGAAATTTTATGCGCAGTCATGCGGGTCTTGGACACAAATACAAAGGACGCTCCAAAAGTAACTTTCCCTATTTTGCCTCCCTGCCATTTGAAGTAATAAACATGTGATATATTTTTTGTTGTATAAGCAATTATGTAAACTAATTAGAGAAATAAGAATCAAAAGATTTAATGAAGAACTGGGAAAACGAAAAACAAATTAGCAATACTACTTATACATTCATTTCCACGAGTTTTTTCGAAGCTCGTTCTTTTTATTACCACTTCCGTTCCTGTTGTAATTTCGGCAGCAAATTTAAAGTACCAGCTACAAATACTGTTTTTAATATTACTGCAATAACAGAAGGCTTTGAAAAATTTACGGAGGAGAGCAAACATTTTTTTTCTCCACGACGCCGGAATCCCCCTTTTCAGCCTTCTTGCTGATATGTATCCAAAAGTTCTTAACATCAATAAAAAGGAAATTTCATGCGCAGTCATGAGGGTCTTGGACACAAAGAACTTCAAGTTGTACCGAGAGCAATAATGTTTTACAAGAAATTTTCGGTTTTTTACCGTCTGGCAGCTTGAGCAGCTCTGTGGTTTTTCCACCTAGTCATCGACAGTTTCTACTTTTCTGGAAAAGCATTGCAAAGAAGTTATTTTGTTTCGTTCTTGGAATTAGGACAGAAAAGAATTCCTAATCTGATGATATTTGGTGCTTTCCGAAAATTGAGCAGGAAGACTGAGAAAAATAACAAAAACTGTCAGGGTAAAACCCGTGGCAAAGTGCCGAAAATCTTGGACGGCTTTCTGGGCAGTTCTTCTCCATTTGATTGTAGTTAGGTAGAGTTATATTTTATTTTAGTTCGTGAGTGAAGGACGTTTCTAAAAATATGGTTCATAAGAACTAAAAGCGTTCAAGCCGGGAGATACAAAATAGGGAAACTTACTTTTGGAGCGTCCTTTGTAACTTCAAGTTGTACCGACAACAATAATGTTTTACAAGAAATTTTCGATTTTTTACCGTCTGGCACCTTGAGCAGCTGTGGTTTTTCCACCTAGTCATTGAGAGTTTTGACTTTTCTGGAAAAGCGTTGCAAAGAAGTTATTTTGTTTTGTTCTTGGAATTAGGACAGAAAAGAATTCCTAATCTGATGATATTTGGTGCTTTTCGAAAAGTGAGCAGGAAGACTGAGAAAAATAACAAAAACTGTCAGGGTAAAACCCGTGGCAAAGTGCTGAAAACCTTGAACCGCTTTCTCGGCAGTTGTTCTCCGTTTGATTGTAGTTAGGTAGAGTTACATTTTATTTTGGTTCGTTAATGAAGGACGTTTCTAAAAATATGGTTCATAAGAAATAAAAGCGTTCAAGCCGGGAGATACAAAATAGGGAAACTTACTAGTACTTTTGGAGCGTCCTTTGTACTACCAAAACGACTTCCCCAGCGCGGTTGTCAGTCAAATCAAACAGTATCGTTAATAATATATTTATCGTTAATATGTTTTATAAATTGTGTGCGAGTTCTCATACAAAAGCGTTTTCTTAAAATAATCTGTATGGAAGTATCTAAATTTTTTATTGGAAAAACTAATCATAATTCCTTTACACTTTCAAATACAGTGTACAAACATGATATATATATATATATATATATATATATATATATATATATATATATATATATATATATATATATATATACTCGTATAATGCAGAATATGTTTGTTTGCCAGAAGTATTTGGTGCATATACAACAAATGCGTCTGGTAATTCGGGTCACCGAGGTAAAATCACGGCTTGCAGCTAGAGACCCGATATACATTTTCATTTCCATTATTAGTTTGCCTTATGATTTTTGCTGTCTCGAAATGGGAAAAAATTTACTGGTTTATCAATGCGACTATATGTTAATATTTAAAATCCTTAAATGAGAACTTCGACCAGTTCCATGATCTATAGTTCATTTGGCGTGACCTTTATTAATTATTAACTTAAGTAGAAGCTTGGATAGCTGTGTAAACATCCGTTCTTCCACCGAGAGACACCAGCTCGATCGCCTTTTACATTCTTGATTCTGATTAAAACAACTGTTAGCTGCAGAAAAGAGATCGACACACACGAGACCACACCTGAACCTAGCTACCGCCTGAACCATTATACAGTTCACTATTTCCGGCAGAGGTATAATTATACACCCTGTGACCTGTGTCGTAAAAATACTGACAAACCGTCACTTAAAGCTGAGAAGTCGAAACTACAGTATGTTGAATTTCTTATTTTAATATGTTCATGCTATAGTTCTTATAACAATATTTTGTACCTATTTGTACCGCTCCACCATATTTGTACCGCTCCACCATATTTTGTAACAAAATATGGTGGAGCGCTTCTGTAGACTGTAAGCAGCATGTACAGCGCCAATGCGCCATGGCTCAGGTTGGTATACAAACAATAAAAGCCATGCAATTGTCACTTGCTGTGGATCTGCTCTTATTAACGCTGAACCAGGAGGTTCAGTTTTTGCTTCCACGTTTTATGGAGCGAATTAGGGGTTCACTGTAAGCTTGTGTTCAAGGGAATGGTACCACCTTTGCGGCTACACAGGCGATCATACAGCCTTAAACTTTAGTACAAAGTATTGTTCTCCGGGGTTTAAAGCGCACTGTCAAGCATGCTGATAAAGTGATCGGCAGCTGCGTAACCTTTTGAAAAATCACATTAATTCAGTAGCACAGCTCTGCACTGTTCGTACGTATACATACATAAATGTTATTTACATTGTGGTGCCAGTAAGCGAATGCTGGCAATAATGTAATCCTGCTATGGCAATCAACCGAACAACCGTTGTGTTGCTTATAATTCCAACATAGGCGTCTCTCGATCTGGATGGAGCCGTGTATTGTTCTGCCGGTTGAAGATGCTGGGTGCGTTTCCGTGCGCGCGCCCCGTACCCGACACAGCCGACCGCATCGACAACTATATGGTTAATTTCCTATATTATCAGCAGTAACGAGCGGCGCAAAGATAGAAAATTAAGGACGAGCACCCGCATACACGGCAATTCAGTTGCGGGAGCGGGAATATATGTAATACATATATATGGTATACACACGTCGGCCCTTTCCAGTTTGTGCACTCCTGTTCCGACAATCAATCGAGTCCAGCTTGACAAGCTTTTCTCGCGCGTCTGAGCTGTAAATCTCCGTATTGGATCCATAGGATGTTTTCCATGTTAGAGACTACATTATATTGGGGGCGATTGAAAATGCCGTAACGTCGTAATGCAAAATGTGTACGTCGTCGTCGCCGGCAACAGCAGTTCAGTCCCAGCCGGGCCTACAGATATAACGTGACATAATATCGGCTCGCTGCTGGAAGCCGTGCAGCGCGGCAATGTTGTACAGCTAGCCGGTCTGCCCGCCGCGTCTGACAGCTTTCTCCATCACCGATCGTGCACGACTGTGTATGTGTATGTAGTAACTTCCTTGGCAGGATTTGCCCGTTGCTTTTCCGGAGACATTTCCCTTTGCACATTTCAAGAAGATGTTAACAATCATCGTTATTTAATAGCGCCCAATAGTTATGCCGGTTTTCTTACCAATTGCTCCTCTCAAGCTTTTCCCGTCGATACCGGTTGTCCTTCAGCCGTTTAGCTGCCGTAGCACATACATGTATTCTATATACACATCGGCCCAGCTGATTACCCCGGAATAGGTGCAACATCGACTTGAATTTAAAGAATGTACTCCTTGCTCTTGTGATAAATCACGCTGCGCAGGCGTCTGGCTAATTTATATTGCGTGAGCAGACCAGACAATTTGCCTTCCATGTATTGTGGATGATGAGTTAATCAGGCATTCATCGAGGAAATTTAGCGATGTTCCTTTCTTGATAATGATGCAAATCTGTCTTCTACCAGCATCCGTTATGCAGCAGCACGAAGACGTTTTATACAAGGACGAACTGAGTGACCTTTTGGATTTAGTTTTCAGCGAAGCTGGCAAACCGGTATAGTAAACAACATATATTAATGTAATACTTTGGTGCAAGTCATGTATATAGCAGGGTACTTTTTCTGTTTGCACATGCCGGTAAAATAAACTCAGCGTTCTAATAATCAATTTTCGCTGTGCATTCCACATGCCTCCGCACTGACTTGCGCGATATACGAGTACTTGCGCCATTTTGTAAAAACACTTGTACAAAAATGTTAAAAAATGGATGATGTTACTGTCAGAGAGTCCATTTGTTTTTAGCCTAACTACACGATTACGTTACAGATCCGCTTTATACAAACTTGGGCATGGTACTCGTACTGACTGACAGTTTTTTTCGTGCTTTTTAAACGCAAAAAAGCCTTGTTAACGAGAAAACTTTTTAATCAACTTCTGCATACTTTGTCGGTATATGTTTCATGTTTAAATGTATAATTAGAACGGAAATTCTCAAGCCAATGTCGCGTACGCAATAGCTGGTGATGATGTGTCTGGTGATTGCTCGCATCCGGCATCGTATGCGTTGCTTCTAACATCGCGAAAAAACTCGAGGAAGTTGTCCTATTGGCACCCGCCAATTAGTTTGGAAATACACACATTACATTTCTAAGAAGTCAGCAATAAAACTCCTGCTTGGTCTGATAGGACTTCCCTCACGGGATCAGTTGCGGCTGCGGGGCAAGAGCGTGAGTATGTTTATCGAGCCTACTGATACTCCATGGGGGAAGAGCGGCATTACGATAACAATCGATTTTCAGACGAGAAAAACTGCTTAGATGCTCTTTTCCTCGTTCAGTGACCCGATTTTGGCCATACAATTTTTACACATCTTCAAGTTTTTTCTTTCCGTGGTTCAGTAAATTTTATGTAACGCTATTCTGTCTGTATTTGGAATGTACTCGATCTGCCTTCTTTAATTATTGTTGCAGATGCTGATCAACCCAAGCACTACTCGCAGCAAATAATTTTACTTTTTCCATCGGGAAAAAAATGAAATAGCAAGCCAGAAATATGTGCTTTTGTGTACTACAGCATAAATTATTATCTGTAATTGTAATTCAAAATAGGTACTACAGTTGACTGATTTTGTCAACCACATTTTGAACCTGTAGTTAATAAAAGTGCAGGGGATAATAATGCTAAGTCCATGCGACTTACAGTACTTTTGAAAACTTATAGCGTACACGTGCAAGACCGGAAACCGTAATTCACATTTCTGACGTCGTACGGCAAATCTGACTTGATTACTTGATTCGAGCAACAGAATTCTGCAGTCCGAAAACTGTTTAGTTAACACCTCTGGAATCTCGGTGTACCAGTGACAGCAGTTTTACCGAGGCTATTAATATTGTCAATACGTTTGTGTCAGCGGAGTACATGTAAAACTATTACGAACTATAAAAACGAAAAAAGTTTGGAGATTTACTTATAATATTATATGCATCATGCGTGCGCTCCACCTAGATGCGAGACTGTATCGCATGCGCGAAAAGTAGAACTGCCTGTGTGAAAACTTTGCAAAGCTATTGTTGTTTGTCAATAATGTATTGATTGCTAGGTTTCATCCAGTACACAACGTGTATCCTGAATTCCCAATTATGATGACAGCACCCGGATAAGCCATTCATCATATCTGATGGGATCGAACAGGAAAATATGTACCGGGGGAGTAATCATCAGCTGCAGATATTGTGCTACCTCGTGACCTTATGGATTAATGTAGCCGCCGAGTACCGATATGAAACCGCAACCATAGCCAGCCGATTGGATTCCGATATCTCCAAACAGGTGATTTTTTCTCTTAACTTTTATTGAATGTCTGTGGTTAAAGATTTATAGGAGTAATACCGAACGCATGATGTGTATTTACAGATTTTATCGAATGTGGATAAGCTAAAGTCGCACGAGGATTTACTGGATGTTATCACCAATCTCACAACCGGCATCCTCTGCTCGTATAACAGGGAAATTGCTATCCCAGTGAAATTCAACACCAGTAAATATTTTCCGGATTTGTTAAAGGCTGCTTTGTGGGTATCGAAATTCCTGGTTGATTATATTCAGACTTCCGGTCAGAATTTCGGTGAGTGCGCCGGTAAATTATATGAAATTAATAAAATTAGGATAATCGCACGCGAACACGTATCATGACTATTCATTCTCAAAGACTCTCAAAGGACTGCACAAAGAAAGCGGGTTATATGTTATTGTGTATACCACATAGTTCTCGTACATTACGTGTTTATTTAGCTTGTACAGAGTTTCAGTGTCAGAGTACTTTCCACTTTCCAGAGACCCCCATGGATAAAGGCTATAAGTTCGTGCACCGGAGCGTCACAAATCTGTTTGATTACGAGCCCCGCCTTGTATATATAGCCATTCGACTACCTCCAACCCAGGAAGAGCAAATAAAAATTCTGGAACTGCTGCGTGAGCCCAATCCGATTCATTCAGTCATCAAGCACAAAACCTCGACCTTGGGCAGCGGCAGTATTGAGCCCGACTCCTACGACATCTTAATCGCGTCCAGATCGCATGTTTATTATTCATGTCCCCTTGGAAAATGGCTGACAAAGATTAGCTTGCCACTCAATTTAACCACTTCCCATCTTGATTCAAATCCCAAAAGGTTTGTTATTCTCAACGACCTGTCAAGGTTGTAAATAAGAGTTATTATGGGAGGATATACACACTAGATCACGGTGTGTGCTGCTTAAACCTTTAAACAAATTACGTTATATAAGTGTATGATCTAAATATTGTTCACATACACAAATTAAAATAATAATTATTGAATATTGATACTTATTACACAAATACATGCGGTAACATAAGTACCTATTTGTGCAGTACAGAAAGACGTATGCGAAATCGTTTCACGGCGTATTTTCGGGCACCGGTTCCGAGAGTACATGTTTCTCTTTTAAAAAAAGGAGACTATTTTGTTGAAACTGCAAAAACATTTGTCGGCAATCATCCCAGCTGCTAATCTTTCGACAGTCAGCTGCGCCGGTTCACATCGCTATGTGCCGGCAGAAACGCTCGAATGATGGAGGATGAACTCGCGCAATCTGATTAGCGCAAACGGGACTGTTTATTTGCTACAAAATTAAACCAAGGTAGCGCATCGAACTGTAAACTGTCCGCACTTCCCGGTCGTTCCCTGTAATCTACAGACATGCATTTTTAAGAATAAGTATCGTGGGAATACATTCCGTACTAAGTGTAATTATAAAGTCCGGGAAAACCTATCGCCATGCCTCGAGAGCATGACCGCAAGTCTGGATATTACGAATTGTCAGGGGATTTGCACTTGTGGATTAAGACTAAGCCATTCTGCCAGGAAAGTAACTCTACCTTGTCGGAGGACATAGTTTTTTCTCGAGTATCAACGTGCATGCAGCGCCATGAACAGAAAAACGCACGGGTGACGGTTCATGATGCAAAAAAAACATCAGACCAATTATTCGATAACTTTGATAATCGGCTAACAAAAGTAGTAGTACAATTTTCTGTACACTATAATTATAAGTAAGCATAAGAATGCCTAATCCTATACGGTCATATTACATGCGTTTTGCTTAACAAATATGCGCTAGATAACAGCAAACAGATTTCACAAAGAAGTATATCACGCCATGTTTATTTCTGCAGCCTATCAGCGGCCATGGTTTTGGCTGCCGATATTACGGAGTGGGATATTTATCAATGCGACAAAAGGAATATTTCGGAAGTGGCCAGTGGTAATCAACGGGAGCGCTTAATAATCGATCACTTCGCCGGCACAGCCAAATGTCACAAGGATACAAATGATGTATAAACAGTAAATTATGCTTTCGCCGGGTACGCAACATTACTGAATCATGCTTGAGCTCCAATTTTCCTCTTCAGTGCGTTTTTCGGCCGGGATCAGGCTGGAGAAAGGATTCCTATTCATGCCGCTGTAAAAGCAGCTACTACTTCCTTGATGATGGAGCTCAGCTTCCTTCGTTTTCATCTTGGCACAATGACTCCACACAGGCAACGAGCGCCGGAATACCACCCGATCATATGGCTACTACTTATCCCACCGCGTCACGGGGAGTTACCGGCCCTCCTGGACCAGGGTCCAAAATGATGCGGGCGGCGCCGGCCGCTTGTGCACTGTGCCATCCCGACTGTGATACATGCACTAACGGTTCTCCGTGTTTTTATGCATACAATCGTGCAATCAGGTATTTAATCTGGGTATTTTCTGCAACCCACTTTTCGAAGAACCGAAGGGATGTTAAAAATTACAAATTACAAAACCAGTCTAAGAGAATATCCTCAAGGTTTAACATGTTGTCTTAAAAACAGCAAAAAATTCAAAAACGAGATGTGACTAAAGCATTTCTTGTGATATTGCAGGATTATTCTTCTCAGTATTACCGCTCTTTGTATTGTCTCGACTTTGATTCTGGGAATATTCATTCACAGATATCGTCGCGTTAAGGTAAATGACTTATAGACTGCACCGTTACGATACAAATGTAGTGTTAGGTATAATTTTATGATTTTATTTCATTGTAAGGTGTCAGGCACTGTATTTTATTTTCTGTATTCTATCCGAACGTTTGTTTTCTTAGTGGCTATTATTTTTTGAAAATACCATTTTCAATATACTGTAGATACAGTACAGTCTGTGCACTTGCGTGCGGGAAATCAATATGTGCATATTATATGGTTTTTGGAACATTATTCGAAAAAAACCGCCATAGGGTTTACCAGAGGGCGGCTAAAGCGTAAAGCTATTCTTAGCTGGCGTTATTCTAAAATATCATGTAAATTCAACAATAGGGTATGATTTCTTTCTTATTGTTCAAAGGTCATTCGGGTGGCTAGCCCGAAGTTCCTGTACATCACTTTACTGGGAGCCGCTGTCATGTATTCCGAAGTACGTTAATGGTGTATATTGATTTTCTTCGCCGCAATAATCATTCATCGGACTTTATATGCAGACTATCGATTTCTTGAAAGCATAATCTAATTTGTTTTCCTAGATGATTGCCATTTTTTTCGAAGATCGACCAGACATATATATCTGCATGGCGATTGAATGGACGCGGCATCTGGGCTTTGGAATCACATACAGTTCTCTATTCATGAAAACCTGGAGGTACGCGTTGTACTGACGTACTCAGATTAACTTCTTATCGTTACTTCAGAACATGGTTAACACCTGCAAAAATCGGTAATGCAAATTTTTAATGCCGATAATCAATATACATAGTCACCAATAACAAGACGATCGCTAATTACCTGGACGAGGAATTTGGAATGTATCTGTACGAGTATATACCAAAGTTAGCACCCTTTGCAAAACATTGAATTGTTATTTCTGGTGCGATCTTTGGACATGAACAATGCAAAATAACGCTACAGAAATAAAGAATTATTAGAAAACTTACTATGTGTTTGTTTTTTGTGGATTGTTATTAATTTAATCACCGTTTCTATCGTTTTGCATTACTTGTACTTATGCTATTTCAGGATATCAGGACTATTCCGAGTCAAAAGTGCACACAAGATCAAATTAACGGACAAACAGTTATTGCAGTGGATGTGCCCTATCTTATTGATCATGGTTATTTATTTGGCTACTTGGTCAGCAGGTACGTCAACGAGGGACAACCAACGACAAAATGCGTTTTGTGGGGAAAACATCCCTTGTCCATATTTTCAATTGTCTTGACCTTCATATTAGCTGTTTTTTCCCCAAACAATTTAGCCACTTTATGCTGGCTGTTATCTAATAAAATACACGGATCGGTAACCTAATTGGCGATGCGCTTGTAAATATGATGCCTAATATTGTCTGATAATAATGCCTTACAGGCGCACCTGCTACACCGGAAATTTTGGCTAATGAGTTCGGCCAGCGATATTATCAGTGCGCATACGGATGGTAGGGATCATGTTATGTCACGTAAACGTATTCCGATGATTACTCTTGTTCTTTCCAGGTGGGATCACTGCCTCGTAGTCGGTAGGGACCTTTACCATTAGCCGTAATCGTGTTGTAATGAATAATGCAAAAATTGCCGCATATATACCGTACACAAAGTTGCGATGGGCAAGATGTTATATATACTATTTTTCCAATGTTGCACAAGCATAACGCTCGTATCGATGAGTGTATTCGTTCTGATGGGGGCAAAGTGAAAACAAGATCTGCATGGATTGTTTGCTCTTTTTGACCATAAAATTGGCCGCGTCGAATTACTCTGGCATGATCGCATTACTCAGATATTTACACAAGTAAACGGGATAGTATACAAAAAGCCACCAACCCAATCGGATTTCTAACGTACATTCTAACCTAAACTTTTGATCCAGAAATTTTATGGTATACGAATTTATCGCCGTCATTATTGCCATATCCATTTTCATCAGACTGTATGTGACCGTACGCTTTATTGCTGCAGTAGCATATGTATAGTAATTATTTGTAGTACGTTAAAAATTGCCTTTGCATAACGTACAGTCCGTAAAAACGCTAAGGCACTACAATAAGATTGGTTGTACAGTTTAAAAAATGAAAAATATTTTCTTCATTACATTTTAAAATGGCACACAAATTCGTACTCGTTACAATGTGGTATTCTTGTAGGAAATGTTACTTTCCTGTTGTGGGGCATCCGAGTCTGCTACCGCGTACGAAATGCCGAGTCATATTTTAACGAAGCTAAATTCATCAGTTTTGCCATCTACAATATTGCCGGCGTCAATGCAATATTTTTACTTCTGCAGTAAGTGCTACTGAACAAAACAAATTTGCGTTAGCTTAACATAATTATGTGCTAAAAATGTTAATGCGCCATCGTTTTCCAGTTTAGTCGTCTATCCACAAGCGTCGCCCGATATCAAATTTGTCTTTGCCTTTCTGCGTATACAATTCAGTACGACTGTCACCGTGTGCCTGGTGTTCTGTCCAAAAGTCTCGGCAATAATGCGTGGTCAGGGAGAGAACTTTGAATTCCGTGATCGTCCTGGTGCTCAAATTCCGCTCAATGGAGGTCCTGTCTCACAGGATGAAGTTATTGATGTCTATCAGGAAAATGAGGATCTTAAAGTAGGCCATCAACACATACACAAACGGCGGCGGCCACGCCCTTGCACTGATTAGTATTAACTGCACGCGCTTAATCGTATTACATGCTGACGACATGTCGATCATCCAGGGCGCGTGCACGTCGTTCTTTCTCTATACACGCTGCAATAATATCGTATATACTTGTAGGATGAAATCCAGAAGCTGGCATCGCAGATTGAATGGATGAAGATTGTCCATATGAATATTGGAAATCGGCATCTTAAACTCAAGCATTCCTCAGCCCAGTATCATATTGCCACATCGTACTTTCCACCCAGCCCAATACTGCGTTCACTACGGCGACGCTCGTCCGATGCACAGGAAATGCATACGGTAGCCCGCATGTCGCCGGCTGCCGAGCTATCCAGCGAACGCGTTTAGTCGCTGGAGCGCCGCGGTTTGGATTTCACATTTTTTTGCGAGCAGTATTTCTCAGAATTCGTATAACTATGGTTGGGCTAATTAGCTGGTTTAGCAATATATATAAAATGGTATTAAACAAAGTGATATAAACTTCACCAGAAGCGATTCACGGGAAGCGTGGAGAACAAAAGATTTTGGCGGTTTATGAACGGGTTCGAAAACTATAGCGCAAATGACTTTACGTGGCATTGTACAAGTATAGTAAATTGTGGTTACAGCTTACAGGTGATTATATATGCTAATGTACAGATACTTGGCGTCTCTTTCATTTAATTTACAGCGGCTTATTTGCGTTTGTCAGGGCTTGAACTGGAGCTTTGCATGATGCTACAACTGCTAAGTTTCTTTTCCCTGAGGATTTTGCATTCTGATTTATGACCAAAAATCGAACAAGCGGCAAAGCAAGACGGACGAATTTCTTGCAAAATTTTGTGCATTCCCAGCAAACGTCTCGTATTGATTAGGTACAGTGTACAGGCACAAACAACACAATACTTAATACAACGTACGAAAGGCAGGACCAGGAACCGCAGATTTGAAAAAAGGCACCTGGAAAGTTAGTACACTGGAAATTTGTCGGCATGTCCCGTATATTGTTAGTTTAAATAGATACTCTAGATCTTGGACAATCAAATCGGGATCGGTCTAATCGTTGGTTCTTCTGTATTTGAAACTTTAAATTTAACTTTATTGCTTCGTTATTTTATATATTTCTGATGGCTCAACTGATGATTTCCCTTACTTTTCGGTGACACACGATTAGTATTTTAATAGAAGCAATCAGAATCAGAGCATGGCAAGATCTTTTACCTCTCATGGACGATGTGTTATTGTTTGTGGTTAAAACGTTCATATTGTTATACAGTACATTGTTACTGTATATCTACTACATACGAGGATTAATTTTTAACTTCAAACGACGCTGAGCAGCTAACAATTTTATTTATTAACTTTAATTTTTTTGATTTCCTATGCACTGTTTCTACACATGCCAAGAGGCAGACACAAAGAGTACACGTTCGACGTTGCACTTTTTCAAGTGCATGAGCTTATGGTACCCGGTGCTGTTAAAGAAGCTAAATAGTTTGCAAAAAAATTAATTACAATTTACATAGGGTGCGAATATAATCATTATCAGAGCCTCTGTTGCACGATAAGAAAAAGCCTGCTGCTTACCAAGGCACATTTTCCGGGTCCAAATTCAGAAAAATCTGATCTTTGGCAGAAACATAGTATACCGTCGTAGTATATTTAAAAAAATAATTTCAGCTGCTGACACTCAAAGGGCGTGGCCAAACAAAATTAATAATTAAGTAATTGCACATACTATTGCACTGCACTAGTTTAGTACTCTAACAGCTGTTTGTATCAGTGTAATAATAATAAATCAGAAAATTCTCATCTTTTGCCGAATGACAGTGTACGACTATAGCACGTTTAAAAAATAATGAACTCTGATATTTACCACAAGTTTCGGGAGCACACTGCACACAGTGAGGAAAAGCAAAATCCAGATGCAAATACAGTGGCAATATGTGGTACGTACTGTCGCACTACCGCAAGGAATCGCAGCTACAATATGGTTTTTCTACTCTGTCGTCTTAACGTGTGCACATTAAATTTTTCATTAATCATAATGTGGCAAAATACTACGTTTCTGCAACAGGTGAAACTTTCCTGATATGCTGTTATTTTATAAAAAGCCAGTGCGGGTATAACGCTAGTGCAGAATAATAACATGCAGTATTACTTACTTATTAATTTTGTTTGCCACGCCCTTTGAGTGTCAGCAGCTGAAATTATTTTTTTAAATATACTACGATGGTATACTATGTTTATGCCAAAGTTCAGATTTTTCTAAATTTGGACCCGGAAAATGTACCCTGGTTAGTCAAGTATTTTATAATCTACGTTTTACGAAAACGCCGGAGGTGGATGTTTGGTAGCAACCACATGAGGTCAGTTTTATTCACAATGCTAGATGATCAAGATCCTTCATAGTTATTTTGTAATCCAGAACAGTCGCAATAACAGAAAGAGGAAGACAAATGAGATTTTTTATATGGCATGTGCTTTTGAAAGGTACATACGAGGTACATTAAAATCGTACACGTACGCTACAGCATTTGTACACAATTAGCCAATCTATAGCTCAGAATACAAAACGGTGATTTGGTAACGGCTGAAATCCCACCTGACCTTTCAGAAATCCAAATCATATCTGTTATCTGTAGCAGAAGCGGTGTCGCGCTGGATATAAATCGTAGTTGTTGATCACAATCATTTTCCCTTCCCTCCTTTCCCTTTGTCTTTCCCTTTATCCCCTCCTTTTCCTTTGTCATCCGCTTTTCCTTTTCCAGCCTAAAAGCTCCAAGCCCTTCGTTACCAAGAACCCTTCATATCTGCTTGCGTTGCTCGTACTGCAAATATTCTGACAAACTTTAAGCTGATACGTATTACTCATATTAAATACATATGTATAAAAATCCGAAGAGCGACTAGCTGCTGATATACTCGTATGTATCCGTGACATCCTGACTTACATCCGCTGCTGGCTTGTCCCCTCCTTTCTTTGGCATTGTGAGGTATATAACTGTATTATAAAATGATTTTAAAAAAATAATAATTTATTTGTCCAAAAATATCAAAGGACGGTAGAAATTCAGCTCCCAGTTCTAGCACACTTTAGGATTTTGCAAGGCACCACGTACTGAGTTTTTCGTTCGCATATCGCAGAAGACCATTCCAAAAATCCGAAGATCCAGAATTAGAAACGCACGACTCTGCCCTGTGCTCTATATCATGCGCTGCAAAATACTGTTTTCGAAATGACAGTAGGGCTATTTTTAAAACCATATACTCTGTACATGACATGGAGAAAAATTATGGTATACCGTATACAGAGTTGTGATAGAGATAATATTATTTTTTTCTTTGGTTGTTTTTATTCAAAATTTAAACTGTAGTCGTACGACTTTATATACACAGAAGTAAAACGCACGCCAAGTATGTTACGCGGCAAAAAAGCATTACTTTGTATCGCAGAAAGATTATAACGAAATAGTTTTACAAAAAACGATATTCGTTTGCATCCAGAAACCGGCATTACGCTATACAGCCCTTGTCATTATGAAATGTTTTCATTTCCTGTCTTTTTTACTGGTTAAAAAACTGGTAAGCTGGAACTCGCAAACTAAATCCGATTGTTGCGATGTGCTATATCGTACTCTTTTTGAATATTAGTTTGTATACCAGTACGTGCAGATAGTTCAGTTATACTACAAAAAATAATACAGTTTCTTAAACAGCCTCTTAATGAAGTTTTTATTTTGTCTTATTTGTTAATGCAATTATTTTTCACAAATAAAAAATTCGGGTTACTTATGCACACTGTATGCACAAGAATATAAATAATAAATACTGAAGAGTTTTTCGGTGCTCAAATTTGACTGTAGTTTCTGGAAATTATACCGCCGTACTCGTACTTTACTATGTTTTACGAAAATACTAGATAAATTACTGTTCTGCATTAAGTGTGCGTTTGCAATCGGTAGCGTTTCAGTTATAAGCCATATACTTACAAAATTTCTTATACAAATATAAAATAACTACAGTAATTACCGCTGGGTGAAGACATTTTGTGTTTTTTATATGTATGATAGTAAAAAATGATAATTATGGTATCGAAATATCTGTGTGATACACAAAAACGTTCAAGGTATGCCGTAATTATCCTATCTTGCATAGGTCTCGTAACTTACATTACGTACATGAATATATCGTAAATACCTGTTTCACATTAAGTTTTGCAGTTCGCAAAAACTATCACAAGGTATTAACGAGTTATAAAAATCCGGTATCGGTACCCATTCATTAATAACATAACGTTTTACATTGAAAAAAACTGTTTTATTTTGCAGTATTGAGGTCCCTGTGCGCTGGTACAGTATAATATATATAAGCTCATAATTCATAAATAAAACTGGTACCGTACGTTCATAAGCATGTTCTTATTTGCAAAATTATTCAGCAATTCCAGCAGGATAAAAACGATTAAAAAATCCATGTGATCAATTAGGTCACTCCGTGAATTACAGTTAGGTCCTATTGAACTGCAATGTATTTCTTTTTGATTTTTTAAACAAAAAAATCGTATTTTGAAATTAACTGTATTTAATTTTTACGTGGCTGTTCGGCTTAATATAATCGCTTCGCAACACAAGCTGAAAAACATCGCTACAAAATAGTTTTACAAACTTGAATTGTTTTTCAACGTTTCAGCGAGAGGCTGTTTTGGCAACACTTTTTAAATCATACAACATTTTTACATACAGCATTTTGTCATTTGTTTACTGTATCGCTGCTTTAGGACTTAACAAAAAAGATTTTAGCGTGTTCTATTCGAAACCGTCTATTCTTGACGCAGATTAAGTGGTAAAGTTGTTTGTAAGAAGAAGCATTCTTATCATGATTTCGTGTTGTTACAAGTTACCTACATTAAGCATATATCGACGGTTTCAAGCACTATAAACGCAGCTGTAGGAAGCTTTTGTTTGCAAGAAAGTACAGGAAGTACTGCACCAAAACTTTACAGCAAATACAAAGTAGCTGTGGTACAGTAGTTCGTTTAGCACAATTAAATCACGCACATAGAATGCCGTCTGCTGTCACTGTTCCCTACGTACAGTGCTGAAAACCATCCAGAAACATCAAATGCGTGCAGCCATTACATCGCTAATATCGACATGAAACTAACGTCACATCCCTTTTTCGAAGTAAAATGCATGATCTTCTTCTCATAATTTGTACAGTATATGCATTACAGTTTTTGGGCCTTTTGGTTTTTAGCTTCAGGCCAAGATCGCATACACAGTTCTTCCTTAAATGTTAAAATTTTATTGGGCACGGCATCAATTGTAATATTTATAATTACCTGTATCTGATATTAACCCGTAAAAAATTTTAGAATAAATTCCATCTCATCTGTTGGTTTAATTTAGTGTATGATCGTGCTTATGCTGAGGTAAAATCCTACTCAAAGTTTGGTTTGGAAACTGTTCAGTTTTAAATCTCCCGTACGTGTACGTCCACTTGTATAAATGTAAATGCGTATCAATTTCTTTAGTTATTGCGACCGTTTAAAAAAATAATTAGTTTACAGATAATTAAACTTTGACGAACAAAAAATATCTCGTAAATTATCTTTACAGCTCCTGGATAATTAAATAAAAACCCAAAATGTGGTACACTTGTAACGTGCTTATTTGATTACCATCGACGGGCCGTCCAACGGGATGCGCCGCGGCAGCCATCTATCTGTTTCTCTGTCACTTGTATATTAAGAAACTTAATGGCAACAGACATATGTATGGAGAAACCGTTTTTTAGAGCTTCCCGGAACATAAAAATTTATCTAATTACAGTTTTGAACTCCTTGTGTCCTACAAGCCGACATCCAGGATTGTTATTTTGCGTACGTGTGTTCATCCTGAATCGGCTTTATGTGTTCGCACTCCTTCCTGTGATTTCGTTCTGACAAATTAAATCAGTTTAAAAGAAGTCAAGCGAGCTATAACCAGGCTCTAATCATTCAGCAAGAAGAATTGTTTTTGATCAAAAATCAATAGTTCATTTCAAAGGTATATAGTCTTAAACGCGCAAGTATATATATAAGATTCTAGCAATCCCATGCAGCATGTCGTGCGAGAATGACTTCCTAAATAACGTTAATGTTATAACGTAGCCGGCTCAAACGGCCGAGACCGGGATGTTGCTATCCCGATGGAACTGGATTGGCTCGTTAATAGCACCAAGAAGTCGCAAGGCTGTACAGACGTACATGACAAACCTGAGTAGGAAGAACAGATTGACGTTGTTTTGAATAAACGACCACGACATTCAAGAATACATTTCATACGGTAGCAATTTCGCTTATCTGTTTCGATGCTTATAACATTTTCATAAAGCCGGTAGCATTTTCACTTTTTTACCAACCTATACATAAACAGAGCTTCTCTTCTGTAGCTACAAACATTTCATGAGATTGGAAGGAGAAACAGCTGTAGCGGATACTTTTTTTATATTCATCTAATAATACTGGATTTAAATTTTCAGTCGTTAAGGATAGATGTTAGTTACTTATATTGATGGCACCTGAACAAGTTATTACTATATCGTTTGTCCATGCGTTACCTTGTCAAATGTTAAAAAGTTTATCCCGTTTAGTTATGACCAAACCAGCAGATTTCGTGCATTCGTAATGCGTACATTATTAACTGCCTGTGATGCTGCATGGTTGTGACCAATTGTACAGCGCAATGAGTATGGTGTCCTGTTATAGCACTGCGAGTACAATATTATTATAAATCCTTAATGTCGATTAAATATTTCCTACCGTCATCCCAATCATGACTAGCACTGTGGAAAGGAATTCATCACTACACCGGAAAGTTAGCTTTCGCAGGAGCGATATAGCGGCTAATTTTCCCGACCGAAGAGACAGCTCCCGAAGTAAGGAATAAGTAAAGAACATAATTTAGTGCGCAATATATAATTACTGCACTCTGAAAGTTACGTGTATTTTCGCTTTCGTAAACGCTGAACCAAACAGTTTGAAATGGGGATTGAGTATAAGAAATAGTTTTCTGAAAGATATACGTTTGCTAATTTTTATAGACTGCTCGTTGTCGTTAGCAATTTATTAGGGTAATAATGATACACCTGACACGTGTTTATTCCGGTAAACTCCCAATAGTTTGCGTGCGCGATTGAAACCTGCAATGGAAAGCATAAATGGAAAGCATAAGCATATAAGAGTTATTTAAATAAAGCAATGTTAATACCTGCCGAAAGGTACATAATAAAACATAATTGCCCTACGCCTGGGATGGACGAACTTTGCCTGATCTTGCTTTAAGTTCTTAGCAGCAGCCAATATTTTTGTTAATATCCATATACTGCGCGCAACTGCATATGTGGACGTAGTTAATAATAACCACGAACATGTATTGTATTTGTTGGCTGTTAACTTGTTATCATAAAGTGCCTAACGCACAATTATTATAACTTGTGAGCCAATGATTCCAATAACTAAAATCATAATTTCCTAAAATTTTGTTTGTCTTATTCAGAGATTGCTAAGAGATTCAAGATTTTGCATACATTATGTCCTGATCAACTTTTGTTGGCAGCGAACTATTACGAGCAAAAGAAACCATTGATTTGTGTTTGAAGTGTCAGCTTTGTTATAAGCGTGCTGAGCTTTCTTTGTCCGGGAATTTTTAGAGCCCTCCTACGGCATGCGGGTGGTTAACAGGGATGTTAATTATATTAATCTTCAATGTATGATGTATGGAAACATTAACGGATAATCCACAAGCAGCAAGCAGGCTGTTCGTTAAAAACATTTCCTCACAGCTATGGCCTGCCAAATTGCAGCTGTTAGCTCCCACAATCGCTTACAGCGAAAAACGAAATTACACCCTCCACTTGTAGCTGGTGTACCGTAATGTACGGATAATAGTGCATTACGTATATTAGTATAATAATGTCTTCCGTTGTTCTTTTGAACACCGGCGCCATACATCCATAAACCAATTCCACTTGCCGGATCTATGTCATCTAAATTGGAGTACGATAATTACATTGGGGACACTTTGATGCTTTTTTTCCTTTAAATCGATACAACATACCCTGAGCATTCATATTTGGCAAAGCAATCTTAGATTAGCACGTGTTAAACTATCTAATTCCGCCGCTGAAACCATTAACCGGAAATCCCGAAAATGAAGCCTCTTGAATGTGGGAGTAGTGTCTTTATGCAGCAGGAGACTAACCAAGTTCATCTAACCGGCTTATAACTGCTTTTTTATAGGAAAAAAAACTCTCCTCGGAAAGTTGTCATCGGCTGTGCAAGATTTTGTAGCTGACGAAGAAGAAGGTAAAACGCTTCAATTATTTTATATTATTTTACGCCATATATACGCACTAAAAATATGATTATTGTAGATTCTTATCTTCTTAGTTCAATGACATGACAATAATTGTAATGCAGTTTGCAACAAAAAACTACCGGTTTGTGACACGCAACAGCACCATGTTATAGCACAGCAGTACTTATAGATAATTATGTAAGTATAATATTATAAGCGTACGATTGCAGAACAGTAAAAACCAATCTCGTCGCTAATTTCTATCACATAAATTTTAATAATATCAAATACTACGGCATTTCTGGCATGAGTTGAATGGTATTTTTTCAGTAATGCGGTCCACGTAAAACAGTATCATAAACTACTGTTCAGTACAAGCGTTACTAACTGACTTAAAGAATTGTAAACGATTTTACAGTGAAGCTACGACTGGCTACAATATGCATTCACGAGTCGGTGATCGGCACCATGGAAAAGATAGCCGACTCTTTCGAGATTGTTCATGCGGCATTAACGAATCTGCGCTCGCAAAATGCCAAATTGAACGAGACATGGAATATCTATGTGCGCTATCAAATGATGAAACAAATGATTAAAGATGTCCTGAAACTAAATGAGGAATCATCGAAAATTCTCTTTATACCACAACAAGATCCGGGAGAAGTGCCGCTGGCCTATGCTCAACGCTTGGTGAACGTAATAAATGCCGACAAGAAGGCCTCACTGGATTCCTCTCATCTTGATCCGAAAAAGACCAACGAGCTGAAAGATAAATTTGACGGTAGGCCGGGAAAAATATGGTTCAAATAATTATTAACTATAGCAGCCATACTGTATACCACGTAACAACCGGTTCACTGCCACGATGCCGACTTGATAAATACAACGACGATTACATGCATTTTCTCCTTTTAATGATATCCTCAGGGATTTTCGGTCCATTAGACAACTCCGGTCCTGTTGTCTGCTGGTGGATGATGGCGGCGGGAAGATATGCCATTAGTGGTTCTATCCAACGGAACCTTGTTATTGTTTTCCGGTTGCCCATATTCAAAAGGCCATACGCAAAAGCCGCTTAAAAATTGTTATACTGCAGGGCAATTCCACAGCTGCACGCGCCGCTTGCAAATTAAGCAAGGAAAATTGAAAAGTAACGCGGCTTTTGTTGTAGGTGTCTCCATTGAGGAAATCAATGAAGAAAATAATATTCTGCACAGTGACCTTTTTAAAATGGCCAAGCGCTATTTGAACCTACGCAGTCTCGTTAATGGTCTCCAGCAGGATTATACAGCGGCAAAGGGATATCCATTCTTTCCACGTTACAATATGCTCCGAGCTATGATCAACGATTTAATGCGGAGTCCTGTTTTCATTGAGGTAATACTAATGGTGTAAAATATCGTTAAACGCAGCAGCGTTTACCTGACTGACTGAACGTAAGCTTGCACACTGCACAGTGCACCCGATACTTGCAGTATATCGGTACCAAGTTCCAACCGAACGCACAATGCCAACGCGCATGTACTATTAACTATGCTGTTTAATTTTCAAAATTGTTAGTAAAATACGTACCACAAAAATCGAGTTTATTCTGATTGTTTAATACACCTACAGTATTTTTTCAAGTTATGCTGAAAATAGCAAACTCCGTAAATAGAGTCTTGCGGTAGTATTTGGACGTGTTAGCGGATTGTAATAAACTCAATCTTTTTTTATTAAGCAGAGAAATTTTTGGCAATAATTGGTCTGTATTTATTTTAGCAAAACAAACTGTCATTAAGCAGTAACCAAAAATTATAAGCAAACTTAATTCATTAATGCTCTAGTTACTCAAGAATTTTTGACAACACTTAAGGGGACCACTAGCAGTAAAAAAAAAATTTTTGCAACATTGTAAATGTGGCCACGATGGAATAGTCATCTACTAGTGATCCCCTTAATTAATAAATCAATAGCCCAAGCAAACTAATATAGGTATACTGCAGATGGCAGATTAACTGAACATTCAGGGCAATTTCCTTCATATGTTCAACCGTCTCTGCACAATTCCAGTTAAGCGTATAAGTCTTGTTAGTATACGTTAAGAATTATAGCATTACTTATTTTTGTCATACGTCCACTAATACATTATTTTTGTTTTCAGTTATGCGCAGAAGATATGACTCAAAACGCACAAACTAGGCGTACTAAGTAAGCATCACCGGAAAGTCCAAAGGACATCTCGCCTTTTCACTTTCGGCGACGATTTTGTACAGACAATGCGGACTACCACATGGATCTGTCCATTCTTTTGCGTCCAGAATTACACCGTTCCAAGCAAAATTCCCAACATTCGAAGTTTTTATGCAGAAGCGATCTCAGTCACATGGTTATTTAGAATTACTAATTTATTTATGCAACGTGATATGTTTTTACGGTGACATATTCTTGAGATTAAAACTATGCGGCTTATGATCATGAACTCTCATGGTCTGTTATTAGAACACTAAGTACTTGACTAACTTTTGTGTTTATGGAAATTGTATAATTGGTTTACTTCTTTGCTGCTTTTTCAGAATCTTGAGAAGTGTCTGTGAGATAAATACCATCTTGCGCGCCCTGAACATATTAAGTACTGTACCGTACTGGTAGTCGGTTCCGATCATTCTTTTCACTGCATTGTTTATTTGCCTTGTCTATAGCTTGCAGTTATCAGTAAAACCATTCTAAAACCATTGCAGTTAATAGTAAAACCATTATTAGTAAAACCAAATTACTACACTGTATTCGTTAGAAATTATTTCGCTGTTGTAAATGAAGAATAGCGACAATGTCATAATATAACAATATTTTCCAGCTAACTATTGTCTAATACAGTAGACTGTTTGTATCGTATAGGGTAGCAGATCTAATGTACAGCAGCAGACAAGAGATTGTGCAGCTAACAATTACTTTGTAAGTATGAATCATCTTAATTCTCTATAATATAAGAAGGGTACGACTATTGTCACCCCCTCGCACCCCCTTTTGGCTAGTGTCACCCCCTTGCACCCCATTTTGACTATTGTCACCCCCTTTTTTTAAGTGAAATGAACACCCTTTTGGCTATGGTTACCACCTTTCTCCCCCTTCGACTACTGCCACTCCTGGGCCATTTCTTATAAAAAATATATTGTTGCTAGCTTGGCCTTTCAGCCAACTTAAGTAAGATTGTAAACTCCCGGAAAGGTACAAAAAGGTGCCAGCGACGACTGAGCGTAGTTAGCGCGGAAAGAGGGGCAGCCGTTTGTTTATGACTGTACCACCGACGTCGGCACCAGTGATTAAGAACGTGTTGAGATCAACCGGAAGCGAGGACACCGAAATTTTCTTTCTCTGCGTGCAGTATCAAAGAGATGGTCATAATTTTGGACTTTCTGCGATCGCATTCGCTGCGGAGCTCATCAGCAAAAAACCCCTGAAGATGCTAAGTTTAATGTTAAAAAAATTAGGCCGCATCTTAGCGATGTATTAAGTGTCAATACGTTTCGCTTGGCGCCTTTTCCCAGGCCTGCCGGTGGTGGCAGGAACAAAGTTAGAAAAGAACCGCTGCTGGAAAATTATAAGAATAAACTGAAAGGTGGTGGCAATAGCCAAAAGGGCGTGTCGAAAAGTGACAATAGTCAAAGGGGGTGTTTATTTTATTAAAATAAAGGGGGTGACAATAGTCAAAAGGAGGTGCAGGGGGGTGACAATAGCCATTTCCATATAAGAAACTTTTCACTACCGTTACGATCGAGTTTGGGGCAGAAAAAGGCCATCAAAAGATAACTTGACTTTGAAAACGGGAATAACCCGATTATATTTTAATTATACAATCCTTGCTCGTTTCAGTATGAACAGGTGCATGTACATTGATATAAAAATAAGTATATCTGTTGTATACTGCGGTTACGCAGTGGCATGGTCCCAGTGAATTATACTCGTACTGTACTAAAATAAAACAGAGTTTATATGTTGTGGAATAACGTTTTGACTTTTGAGTTCAGTATCATTCAACACACTGAAGTACGAGTACATATACTGTATGTTATTGCCCAAGATTTTATGACAAGGTAAAATAGTTTGCATGCTTCTGTAAAAATTAATTTTTGATTCGGTTGCGCAGAATCGTAGATTAGTTTATTAAGCCGTGCTCATAAATATCGATTTATCATTGTTCTACGAAACATTCTCAGGACATACTAAGTAATAATTACTAATTAGCACATATTTAAAGGACGCAGCAACGATTCGCTGCACAGTAATACAGGAGAGCAGTTTATACAATTCGATATCAAGGAGCAAGTATTTGTACTTTAGCAGTTACAATATATACAGGGCCGTAGCGAGTGGGGGTGCGCACGGGCGCACGCACCCCCCTCCGCGGCTAACTTCTGAATTTATTATACGCCCGAAACTGGCGCACGGGCGCGCGGGCGCAAAATTCAAGGGATTCTTTAAGGGCGCAGCGGGCACCGATACCAGTGCGCCCGTGGCGCATGCGCGGTGCCGTGTTAAATTTTATAAAAATTTTGTAAATTTAGGAATTTGGCGCACAGTAGACCATGACCTGCTGTCGCCTGTGCCAGCGTCGTAGCGAGGTCCAAAGGTTAAGAGGGGCGCAACGGGCGCAGGCTCTGAAATTTGCGGGCGCAGTGGGCGCAGACCAAACTTCAAAACGGGCGCAACTGGCGCAGCCGATTTGCGCACCCCCCATCCTTCGGACCTCGCTACGGGCCTGAATATATCTGTATTTCTAGTATGACGTAATGCCTTAGAGAGATTACCGAAAAGCCAGAATTTCTTGATATTATGAGAAAAAAATAATTACCTGAAAAATTCAAAAGTATAAGAATATTGAAGCTTACTCCTCCTGGACCGCGCAGTCAAATGCTGTGCAGATCCCACGTGAACGCCCGTGCACGCAGTCAACCCGTGTTTCATCTTTCGTCATTCTGCGAACCCAGTTATAGCGCTCTTCCAAGCGCTTTAATAAAAACCTAACGGGAAGAATGCTCCTGAGCAGTCTAATCCAAGAGCACTCTAATTGCCAGGCGGGAATTATTTTCAGGATGAATTCTACCGCGTCCGATCACTTCGGCTAGCTCGGCAAAAGAGCATTTCGCCATATTGGCTTTTGAAATTTTGTCTTGTGAACTTACGTTTTTTAATGATTTGATATGTCTTTTTTCTTGGTTTCTTATGGTTTTTACCTTTACAAATTTAACAACAATATATAACTGACAGTGGAGAAACAAACAGGAGAACATTATAGGGGCACACAGTAGGAGCACATTCTAAGTATTTATCGTTAATAATGCTCCTTCAAAGTACATAAATTAAAATTTGCCTATTTTAGGCTACTGTATCCTTCGCGGCGGTGCTGCCGCTTGGGCAATCACTCAGTCACGTTTTTTTCTTCCGTTCTACACAAACAAACAAACTAGCGGCTGTAGCGGCAAAACGCCAGGGCGCTGCACAAAATCCCACCTCATGGAAGTGGTCAGTCAGGCCAGGTATCGTTACGCATTTTTATTTTGTATGTTGTAAGTATGCGCCCTACCGCGCCCAACCAATATTAAATGCCTACCAAATAATAAGTACCAATACTATTTTGTTGGAAAAAAACAATATTTCATTTGAACTTTTAAGTTAATTTACGTCAATAAATAAGATAGGCTGCTAGCCAAATGTGCAGCCACCAAATCATACAAACTGTCGTAGCCACCTGCTTGTAATGATTCAGTTTATCTAGAAATATGTTATCTTCTTGGCAGCTTCACAATTCATTAATTCTGTCAAAAATACTCCAACGAAAAAATTTTCGAAAAAAGGATTTCATACTAATGCGTTAAATCTTGTAAGATTTCTACAGCCGCGGAGACGGTTCAATGACTCACTGAAACGGCTAACTGAAGCCGTGATCCGCATGACTGAATCCACCTGTTTCTTATGTCATATTTTCTCATGACAAAATTTTATTGCAAATCTCCAACTAAATTTATCGGAGAAAATCATTTGTCCGCAGTAACCCCAAATGAACCCCCAAACTTCTTTCCTTAATATCTTAGAGAGAAACAATAATAATGCATGTAATGGCAATCCATCACATGTAATGCAATATACAATACATAAAAAACGAAAGTTTATTATTGTTTTAAAATTGTACTTTCATAAAATTTATTTTTATTTTTAGTCTATCTAAATTTAAATTATCAGCTATAAACATGGACTCGGCTGGGATATTAGCAAATTTAGTTTACGGGCCAAGCTTTTATTTCTCACGCAAAAGGATTTCAGAATCAAAATCAGCGAATTTTTCTGATCTAGAAACCACTTTTCAAAACCGGAAAAGGTCAAAAGGAAATTCTGACTGCCGGTCCCCCAACGCCCTACCATCACTAAGGGCGGGTGCAATGTAATCAGTACTGAAACAATTTTTTTTCTGCTTTAGAGGCATTTTTTCTAGGTAAATCGATAGCGCTGATTCCGAATTTGCTGTCGGAAGCAATTTTAGGCCGTCACCTCGGGCAAGAACGAAAATTTTTTTATTCAAGTCTGAGTACACTGTTCTTAAGCAAACCAAAATTTTAAACGGACACGCTTGCGGACGGTCAGAATCTTTTTCTAATAGCAAAAGGGATCAGCACTATCGATTTACCCAGAAAAAGTGCCTCTAATGCAGAAATAAAGTGTTTCAGTACTGATTACATTGCACCCGCCCTTAGTGATGGTAGGGCGTTGGGGGGCCGGCAGTCAGAATTTCGTTTTGACCTTTTCAGGTTTTGAAAAATGATTTCTAGATCAGAAAAATTCGCTGATTTTGATTCTGAAGTCCATTTGCGTGAGAAATAAAAGCTTGGCCCGTAAACTAAATTTGCTAATATGCCAGCGGAGTCCATGGCTATAAATTTACTACATATCACTTTTACGAATACTATCACTATTTTATACATGTTCAAAATGTGTCACAATTTTTTCAGTATCTAATTGCACACAACAAGTAACCAAAAGTTATCATCTTTATCAAAATCCTAAAAGAATCATAAAATAACAGGATCAAAACAAAAATGCTTTTTCGAAAATCACTATGTACTTCCGCTTTTTGTCCAACTTCCACTATCCGTGATTAATTTAACAAATTTCCGTTCTTCCACCAACCAGTAATATCATATTACTACAATTACTATTAAACCCTCAATTGCTAATAACAAATTCAACTAACAAAATTACCAACTTCCAACACCATCAAATCTCCAACTTTGGAATGAGTGCGCACAACACAAAAATTTTACCAACAAACTCTCAAATAACCAACTCACCAACTAATTTCCAACAGCACTCGTTTATATACCCAAACCACACTATACTCGACAAAACAACCAATACAAAAGAAATCTCAACCCACTGCCTAATCAATCTCCCAATCAAAGACCATTTCGTCAGCGAACTTCAAAAGCGGCCTCATTTATATCGAAATACCCATGTCGAAACTTGTCCTCTCCAGAGGACATATAGGCAGACTACAGCTTCTACAAAAAATACTACCCTTACAAATTCTACACACAACAGAGCCCATACGTCCTGGGGTGCTAAG